GCTTCTTGTTGTTGTGGTGCTGCCATTGGGGTGGTTGTTGGACGACGCGTCGCGTGTTGAGTTGGGTGGGCCACTAGCTTGTGCGGGCCACTAACTTGTGGATTACGTTACACTCGAGGAGGTGACAAAGATATGCTATACACGCCATAGACGTCTGTCCAATATGACAATACTCCAACCCCCGCCCACACAATATCCTCGAATTCTCCTCTATCATGCTTCTGGCCAGACAATCACATCCTTAGGATCGCGGCTTCTCATTCTTCCCAGCCTTTTCCCGATCGGCGTCCGCCTCTGTAATTTGATGAGGCACCTCACTGGCCTATCGTTGTCCATCCACCTCTTGGCCGCGCCCGTCTTCTATTACGCCATCGCTTTGCGGGTTTTCAGTCATGTACTTCATGAACTCTTCCGCCTTCATCTCGCTGTCCGAATCATCACTATGCCTAGCAAGGTCTTTAAGCGTCGAACTAGTCTTTTTGGGTTTCGATTCGCTTTCGATAAGTTTTACTACCGCTTCCGAGGTCAAGCGTCCGTGGGTAGCCCACTTCTCTTCTTCTGCCTCATGGGCCCATGCTTTTAGCTGATTTGCCCTGAAAAGCTCCACTTCGGCACGGAGGTGCGCGTTGTCTATAGTGGAAAACTTTCGGATGATGAATTTGGCGTCGAAACCTGTAATGCACGGGTGAATTTTGTGTCGAATCATTTTGTCGACGAAGGCTTCCTCGCCGATGTGCCTGAATGGTGGGTCATTCAAGACAGCGTTTAGGATGCGCTCGAGGAGAAGAGGGCGTTGCGCTGATGTGATGGGTCCGGAGAAGTCGAATTCATCCCAGGGCAAGCTTTCCGATAGATCCTCAAATATTAAGGAGCCTTTGAGCATTTTTAGGCGTGCCTGCCGCAGCTGAGTATGCGATGGAAGCTCGTATGTTTCCCGTACAATGGCGTTCGTATCAAGCCGTTTCTTCCCCAGAAGGGGCAGGCCTCTAAGCTTTTTCAGCGTAATGTCCTCCAACCTTTCAGAAAGCTCCAAGGTGACATCCTCTTCTGAATCAAGCTCCTGGTCTGTACGCGATGGCGGAACAAGTCCCGCGTCTCTCGCAAGTGTCAGCAAGCTCCTGCTAGGCAGTCCGTGCGTGTTAGCATCAACACCGCAAAGCTCAAGGACTTCCAGTCTTGAGTGCTTGACAGCAAGAGGATAGTTTCTAAAGAGCCCACACACTCGTTCTGCAACGATTGGAATCGCATCGGCGCTGACGGCACCATAGAAATCGAACAGTTCGGCAGTATTCGCATGACGCGACAGGTAGCTCTGCCAAGGTTCATTTTCCGGTTGCAACAATCCCAGTTCCAAGCCTCTCTTGCCCAGAATAAGGGGAATGTTGACGCCGCATCCTTCCGGTAGCTGAAACCCTGCTTTTATGATAGAAGCAGCCGAAATGGGGTTGTAGCTGAAAAGCTCAGGGCATTCATCCACAAACTCACGAATGCGGTCTCGTATGAAGCGCCTTCCCTCTCGACTTGGAATGGTCGATAGCTGAGAATAGTTCCACTTTTTCTTTGCTCGCCTAATGCAGTATGTTCGCAATTTCAACAATGGTGTTCGCGGGTTAGTCTCTTCCGAGGGCTCGTTCAGAATTTGTGATGGAGGCTGTATCTTGACCGCATACGCGCGATTTACGTATATCAGCCCCATTTGATCAACGTCTCGTTGCCGAATAGATTTTACTTCTGCAACAAGTACCAGGTGGTTGTCGAGCTTGATCTGTTTGCTAGGCAGCAGTGAACACGACAGAACAGCAATGACAGACTCGTGGTTGATTTCCGGGATGTTCCCCGAAGCATGCTCGACGGACACGCCAGCTTCTTCCAGAAGATCGAATGGATGCTGATCGTTACCTCTTGTAAATGAGTCAGCAATACGCGCTCCATCGGAGTCATTCTTCAGTATGTGGACTTTGAATTGGTTCTCAGTATTCGGTTTTGTTATAGCGGTATAGGTCTTCGAGGGAAGGCGAACGTTGAAGCTTATCATAGGCTTGGGTTCCATCTGAACAGTATTGAATGACGAGACAGTCATGCCTTGACTTATGATTTTGTATTGTATGGCATCCCAGAAGTTTGCTGTGATGACCACAACCGAATGTGGTACTTGTCGCATGAGAGAGCGCAGCCGTGATGGATCTGCTGGTTCTACGCTTGACTTGGGGGCATTCCCCGTCTTCTTCGTCATCACCCGCCTAAAGGCAGATCCCCGAGAATCCGATTGAGGTGTTGCATATTGGCTTTCGGTTGCATCTTCGCGGGCTTGTCTTGTGGGGGGTGATGAATTAAAGGCCCGAACAGTCCGACGGGACGGCAATCGTAGCCCACGGCTCCTGGATACTCTCAAGGCTGGTTGTATCTCTGCTTTAAGTTAGCAGGGGCTCGGAGAGCATTGGTGAAGGGCGTGTATCATACGCCATGCATTGTTCCATTGATAAAAGGCTGTGAAGAAGCGGCGCGCAGCCACGGCGCGGGTGGACATTTAGTCAGTCCACGTCTCAATGTTCCCAGAGCATGCCGAGTATTGGAAAAGACTAGCTACGACGGTGGATTGTGCAGTGCGCTGCCTGTTGTGTCTCTGCAGGGTGGTTGAGATGGATCTACGAAGTACTTCGGAAAGTCCCGTTCGCCGAACCTCACCTCCGAAAAGCTCGACGACCCTTCAAACCACCACCACCACCAATCCCCCAATGGCCTCGCCAATACCCTCGCCTGGCGCGCTACGCGTTCTCCGGAGCTCTGTAAACCCAAAATTGCACTGTCAAACGCAAATCCGCCATGCCTCGCTGCTGCGCCGCCCCAAACGACCCTATACCTTCACCCAACTAGTGACGCTGTCCGACGGCTCCTCCTTCGTCCACCGCACCACGAACCCAATCCCCGTCTACAAGTCTACAAAAGACGTGCGCAACACGCCACTGTGGAACCCAAGCTCGCAAAAGCTGCTGAATATTGAAGAGGATGAGGCCGGGCGCCTGAAGGCCTTCCGCGCAAAGTTTGGGCGCGGCTGGGATGCGGAGGTACCGGATGAGGTATGCCATAATATCGTCGCTGAGTGCGGTAGCGTTGGTTTGGGTTGATTGGGGCTAACTCGTCACACAGTCGACCGAGACGCCAGAGGGGCAGCCTGAGGCCCAGCGAGAGGACAGCTTAATGGACCTCATAAGTGGTTATTCGAGAGAAGCAGAGAAGAAGTCAGGAACCAAGGGTACCAAGGAGCCCGCTGTGCCTAGTGGAAAGGGCAAAGGCGGGCAAAAATAGGACCCTGGCAGATGAATTGGTCCTTTGAGGGACTTTCTCCGCTGGAAGACTAACTCGACTGCTTTCGTCCAGACGTACGCCTCGTAATAATACAATGTTGGCGGATGCGGAGAAAAATCTAGCCATCCAAGCCAGTTCGGAAGCGACTATTAGGTTCTCGAATACCAAGCCAGTCAGGCCCGACGCATGTATCAGTTCTCGATGTATAATATTGTATCGTATCGAGTGAGCATTTATTGCACATGAGCGTGTGTGTGCCAAGTCAAAGTTCAAAGCTTCTTATCATTTCCATTTGGTATAGCCACAAGGCGACTTGCCGTGCGTTTAAGGTTCGAATGCAATCTGTACGTAGCAGTGATATATGAGTACAAGATAGTACATTATATGGTATCTCAACAGTCTCTCTTCGACATTGTCACGTCCGTCTTTTATTTCTCCCATCTATGGTCGCCAGATCTGAAGATCTGAATGGCCACTCCATATATGCCTTGTAGAGCGCATCAACCATTTCTACAGTAAGCAAACGTGCTCGAAGATTATTCAAGTCCAACCGCCCGCCCTTCGTAGGGTCGAACAACTCGGGAACGCTTTTGACCAGTTCAGAGGCTCCAGGGTCGACTATCTCAAGCGCCTGAAGAACAGAGTTTTTATATCGGGTCTGCAACCCTTTCAAGAATTTGACGTAATCCATAAAGTCACCGGGGAGCTTTTCGCCGTGCGGAACTATGTTAGGTTCGAAGTCAAGTAGAGAAACTTTCCCGGCAGGCCAGACTTCATCGGGACGGTGCTCCAGGGGCTCGAATTTTCGTCGATCCCAATCCAAGGGTGGTATTGAGGAATTCAAAGCAAGACGGTCGTCTAGTTCAAGAGGAATTTGAGCTCGTTGGCTTGGAACCAAGTCTTCTACCGCTTCTTTGAACTCCTCATTGAGGCTTGAAAGCTTTGCCTGTAATTTCTGTTTCTCAGCTTCGTCCTGAGTCTTCGTGAGCTCACACTCGAGTCTGTATATCTCCATGCCCATATCGACCCGTTTGCAACGATTCTGGCGGTTTCTGCTCGCCCCCACTGCATGCGATGTGTTATAACCATGCATTCGGCCCCAATTCGTCAGTTTCGCTTTGATCCCCTTTTTCGTAGTCTTCAAGGTGTATTGAAGTGATGGGTCTTTTGCAAGTGCAATGTCGCCAAAAACCTTGTCTCTGTGCTGTTCTCCCAGGAGGCCTTCAGTCGACATGCCTCTATGTGCGGCTTCTTCCACGAACTGTATCGCGCCGTCGTTCCCCAAGTCACCATTTTCTATGCCCTTGTCGACTATCTCGGTCGCAAGTTTGTGGAGAACACTTTGCCTATGAGGTGGAATGCTGAGGCCAAGTTCTCGCATTGACTGGACGACCCTGGCCGCACTTTGTAAATTATATCGCGGATCCCGAAATGACACTCCTATACCTCTCGCTCCAGGCCTTGGTGCAACTACCTGGCGAACATTGAATAGCTTACGAACTACGAGGGGATCAGTGCCTTTGTGCGATATGCTCTTCGTAAGGAACCCAGCTTCATCGATGTTTTGAGTCCACACAAGTATTCGCACCTTTCCGTACGCGTGAACCAATCTTTGATCCCAGGCATTAAACAAGAGAGAGTGTAAAGTGTGGCGGTCTTTTGAATGAGTCCTTTGTGAATATTTCCTAGGGCTGACTGTCAAGCACCCAGTAACTAACAGCGTGTTGTTTTGCTCAGCGCTCCGGGGATCGTCGTCATCATATTTTGTCTGATGAGGGAAATAGCCCTCGTTAACGAGCTCCTCGTACGTCGTGTAGTAGTGTGGATGTTTTTCAACCAATTTGTACGTAGATCCCTCTTGATCCAACAGCGGGTCCAAATAGTTTTGGTATGCTGCAGCCTGTGGTTCCAGTAGTATATGGGTGCGTGGTTTGAGATATTCATGGATCTTGGAAGACCAGACGCCTATTCCTGGGTTCAGGTCGAGGATATCACAGTTCCTGTGCTTCTGAAGTGTGGGTCCGATGTAGGAGAGAACGTCGTCTGGAAAAATATAAAGGTTAGCTAGGATGGTCGAGACATCACCACAGGGCTTCGACAGAACATACCACATAGCTCAGGACTTACAATTTCAGTTCTCTTGCGCATATCAAGTAGTCGGTTGTTTGTTTTGACGGCCGCCTCAGTCTTTGCTTCTAGATCCCTAATAACAGGATATCTTTTCCTGGCTTCCCTTTTAGTCTCGTCGGCCGGCGGTCGAGGTTCCGTTAACATGGCCTCTCTGAACCGCCATCGACGCTGGAGTCGCAAAGTGGCGGCCCATTGCGAAGCTCCTGCGAGTCTGGGGCGCATCATCGCGCGCTCGTGATGAGAGTATTGACAAGCAGTTCCGTTCCTGTTCTCGATGGTGGAGAGATTTCATGAACCGCTCCCATGGTGTTTCAGTTGAGCGGCGGCGTAGGTGGTCTCCCTTTCCTACGTTCGTTGAAAGCTAGGTTCTGTATTCTACCTCGAGCTCGGCCCACGACATTAAAAACGCGCTAAAACGCTCCGCTCATGTGACTTATCGGATGGTGTGGTCATCGACGTTCCTCAACACAGTTTGCTATCTGATTGATGTATTCCATTCTCTCGGCATTTTGGTACATACCTATATATCTTTCAACTTCAGCATCCGCTGGTGGGCTCCTCGGTGTCAGCGCTCACCGGCCGCGGATCAAGCCAAGCAGCTCGTCACCTGCTTTGTATATAATTCTATCACTGCGTATTAGCGGTGATAGTTCACGCTCTACATTTTTAGTTCAAAGGCCGAGGCACTGTTGCAATGGCATCTCCGTCAGGACAGAAGACTGTAGTCGTCGGTGCCGGTCCGGTAGGATCTTTAGCGGCTCTCTACGCTGCGAGCAGAGGCGATGAAGTCGAAGTATACGAGCTTAGAGGAGGTTGGTACATAGCTTCTTCTATCCAAGCCTCTCGATTAATGTTCAGGCCTTTCCTTTCCTTGTGTCACATCCCAAGAAACATGATCAGCTTTTTGCAATTATCCACAGATCAAAAGTCATAGTCTGACCTTGCAAGATCTCCGAGACCCATCCACAACCCCCCTAAACTTCACGAAGTCTATCAATCTCGCCTTATCTGAACGTGGCATAAACGCCATGCGACACGCGAACTCGCCCACCCTCCTCGATGCCGTGTTCAAAGAGACTATCCCAATGTACGGCCGCATGATCCACGGCGAGAAGAAAGGCAAGCTCTTCGACGAAGCCCAACTCTACGATGTGCACGGCAGGGTAAGCCACACCTCCAGCCCACCTCCTCTTCCAACCCCTAACTCCCCCAGTTCCAACGCGCCGTCGACCGCGGCGGCCTCAACAAGACCCTCCTCGACTCACTCGAGGACATGCCCAACGTAACCCTCCACTTCAACCACAAGCTCACAGGCGCCGACTTCCGCCGCAACCTTGCCTGGTTCTCCGACCACTCCGCCTCCTCCCCCAGCGAGAAAGAAGTCCACTTCGACTTCATGATCGGCGCCGACGGCGCCCACTCCGCCGTGCGCTACCACCTCATGAAGTACACCCGCATGGCCTACTCCCAAGAATACATCGACACGCTGTGGTGCGAATTCCAAATCCCGCCCTCGCCCACCAACACCTTCGCCCTGCCCCCAAACTACCTCCACATCTGGCCAGGCGGCTCCTTCATGTTCATCGCCATCCCCTCGCCCGACGCCACCTTCACCAGCACCCTCTTCCTGCCCGCCTCGCTCTTCGCCGCCCTCGACGCCGCCCCGGCCTCCCTGGTCCCCTTCTTCGCCGCCAACTTCCCCGGCGTCATCCCCGACCTCATCTCCGAGGCCGCCCTGCTGGCCCAGTACGCGCAGAACCCCCACCTGCCCCTCATCTCGATCAAGTGCAGCCCGCACCACTGCGCCGCCAGCGCCGTCATCCTCGGCGACGCCGCCCACGCCATGGTGCCCTTCTACGGCCAGGGCATGAACGCGGGGCTCGAGGACGTGCGCGTGCTGTTCGAGTGCCTCGACGCGCACCCCGCGGCCGCGTACGCCGGCGACGCGACCGCCGCGCGCGCGGCGGCGCTCGAGGCGTATAGTGCGCAGCGCACTGTCGACGCGGCGGCGATTAATGACCTCGCGCTGCGGAACTATAGGGAGATGAGCCACGATGTGGTCTCGCCGCTGTATCGGCTGAGGAAGTTTGTGGAGGAGAGCCTGGATCGGTGGGTGCCGGCGCTGGGGTGGGCGACGCAGTATTCGCGGGTGAGTTTTGGGAATATGCGGTATTCGGAGGTGGAGAAGGCGACGCAGCGGCAGGGGAGGATAATTTCGAGAGTAGTAAGTTTGGTAGTGGGTGGTGTGGTGGGGCTTGGGGTGGTTAGTTTGTTGAGGAGGGGTCCGTTGTGGATGGCGAGACGGGGATGGAATGGGGCAGCGATGAAACTGGCGTCGGTAGTTATGCTACCGGGAGCGCTCGTACGGGTGATGTTGGGGCAGGGGACTTTGCTTTTCTACCCGTTTCCGGGCCGGGCTAGGTAGTTGAAAAGGAGTGGGGGAATGGGTTGCGGATGTATATATTACACTGTCTAGTCTATCTAGAGGTATCCGTTGAGGCCGTTGTATTCGTACATATCTAAAATACACCTCTAGACTCTCAAGAAGATTTATTGATCGCCCCATAACTCTTTCATGAGAAGCTTTTTGTTGACTGTGAGATTCGTTAGCATGCACCACTCTTAATTGGTGTACTTGATGCTCACTTTTCCCCATGGCGTTCCTCGGGATAGATTCCACGACCTTCATCTCTTGCGGAATCTTGTAGTTCGCCAACTGCTCTTTCAGCGCCCTCCTCATATCCATCGGACCCCACGCTTTTCCCCCTTTCCCAGCCGTCTTACCGGCCTCAGACAGCATGACGACAGCAGCGACCTTCTGACCCCAGGCTTCAGACTGGAGGCCGACGACTGCGCATTCTTCGACTTGAGGCCTTCAAACTCTGTTAACCACTGCACTGAAAACGCCTCAACCAAGGGACTGCAACTCACAAACTCAACATCTCCCTCTCAATCTCCAACGCACTAACCTTCTCACCCCCCGTCTTAATAATATCCGCGCTTTTCCTGCCCAAAATGAACCACATCGGCCCCTTCGCCCACTCCTGGCCGCTCTTCCCCACTCCCTCTACCACTCTTCTGACAGCTACATCGCCGGTCTTAAACCACCGCCCCTTACCGTCCGCATCATCCGTGAACTCGCTCGCTGTAGCTTCCGGGTTCCGCCAATACTCTTTAAACACCGTCGGTCCACGGAGCTGAATCTCGCCGTGTCGCTCGCGGCCCTCAGCATCAAGTTCTTCGCCTTCTTTGATGACTTGGTTGGTTTCCGTGTCCACGAGCCGCGCTTCTACGGATGGCAGAGGCCAGCCGACGCTGACGTCGACGCGGTCTTCGAAGGCGAGACCGCAGGAAAGCGCCATGCCGACTTCGGTCATACCGTACCGCTCCAACAGCACATTTCCATCGCTCAGCACTTTCCACGCAGCTTTCACGGGGGTAGGCAGCGCAGCAGAGCCGGAGATGTTGACGCGCATGTTCTCGGGCGCGAACGCTTTCTTCGTCGCGGCTTGGAGTTCGGGCGAGAGGGAGGTGTGGGACTGGAGGAGGCGGCTGTAGATTGTCGGGACGACGGTGAAGAAGGTGATTTTCTCTTTGGATTTGGAGGAGTCGGGGAGGTAGGGGGAGGCGAGGCGTTCCCACACGGCTTGTGTGTTGAAGGGGAATATGAATTCGATGGTTGAGCCGGCGAAGAGGGGGGTTAGGAGGGCGTTGACGGTGCCGTGGATGTGGTGGAGGGGGAGGACGTGGAGGAGGCGGTCCGAGGGGGTGTAGGACCAGGCTTTGAGGAGGGAGAGGGATTGGGCTGTTAGGACGGATTCTGGTAGTAGTACTCCTTTCTGGGAGAAGTTAGTATGTTATATTTATAGCAGACAACGTGTCCATACCGGTCTGCTTGTCGTCCCAGAAGTATACAGCATCATGCCTCCCTGCTGACTCTTGAGGTCCTCAAGCCTCACAGTGTCATCCTTCTTCCCGGTCATGATCTTCTCGGATTTATAGTTGATCGGCTGCGTCTCCAGCCCCTCCTTGAGCACCTCATCCGCCTTGTCTTGGAACTTCTTAGACGAAAGCAGCATCAAGCTCTCGCTCTGGTCGAGGATATACCGCAGCTCGTGTGCGGGAAAGGTGGGAGAAAGTGGCACCGCAATAGCATGGCTTCCAAGAATTGATAATAACGTCACTACAATGCGTCAATTGCATTCTCGCGGTTTATTGGAGAAAGGAAGCGCGCACCTACATAGTCATACCCATTCTCCACGAGAAACGCAATTCGCTCGCCCTGGGTACTCCTACCGTTCGCCTTCTTCACCAGCCGGTCCCGCGCCGCCGCAACATCGTTCATCAGCTCGCCATACGTGAAGCAGCGCCCAGAGAGCGAGTGCACGACAGCTGTCGAGTTGGGGTCATGTTTCTTAACGGCCTCGAATATAGGTAGTCTGGGAAGTGTGGAGGCCATTCTTCGGAAGGATATAAGAGGTGCGATTGTGAGGATGTTGGAGGAGGAGAGGAGGGAGCGGTGGGCGAATGGCAGGGCGCACGCAGCTCGTCGCGCCCACATTATGGGTTGATCGGGGAGCCTGCGGAGGTGCCTGTCGGGCACCGAGCGGGGGAGCTACAGGGAGCTTCTAATTGCGGTGGCCGGCGTCATTGGCCATGCAGTGCGTCGTATGGGGTGCCGGGTTGCTCAATTGCCCGGTCCAGCGTTCAACTTGCCGATTGTTGCTCTGTCGTGGCCGAAGAGGGCAGTTCGTTGATGTTGCTTGAGAGGGACCCCTCCACAGCTTAAGAAGCGTGCTTGGCGGACTTTGCTCGGAACAGAATATCAATTTGGTGAACAGGGTCCACTACCCTTCCTCATACATCCGTCACCCCGCCATCGCAACTCATCAAATCAGGTTTGATGCTGCCCCGAGCCGCGGCGCGTCTTAGGCTGCTGTCTACCATGGCTCAATCCATGACACCAGTGGAAGATGCTATGCGCGTCAAGGAAGGTCCCTATGGGATGATATCTACCGTATAAATGGTATTAACAGTTTTCCAGCTTTCCGAGGCATTCAACCCATCCACTCTAGAGGTCTACAATGACTCTCACAAGCATGCCCATCATAAGGCGATGCAGGGGAGCACATCACGAGAGGTATGCTGACACAAGCACTGATATCTAGATCACAACTGACGAAGATCAGACACATTTCCGGTAGGAGAATAAACAACACAATCTGTGAGATAGTTCGAACTAATGGTTTCATTCATCCAGTGTCGTCATAACATCCGAAGCCTTCAAGTCAAAGATGCAGCCCGCAAGACACCGTATGGTGTATGCCCTACTCAAAGACGAAATGGCACGTGAAGGAGGCATCCACGCCCTCCAATTAAAAACCCGGACGCCGGAGGAAGAAGAAAGACAAAAGCAGCGTGAAGAAGCCGAGAGTGTCAATGCTTAGAATGGGTCTTCGTGGGGCTCATCTGTAATATATACCATGGATCAATCAAGCAAACAACAACGGTCTCCAATTTTATATCTTGATAAGTGTCGAGCACAAAGACAAGAGCCCTGCCTATCTAACGTCACCTCTCCTTCCCCCCCCCCAACAAGTGGCGGAAAGCCCCCTATGTCAGAATGAATTTGGTGCTTAGGTATCTTGTCTCTTTCTCTCGTGATTCTATCAAGTTGTAATTAAGGTGTCATTATCCGTTAGACATTTCTCCTTAGGCAACTTTATCAGCCTAAAAAATACAACCCTCTTAATTATGCTATCGATCGTTCCTTTTAAAGTATTTGGAACTGCATCAGCTTTGCATCCCTGCTGCACCACGACTATCTATAAAATCTTAGACTTTGAAGCATTAAATTGATAGTTCTATAACGAAAGAAAACAGCTCCAAGGCTCAAAGACACTGAGCCACTAAAAGTATACATCCCGGATTTATCCGTGCGAACGGGTGTATACCGTACTTCGCATAAGGGTTTAGTGCACTTACGTAGTGCGGTATTAGATATTTAGCTAGCTGTATTGTATTCTACGCTACGCCTAACTAACTTGAAGTCGAGTAGTTATCTACTGAGCGTGAGTTTCCCCTTTGACTCTGAAAAGATTGCAGAAGCGTCCGCTGCAAAACAGAAATCATGTCAATAATTTTCCTGCCATCTACTTCGCTGAGCCCGAGCTCTCGACTGATTGTGGCCTGCAACTCAATTTGCACGTCTGACGGAATACCTTGGTTTAAAAACTTGCTGTAATCAGCGATAGTTTCCGAGGATCTCGGCGTAGTGAAAGCTAGGTGGCTATAGTCGTTGTCTTTATGTGACTTGGTCAGCTCATGTTGTCACGTCCTGAAAGCCCTGGGCCCACTTACGTGGAGAGATGTGCTCTGGGTTAGTGTCTGGAAAGATGATTTTATACATCTCCCACCATCTTTCACAATCGCGATCTATGTCACCTGACGTGGCGTCGGTTCTTGTTCGCTTTCTCGAGCGGAGCCGCCGCTCCTGTTCGGCGTTGATGCCCTCGATATCTGGAGACTCACTCAACGCACACGGTGTCACGGAGCGGGTATGTGCTTCGAGACCAGCGCCATCTTCGAAATATGCTAGGCAACGAGTGCACCTGTGCTTTGTAAGAAGGTGCCTTCGATATAAATGCTCTCTAGAGTAAGTGGTTAGTAGCCTGGTATATCAAGCCTACGGGTAGTACAAAAACATACTTCACTCTGTGAATGTGCTTCCACCCGTTTGAACACATCTTCCCATATTTGCTAGGATTGCGTTTGAAGAATGGACATGCGAAATAACGTTCATGCTCAGACTGTCCTAGGTTTGTATCCTGCGTTGTCTGTGTTGTACTGACTTGTCGCCGGCTTAGATTGCTGATGGAAGTAGAACTTTCACTCGCACGAACGTCGCTCAGAGAGGTTGACCCTTCCTTGCTGCCACTAGTGCTGCTGCTACTGAGATGGTTTGCCCTAGTTTCTGTCTCTGGCAAATCCAATTCTAACTCCCACAAGTCATAATCCGTCAGGACTATGTGTGGGACAGATGCATCGTAGCCCTCTAACTCGGCCACGCTACTTGGTTGCCTCCGAGTCTCCAGATACTGGGAGTTTCCAACCCACGAGGGGTGAGATAGCCTCGTAGTCGGGGGGACATTTAAAGGGTTGTTCCCGGAAAGGTATTTTGCATCTGAGCCTGAGCGGTTATAAAACGTAACTATGCTTTGTGTCACGCCGGCTGCAGTGACTCTCCGGACCGGAGACTCGCCATTTGTTTCGACAACAAGCATCTCATTCTGGATGAGATCGAGGAAATCATGAAAGAACCAGGAGCAGGCCCAGTGCTGACGTAGATACGCCATCCACTGTTACAATGATGTCAGAGAATGGACCGATAACAGAAGGCGATTCTAGCTTGTCACTATTGGAGACTTACACGAATAACAGCGGGTTTGACTTTGCTGCAGATGTTATCAGTACCTCTGGAGCCGCTTAGCTCAAAGTAACAGTCATCGGCTGAGAGGTCATTTCGTTTTGTCTCCCTCGATGCGGAGAACTCCATGACACCACTCCAACCGAGGAAGTACCAACTGATGAACTCGAGATAGAGGCAGCCCAGGGCCCATATGTCGTAGGACCGTGACAAGAGTCCATCGGGCATGTCAAATTCGGGAGCGCGATAGGTTGGCGAGTTACCCATACCGACAGGCGAGATGTTGGAACGAGACTGTCTGTGATGAAAGCGGGTGAGGCCAAAGTCGGCAATCTCCAAGACGCCAATGTCAGTGTTGGGGCCGTTTCTGAACCAGAGTATATTCTCCGGCTTGATATCTCCATGCCGGCCGTACGCCTTGGTACGCTGCGGCTGACCGTGACTTGGCTGTAAGGCCGGTTCGTAAGCGTAGTCGTCGCTTTGATCAGTTGGGGGTTCGTGGATGACACTCAGCCCTTCGGCAATGCCTTTACACTGTTTGGCTACCCACAGCCCGTACCGTGTGTCAGTTGATGGGTTGGGAAACATGGCCCAGTACCGTCGAAGGTTGGCGTTGGCCCAAGGGAACAGGAGATGGTAGCTGTTTTTGTACTCGAATGTAGCGAGAAGTGGGACGATATGCTTTTGGCCACTCAGCCTTTTGAGAGCGTCTACCTCTCTGGAAAACATCTCGCGACTGCGAGAGTGGAGACACTTCACCGCGAAGGTGGAATCAGTCTCATAGGTTTCCTTGAAGTAAATACATTAGTAAATGAGCCGTAGTGTGCAAGTGTTAGTGGGGCAATCTGTACATACCGCGATATCGTGGAAATCAAAATGTGAAGGGTGAATTTTGACCCGGGAGACAGATCCGTGGCCGCCTTGGAAATCTTCATCATCCTCAAGGGTAGCGTCGCGGGAAGAGTCCTCGATGAAAGGAAGAATGGTCTGGTCGTCAAGAGGGTAGAAGCGTACAGCTCCGTTATTGCCCCTCGAGAAGAAACGCGAAAGTAATGTCCACTGGTATCCCTCGAACAAGTCCACCAATAGCGATGACCATTTGTTAAGGCATTCCAGCGATTTATTGGGTTGTGTTTTTCGTCGCAATTCAGATCGGCCTGTGTTCTCATTACGAGCCTTGACAAGAGGCAACTCGTGGTCGGTGATATTATTGTTGACAAAAATGGGAATCTCCTGGGGCCGTTCAATCATGACCAATATCGCAAATATCCGGCAGAAAGATGGCCGCGATGAATGTCGAACGGATCCAGGGCAGATGTTTTTTGCCAGTCGTCCAACACGAGCAACAGAGAGCTCCGGCATGCATTTTTTGAGAGATTCTACGACCGAGTCTTCCACGACTAGTTGGTTCAATTTGTCCAGAGGGAGAAAGCCTTTCGACTCTTTGTGGGCATGTTGACACAAAGCATCCCGGAGCTGTTGCTCCAAAGACTCTTTTCTTAATGACATCGCCGATTTATCCAATAACCCGTGGCTCGAAGAAGGCCCAGAAATAGTTTCCGGTGACCGGATGCTGTTCATAGGCTGGCCACATGGCCATGTTGAGTCACATAGGCCCTGTTCTTGGGTATAAAACTCGTCCAATAAGCCGGCTGACTTCAGATAGGAAGTGCCATCGAGCTGTAAGGGGCTGTTCGGACGACTAGGGAGGATCAAATTGAACGCTGGCAAGGATGGTAAGAGAAGAGAAGCGTTGTTGTCGCTATCGTTTTGGGGGGCCGACAAGGCTGCGAATGTTGAGTGTTCCATTAGATCCATTAGAGTATATCGGTATCCCACAGCGACACAAGATCAAGCAGAGGTCAAGACAACGGATGAGACGGGTTCTATGTATTTATATATTCACAAACTGAATGATTCACCGGGGGGGTTTTACGCCTAGAATCTCTGTGCGAAAATGCGCATTGCGCAAGTGTGTCAATTCGTCACGCTGCCTGGTTGCCCTACGGCAGAAGGGGGGTTTCGCGATTCAGCACCGGCACGGCACCAACACTCAATCAATACCGGAGGCGGCACTAGCCGTTAATTACTGCTTAGAAAAACCTCACCGTTTTTTTTTTCCTCAAAGAGAAGCCACTTATAAGAAGGAATTAAACCTTCCTTAACTAATGCTCGCGAGGGATTATTCTCCAGTTGTAACTGCACTCCAGTGGTGGCTTAAAATTAGTTAGGATTTTAAACCAGCACGCTACTAGGGGCGGATATCTTCATATACTACTTACTACCCCGCATTAGAGACTTCGCTAATGCTGTATCTTAATAGGCTCAGCTTTCCAATAATTCCTCACGTCCGTCCACCCGTAACGGAACAACCGCCGTAGCGGAACGCCAACCTCTTCTTAGCTACCTTAAGTATACCTACACAAGTGTATAGATATACAGACGTTGTCTACTATTATCCAGCTAATTCTGCATCTAACGTTAGGTTCCAGCTAGAAATTTACTCGCGCCTCAGGTGTTATCCCCTGCCTAATCACGAATATTGGCATATCTTCGCATTTCGGAACTATGAGACGAAAATTCAAATAAGAAAATCCATGATTCTAGGCTCACTGTAATGATGCTGGAAAGGAGGGCGCGAACGGGTGCTCAACGCAACAATGGACAACGCGCGCCAAAGACAGAACATGAATTATCATCTCGTTTCAATACACGCTGATGTAATCAAGCGTCGAACGCTAACTTCTCACGCCAAGCACGTGGCCACCACCGCAGATATCAGGCCATCGAGTCAGCCGATAAAACGGGGTAATATATGAGAGTTACACTTCGCGGTACCGTGTTTTTAGCAAATCCAGCTCAGCCTTAGTAAGAATCAGGCCAGAAAAGAGCTTCCTCCGTTCTAATCCCACCTACCACCTGTGGCTTCAAATCTGCGCTAGACCACCGGACGCATCCAGATGCTGTATCTCGCACCACTGTGTGGTATCGTCGCCGCGGACGACCCTCAAAGAAAGACTAAGGCCGAAAGCCAGCAATACCTCACTCCGTCAGAAGAGAAAGCCCTCGTCATATTTCTACTACGAATGGCTGCCCTCGGATTTCCCGTACGCATCAAGTTCATACCTTCGCTAGCCTTCAGCCTCGCCCGCCGGCGGTCCGCGAACAAAGTTCATATGTAGCTGGCGGCGGCCGGGCACCAAGCCGCAGCCAGCCCGTTGGACGCGGCAACGTGGGCCCTCCAGCAAGTATGAAATTTGAGGCGTCCTTTCAAACTCGTAATGTTCGTACAGTTGAATATGACTGAATATGGATCGTCCACCTAAAAATTTTATTTTTTATTTTTTTTCATTGCCATTTATAGTGCTCTGCTATTGGCCACTGTGCTTAGTTGGCTCAGCTGCAAAAAATCTAACCCCGCACCGCAACAGCTGGAAGGCGTCTTGGCCTCTTCTTGAAATCAGGCAACTTTTGCGAAACTTTGCTCCGGAAAAGGGTGTAATTTGCTACTGTACATATCCCAGTAGGTCCGGTCAAATTGAGTCCAATCATAGATCTAGCGCATGCAGAGGACCGACCACGTGTCAAAGCAACAGGAGGATTCTTCGATAAGGGAGACGTTTCTAGCTGAATGAAGAGCGGGTCGGAAGAGATCGCTTTCACAATACGGCATACCCGCCCTTGCTCTAGCCGTCACTTCTTTTCTCTCTCGGGCCTCTTCTATCGTTAGGTTTTCGTGATAGTGCCGCCTTACCGCCCTTATAAAGGGCCAAGGCTGCGATCATGGCCGACTTGCTCGATTCTGAGCCCTCCACTACCTCATGGGAATATGCCTTGACAAAACACATGAGTCGTCTGTCTCCAGAACAAGCTGTCCAATTTCAAGAATCTATGAACATAAGGGAGTTCCTGGATAAGGTGTCAAAAATAATAGGCGCACCAGAGGCCCAAGAACCGTTTGGGTATCGTTATCGGGAAGGAGATAAGCGCTACCGGATTTGGAATATACTCAACAAAAGCCTGAGGCCTCTGAAGAGATTTGGATCAGTCATAGATGTCGCTGTTCAAGCCAACTCTATGATAGGATGTTCAATTTGGGCGCCATTGAAGTTGGTTGTGCAGGTATGATAGTCACATATTACGTTAGTGGATTGGGGCTCAACCTGCAAATTACTTCTAGATATGTTGTGAACACATTGACTTGGTGGATTATCTTGGGCTTGTATTGTCAACCATCGGCCAAAATATTGACCGAATCACCTGCTACGAGAATGTTTTCGGGAAGAACGAAATGGTTCAAGCTTCACTCGGCTTTCTCTATGCTGATTACTTGGATTTCTGCACTCGTCTGGTCCAGTATAACAAGAAGAGAGCAGGTGTGATTCTCTTAAGATTCCTGTGAAGAGAGGTAATTGTTCTAACGATAAGGCAGTGTCCAGAGTGTTTACATCTTTCGGAGAAGACTTCCAATCTGTCTGTACGGCCATGAAGGAGCATGAACAACGATTCGACTTTACCGCTATTGCAGCCTATATTGCCGAGGACACCGCAGCTCGACGCCAAGAGGTCGAAGATCGCAAACGTAATCTTCTCTTGTCTCGATGTCTTATTATTGGGCTTTAATAACTCTGTGCAGGCGCTTTATTCCGTGAAATTCTGCAATGGATTGGAGGTCCATCTGATTTCGACGTAGACCTTCGGAAAATGCGCGCTCAACGGCAAGATGGGAGTTGTGACTGGTTTCAAAGGCTTGGGAAGTACAGAGGCTGGGTAAATTCCAGATACCATACACATGCGATTTTATGGGTGTATGGCGCTCCTGGCTGTGGAAAGTCGGTCTTGGCTTCGTCCATCATCGACCACCTCAAAGAGGCAACGGATAAGCCGATCTTGTATTTCTTCTGCAAGAACGACAACGTTGACAAGAATTCGTCCTTAGCGGTTCTTCGTAGCCTCATTGCCCAACTTCTACTCTGGGCCCCAGGCCTTCTCACCCACATCGAAGGAAGTTTCCAGAAAAGTGGGAAGCGGCAGATAGACTCTTTCTATGCCCTTCTACCAATCTTTTTAACATGTTTAGCAAATGCTCGGTCCGAATACGCGGCGGTGAATGGTGCTGACGGCGACGATAAAAGCACTGGATATATTGTGATCGATGGTGTCGATGAATGCGATGAGAGTGCTATATCCGATCTTTGCAGCGCTACCAAACTATGGACCGAAGCTAGGCCGACGACAATATTCCCAATCCTTTTCACGAGCAGATATACTCAATGTATCAACGACGGATTCGCTCAAGCATTGCCCAAGGAAACCTGCGAGTACTGGGATCCAGATTACTTGGCATACCAAATGTCAACCACGGATACTCAACGTTATATTCCGACTTTCATAAAAGCTGGCGTGGAGAGATCTACGACCCTTAAAGCTGCCGAAGCAGCTGGCTTGGACGTTTCCGAAGCGATCATTAAGGCATCGGCTGGTCATTGGCTATATGCGAGACTAGCTTTGGAAGATGCAAAGAGACAGCCGACCTTAAGATGTCTTAAAAAGAGCCTTCAAAATCTGCCCGACAACCTGTCGAAGTTGTACTCGCAAATTCTGGTCGAGCATCAAGTTCGCTTCGAAGGAGATGAGCTAAGAATGGCGAAGGTCATATTCGAGTGGGTCTGCATTGCCAGGATACCGAGGCCGTTAAGCGTGGAAGAGATATCAACCATTCTTTCTATCAAGGACGAACAGAGTCACATGAATCCCGACGATATTCCTCTGGATTGCACCGGTCTGATCCAAAGACTGTGTGGGCCTCTCCTGGAGATTGATGACCTGCAAAGAGTTCACGTTACCCACCAATCAGTCAAAGAGTACTTTTTAAAAGCGGCACAAGCCAAGAGAGCAACCACCCGCGAAGAACTACCGTTGGTCGTTGGCAACTTGTATGAGACAAGTATGTCCCTAGCCTGTACTTCCTTATCGTTTGTTTTGCTTGAGGATGTTCAGAAATTCTTCAACGAGAACTCGGCACAAACACCTTCGTACGAAAGGATAGATGAGAAGTTTCCTCTGCTCCAACAAGTCTTACTCCCCATCTGGGACTGGTATGGTAATTATGCTTTCCAAGCTGGGCGCGCATATCTCGAAGGTTTAGTCAGCCTTGAGCATCATATGAAGTCGATAACTCGACTTGCGCAATTCTTGACATCTCCAAAGAATCTCCCTTGGATCACGGCTACACTGCACACATATGGGCAGCATGACCTATCTGTGCTATTCACTCGCATTGGGCTTTGCGTTGCTCTCTCCAAAGACGTGGATATTTCTGGGGACAACCTCGCTATTTGGAGGGTTCTCTTTCCAGACTCGATCGACTTTTGGCTTAGCGAATTCTACACCCTTGCGAAACGTCTGAAGTGGCGCTTCAGATTCTATGAGGTTGTCAGGAATGGCGAAATATTTTCAAATGAGACAACCGTGTCGGAGACTGGAGATGACGGTCTGCTCGGTCCTTATTCACTGGAGATCTTGTCTACGCTGGAGAACTGGTCCTTCCCGGAATATGGCTACTATGATGACTATGGAATCCATTTCTCCGGACACGAAGAGAATGATGAGAAGGTGTCCGAAGTTATTGACAAGGCTCTTGAAAGTCATGTCAGTAACGCTATGTCGGAAGGAAACGGAGGAATTGCACCCAGCGGTTCCGAAAGCGATGAAGCTGATGCTTTTGCTCACCGTTTACGTCCAGACCTCAAGAATGCCGAGACATCTCAGACCTACGTTCGAGCTCGGCAACTCTTCCGTGATGGTGAGTGGGATCTGTGGTGGTTTTCGTACAAGACGGGAAAGATTTACCAGCGGCTAGGCCGCTGCCGAGGTTTCCCAGGCTAGTGAATTTGTTACGGCTGTAACCCAGATCGGAAGACATCTGGAGATCGACCTTGACCCTGTCAGCCCGAGCTGCTATCAGCTGACTACTGGTGTGAGGCCTGAGACAGATTGTAACATGAGCACGTGATCAGAGGACCACGTGATGAGTTAGCAAGTCAGCAAGCTAATGATGAGTTAGTGAAGGACTAACTCGCAGAGCCAGTTGAACCAGAATGTATATAATGACTTACGAACATCTCTTAAATAGTCTTCATAGTCAAGCTCACTTTTTCCTCGCGACGCATAGTATAATGAATACCTAGCCCACCGCGATTACCTATTTGTTAAGTACCTTGCCTATCATGAATTGAGCGCCACCCGCAGCCCTACGGCTAGCCATTACTTCTTGATGGTGCCGTTGGACTTTTTGGCTGCGATAAAGACGCTTGAGGGGTCGCGACAGTGATGCAAGCTTGGTGGTGGTCTTCTGGCGCACAAGGCTCGTTTTCGCTCGAAAGGAGACTCTTCGCGAATCATGCAGGAAGGCGTCCGCGCAAGCGTAATTTTTATGTGAGCAGCGTTATGGCGCTTCAGGAATGGTATTAGCATCTAATTCAAGGTGAATATGGTAAAATTCAAGACGAGTGGAGAAGTTCTATCGCTTCAGAATCGAAGTACCTATGGTTTGTTCTGTTACGGCGGTTGTTCCGTTAACTACGGGTGGACGGACGTTATTACCTTTGTACTAAAGTTTACTCTAGATTAACTAATGTCCGTCCCTGCGTCCTGAGACACCCTCCGATATGAGACAAACTATAGGTACATTGACTTTTGAGTAATAGAATGTGTGCCTACCTTTTAAATATTTGTCCAATGCTGTTTGGTTGCGTGATGGGACTCTTCCTGAACCCCCTGGCACCCGCGACCGGCAAAATCAGCAATATCATCGTCGCCTCCGCCCCTGATTGCGGAGAGCTTCATTTCATAGCGGCAACACGCCCCTTCCACAACGGCACTACCATCAAGCTCTGCCACTGTCGAAACTCATAGAGGCTTTCATCCGAGCCTTATACAATAGGAACCTTGAGAATGTCGTTGTCAGCCTTGTGGCGGCCGTGGCGACGTTGCATGACACATCGCGCCACATCGGTTGGTACATGGGATCAAAGCGACCAAGGATCCCTGGTCAAAATGAGACAGTCCCCGAGCGCCACGCATTTAATTTAGTTACCAGTATTGTATCTTATATAATACAAGCGTGACAGCCGGCCTGTCGCACGGTAGCTGAGCTTCACCTGGTGGCGCTGGAACAAAGAACCACTCACCGCGCCCAACAAGCTTGCGATAACAGGGAAGACGCAACTGGGGCAGGGCCCCCGTTTGACAGAGGAGGCTTGAGGAACGATTTTGACGCTTGTGTGAAAAGCCTCAAGTTATTTGGATTCATACCAACTTGTCCCTATGCTGTTTACGAACTAGATACGGAAGAAATGAGATGCTTCGTGGTTGCGGAAAGACTCATATGTTTCCGATGTGCCTTGGCCCATTTGATTCAGCGCGAACCCATTGGAAGGGGCATCTTCAGCGGAAGATACCCCTCGTTATAGCACCCACGATTTGATATCGGTGCGAGCCCATTTGTTATAGCGAAGGCCAATTGGTTGAGCGGAACTCTGAAGATGTTTAGGTTATAAGTTCGAATCTACCTTGATTCTCCCCTCTGACTCCCAATCCTGGCTGTCACGTGATGCATAGTGCTGTCGCAGTTGATAAATTAAACAGCCGTGCGCGATAATCTTTGACAGCATCGTGTCAACTGTTTGCCCAATCAGGATTGGAGCAGCGTCTATGGTAATGCGCCGAAATTGGCGGCAACTTTACCTTTCGCTTTCCTCTCCTTTTCTAGTTACATCCGCACTCACATTCGGACTGCTAGAAATCTAGTACAAATTCTCTTACTTAGGACGACTTCAAGATTGCCAGACTACGCTACTTGTTTCGCGTCGAATGTCAATCACTCTAAAAACTCCAAGAACACGCGTGAGGAGCTGCGTAGTTAAGAGGCTACCTAGTTCTTTGGATCAGACAATAACTAGTGCGTTCAGAGCCCTTCCAACATCTGGGACCCTTCCCAGCCTGTGAAGGTGACTCCACCGAGCTTCGTATCCAGTAGATCGGTGCTCAGAATTTCTTCCTTTCTGACCTTCAATTCATCTACGTCCCAGTTCACCCACACGAACTTGCCCCTGAGAAAGTCGGCTTCGGAACTAACCAGCCACAAGCAGAAGTGGCCAGACAAATCAACTGTTGCAGTATCAGTTTCGTCTTCTATAGTGACCCAAAGCGCTTTACTAGTCTCATGGAACGAGAGAAATGGAGCGAGCGAAGCAGTAAGGAGATGCCAGGTGACTAACTGTGATCCAAGCCACCATGGCCGCTCTTGCGACTCATGTCGGTATCGACGAGGCCGGGGTGAACGTTGACGACGTGTAGCTCGGGATTTTCGAACGCTATGTAGTCGAATAACTTTGCCGCAGCGGCCTTACTTGCAGCATAGGCAGACACACCTGCTTCCAGCGGTGGCATGTGGCCAACACAAGTTGAGATGTGCAGAATATGCGCTCCTTCGGCTGCATATCTGACGAATCCCTTGACTGTGTACAGCGCTCCCAAAATGTTGGTGTTGAATGCGGTCCACCAGTCCTCCACATCGAAACCTGGGCTGAGGACAGGGCGAGGAACTGGCATGAACGCGGAATTACAGACCAAGACATCGATCTTGCCAAAGGTTTGGCTAATATTAAGGAAGGCATCATCGACCTGCCTCGCGTTGGTGATGTCGGAAGGCACGGCCAGAACTTCGGTGCCTAGGAATACCTCTTCGATAGCATGCTTGGTCGCGAGAAGATTCCTTTCGGTCCGACTGATAATAGCTATCTTAGTGCTTCCGCCGGCTGCAAAGGCCTTTGCGATGCTGGCGCCGATGCCACTGCCACCGCCGGTGATGACGACAACCTTGCCTTTCACTGAGAGCTCAGGGCGCGATGGTGATATGGCGGGGTATGATTCGGTATGCGACAGTTTGGTAAGAGATGGAAAAAAGGAAGAAGAGGCCATGTCTGCGGGCGGGTTGGAGAGTTTGTTGGATATAACCGATGTAGCTAAACACGTTGAGTATTTGTAGACGGAGTCATTGACCGCTGCCTCCCTTTAAATACTTTTTCTCCGTGCTTAGCCTTGAAACCACTCTCAATGGCACGCGAGACAACTCCGGTCCACATGCTCCGTGGGACATCTCCGAAGACATTTGCTGCAAAACCCGAAAGGTATAATTAACATTTCTCGGAACAATCCAATCGCCATTTCTCGATATTATTAGTTAGCTTCCCTTCTCTCTCTGCAAGTTACCCTTAATTTTCGGAAGTACGCACGCTTGGTTAGCTCGCATTATGGGGAACTTGCAAGAATAGGGCGAAGAAGTTGGGTCTCCCGCTACTCGCAGAGTCCAAGCATTGCTGCGCGGTAGTTACCCGCATCATCATATTCCGAGTGGGCCGCCGTTCAGGCGATGGTGGACGACAGATCAAAGTGTTCATCGGCTGATGCTCACAAAGGGCATTTTCGGGTTTGAAGTAATATGACAATCGCACCTTTCGCATTACACAGCAAAGTTGCTTCTCTAAATGACCATGTTTGACACTAACGTAACTAGAAGGCCAAACGAGTCGGCGTAAGCATACCACCTGTCGTGTTGTTTTCCGGCAGCTTCCTTCAACTCAACAAGGTCGCCGTTTCTGAGCATGCCATGCACGGCATTCTTATGTAGGTGTTCTGCATAGTCGACTGTCCAGTCCATCTCGTTCTCGGCATTCCACAACATCATAGGGGACGGTGCAGGAGAGCAGGAATACTTGGGCATGGTTGGAGACGGTGTCGTAATTTGTGCGTGTATAATGCTGTTTATAATGAGCACGGCAGTTGCAGTTCTTATGAAACGTGTCAGTTGGGTCCGCCTAACTTTGGGATATTCTTCTGGCACAACACCTACCGACGACGCGATTCCAAAAATACCCAGTCCTTCCACAGGATCATTTGACCCGTAAGTTCATCAGAGCTGATGAGATTCCCAAATTTTGTGGTGATATGCGTGCATATTGCCTTCACGTCTCTCTTTGTGAGTACGCTGGGCTTTTTAAGTGCTTTGCATCACGTCCGCTCACCTTAATTGAAGCCAAAAGCTGGGTACTAAAGTTGGTGTAGTCATGGCGTCCCTCAATAATCCTCAGGAGGATATAGACGACGAGAGATTGCAGCGCCTCCAAAACCTCCCACTTGCTAAAGTTGGGGTGCTGTTTGCGATGGCTCTGGTTAGTAATCTGGTCATCACTAATTGCTAACATGGATTGAGGGTTTCAATACGTACCTCGTTGAGCAGCCGCTCCTGTTCTATGCGAATCAGTCCCCAGATCAAGCTCTTATTCATTCGTCGGCCATGCAGCAGCATCTTCGCTAGTTTCAGGGCAGCATCGAGAGGACTCGGACATGCCGTGTCACTCTCAGACAGATACCGATATTTCGGGTGGATGAAAGGAGGAACAGAATCCTGGTTGGCTATCATGTACGGGTAGGAACGCAGGATGTGCAGGGCAAGGTCGCTAGTAAGCTCATGCTCTGGTTCTGAGAACTTGCGCCGTTCAAACAACGAGGAAGGATCTCGATAGGCCAGCGATGCTGGAATTGAAGACGATGCTTGAAGTGATTGCTCTGAGAAAGTTATAGCATTTGACGCAGATTGTAACTCGCCGCTGATACTAGAGGCATCAACATGAGATCCGACAGGATAGCCTTCGCCTAAGTCAGTCGTTAGGTCAGACACATATGACCACTCAGGTCTGAATATGTCATTATCCCAAGTAAAGGTTGTGGGGGAAAGATAGCTGTTTCCGGGTGTCTCTTCAGTCCCGATAGAAGGACTGTCGAGGCCGGGCCTAAAGTCGTTCGAAGACTGGGGCGGAATGTCCACAAGGGGTACGCCGGTGATCTGCAAGGAGGCCGTTAGCATAAGACCACCACCATCTGCTTCAAAGGCCAGGTTGGCTACATTTTGGCCGTTCAAGGTGCCTTGATAAGTACATGAGACGCCTCTTGAAGCGCAGCGAGAGCAGCCTCCAGGATCTGAGCTGCAGCGGACCTTAGACCGCGCGCATTCATCACAGGCCTTCCTTCTAGGCAGGGGGCCTGATTGGTATTTTTTGCGGCAATATGAGATGTGCTTGCTTTTAGCTCGGGCTACATGGTGTTAATCCGAGTCAAGTAGCATCGTCGGTAGTCTCTTACAGTTGGTACCGTTAGCGTAGAGCTTTTTACAGACGGGACAGTGCAGTGCGTTCCGCCGGCTCACTGGCTCCTCCATTTAGGCGGAATAAGGCTTCTGTGCTTTCGCTCACAGTCTGATGGTTGAACAAAACTCTTGTCATCTTCCGACTCGGTGTGTGTATCGGAGAAGTGAGGACAACTCCTGACTACGGAATTCCGTTGGACAAATTCCTCCATTAAGGAAAGTGCCATGGGCCTGTGCGGCGTTAAAGTGGGGCAGCTTTCCTGTCAAAGACTAATATTGTACAAAGTGGCCTGCAAGGCCGGGAACTATTCTTTTCTGATAGAACTTTCCTCTGAGCACTCCGAACCTTGAAGAGACTGCCACAGCCGCAATTGAGCAAGGGGGAAGAGCTGAAGCGGCGACCGACGGCGTCAACGAATCGATCGACAGCATGACAAACACCGTGGTAGTCTCGCTGCACAGTGGTTCTGTGGGGGGGAAATGGCTATAGAACACTGTCACCACAGGCCATGTCTTCATATCTTTGCAAAGGGACGACTTCTGGGGTCTAAACTGTAAATTTGTCTCATATCGGGGGTTGTCTCAGGACGCAGGGACGGACATTAGTTGGAATAGTTTAACAGCCTGCAGTGTTGTAACACTTTCCTGCCACGTTCGGCAGGATTCTTCACATGACAGTCAAATCACCAGCCTTTGCCTTCTAATCTTCGAAAGAACGTTGTAAGTTGACTATATTCACTCTTAGACCCTTTAAAAGTTGCTTTCATCGCGAGGCTCCTTTTCACGCTCGCCGCAGCCTTCGCGCACATCTTTCTATCATGCGTCTGCTATCGTCTCGCCCGCGAATCCGTCATTTCGCATGGCGATCCACCTATTTCTTGCCTTTGTAGTCGATTTCTTCATTCCTTTGTTTTTCTCGCCATCTTTAGATTCACGCCGGTTTCACCATACTAGGCTTGCTCTCTTAATACAAACGCGTAAATCTATACTAGAAGATAAAAATGCGACACGCCGAATAATCCATTCTCGTTCGACTTTCCGAACTGCTAAGTACCAGGACAACTCCCACTTTCCAAGCATGTCTAGCCCTCGGAGATCATGAGACGAACGGCACAAAAGTTCACGATTCACAAGAATATAGGTACTTGTCCCTAATATCGAGAAAGAAGTAGCAAAATGCCAAACAGGCAACGATAGGACCAGCCGCACTCGAACCGGCCCAGCGTTACCAAACCAGAAAAAGTATTCACACGAAGAATAGAAAATGGTCAAAAAAGAATGCCACCGAGGAAAGATAGGTCGGGAAGCATCCATCGCAACATCCCGCCCTCCAGCCAATCAATTTAACTTCGGACTATCCCATTCACACCTAAGACTATTTGTCTTGTCATTGAAGTTCTCGTAGTCCAGATCCTCGCTCCCCGGGTATCGTAGATTGATAGAGTCGCTTCCACAACCCGTCTTCGAGAAGAGACTGCAGCTCCACGGCGACACATTGTCCGCCATGTCCGGGCCAAACGAGCTGATGGCGTTCTTCCAGTCTGCCCAACCGATGTCCATACACCCACCCATGGGCGCGACGTCATACTCGCAGGGGGCGCCCCAAAAGGCGTTTTTGCACGCGTAGAAACCGCCGGGTTGGGTTCGCTTTTCGATGTTGTTGGGGGCAGCGGCGGTGGTAAGGCTGAGGCTGAGAGAGGAGATGAGAGAGAGGAAAGTTGAAGGTTTCATTGTTTTTGTTGGGTTGGGGTTGAGGTATAGAGATCTTTGCGGTTGGGAGATGTTCAGGTTTCCGAGGAATCGTGGTGTGTGCTTCGGGTTACGGTTGGTATGAAGGAGTGCGATGGGTTCATATTGACGAGGGAAGGGGAGCAATGCCTTTGTTGGAGATGGCGGGCTTTGTTCTTTCACGGGATTTACAAGCCAATTATGTGGCTGAAAGAAAAGGGAGTAAAGAGGACAAAGGAGAAGATGGAGTCTTCTAAATTTGGTCTTTGAGTTGACTTCGCTGGTGCTGTAAACGAGAGCAACGTCGAAGATCGAGTCTAAATCAATGTCCGTTACGGCTTCTCAACATCTGTTATCCCGCTCTCTCGTCGTTATCTACACCTATCATCCATCAGCCAAGATCAGGGGCACTCCTCGTAAATACTTTGAAAAGGGAGGTAATGCCACGTTGCGTCTAGAAACGTTGAATGAGACCGGGAAGTTCTGGGGAGGCGTTCTGCATTACTTCGAATGAAGGTTCACTATACCTTTGCGTTATTTTGTGCCTCTTTATCATCTCCCCCCGGCTTGTAAATACTCTTAAAGCCGTTTTGGATTCTCTTGCTTCCAAGGAACTGGTTATAGATTGAAGTGTTTCCAGAACCCATCAATCCGGTGTAGTTTAGTTGGCCATAACGCATTAGGCAAGCTCTTTGTGCCGGGCCAGATGGCCTGGCTCATACCTTGACCGGTGTAACCCGCGTTCGATCCGCGGCGCCGGACACAATGTTTTTATCGCTAAATTTTTGGCTTCATTTAGCCTAGATACTCGCACTATTCTGTATTTCATGTTGAGCCTCGCCTTCTCGTCGTTTGGGCTTTGAAAGTTCAGAGGTCTTTCATTGGCACTTCTCCGAAGCCTAAAGCGCTGAGAGTATATTAGAGCTGAACTTCAAGCCAGTAACCAAATCAGAATCGATCCGGTGTAGTTTAGTTGGTTATAACGCACCAACCCCCTAGGGCGGCGCCATGTGGCGCGGCTCGTGTCTTGGTTGGTGTAACCCGAGTTCTGTCCGCGGTGCCGGACATCCTACGAGTCATTCTTTTTGCATTTTTGCGCTTCATGTGCAATTTCGGATTCATATCGCAATCAGCGTTGTCAAGGGACCAGCTTGACATATCTTGAAGTAATCCGGTGTAGTGTAGTTCTTTGTAACGCGTCCAACGGCACATATGGGTCCTCGCCTCTCGACAATGCTACCGTTCGTAATCCGCGTTCGATCTGCACTGCCGGACTTTACCGGAAACCCAGTTCTTTTCAGCACTTGTACTTGAGGGGCTGTTATGAATCTATTGTATGGGAGAAGAGAGAACAAGGGGTCAGTATTAGGAGATGACAGATAAGGAAAAGCCGCGGACTGAGAAAGTCTAGCGTTGATAGAGTGAACACCGGCAAAAGAGAATGTTTCGTAGAAAATATGTTTATATAGGTAGATTTTTAGAAATTCTCTATTGGAGTAGAAGCATGACAGTCAAAGAAATGGACTTTGTCCAGATTGCGGCAATATCCGACTATTTGTATACAGGCTCCAAATATCTGCCTGTTCATGAGTAGCAAATCCGAAATCAGTAGAAAATTAGTTTAGATTGTTGGTAATTAGGCCTCGTAGGTACCCCAGTCCGGCTGCTGGTAAGATCATCTAGACTTAGAGAGCCGCCAGCAGCGCTCCAACAGCCACGACCTTCACCACAATTTCTTCCGGCGCCATTGTCCTCGCCGCAAGCCCCTTCGACGACGTTGTCCGGGTATACAAAGGGCATGTAAAACACCGCGTCTCCGTATAGCTGATCCCCGGCGGTAGCGTGGTTGTCCCCACTTTCCCATCCATCGCCGTCGTGACGTTGAACACTGCAGTTCCCTGATCACATACCGCTGTGCTCCATGTACCGTTGTAGGGCCCGCTCATGAATATCCCAGGTCCCGAGCAACACAGCCCATGCATCATGTTTCCGGGACAGCCAGTCCATTGGGGGTTTTCGGACACGCAAGGCGCGAGAGGGAGAGAGTATACGAGGGTTCCATTAGGACAGGTGCATGTGCCGCCGGAGCAGTTGATGCCGTCGCTGCAGCAGTAGCCTTGCTGGGTGGCGTACCAGCCGGGGCATGGTAGTGGAGGAGTGACGGTCGGACTCTCGTCGCCGAAAGTCATTGTTGGTTGCCAGACAGAAGAGTATGATGGAGCAGTGGTACAGTAGTCTTGTGCGCGTGCAATCGTAAAATGGAGGGTGAGCGCGAAGAGGGGGTATTGGAGTATCATTTCGTTAATTGGGTTAAGAACGCGGTAGAGGCCTCCAGGGTTTTTATGAGGAGTATAAATATGTATAAGGCATTGTAATATGTTCAACGAGCTTTAGAGAAAGCTATTAACGATAGATGCCGAACGAAAGAGCGTGGATGAGGATGAAAGTAGTGGGAGCCGCCCTAGAGGCAGAACGAGGTCAGAGTCGCGTATCGGTCTGTGCGTTCATACCTAACCGCATCTTCATCTTCTATTTTATTTCTGGTCTTCTACCATTGACTTGCAGTTCTCCGGGTGATCGTGTGGAAATTGACACATGGTAGCCTGCATACTCTACCGTTTACTTCATTTACACGCTAAGTTATAGTAGGCTGCAGACCTATGACGCAGCACCTGCCCAATTCGTTACCGTCTATCTTACCATATGTTGACTTAAATCTTGAGTCCCTCCTTTGAGAGCTTTCAGGTAGATTGTAGACATCAAAGACGACTGCTAATACTCCATGACCTTCACGATGGCGACCGAAGTACCCTCCACAGACGAAGCTACACAAATCGATCAACTAGGCCCTTTGAGGAACTGGTCCAGGCCAGAGATGGACGACCCGGCCTACCAAACGCTACTGTCATACGTGAGCGGATCTTTGGCTCTCGACGATGCTATCAATGCATTGGCCGCACCCATCGAGCGCGCATACAGCGACCCTCCCCAGGCCAAAGAGGCGGCCGAACGCTCAGACAACGAAGTATCGGCAGAAGGCTTGCTCTGGGGTCTCTGGTACAGCGTTCTTCACACAGCGAAACGCAATTCATGGCGAAATGCTACCGCGCACGATCGGCTGCTGGCTCTTGTAAAGGGTTTGAAAGCACGGGCAGATCCACCTCGTCCAGATCCCATGCCGGAGAAGCTAGAAGGGAACTGGATCTGGGAATCTGGAGTGCTGTGGAGCGAGCTACTCATGATTGGGCCGGCAACAAGAGAGAGCTGGAATGATGTTCCTAGAGAAGATTATGAGGTATCGGTAGCAGAGATCTATGCGTGGACGAATGTGAATTCGTTTGTTGCGAGGCTTACGGCTGAAGGGATAGCTGATTTTGTCATCTATTCTGGATGGATGATCAAGATGATGCTGGAAGTTCTACAGCAAAAGAAAGGGAGGGTGCCTAAAGGGACGAGGCTGGATGCTGTTGTCCCGCCCGCAGCAGTTTGGATATTGCAAGCGGGAAGCACTGTGCGGGATCATGGAGCTAGTGAAAATAAAAAGCACAGCATCAAGTCAAGCTTCTATGAGGAAAGGTGGGTAAACGGAAAAAAGGCATTTGAAGAAGTACTGGAAAGGGATGACGTCTCAGAAGAAACGAAAGAGATTGCTCGCAAAGCCTTTGCAAAAGTGGAAGAGCTAGACCAAATTTAAGGTCCTCCTTTGCACATTACCGCAAGTTTTGCATCATCACTTTCGACTGTGGGAGTCTGGGAATCTATGTCATCGAACAACGTTGAAAATAGGGGATTTGGCTCGGAGATATTTTATATATTCTAACGAAACAAGACAACTAAAAATCTTCTACACAATCTCTTCTCAAGTATCCGAGTAAATTGATCTGTGTGCCCCTCTCTGTCACTGTCTGAGGTGGCTTGGTGTGTGATTACGACCTATCAAATCCAGAGACTTACATCTCGTCCATATTTCTGGACTGAGCTGAAGGACTTCAGACGGCGGCAGAACGGTGTACATAGATTAATACGCTCTCGTTCTGTACCGCATAAGGAATTGTATTTCCGCTACTTCACCCTCTATATCTACTGTAATCATTCTGCGTTAGTCAGATCGATAAGAATGGGCTATTGTTTTCTTCATTATATCGTAAATCATTAAATTAATGCTATGACATAGATGGAGCAGGGGACAAGTTATTTGGGCCACTGAAGTTCCCAATGAATACCACCAATATTGCGCAATAAGCAGCAGACGCGGCGAATAGCTCGTGTCGAGCCGCTTTCGTGAGCATTGACATCGCCGCAGAAAACAGGAGAGTAAATACAATGAGAACTCCTACTGCGTCTACAACTGATCTCGGGCTTGATGGGGTCGTAAGACGGTACATGGCCATGATGGGTAGAACGAGGAGTACGAAGATGACGAAGGTAATGAGTATTCCAACGAATTTGTCGACTCTTGAGGATGAGTAGAAGTTGATGTATTTGTTCTTGGTCTTTTCCTGGAGCTCGGGGGTCCGGAGCCAAGCTTGAAGGGGAGGCTCTTTAGTGCGAAGCAGCCGCTGCGAGTGTGAGCTTCGGTAAGGCCCTCAGAGCTCACGGATGACGTACCTTGAGAAAGCGATCGGTTTGCTGAAGCATTGACTCAACACCACCATCAAAGCTGGCCCATTCTCTTCCGTCACGGAGGCTGATGATGTCTTCCTTGCTACGTATAGAGTCCATCTCTGAGTCCATTAGGGGCTTCGTGTTGTGGTGATAGCGTCGCACGCTACGGTAGTTCCGGTCAGAGGGACGCTGAAAAGATTCCAGAGTTCTTGCTTTGATCAACACCTCATCTAGCACATGTTTAGTAATGAGTCATGTATCACGATGACTACGCTTACCATATTCCATTAGTTTTGTGCGAATTTCACCCAAGATCGTTCGCCTATTTCTCCTGTCTGGGTCGTCTCTGCTCGCCTTTGCGACATCTATCTCTCGTGATTGTAGGCGGTCGGGGTCGCTATCAAAGTCATCCCAGTCAAGGTCATCAAGCTCCTTTTCGAGACACGTGATCTCGTCTTGTAGGTCGAGGAGGACTACATTTGATTATTAAAACCTCCTTTGAAAGAAATAATACGGTCGACGTACCCCTGCTGTGTAGGTAGGAGAAGCTTCGATAAAGAGCGAAGTTGGCCTCGCTGGACTGAAAGGCTGCCAAGCGCGGGAATCCATTGGGCGTGTTCTCTACTGTTGGGCTTCAGTGTATGCCAGGCAGTCAGCCCTGCGCGTGGCTTACATATTCGTGTATTCGTTTCTGTAACGTCCTCAGGTTCTGGCTCTCCTTTGAAAGGGCCGGTCAGTTTTCTCATGAATGTCTTCTTCTCCCTTTCTGTGATAGTGTTAGCTTCTATATAGCGAGCGGCCTCTCAATATGATAGGGAAGCCAGAACAGGAAGTTCTAACCAGGCAGTGGAGTTTCGTTGATAGAACTAGTATTGGCAACAGAAGGGGTTCTCGAGGTTCTTGAGGAGCGATCGCCCTCTTGGATATCAATTATAGCATCTCCTCGCATCGTATCTCCGGTCATGATAGTATCAGTGGGTGAAGTTGGGGATTGAGAGTCAAATGGGCGTTTCTCCGGGACGAAGGTATCGCCAGTCATTGATCGGGAGGGGGCCATATTGCGGCTAGCACGGTCGCAATGACAACTAAAACAACGGGAAATACAAGCAAAACTTTTGGTAGCAACTTCTGGCGCAGAAGAGGCCAATTCAGTATCTTAAGCAGCGGGTGGGGGATGTCACATCCATCATCGGGGCTCAGCTCTGCATGGATCTGACCGCCTCTCGGATCCAATTACACCGGTCTCACGCCTCGTTGTGGCTGCCTATAAAACGAAATCCGCCGCGCAAAAGGTGGCACAGGTGGCGCAGCAATTTTGGTCCCCGAGGCTCGCTCACCTCTGCCTGCTCTCTGCCTTTAGATCCCTCTCACGCACCCAAGCTCCGCTGTTGTACAGAGCGCCTGATGAGTCCTTCAGTTGGTACTCCCAATAAGACCGGGACCAGTTGACCTGGCTCTTGTACACGGTGAAGTTCTTCTTCATCCTTACGCCTTGGGCAATAACCTACAACGTCTATTAGTGGCGTGACCAGGGCATGAAGACTGGCTGTGGATAATACCATCATGTGCACGGGATCATGTTTCGAGAATTTCCTGGATTGCTGGTAAGAGTCAGTGTTTGCCTCTGACTGTCTCGCAAAATGCATCTTACGTCTGGAGCGTTGGGGTCAAGCGCAACATCCGACTTCTCATCAGGAATGGTCTCTCCTGGGGACGTGAGGTCTTCCGTAATGCTTTGCGAGTCATCGACTTGATTTGGCTGGGCCGCTGACGCCTCATCCTTTGCCGCTTGGGGGTAGGCGGGGCCCGCCTCTTGCTCGTGTGCTTGCATATTCTATTGCAGATAGGTGGGCGATGTTCTCAAGAAAGGCGTTGCGTGAGTGATAGCCTTGCAGAAATTTGCGAGGCTAGGAGAGTTCGAGCTGCCGTCTCTTTAAAAGCAGGGCAACTTGTTGACGGCCTCCTAGCACAGCTGCCTTGACTCTTGAACGGGATGCTCGCAAATGGAGATGGATTTGCACAGCCGCGTCTGACAGCCTGGTGACCGGCTGTGGCACAAGGCTTGGGGCCGTTCCCGCCCGCCAGGCCGTACGCGTGGCAGGCTCCGTGGAACATATAGTGACTTGAAGCTTCTTATCCTTGAGGTACACATTGTTTCGGTGCTTGTGTACGCTGGTTTAGCGCCGCTTGAGGTCCTCCGACATGTTATTGTTATGCGTAAAATGCCAGCTCTGGCAAGCCTGATAGCTCTCTGAGCCACCTCAGACGGTGTTGAATTGCCCTTTCCTGTTCAGCGGAGAGCAGGATCCATCTCGCATTGGTCGTCTGGTGGGCTAGCGGCTACATGAGGTGTTCTGTTCTAGGAATTTAGTCTCGCAAGTGGCTGAGGCGATGAGCGTCCTCGAAGTTTGAATAGTTCAAAGACAGCATTATCGAACTGTCTGCGGCTGATACACTTGTAAAACAACTCGAGGTTCCCTCACAGGTGGTCACAGCCCCCTGGCGTCTGCTGGGTTCGAAATTGGGGGCTGACGGGTGTTTGGGGGCCAATACTTCAGGTGCGGCTTTGGCCTCGCCTTTAAGGCTGCGCGATGCCTCTGACCAATGCCCCTCTCATTGCCTGTTCTGCCTCGCCATGGAGCCCGAATCATCCCCAACCGAACCATTTCCCCTTGGAAACCGGGTGATTCACGCCAACATACAATCCGTCGAGCCTGAAGGACCCAGCACCAACGACGACGGTTCCCCCGCAAACTCCCAGAACTTCCTGTCTAATGAGCAGAAGAAGGCGCGGAATGCATCCTCCGAGATGCAACTCTGGTGGGATGAAGCCATAGCAAAGAACATGAATCTTCCGGCCTATTATCGGAATGTTTCTGTCCTGATAATCAAGTGGAGCGACGAGCTGGACGAGTTAAAGACAGGTGCAGAGGTACCCATTCGCGGCCTAGCTATGCATGCATCATTGGCTGACATACGGTCAAGGTTATCGAGCTCGACACCCTTTTTCGCGACTCCTTCCATTACAAAACGCGCATCGTAGAACTGAACGTGCGGAAGAAGCCTCAACATCAGCTCAACCGTCATATCAGCGCCTTCGTCGAGGAGAGCGATGGCCCGGATAATCTCATGATTGTATATTATACGGGCCACGGCGTATACAGAGAACACGGGAAATACCTGGAGCTGACGGCTACTACGAATCTAAGCGTGAAAAGAGGACTTAATATCGCCGCGCAGGCCAATTGGGATAAGGCTGAAGAAGCTCTTCGCGACGAAAATGTTGATGGAGATGTTCTCACCATCCTCGATACCTGCTTCTCTAGCAATCTAACCAAGTCAGCGAAAGAGGACACAAGGACATATGAGCTGCTCAGCGCCTGCGGATTGGATGGGACAACGGCGAGTCCCGGCGAGAACTCTTTCACACGAGCTCTGATAGACTCTATGAAAGAGCTTCTGGTGGAGTTCCCAGATCGATCCTTCACGACCTTTCACCTAACCCAACGAATCAATCTACACCCGAACCGCCGAGACACTCTCTCTGTCTTATGGAATAGGCTGAGGCATCATGAGCGCCACATCCGTCTCTGCCCGCTCAAACCAGAAAGCGACCAGACACGCAAACGTCGGCCACCTCCTGGCGGTTACCTCACGTTGAGGTTTGCTATACGCGACGAGAAGCTCAATTGCGAGCAAATTCAGCTGCTAACACGACACCTCTCAGAAGCTTTCAACAACAAAGCTATGATTGGGGTGCGTAGTATCGATTGGATGGGCATAAAACCAGCCCGAGTGCGGCACTTCAGGCGCGCTGCGCTGGCCCTCCAAGCTTGCCAACAATGGAAGAATATCGTTAGACGGAAACGGCTTCACAGGATGCAACAGCACCCAACACCTGAATCTGACAGCAGCTTCCTGGGGCCAAATCGGAAACGAACGCGAGATGACATGTCCGTTGAGCCGGTTGACGAACGGGAGTCGAAAAGAGACAAGCTTTCTCACTACCCAAGGGGGAAATGCCCTATGATCAGTCCTTTGACTCCACCGTCATAATCCTGTTACCGAGTACTTTTTTTGTTCCATTTCATTTCTCTCTTAAGTCCTCTCCGTTCTCTTCTAGATACCCGTAGTCGCCGCTACACCTTTAATTCGTTGGCAATATTGAGTTACTTTTCTTCCACAACGAGCATATTCAAAGCGCTTGCGTGCAGTGCGATATCATAGATATCCGCACACTGTTCTGTCACCGCTTGTGGTGCGTCGAGGTATTTTCAGAAACCGAGGGCGACAGATCACATTTCCAATCTATGTACACTCCTTTGCCGCTGCCTGGGGCAGCCTGACGAGTTTACCAGTTCAAAAGGCGGGACTTCCGTCTGAACCAATATTCTGAAAATACCACGAGGCACGACAAGCGGTGGCCGAACAGTGTGCGGATATCTATGACGAGACGCAGTAGCTATACAATAGGGAAGGTGCCATCTCTCAATTTCTCATCTGTTGACTTTTGAAAATGTTTAATCTCGAGATGCAAAGTATCATTGTCCTTTGTATGGTGGAGCCTTTGAACATTGGATCGGATTCAGCGCAAGAACACATCAGCGACATCACAAATATTACCCTTTTCAATAGCCTACGGTCTTCATTTCTATGCAAACGACTAATCATGAACACAAACACGAACACAAACTCTAGCTTAAGCCACTCCACCACCGTCCGAGGTTCTTAAATACACTATCGCACGTCTGAGCAAGACGTGCGCGTATCATCATGTCCAACTACTGACCTCGCCGAGGCACCTCAAATAGCGCTACGCCAGTGTACTAGATCCCTTCTGATGTCATGAATACTGTGTTTGGTATCTTAGCTTCGACTTAGTTCGAGAATGAGATCAGATTATGGATGTACCCTCTGGACAATTGCTGTACAGTATATCCCATTATACCACCGTCTGAAGTCCCTCGATCGGTGATCATAGAACGGGACGAAACAGAAGCTCATGCTTTTGACTGACTGCTAAGCTCGTTGAGGCCCCTCTAATAGCATCAAGCAAGTGTACAGTAGCCTTAACCGCACTCATGAGCCCCTTCAAACCTATATGCCCGGATGCCAAGCGGCTGAAACCTCCCTCTAACTTCTCAACTAGTCTGAGATCGCATATCAATGAAACACATCAAGCAATGGATGCAGACCTCCGTACCCACACCCGTACTAATGTATACCCCGTTTTACCACCGTCCGAAGTCCCTTGATATGCTCTCGATGTTTTGAAAGAGATGTGAGGATATCATCCATGCGGGGCATGGAAAAAGCGGCACATTAATTCTAGAATAAGTTGTCTCGTGTGTACACCTGTCTGCTACTGCTTGGATTGCTTCAATACTTTTTCAGGGATCTAAAAAGAAAATAGATGCTCTTCGCCTTTGGGCTATGTACAAATTTGTTAAGCACTCCATGCAGTGGCAGGTGTACACACGGGCAGAGTACTTGATGACATTAGCGAGACCACACTTGAACGCTCGTCATACCTGAGAATCTGGATATCCCACCTTCCCGTCCTAGAAGCTCAATATGGGTGGCGCGTCTTATCAGGAATCCTCCGCACTCACGTGCTGTGTTATAGCTGTGTACACCACTAGGCAAGTGATTGGGGTAATAAAGCGTCTGAAGGACTATATCGCACAGGTTGAGCGGGTGTCATCTATTGATGTATGACGCTACTGCGGGTACTAGATACCAGGAACGTAGTGATGGGTATTCTTAATTAGAATCTAAGGTAATCAACATGCATGGTCCCTCCCCATATGCCTTTAGTCAGGTACTCCAAACACCGTAACGAAATGCGACCAGACGACGCCCTGTCCAGATGCCCCATGCATCATTATGACAGCAGCGACGACCCATGCGAGTAAGTAGACCGAACTCAATAGACGGTCAAACACCCCACAGCTCCGTTCTTCAGCACCTCGAAGATCATACCCGGGAAACCGAAAAGCTCCACGTTCCCCACACTACCGTCTGCGGCATCTGTGTTCACGGAAGACGCATTCGCGAACTTCTTCTTCATCCCAGATGCATCTTCCCAGCCACCGAGAAGTTCACAACTACTCCCCGGACTATCACCCCAGCCTCGGTTTAACGCCATCCCACGTTGCTGTAGTCGCTCTTCCTCTTCACTTTCGTAGTACGATTTGAAGACCTCTCTCAGCCGCCCTGAAATATCTGCAAAACGCATCTCTGAGTTAAGAGGGTCTTTGTACTGTCCCGATGGGACATGCTCTAACGTCCATCGGCTCCGGCGGTGGCGGTTGAATTGGTAGGAGCCTGGGATGTTACCGTGGAAGATAATCTTGGTGGCCGTTAGGTGATTCAAGGGCTGAACGCTAAGTGCGCCCTCTTCGTTCTCGTCAAGTTCCCGACGTTCTGATGTAGGCGATGCCGGCGAGATCTGCGTAGGTTGCGAGATCAGAATGTCGAATCCGTGATGGTAGTAGTTGTAGAAGTGTTCTGCGGCGGCCACCTCTCGCTCGTTAGCCTCAGCAACCATATCGTCGTCGTCCTCCCATTCATCCTCATTATCAGTGCCGACTATTGAGCCGTGATCGGAGTCCAAGCCATCATCGTGTCCATCACGTGAAATACCCCCGGATGAGTTCTCTGATGCGTCACTCGCCCGCCTTTCTTTGTGAATGGACAACCTGTGGTCGTTCTTCCGGTAGATTGAGTCAGGTGCGCCAAGTTCCATGATAAGGTCCTGAGGCGTTGTTTCGCTTAAGATGAGCCAGAAAGATGAGCTAGAACGTCGAACCAGTTCTATCCTGCCTTCGCCATGTATTCTCGCAATTTCAACTTCGTCCGGACCACCATCCTTGCCCTTCCCTGCAAGAGTAAGAGATCTTGGGTTGGGTGGAATCGCTGTGAACAGGGTTCCGCGTGCCTTTTGCCAGGATTCTCCGCTGAAAACCGCCATAGAAGTCGCAGGCCCAGTCGCCGAGGACGAGAGTAATGAGATAAAGTCTTTCTTGGGCGAAAAGGCAGAGTGCTGCACTGGAAAGTTGAAGGCAATTCCCGGATATGAAAGGTTGTATATCCCTCGCGCCTCTCCCTCGTCCTTCGGCGGGAGGTATTCACCGCCGTAGGTAGGTCCCAACAGCTTGTCATAGATATGCCTAAACCTTGGGCCCGCGGGTCCTGACATAACCCCACCAGCTCCGTCCGGCGCTTTGAACACCTCTACGTCCTTATATACTAGCTTGGCCTTCACAAAATCTCGGATTTCGATAAGTCTGAGTCGTTGATCGGGTCCATCAAACTGGAGGCGCAGCCCATTCTCAGGGAGAACGAGGTGGATCGGCGTGATGATGGGTTGGTCGAGGTCGTGGTATAGTTCGAATTTCGGGAAAGCTTTCACTTCGGTTTTGATGGTGGTGAGAGTTTCATGAAGCGAGCATCCCAGGGCTGTTCTTAGCAGTTATTAGCAAATGGAAGCTTGAACGAGGGTGTGGTGCGGTATCGGAGCTGTGAACGTACTCATAAAGCCCACTGAGCGGCCAGGAACCACTTGCATCGTGGTATTATCTACGTTGTCCATATCTCACCCGAATGCGGAGTGGTCCTTGGGGGTGTTGGGTGTATAGTGAGGGCCGGAGTTGGTACTGTATCCTCGTGCAGCGTTCACGAGGCAGGTGAGACAACAAACGTGGAGTCATAGGGGCCACAGCTTAGAACATGATGTGGTGCAAAGCGAAAAGGGTCAAAGGGCTATAGTCGACCACCTAGATTCTTCTATAGAGCTTTGTAGTCGGTGCCTTGGGATCTTCGGTAGCTTTAAGGCGGGGAGATTGGTAGTTGAGCAGGAATGTGCGAACGTTTGGCTGGAGGTTTGAGCTGTTACCACGAGGCGACTAGGTCAAAGAGCGTGCTTGCCACTGTCTATGTGAATCAGTGAGTTATTGGATACTTGAAGGCTCCAGAGTGAATGAGGCACGAGGGTGAAAGATGTCCAGAAGACAGACGGTGGAGCGGGCACGTGATGGCGATAAGATAAGGAAGGAGCCCTGTCTGCTTGGCGCGGTTCCCTGTTGACCAAAACAAACCGGGGCTGGCATGTTTACAGCGTCAACTCTCCACGAGCATTGCTAACCACACAGCACCACCCCCATATTCAACCTTGAATATGTCCGGTCTTCCTCGGGGCGTCCATCCACCCAAGAAGGTTCCCACAATGCGCCCCAGCACTCGCCCTCCACTGAACATGCGCGGTCGCTCTGGCACACCTGCACTGAACGGTCGAGCCTCACCTACCGATTCCGTCGCATCTTTTGCAACCAACGCTTCACGAGCCCGATCGCCAGCAACATCGCAGGTTGGAGGAAAAAGGAAAGAAAGAGATTTTGAGAATGACGGCGGCGAAGAGACGAATATCAATGTTGTTGTCCGGTGTCGAGGCCGTAATGATCGCGAGGTCCGCGAGAATAGTGGCGTCGTGGTATCGACAGATGGAATCAAGGGAAAGACCGTCGGCCTTTCCATGGGCCCCAGTGCACTGAGTAACAAGACGTACTCCTTCGACAAGGTGTTTTCGCCCGCTGCAGATCAGGGCATTATCTTCGATGAAGTAGTTGCGCCTATACTTGATGAGGTATGCACATAAGATTGCACTCTGAGAGCAAGCTAACAGTCTTCCCAGGTACTAAGTGGCTTTAATTGTACTATCTTTGCGTATGGCCAAACTGGAACTGGCAAAACATATACCATGTCCGGCGACATTTCCGACATGCTTCCTCAGCCAGATGCGGCTGGCATCATCCCGCGAGCTCTGTATTCTTTATTCAACAAACTCGAAAGTGAAGACTCAGAGCATTCAGTGAAGTGTTCCTTCATCGAATTGTATAATGAAGAACTTCGGGATCTCCTCTCGCCAGACGACGGTGTCAAGCTAAAAATTTACGAAGACAACAGCAAGAAGGGTCACAGCTCCACGATGGTCCAGGGCGTGGAAGAATCGCACATCAAGTCCGCCGCCAAAGGAATTCAACTTCTACGCGAAGGAAGTCACAAGCGCCAAGTTGCAGCGACGAAATGCAATGACCTAAGTTCCCGAAGTCACACCGTTTTCACAGTCACAATCTACATCAAGCGAACAAGCGACACTGGAGAAGATTTCATTAGCGCCGGAAAACTCAACCTGGTCGATTTGGCTGGCAGTGAGAACATCCAACGCAGTGGAGCCGAGAACAAGCGCGCCGCAGAAGCAGGTCTCATAAACAAGAGCTTGTTAACCCTAGGCCGTGTTATCAATGCCCTGGTCGAACGAGGATCCCATATTCCGTATCGAGAATCCAAGTTGACGCGTCTTTTACAAGACTCCTTAGGCGGACGAACTAAGACGTGTATCATCGCCACATTATCACCAGCGAAGAGTAATCTTGAGGAGACGATTTCCACTCTGGATTATGCATTCCGAGCGAAGAACATCCGAAACAAGCCACAAATCAATCAGATGGTCTCGAAGAAAACCCTTCTTAGAGAGTTCACAGGCGAGATCGAGAAGTTGAAGAGCGAGCTCATAGCAACCCGTCAACGTAATGGTGTCTATCTTACTCAAGAGTCGTATGAAGAAATCATGACTGAAAGCGAGTCGAGAAGAATTCTTAGCGAGGAGCAGCGCGACAAGATTGAGACTATGGAAGTGAACCTTCGAAACAAGGTTCAGGAGCTGTTCTCTCTTACAAGCAGCTTCAACAGCATGAAGAAGGATAACGACGCGACGAAATTAGTTCTGGAGGGCACGAAGAGTCTGCTGGAGAAGACCGAAGTAGTTCTGGCACATACCCGACAGAATCTGGCTGACGAAACTACGATGAGGAGAGCCCATGAGAAGACAGAGGAGGAACTGGTTACCATTGGCCACGACTTGATATCTGCCCTAGGGAAGACGACGACTGATATTGGTGGGCTGCACTCCAAGCTGCGCCGTAGATCCGATCTCCAATCCGAAAACCGGAAGCACTGGACTTCGACGCAGTCCGAAGTTTCGGAAACGACACTTGTCGTGGAGAACCGCATTGCTGAGTTCCAAGCTCAGCAAGACCAGTTGATGCAAACTTTAGCATTTCGGATGCAAGGATTTGTTCAGGATGAGCTGTTGAAACTCGGAACTTCACAAGCGTTTCTACAGGAGAAGGTGAAGTCCTTCGAGTCTTCCAAAACGGAGGTGAATGAACAAACTGCCAAGGCCAGAGATGATATGAACGAAGTGCTGGAAGAGATCAAGACGCTACGAGAAGATGTCAAAGAGAAGGTTGGAGCTGGTCTCGATGACCTATCAGCTGCTGCTCAAAAGATTTCTGCGGGAATTGTGACGGAGCTGGACGCATTCCATACCCAGGTAATTATGACTCGTGCGATACGAAACAGAGTCTAAACATATTACTAATGCTCTCATAGCTACACTCGTCATATATTGGACTCGGCCGCGATTTTAAGGATACCTTCACGGACCTGATCAAGCACCTCCATGAACAACAAGCGGAGGCAGATCAACTCCGACAACAAATTGTGCAGGCAGATACGGCTCTTTTGGCGGCCAACACATCTGCGCAAGGTCGACTGTCGCAAATAATAGAAGAAGAGAAGCTCAAGGCTGCAGAGGAGCGGCAAAACCTTCTGACGCAGATGACATCCCTAATAAACTCGACAGCGGAGGCACAAGAAAGTCGATTCGCTGGCAAGATGCTTAATGTCAACGAAAGCATCGATTCTTCGCATGCCGCTTATCACATCACACACAATGCTTATAACCAGGGCATGGACAATTGGGTAGGGAAGTCGAAAGATATCATTGGTGGCGTAACGAAATCAAGAGACAACGTGAAGGCGAAGATCAAGGCCGACTTTTCCGTAAGTAGAAGATATTCTGCGATTCACAGTTCTAAGCTAATTAGTTCAGGCCGCAAACGACCACACGACCTCACTTCGTAACACCACGACGTCCGTTCATGATAGTACAGTGGAGATTGTTTCTGCTCAGAAAGCACACATGGATACTCAACTCCATTCCCTGGACGAGATCGTGTCACGAGTCCGCGCCCAGAACAATTCTCATCACGCCGCTCACACCTCCTCGTTGGGCTCGTTGGCCGCCAATGTGCAGTCATCTTACTCCAGCATCGACGAGCACTTTTCGACTTCATTCGACCGCGTTAAAGAGCTCGACACCGACATGGCATCTCACACATCCGCCCTCCAATCTATGCTCCCACAACTTGCCTCCGACGCAGAAATACGCGCACCACTGCGAGACCTCCGTGCAGGAATCGAAGACCAGACCTTGTTTGAGTACGTTCCTACCGGAGAGACTCCCCAACGCATGCAGTACGCGTTTCCTTCTACACTACCTAGGACTGAACCACATGACTCGTTGTTGTCGCGTCTCCGTGGCCGCCCGGAGTCAGGGTCAGACTCAAACCGTAGCCCGACTAAGGGAATGGTTTTTAACGACCCTGTCTCTTCGCCTACAGAACTCATTGGATCAAATCTTTTTGCCGCGTCTACAAACATTCGACCTTCCAGTGCTACGAGTGCGGGCACAGCACCGAGTCTTCGGGAACTGGACGTGAATATTGTTACGGGCGACCTTTCAACCTCCGCTTCGGCATCAACCCTTGCGACTCCCTCCGAGCTTGACAAAGTTTCCATGCCCCCGCTCAAGCGGCAGAATACGAATGCAGGAGTAATTGATGGCGGCATTAGCAAGCTGCCTATGAAGTCAATGAACAAGAAGGGCACGCGGAAGACGGTGGCGGGTGCAGGTATGGGCCCGGGTGTCGGTGATAGGGAGAACCTGCCCGTGGTCAACTTCAGTGCAAGCGTAGGGCCTGGAAGGAGGAGGCTCAGAAGTCACGAGAACTGATAGATTGGCGTAGGTTTGGAGCGGTGGAGGGCGTTGGTGGTTGTGGCGGTAATTAATAATTGCATGTTTGGCGGTTCTATAAGGTTGCTGATCGACCAAGGGCTTGATACCCGGTTGGCTTGCGTTGTATGGGATCCTTTTTGTAGAAGACTGGAGTCTATCCGCCTTCCTGGTTGGCGTTTCTCATGGCGTGGTGTAGATACTTCTGGAGATTAATTCATTGGAGTGGACTTCTATCTGGCTGCGTATTGCACCCTGAAATGTGGCTATGCTGTGATTGTCCTAGCGTGACTTGTGCACCCGGCATCTCAAAGTCAACGTCCGACGTTGGTTTGCATCACCATCAGCTATTTGAAGCCCCATCTTCAATGTTGAGAGGCCTTTTGATTTAGCGACAACATTTTACGTTAATTTTTCATTGCTCACAGACCGTAATGGCGATGAAAGCGGCTTCTTTCCTTGGTCTCCCAGTCGAGCTGCGGCTCGCTATCTACACCCTCGTATTCAATCGATTTGACGCAGGCCACAGCCGGAACATTCTTCTAGTAAGCCATCAGATCCGTTCAGAAGCATTTCCGGTATACTTCGAATGGACGCGATACTTCGGAAGCTTTGAACGTCTGATTGAATGGACTGCGGCGGGAAACCCGAACCTGCTTGAGCATGTCAAAGATGTCTCAATTCAGATCCTGCATGATCGTTGGCTTAGCTTTCGACATGCAGCTAGTCAAGCATCTGAGAAAGAAGGCCTTGAAGATGTGGCCTCCAATACTGCGGCTTGGTGGAGTAAGCAACTTGGAGAACTCGGGGATCCTCTGCCATACGAACGCCGAGAAGACATGGCACCAAGAGAGAACAAAATCCTCCGTCAGGCCCGCCAATTTGGCAAAATGCTATTTCCCAAGACAAAGCCTCCGCCCGACGAAGACCTGATCGAAGAAATATGGACAGCTTTAGTCCGTATGCCGAACGTGCGTTATTGCTGGGTTAATCTCGCACATCGGGATGTTAGAATGGACCCTTTAACCCGAATTTTCCTGGAGATGATATCAAACGCATTTCCTAGGATGTCTACGTTCTCATTCTTCTCGCATCTCCATGACATTGAGTTTCTGCGCAATTTCCAACACCTTCGCTTTCTCCGTTTCACAGGCCGCAGTACCAGCACACCGGACGAGCTCCTTGAGATTTTTCTTAGTCTTAAATCACTAGATAGCCTAAGCCTGTATCGCTATCCGGAGACTTACGATCATGACCACGGTATCCGTCCAGACGGGGTCTTGTCCTTGACCGAATCTGTCGTCGCACGCATGCGACCGTTGACGAGCCTTGAGATATCCCACATGAGTAGTAGGCTACCTTCAGCTTTTCTCACGCTTCCAATGCTTGAGGCCTGGAAAGCCCATCTGCCATCTCTTCGTGTGCTCAAGATTGGGACCGATGAGCGACTTGGTGCGACGGTCATCACAGAACTGCTTGATGTGATTGCGCAATCCCGCCTTACAAAACTACAAATACGCTCGCAGGGCGACAAAAAGCCGCTCGACATCTCAAGCTATCTTCCAAGCTCTTTAAAGCAATGTGATGCTGCACTTAAGTGCGACGAGTTCAAAGGCATAGGCTCTCTAGGTATGTACCCGCTACGACAGTGGATCTCTAATGCTCGAGTTGTTACGAGATGAAGGCGCCGACTTGAAAACTGCTTTCCACAATGACCTAGCTACGAACACAGCTGACATGGAGTGCGTAGGTGGCGGTCAGTTCCATAATCACACCTTCACTGAGATTGAGCTTCAGGATCCGCAGTTTCAGGGTATCTTGGAAGACTCTTTTTCGACGCAACTTTTGCATTGAGAGCAGGATCAGATTTGCGGCCTCCGGAACGTGACATCCACCTCTTCGAGCCTCTCATACCTCCTGGGGTGTCTTCCCACGCTATCTGAACCCCCAAAACGCACATGGAAGACGACACGATCGTAGAGCGTGCCCAAACTTGTAACCAACTACTGTACACACAAGGATTGTGTACACTTGTTCAGCACCGTTTGAGGTCCTCTGGCATGTTATTCAAAATGGTAAAACGATAGTTTTGACGAGGCTCATAGCTCTCTGGGCCACCTCAGACGGCGTCATCAGGGTCACAAAGTGTTCCGAACAGTGAGGTCATCTGAGTGTCTCGGCGTCCACGGGTCTTTTGGACTGCCAAGACACACTGCCAAGACAAAAACATAAAACCCCCGGCCAAGATGAAAGTTCTTCTTCTTCCTTTCACCAACCAGCCATAGGCCAGAAAAGGCAAATAAGCAGGTAAGACTCCATTCACTTCCTCTCCCATCAAAAGCAGGGCCTCTGGCTAGCCTTCCCCTCTAGCACTCGTCGCTCCGCCTGCTTGTTCGTCCACTACTGACCGCTCCTACTGTCATAGGCTGACCTGACCACCCCTAGTATGGCCACTAAGCGCAAGACGAAGAGTCCGAAGTCCGGCAATGAGCCCAAAAAGCGCCGAGAGTCTGCCCAGTCTACGCGTACTACCCGAGCAGCGGCAAAGGCTGAGCTTGAACCCCAGGCCGACCCTACGTCTGATAGCGAAGCCGAATTAGGGGTAAGTTCCTTTTTTCTTGGCTTCAACATGTATCACAATTGACAGTGTCCCCCCGATCGAGCAACACGTGGAAAACTCCGCCAACCGCGCATCCAACAACGAAACCGCTGAGGCCTCCGCCACTCAGGCTGCCCCTCAGGTTGAGCAGCACGTTTTGGAAGACAACCGCACATCCGCCACCGAAACCGCTGAGGCCTCCGCCATCCAGGCCACATCCCACATTGAACAGCTTCGATCTCAAGTGGCTGATTACGAGCGACAAGTTAAGGCTGCATACTCAACAAGCCGCCTTGCTCGACCAAAGATCGACTGGCAGGGCCATCTTGCTGGGTGGGCTGCTCAGTCTGCAGCCATCGCCAACAGCATCAACCCCGACCTCAGCGTTGTCAATTTTCCAACCGTTCTAGACACTGAATTGGCCAGCTGGCGGGCTTTCATGGATATGGGTGGAGATATCACCTTGCTGGAGCACATGGACTTCATGCTTTCGGTCTTATGGTGGCATCAGAGCTCACAGCGCGGCTTAGACGGGACTGTACCTTTCCGTATCAAGTTCTTCCCAGCACAGCTCGCCGGCCTGAGCGAGAAGAAGGCGGGGCTGCTTCTACACTGGCTGGAGCTCCAGAAGAACCGCACAGCGTGGCTGGCCAAAAAGAAGAACTATGGCCTGTGGGAGAGCCAGGAGTGGTATGTAGCTGCGTTTGGTGAGCGTGTTCCCTGAGCTGGGACGGCATCGGTAGTTGTGAAGGCCAAAGGAGTTCATTCGGAAATGGACAACAGTTTGCAGAGTAGTTGAATAACACTTCTCTCCTTAAATGCGCTTTCTATGAATGAGGAATCTGTGAAGTCGTGGTGAATTAATTATTCCATTGCGATATACAATGCCTCATCATAGAAATCCGTACACCCGCTTGCCGCTGCATGAGGAGTTTCAAAGTGTTTTCAGCATTCATAATCAGAGAGAAATGCGGCATTTTGGACAACTAGAAAAATTCGCGAGGCTACCCCAGACAGCGTCAACAGGGTGTACGCAGATTGGAAGTGTATCCGCTGCCAATAGACAGTGGCAGGAAAGGGCACGGGATATCTATGGCAAGGCATTATAAAAAAGGGCTCTATTAAAGAAAGAGAACGCTATTCATGAGCCCTCCAGTCTTATCACCAGCAACTCTTCAGCGATATGGCATGTTCTTTGCCCTAGAGGTCAGCGTACCCAACTTTGACGTCCCTTACCAGGCCGATTGGGTCCTTTAGGTCTACCCATCCGCAATAAGGACTCGACACGGAGTATCCGATCATCCTTTGAATATTTTCCGGCATCTTCTTCACTTCCTCGATCGGATTCGCTAGGAACTGGTTCTCCTCCTGCACAGACTTATTAGCATGCCCAGCCCTGGAGGGTAGCATGGCGAGCAACGTACCTGGCGGAGATACCCACGACACATGAATGAGCCGAACAGCATTCGCGTTTGATCGGTCGTGTTGGCCGAGCCTTCATAATAGATGTTAGTACGAGTACGCAGTCTGGAAGATGCAGGATAGAGCGGCGAACCTCCATGAAAGCAGCTTGCGAGCATCAGAAATGCATCACCGGGCTCCATCACCGCGTAGACAGTTTTGCTCTCGTCTCCTGGCCCTTCGGACGAGTTATCCAGATGCGAGCCGGGAATGAACCGTGTTGCTCCGTTAGCGACGGTGGTTTCGGTTGCAGCGAGAAAGATGCCCAGCGCGGTGTCGCGATCCATCGTGTATTGATCAGCGGTGATCTTTGGAAGCTTCGTGTGATGCAGGGAGTCGTCGCGGTGGAGGCTTTGGGCTCGCGCACCTGGCCCAATGGCAAGAACCGTGGTCGAGTTTAGCTGTGGCAGCGAGACGTGATGCTCCTCTTTGTCTCCAATCCAAGTGCTCGTTCTTGTGGTCAGGAACTGATTGCTGGTCTCAACGAAGAGGGGATGTCCGAGCACCTTTTCTGTATACGAGGGTGATTTCGATGGTAGTCCATTGACTCCTACTGGCTGTCAGCCGCTTTCTATTATCACATCACGTCGGTGGACCTACGGCGCGTCTCTGGGGGGAAGAAATCGCCTTCCCAGGGCACATCGGCTTCGAGATACGGCTTTACCTCCTTTACCATCGTATCGAGGCTCTTGCGGTCCACCAGTCCACGAAGGAAGCAGCCGCCATTTCTAGCAATTGATCGCACGATCTTGTCAGCCGAAGCAGTGCTCGCATCAAAACTGTCGACTGTGAAGCCACCGGTTGGCTTTGGGTCTTCAATGGCTGAAGGCATCTCAAATAGGTGTAAATAAGCAGGAGTAAACAAGACTAGGTCGCAATGTCACCATATATGCTCGCGGGATAGTTACTTGGATATGTCAGGAGTCAATCAAAGTGAGCGAGTCTTATAGACGACTTTCTTCGTGATGTAGCTACCCGGCTCTGGCTTGCATATCTATGTGATTGGTGCTCGTGGTCGCCTGCCCGAAAGGGCCGACATATGTGGCGAACTTGTTTTAGAGCCGATTTATTTTAGGAAGTGTATTAGCGTGTGACGGCGCTCTCCATTTTGGCCTTCGGCAAGCAACAACGAGATGGCGTGAGCAACCAAGCTCCACGAAAGCTTAAGTCGAGGGAAATTGAGAGCGATCTGTCCGTAAGGTCCCTCGTTAGGGCAAGGAAAGATAGAAGTAGTGAACATAGACCGCCAATAAGGATTTCCCTTTGATTTCAGTTTGTCATCATAGATATGCTTACTGGGGATGTAGTCTGTTCATATTTTTGCGCCCAAATATGTTCTCTGACTTTTCAATCATTTATCTAAGACCCCCAGATAATCGTTGGCTCTCTGTACGGTTCTTTAACTTGTTTTTCCATCATCCTATCTTTCTGTCTCAAGAGTCAAACCATGAAGATTGCAATTGCCGGCGCTGGGGACCTTGCACGTTACTCCGTGGAAGAGTTTCTAAATGACAGGCATGAGGTCGTGGTGCTGTCACGCAGCCAGAAGCCCCGGTTCCAGCGCGAGAATGTCACATTTCGCATAACAGACTACTCGGTACCATCTCTGACCAAAGCGATTGACGACTGTGAGGGACTCTTATCTGCGATTTTAGACTATTCAATGGCCAGCGCCACGGTCCATCTCGCCCTGCTCGAAGCTTGCAGGAATTCCGCCAAATGCAAGCGCTTTATTCCGTCCGAATACGCAGGAAACACAGACGAACATCCCAACCAGCCTGTATTCTACTACGCCAACCACGAGCCGGTCCGTAAAGCATTGAGAGAGCAGAAAGAAGTCATGTGGACGCTGTTCAACCCTGGCTGGCTGACTGATTATCTCATCTCTCCCGACCTCCGATACATCAAAGATATCGGCGAATTCCACCCTGTACGTTTGGCCGAGAAGGCATTGGTGATACCAGGCACGGGCGACGAGTTGATTACTTTTACGCCCGCGCGAGACGTAGCTAAGGGCGTCTCCAAGCTTTTCAACCACGGCAGCTGGGAGGATATCATTTACGTGTGCGGCCAGACGACAACCTGGAACGCTGTCGGGGAGATCCTTAGGAATCGTGATGTCCCACTGAAGATCAGCCACCGATCCGTGAACGAGCTAGAAAAGCAGATCTCGGATGCCGAATCAGAAGACAAGATCATCGCCGCTCAGTATGACATTTGGTCAACTTCCGGAGCTGGATTTTTGCCGCAAGAGAAGTTGAAACGGCAGGCGGCGAAGTATTTTCGAGGCGTCAAGTTTAGAACTGTCGAAGAGTTTCTCGATGATGCCGAGAAGTTGAAAGGCTGCCCGAACATTGCTGTGTAAATAGGTAGCTGAGAGTTGGAATTTGATTTGGGCAATCCTAATATCGAGTCGAAAGTTGATTTGATCGAGGAGGCTGACTTTATGTTCGATGGTCGTGGTGCGAGCACATGTGAATACTTCATGTGAGAAGAATGTCAATTTTCAAGTCCTCCGCCACCTGTTGTTGCAAAACATCCTCTTCGGGGTTCATGTCTCGACGATGCCAGATTTCTAAAATGAGGCCTTCGACGCAAGCGGTCGCGCCAACGCCCCTATTGGCTTTCTTGGCAAAGACTTGCATACATCGGCGTCGTAGTTCATCGTCCTCGGCTTCGCAAGCAGTCACATACAGTGGCCACATAAGGCCATCCATCGCAGAATTATCGTGAAGGTCCTCGACTGCTTCCAAATGATATAGACATTGTTCCACTAGATGCTGGATTTCTCGAGGCGGCGAGTGGTGTAGAGACCGCTCGTAGTGTATCATGCAAGCATAATACCACGAACATGCGTGATGCCTTGTAACCTTCTCTAATTCTGGCTTGGGGGACGGGAAACGCGCTGTGCTGGGATTCGCTAAGAGCAGGGTATTCCGCAGTGCTACAAGATCCTCACTAGTGGGGCGATGGGCTGACATTGAGAGCCTGCTTACGTCGAAAATAGCTCTTAGTACAGGCTTGGTAATCCCATAGAGTTTTTCTAGGCAGTATTCATTGGTTGGAGAGCCAGGGGTGGCAGATGACATGGTATCCATCTCCCAGTCTTCTTCAAAGAAGGAGGACGAGCTAGCTGCAAATTGTGTGCTGTGATCATGCGAATATCCGATTATCTCCACACAATGGAAGAGCTGGCGCAAAATGAGCCCCCCTTGGCTCTCGTTCCACTTTCCACGCAGAGACCTAAGCCAATCTCTCCCTCCACGGATATAATTGCGCCATTGGCATGAGCGAGCCGCGACAATATCGATGGAGGTCATCAGTATCATAGAAGCGAGAATAGCCTCATGCTGACCACGCGAGTCTTCCATCATACTTTGTCGCAGATATCGAAGTCCGGCTTGGTGGTGTTTCGCGGCTATGGCCTCATCGTGCTCCCCGGGCGGCTCCTGCAATTGCGACCTGTTGAAGGCAGCAAAAGCGTAGATAGAATGCAGCAAAGCAGAATGGCCCGGAAGCCTATGGGCCGACGCTGCGGATTCCAACACTAGCGGGATAACAACTTCACGGAAAGGATTGTTCGGATGATTGGTTGAGATCATCAGTCCACTAGCTGAAGTAACCCAGAATCGTAGCAGCTGGCGTTCTTCCGCAGATGACACGGACAAAAAAGGGAGTAAGAAGCGCGACCAAAGATGCTTAGACGTGGGATAGCATGCTTCTGGTTCGAAAGGATCTCCGGGCGACGTCGAACAACTGTCTTGTGCTGACGTTGAGTCTGCCTCAGAGGACGAGGTGATATCAAATTGTAGTCTGCTATCGCTGCCCTCGATTGTGGGAGCGCATGCGAAGACCGTATAAGGACCCTCAACCAGCTCCATACTGTCATCAACCCGGGGTGAGTCGAGTCGCTTCAGGATAGCGCTGAGATAGGTCTCGTCGAAGATGGGATTCCTCATGTCAGCATCATCCAACATCAGTCGCCGTTTCTGCTTTGCATTTTGCGGTTCGCGGCCCGCATTGTCGCCTCTGCCGGTCACATCGTCCCACACAAGCCGGATTTCATATCCCTCGCAGAGCCGATCGAGTCTGGTGCACCGATTGCACGCCGGGCGACTGGCATCGCATTTGACGCCACGTGATCGACAGGTCCAGCAGCCAACGTAGGTCTTGGTCCGCTTCACGGCGGCGCGCGCACGTGCACGTGGTCGGGATGCTTCAGCTCGAGGCATGATGACAGCTAATAAAGAGCCGTAGGGGGTTCCAAAGAAAGGCCTTGAAAAGAGTGGTTCCCAATCCTGTAGCAGCGAAGGCGACTACTACGAGTGAGCAGCTGACGGAGAAAGAAGAGTTGCAAGGCATGTTCAGGGCAGAGGATCGGTTGACAGCAATGCATGAAGTAAGTGTCCACGAGCTGCCGGCTTGGCCATCGGTTGGAAGACGAGGTCAAGATACCTTTGTAGGCTCGCTGTCGTTTGCCGATTCTGTCCAAGGGGTCCCCCCTGCCTCTCGGGTCGGCTCAACTCTCGGGCTCGTTGTCGCCTGCCACTTCTATAAGCAGTCGGTCCGAAGCAACTCGGGGGCTCGTCGTCGCCTACCGATTCTATCTGGTGCCTTGCAGCCTCCACTCCAAGCGCGGCTATCCAACTCCACGCTCTGTTCGCCTGGATACACGGGACAATGGCCGACAACAAGAATTCATCAATTTCGTTCAATTTACGTCACGTGGCATTGCACCCAGCACTGCGGAGCACACACCCGTGGACTGGCTGATGAGATAGATTCCCCAGATGCTCCTATCCTCCCACCGCCCCACCAGCATTTCATGATTCGGAAGTCCTAATTTGGCAGCACTGCGTATGCTGTAATCTCCACTCTCGCCCCATCCGCTAGAGCCTCGACGCCGACGCCCGCCCACGCGAATCTGTTTTTTCCCAAGAACTTTTCAACCACCACTTCCAACGCCTTGTCGGCCGCCGCATCCAGCCCTCCAGCATGGTAGCTTGTCATCTGGTAGACCGAATTGAATCCATCCCTGACACCGGCTGCCGCGAGAGAATCGACCACATTTTGGAAGGCCTGCACGTACTGCTCAGTCAGGTCTGTCGGTAACTTCATGTCGGCCGTGTAGCCTGTCTGGCCCGCCGTCACTACCGTTCGCACGTTTGCCGGAAGAACTACGGCGCTGGAGATGTGGTATGTGTCGCTGAGCCTTTCCCCCAGCCCGGGGACGTTGAAGCACTTGATGCCATGCGTGTTAAGAGGACTTGGATACTCCATGTCGGTGGGGTGGTGGAGAAGGTTTATTTGCAATTAGACCGCGTGGCGTGTTTGATGCGAAGGTTGAACAAGTTGATCGCTAGTGAAAGCCCAAGAGCATCGTACATGGCAATATATAAGCTAGAGGTGGATGGTAACGCCAACTCGTGCCGCCAGGCAGTCGACAGCGAGCACTACGAAAACGAGTGCTCTACGTCTCCCCTAATGCCACCGTAGCTCATCCAGTAGTAGCTTGTCACGGTGATTCTAATTAGTATTTTCAGAACAAAGGACGATTATAAGAGTCGCTCATGCATCGGGCAACTCTCAACGAGCATTTCTTCGTGTTTGCATATGGGATTTCTCCAAGCTAACAGCCCTTAAAAGGCACACACACGAACAGTCGTAGGAGTCTATTCACAATCTTTCGGATTGCTTGTCTCTCCATTTGCAGAGTTTCCTGCAACACCTTCATCGACCAAGGCACAAAGCACAACCATGTCTGCGACCAGACTTTTCGAGGATGACCTCAAGAGACCTCTGCCCAAGGTTGAAGTCTTCGACAGCGCATCTGTCAGTCCAGACCAGATTGTGGCGGCCCTCACCAAAGCAGGTGGTTGTGTTGTCAAGAATGCCGTATCTCCTAGCGACCTTGCCCTCGTCCAAAAAGATGTTCAGCCTTTCCTCGACGCCGACAAACCATGGGACGGCAATTTCTTTCCTCGTGAAACACGTCGAGTCAATGGGCTAGCCGCCAAGTCCAAAGCCTTCATGGAGAAGATTGTTTGCTACGAGCCCTACCAGTCCGTCTGTTCAAAGCTTCTCTCCAGCACAACAAAAAACTATCTCGGCCAAGATCTGCAAATAAGCACCAGTCAACCTCAGCTTAACAACACTATCGTCTTCGCGATCGGGCCGGGCGCTGCCCCACAGCCGTTGCATCGCGATGATATGATCCACCATCGTATTTTGAAGCAGATGCGTGCAGAGGATTATGTAGTTGGACAAGACACAGGCATTGGCTTTTTTGTGGGAGGCAGGAAGACTACCAAGGCCAATGGAGCCACCAGATTCATTCCCGGCTCGCATCTCTGGGATCACGATACACCACCAAGCGAAGACCTCACCTTCTACGCGGAACTTGACCCCGGTGACGCCTTCATTATGTTGTCTTCATGCTATCATGGAGGATCGGCGAATACGACTGAGGATGAGATACGATTAGTGTATAGCTGTTTCATGACAAAAGGCTATCTCAGACAGGTACGTCGTAGCTCCTATGTCAACAATCTGTAGCATGATACAGACCTATGAGGCTTTTCCCAGCTAGATTTCTGGTGCTAACCTGCGAGTGTCAAAATAGGAGGAGAACCAGTACCTGAACAACGATCCTGAAAAGCTGAAGGAGCTGTACGATGACAGCATGCTTAGACTCATCGGGTATAACCTCAGCGCACCGTTTCTCGGCTGGATCAAAGAAGGCCACCCTTTGGCTGCCCTCGGACGACAACAGCCACTAGGAGACATGTATTGAGACACTAGCCACACGAAGCCAGTGGCGTAAGGATCCACCTGTGCATATTTGGAGAGGTTAGAGATAGAGCAACGACGTGAAATGAAACACACTTCTATTTGCTGCGGCAAAAGCATCCCTAATAAGGCTGTGAACGATGACGTTTTGCATTGGTCTGTGGCAATTTTTAGTCTCGTAGCATGCTCTAACGCACTACGACGCTTCAGATCGAAGACTGTGTACCAGCTTTCTAGAGCATGATGAAGTAATCTGCGATACAGTTTGATATACCACGGGTCTGACAAGCAGGGTTTGGAGCGCAAATGAACTGCAGGAGGAATGGCCACAGTCTAGAACTCGATTGTCGAGGAACAGTAGCAAGGTAGACGCATTGCAATACCGATTTGGTTAATACTAGGAAGCTGAAGATAAAGGCTTGAGGCAAGATATAAAGATAGGAGACTTGAAACGAGAGTTCAGCAAAAAGGGCTCTATACGAGGTGGGGGGATAAGTGTGGGGAGAACTCGGGGGTCCGAATTTAGCAATCGGCAGCGACGTAGACGCTACTTAGTTCAGACCAGTCTACTGCCGCGACGTAATCAGGCGGTCTCAATTCGGACTCCACAAGCGGGATAAATCAGATCGATCTTGATAAATCTTCGCAGTGTTGCTTCCTCGAGAGTGGGGTGCACGGGCTGACAGATTGATTTGAAGGAAAGGACCGTTGATTTTCCTCCCATGAACAGTATCGGAAAGGCACAGCGAGCTTATCCGCGGTTTCAGCTCTCTCGACGCTCAGACGGGTTTTCTTTCTGCAAACAAAGTCAAATATTCGTGTGTTCACGGTTCATAGTTAGAGGACTGAAGTGCACAAATTGCTCACTTTCGCACTCCTCAACCTGTATCGTGTCGACTCCCTTCTCTCTTCTACCATTTCTATCAAACCGAGTCCAATCGGGAATTTCATATTCTAAACATCACAACTTCCCACCGAAATGGCTAAGAACCTGCAAGGCCTCTCAGCCATTGTCACTGGCGGCTCCCGTGGTATAGGCGCCGGCATTGCCCTGGAGCTCGCAACCCGCGGCGCCAACGTCCTCATCACCTACCAGAGCGCCTCGTCGCAAGCCGAAGAAGTCGCATCCAAGATCAAAGCCCTAGGCAGCGAAGCATTGATCGTGCAGGCCGCTGGCACAGACAAGGAAGCACCCGCTCGGATTGTGCACGCCGCGGTAGAGAAATGGTCTCACATCGACATCATCATCAACAATGCCGGTGCCGGCGATGACTGCCTGCTCAAGGATCTCACGTACGACCTGTGGGACAAGATCCTCAACACAAACTTACGAATGGCGACCTTCCTGGTGAAGGAGAGCATGCCGCATCTTGGCAAGGCCCCACGCATCGTGAACATCTCCTCCGTGATCGGGCGTATGGGCGGCTCGTACGCAACGGCGTATTGTGCGTCAAAAGCGGCCCTTGAAGGAGTTACAAAGGTGTGGGCTGCGGAACTTGGACAGAGTCACAACGCGACAGTGAATTGCGTGAATCCTGGGCCGGTGGCTACGGATATGTGGTTGCGCGATACCGATGCTGCTGTACTGGCGGAATGGGATACCAAGATGAAGGAAACGCCGGCCGCGCCGAGGATTGGGACCGTGGACGATATTGCGAAGATTGTGGCATTTTTGGCTAGTGAGGAAAGTAGATGGAGCACGGGTAGCACTGTCAATGCTAATGGGGGCATGTGCTTTGTGTGAGGTGAATTGATGATGGTAGATGGTTAAATACATGAAATCGAGTGGTTGCATTAGGATACCTACTCCTTAGATCGCCTCTTGAAATGAGAGCGTGCGTCGTGTTATGGCGAAGGATGAATGTGCTGATCGTCAGTCGACTCTAAAAAAGCCAAGAGACAGAAATTAAGTAACACAGACACATGTGAGGAACTCAAATCTGCAACTCACATCCAGAACCCCTTCAATTGGAACGCCTAATTCATCTGAAAAAGTATCTATTCATCCACACCGTCTTCGTGCATACTGATATATCATCAACATCTAATGAGCCTTATGCCACACCTCCCCCGGAATCGCATCCTGATATTCCACGACCTCATCTAGTGCTTCCCTGATGATTTGCACCCCTTTTTCCAACTGCGCATCCGTCATCACCATGCTCACGCCCATCCTCAAACGTCCACCCAACGGATATAATAGCAGTCCTTTGCTCAAGCACAAGCCTCCAATCCTTCTTGCCGTCACCCTTCCTTCTGGGTTTTCTCGAATTGGAATGCTGAAATCTGCACCACGAGCCTGAATGTCAGCCACATGTGGATGCTTCCTCAAGTCGTTCGTCAGCTCTAGAAACCTCTTTTCGAGATGCGCTGCTCGCTCCGCCATCTTCTCCTCATCTAGGACCTTCAGTGCCGCTTCCGCAGCCGCGATTGCCATGGGCGTATGTGCGAACGTCGAGCCGCTCTCATATGGCCCGACTACCGACATCATAGCGTCGTCACCCAGGACGAACGAGGCCGGATAAGCACCGCCGGTCATGGATTTTCCGACCACAAGCAGATCGGGGCGGACGTCTGGGCCCAGATGGTTGAAAGAGAAGAACTTTCCCGTTTTGCAAGCTCCCATTCGGACCTCGTCGGCGATGAAGGGAATGTTGTATTTCTTGCATAGGTCGTAGATCCCCCGGGCGAAGGAGACTTCTTCTTCGTAAGTGCTAAAGAGGAACACCTTTTAGTACCACATATCGGAGGATGGAGTAAGGGGTGGCTAAGGTACGCACTTTCCTGTGTTGCGTATGCACTCTATGATGATTGCCCCCACACGCACGTGGTGCTCTGCAAGACAGGCCTCCATGTCTTCCAAATGACCATACCGCAGCAGCTCCTTCGTAGAGGGATTGACGTTGGTATGTTGCGCGCTATCGAGGCCATAAGCTGTGAGAGTCATGTCAGTACCACTTCTAGCTTAAACGTATCTAGACTGAAATACCTGTTCGTGCGGGACTAGGATCTTGCAGATTCCAGACGCCAGAAGACAGTCCGTGGTAGCTGTCCGAGACAGCTAGAATCAGTACCTCGTCCGCTGGAATGCCTCTAACCTCATGAGCATGACGCCTAGCGATTTTGCAAGCCAGATCAGCTCCCTCGGCGCCGGTCACCATCGCGGAGATCTTGTCGTATTTGAACCTCTTGCACATCATCTCTGCAAAGACGGGCCAACGCGAATTGTGAGTAGAAGTGTTGATGAGGTAGGCTGGAAATCATGTTAGCCACCCTCATCTATCAAGGTGTCTAATCGAACCCAACTTGCCCTTATTGATCTGCTCGATCATCGCTGCGACTATTGTCGGATGGCAGTGTCCTTGATTGCCCGCGCTGAACATGCAAATGAAATCGAGGTACTCCTTGCCATCCACATCCTATGTCATGTCAGTCTTAGTCTCAATAGCTGAAAAAAAGAACTAGCGGAAAGTTCACGAACCCATAGTTGCGCACCCTTGCCTCGGTCCATGAAACCCGGCAGAGGTGTAAAGCCACCGACCGTGTACTCCGCCTCGGTATTAAGCAACTGCTGTGCTCTTTTCGACAGTACAATTTGCTTCCGTTGGACTCGAGAAGGGGCCATTTGACTGCTGTCCATTGGAATAACGTTTGCGCTAGCGTGATTGACTTCTTCGACGGTGAGTGCTGTCATTTTGGAGATTGAGGTTCTGTCGTTGTTGAGGAATACTTCGATTAAATGGGGGTCACTCGTAGCAAGATTGTTGGAGACCCTGTGTGAACTGCGAGAGGCCTTTTATGGTAGCTGGTAACCGCGACTGCAGATGCTTAAAGTACTCGCACTTTCAGATGTCGGTAAAGTAGACTAAAACAAATTACTATCAGGACTTGCATTCTGGCCCTGTTTCGATCGTGATCTGTGCTTGCTGCTGAGGAAGGACGAAGCGATGCTTAATGTGAGATAATATGGTAACTGACAGCGATGGCTTGGCGCGCTGTTGATTTCCTAAATGGATGGGCTCAACACAGAAGGGTTGTGGCTAGTAAGGCGCGCTTTGACCCATTCAACGAGGCAGCGTTAGAAACTGTTGATAAGAAGCAGATAAGGAGATAGTCTTTATAGGATATGGCTATTGATAGGTTTGGACCAGTGAAAAAGTCAGACGGGGCTTCTGAGCTGTAGTGCAGTTCCATAGCCACAGGCACGGTTGTCTTGAACTTAGATTGAGACGAATTTCTTCTTTTATGTACTGCGCCACGCTGAAGTAAATTGTGCAATATGGTCAGTCACCAATCGTACCTCGATATTTGAGATAATCAACACAGACACTAGATATATCGTAACATCAAACAAAGAACATAAAAGCAAGGGTCAGCTTTTCGACCTCGGATCTCCCACCGATGTTCCGTCTCAGAAGTCGCCCTGAATCTGATTCATTGCCACTGGAGCTGTGTATTTTGTCTTCGAATACGCGAACCAATTGACCGCGGCGCAGAAGAAAACACCCCCTGTGACAGCTGAGGCATAATTCATGGTCGATCCTGTTACTGGAACGTAAGTGGGGAAGCACAACCAGACAGTAATGAAGGGCATCCAGAGCATTGAGATGACGTTGAAGTAAATGCCGCTGCGCCTTAGATTGAAGTAACGCTTCGAAGGGAACGCTTTCGCTCGGGTGGTGTAAAGAAGGCTTCCGACCACGAGGATGTAGGATAGGTAGCACATGACGATGCCTGCACCGAGAATCGCATTTATTGCAGTGGTCGATCCGAGGATGATGGCACCAATAGCGACGATGAGCAAGACGCCAGATGCAACTGCGTTGACGGGAAGCTCGTAATATGTGTTGACCTTTGCCACCCAGCCGGAGAGTGGTAATGCTCCTTGTCGTGCCACAGACCACAGAATGCGAGAAAAGCTGGTTAAAAGACAGACGGCCGCGCACAGCATGACGAGGATATAGACCAGGATTGTAATGATGGTTAGGGCCTGAGAGTCCAGAGAATCCAGCAACAGTTGAGCAATCGGTTGCCCTCCGATAGGGGCCAAGAGATTGGCTGGGCTGACAATGCAGAACATGTAGACCAGAACCATGGGCAATCCAGCGAGTGCGCTCATGAGCGCACTTCCGAACATGACGCGAGGAATGTTCCTCTCAGGGTGTGGGATCTCGTCAGCGAGATGAGCGGCACCTTCGAAGCCATTGACAGCAGTGGCACCAGGCAGCAGACCGAGGAAGAAAACCACGCCATCCGGCTTCCATCCCGTCATGTTGACGAAATCGGCAAAGACGAAGGATGCAGATTGTTTCGGGTGAGTGCGGACGAGGAGCACGATGAGCACAAAGAGTGCGCCGGTATTGATGAAGATAACCATACTTTTGAGCATATACGGATACAGCGTGAAAAGCGGTGCGTTGAGAGCGAAGGTGACGGCTGCTGCGGCAATATAGAGGACATAGTATTCCCACGGTTGTATAATGAATGTCGTTTTAACCACTGCTACCAATGCCCAGATGAGTTGGGAGGCGAGAAGGCATGTCGCAGCTGTCAGGAAGAAGTATGCAGCGCTGGCAATCCAAGCAGCTAGATAGCTGAGGCCGCGCGCATATTTCTTGGGCGCCATGACTGAAGTCCAGTAAATCTGACCTATAGTAGGTATCCCCGGTCAGTGACTGCCTCGCTCAGGGATAACGCTCATTTATCGAGGTCTCGCAAAACAATTGGTGTGAGAGCATATGCGTACCTGACGAGTGAGGGTAGACGGCGGCAATCTCAGCCAGCGACAAGCAAACGCAGAGATTACAGCCCACGGCAAAGATGTACCCAAAGATGAAGGTAGGACTTCCACCTACTCCAATGACACTTGCAAGGTAGGAGCCGACAGCAAGGGGCGTCGAAGTCAATGAGTACTGAAGACCCAAACTGCTCCAGAGACTGAAGGACTCATTCAGCGCATGCGGTGAATCGACCTCGTGTATTGCACCGACATCGATATCCAAATGGTGATGGGGTTCAGAAACATCTTTATTATCGTATGCCGGCATCTTCTCGTCCTTCGAGATGGTAGACATTATGTATGGAAGAGGAGTGGTGTTTAGGAATGAAGCTTTGATGGAGATGATAACTTCAACAGGAGGCAAGGCAAATATACTTGAGCATCAGAAGTAGATGCTCACGGTCTATCATTGATACCACGCGATATGGACCGGGATATAGGGAGACTGGCTGTACCCAGCGTGGCTTTGCTCACCAGTCTTCGGTCTTGTCCACTAGGATTCGTTGTATACATGCCGCGACGGGAAGAGATATCGGAAAGGCAGGCGACAACGAGGCAACAAGCTTGAGAGTGCATCTTAACGATTGGGAGACGAGTTTCAGCCGACTCGTGTACTTGGAGTCTGATCGCGATAAGTAGAATATAGAAAAGGCGGATCTGGTAGTTAGGAGCGAGACGCAGACGATAAGAGCCGCCACTCCCGATGTGTCCAAGGCCTGGATGTGCCCTATTCACGATACTCGGGCCTTTCCAACCCCCTGCGTAGTTCGTGTCCCGGATACTCTAGGCGTCAAGTGAGAGGCGATAAGGACTCGGAATTCTTTCTTCTTCTTCAGGCACCAAACGGCGACCAGAATACTGCTCTTGCAGATGTTCTAGGAAACTGACAGCGCAAGACCAGTGCGATGGACCCGCTACGCAGACCTTCAGCAGATTCCTGGATTCTGCACCGTTTGTCGTCCGTGCATGGAAGGCTCTCCAACCATGACCACACCCATATAACTCATGTCCCAGACTTGATGCATGTGCCATCTAGAATCTCGTGCCATCTCGTACTGGCGTTTTCTACCACCAAAAATGTCCCACATGTTGAAGTAAGCGTCGCCGTGAGCCTCTTGCCGAAGTACCGCAGTTCTCCAAGCTGACCAGTCGCGGTTTACAGTCTCGAAGGCCGGGTCGCCATCGTCACAGGGTCCTCTTCTGGAGTTGGTCGCGCGATCGCACTCGCACTGGCAAGCGAAGGTGCTTCGGTCATATGCAGCGATTTGACGCCCGAGTTGCGTCCGGGCGGATACGAAACCGTGACCACATCGACGCACGAGCTGATTGCGAAGACCGGCAAAGCTATTTTTAAGAAGACAGATGTTAGCTCGCCGCAAGACATGGAAGCGCTGGTCGCATCCGCCGTTGCTGAATATGGCAGGCTAGATATGTACGTGTATTCAAACAAATTGCTCTCGAGTCGGACAGACTATAGCGAAAGTAGTAGCTGATACTGTAAAGTTTGGTCAACAATGCAGGCGTCTTTTGTGGACAGAACAAGATAGCACAAGAGTCTGTAGAAGCGTTTGACAAGACCATGGTAGGGCAGTTCATCGAAGATTGAAGAGGAGTCTAATCGCTCGTAGGCCATCAATACGCGCGGGACTTTTCTTGGTATGAAATTCGCCATATTACAGATGATGAAACAGGAACCACGATCTACCGGGGACCGTGGCTGGATTGTGAATATATCTTCAATTGGCGGCCTGGTTGGGCTATCAATGGAACGTAGGCTGGCCGGTTTCATCTTTACCTATGTCCCCACTCCTCTTCGACAACATAGCTAACGCTCATAAGCATCCTACTGTGCGAGCAAAGGCGCTGTGACAAACTTGACCCGGCAAGTAGCGCTTGACTATGCCCCTCATAAAATTCACGTCAATGGTGTATGCCCTGGCTTCTTGAAAACGGCAATGGTTCGATCTGCGCTCGAAGATTTAGTTCTCAACGAGGAACTGCATAATGCGTCGCCATGGCCGCATTTGGGCTTGCCCGAGGATGTAGCGAAGGCGGTGCTATATCTCTCTGGCGATGGTGCCAGCTGGGTGACAGGTGTAATGCTGAATGTGGACGGTGGGTACTGTACAAAATAGTCGAGCATGTAAATCGGGTTCGAGTGTACGACTTCAATGGCATTCAAGAGCTGCTTTGAAACCTGCTTAGCATTGTACGAGACTCTTCAATTTTACATCAGACTTCGAGACGCGATATCGAAGACTCGAGGGCGGAAATCAGACCGCATTCCAGATGCAAACAATCAGAGGAATGGAAATAACGTGATACGTCATTCACTTCTCCGCCAACTTCTAGTAACACATATGCAGAAGTCTAAACCAGCAACCCCAGGCCAATGCCCACTATATAGAATTCCACTTCATCGCGCCTACAGCTTCATGCCGAGCGCCTTATGCACCCTCAACGCTTGCCTAATGCTCAAATCCAGCATAATCTCCTCACTACCGCCTGGGATGGCATACGCCCTGACATCTCGGTACAACCGCTCAACCTTCGCGCCTTGTCCGCCGCGCGAGTAACTTAGCCCGCCGAAGATCTGACTAGCCTCTCGTGCACAGAACTCGAAGGTGGTAGTGCTCTGCGCCTTTAGCGAGGCAATGGCGCCGCCGAGCTTCAGCATAGCCTCCATTTCGCCCATCTTCTGGCACTGGTAGATGAGGTTTTCGAGCCAGTTGTATGAAGCCTCGATCTGGCGGGCCATGTGGGCGAGCTTGAGGCGGATGACGGGGTGGTCGATGAGCTTCTTGCCGAAGGTGCGGCGCTTGTGCGCATACTTGATGGATTCTTCGTAGCAGACGCGAGAGAAGCGGAGACATTGGATGATTATGCCGATACGTTCGTGGTTGAAGTTCGTCATTATGACTGAAACGAGTTAGAAGGGTGGTCGTTCAGGGTAGGGTTCTGGAAGGAGAAAAGGAGAAAAAGTCGTGAGCGAGGTTGGCGACATACCTTTGAAACCTTGGTTCTCCTTGCCGATGAGGTTCTCAACGGGGACCTTCACGTCCTCGAAGGTGATGTATGTAGTGCCACTACTCCATACACCCTGGCAGTCCATCTTACGGGTGGAGACGCCGCCGAAGCTGCGCTCAATGAGGAGAACGGAGACGCCGTTCATGCCCTCACCACCCGTGCGGACGGCAGTGGTAAAGTAGTCGCACCAGATACCGTTGGTGATCCATTTCTTTTCACCATTGACAATATAATGTTTTCCATCTTCAGATAGCTTGGCTTCGCACGTGAGATTGGCGACATCGCTCCCCGCGTCTGTCACATGTTAGTAATGCAAAATGATATCACGAAAACAGCAGAACTTACCAGGCTCCGTAATCGCGAGACAGATGCGCTTGTTGCCATTGAGAATCTCAGGCACAACGCGCTTGACGACTTCCTTCTTGCCGAACTTGACAAGCGGTGGGCAGCCGATACCAAAGCCGCCAATGAGGTTCCACACGAGCCCACCACTGCCCGCGCGCGAGATCTCGTCCGTGAGCAGCATCTCGTGGAAAAGATCCCACTTCTCCGGCGCGACGCTTTTTACGCGCTGCTCTGTCAAGTTTGTTGGGTAGTGTACACCCATAAGACCAGCCAGGTAGCCCTTCTCACCCATCGCCTTGTAAATACTGTCAGGCACTTTGCGGCCTTCTTCCCACTCCGTCACGTTGGGCATTATGTCGTCCTCGACCCATTGGCGGACTTCGGCGCGGAGGTCGGCGTGGGACTGGTTGAAGTAGGGCGAGTGATACTACAGGTGGATGTCACATGTCAGAGACCGTCTTGCAGTTGTAGGCAGAAAATGAAGATGAAGAGGCTTGTGGAGATAGACTCACCGATTGGTACCACGAGGGGTCGGCATAGGGCACTAGGTCGCCAAAGGGATCCAATGCCTCCGCCTCTTCCTCCGCGGCGGCTGTGGGCACCGGGGCGACCGCGCCGGATTCGGCGGATGGCTTCACGACATCCTGTTTCTTCTCCGCAGGTGGTGTAGCTGGTGGTGTTGGAGGTGCGGCCTTCGAGTCCAGAGAGCCAACCTGCAGCTGCTTCTGGTATTTCTTGAGGATGCTCTCGTTGTGGTACTTCCAGAACTGCTTGGAGGCGTCTTTTCCGGCAACACGCTGAAGGACTGGTCGTGTTTGTTAGAACTTGCAGGCAACGTGGAGTGTATGGAGAGGGAACGTACTCTTCTTGCCGCCAGGGTGCTCATCTTGAAACTTTGTCAGATCGTATACGTCCTCATCGACGATAACCCAGAGGCTGTCAGTCTTGTTGTGGGAGGCCACATCGGCCGTAGAGAAGCGTTGTGACATGTTGGCTGCTTGTTGGGGGAGCGGGGGGGAGCGAAATAGGCTTTGTGGTCGTGGTACAAGAGAGAGGGTGCAGGTCGAGAAGAGGACAATGAATGGCAGCTGACAGTCTTAAAACTGGAGGAAGCAACGTCTTTCACATGCCAGACATGCCACCCTCATACCCCGGAATTCCTGCTAGAGCCGCCTGGGGGAGGCACGGGACCATGACGGGATGATATTGACGCAACCATTATTGGCTCGGACACGCGCGGCGAGTCCGGTGATGATGGGAGCATCGAGGCTGCGAAAGGGCTGGTGGGAGACGTGTGCAACGTCCCGTACCGAGGCTCTCGCCGCTTTCGCCTAGTCTCCGATTTCATGCAGATACAAACTCCACCTGAAGGTTTGTCTCTGGCCGTCACCTTGCCAATATATCATTTAGATTCCAGTATGATAATCTATGAAATGAGATTCAACATCTTCTACTTCTAAGAGTGCCTTAGAACTTGAGCGCAGCGCCTTAAAGCTCCACTAGCAAATGATACAGACTTGACCATACATTCATACACAATTCTCAACTCCTAGGCCGAAGATAGTTCGCCAGATCTACACAATTCTCATCGGGTACCGACAAACTCCCGTTTGGGTACAAGTCTTGATTCCACCGTATCATTCACGCACCTAGTCCTTGTAACTATCTGCGACGTAATCCCGTTCTCAGCACATCAGCATGTTGTTCTAGTTCATAGCGAGGATAACTATATCTAGTCGTCTATCGAAATGATCAACATGGAAGATATACAAATGATCCACTACGCCATTTCGTGTACAGCTTGGGGTTTAGGCGTGGTGTTTGTTTCAGCTTGATCTCCGAAACTGCATTTATAGAAGGCCGCCGGTTCTAGGGCACCGAGTACCGAGGCCCTTCACTGTTTTGTGATTGGACATGGCACGTGCGCTCTCCCATCTTCACAGGCTGAAGCTATCAACTATTCCCTTTTGCGGAGAGAGTCCTGTCGAATGCCGGCCAAGATCTCGAAACACCACGCCAAGTTTCGCGTGATGACATCGGGGCCGGGCGGAGATGAAATTTTCTGGGGTAAAATCCGCGGCTCGCCTGCTTGTTCGCACCCATCGATTACACGCTTCCTCTGCAATTGCACATGGCCCATCAATGCTTCGGCCAGGCAGTTCACCAGAAGTATCGTCGCTCAGAACGCGACCGAGGTTCCCAGAGCATAGTCGCGATGCAGTCGCGATTATGCAGCAACGGATACTCAGGTCATACCTACAGGCCGCGCGATGATGACATACTAACCCTGGTGCCACTGACAGTACAACAGCTCACAGAAACCATCGCCATCGCTAGCACTATCGAGAATCCATATTTTTTCGTTGCCTTCCAACCCAACAAGCTCTCTCGTCACCAATCCTTCCGACGATGCCGGGAGAGGTACAGGTCAAGAAAGCCTCGGAAATCAATGCTCCAACCGGGGCCCAAACCGAGGGCATGATTCGAATGAATGCCATCACGGACATGTCTGATCAGATTTGCGGTACTGGTGAGTCTCATCTTCGCCAGATGATGGCGCCTAAGGCTGACGCAACGTCCCAGTCATGATCGCAAAACCCCACACAGCCTCAGCCATACACCATCACGGCGAAGAAGGTAGTTTCCTCATACCTATGATCATCGACCTACGTCTCACCACGAACCTTTCCTGATATGCCTCAGACACTATCGTGTATGCTGCCAAAGGCCACGGAACCATTGTCAGCGGTCTCAACGGTTCTAAGAGACAAGACCTCGGTCCTGGAGACTTTGCACTTATACCGGCATACGCTGAACACCAAGAAGTGAATGATAGCGATGAAGATATCGTGTGGATCATCACACGTGGTGGTCGCAACCCTATTGTCGAAAACCTAAAGGGGTGGGGAGAGAGCTAGGCTTTGGACGATAGGGACCAGCAAGAACAATACCGACATGAGCCAGGAGAGCTGGTTGTGCACGTACCGAGCTCGGAACGAAAAAAGCCGGGATTTCTACTATTGCAAGCTCTAGCCTCGTAAATTGAATCCTAAGGTCCTGGACAAACTCACGCGCTACGACATACTTACATGGCACATGTTTGACCGAAACGATTTGCAAGTTACTAGAGTCTTGATCTGATTTGTTTTGGATAGAGAAGCATCGATTCTCGAGGAAGCCCAGTTTGACATTATTTAATACCTCGAGCTCCTCAATCAAGCTCGCACATCATCACTGCTCCGAAAAATACCAAGTTCCATGACTTGCGCTTGGTCTTAGCGATTCAACCTTAGAGAGTGCATGGGACGTGGTTGTTGCATCACGCGCGGTGTTGACGCGGTTGGCAGCTGGTCTAATGCGAGGATGAGAGCAAAACGATCACAGGCCAAACGCATTAGATGTAAGCGCATGCACTTCGGCGATGAATTTGTGGATGCGTCAGGTGGGTTGGACTCCCCAAATCGAATCTTCACTCTTCGTGCTTCATCTCTGCCGTCTGATTGGTCGCAAGTTGATGATCATCATTATCGCAAGTTCAGGATTTCCTCGCACCTTCCAAATGAAGTTTCACAACAGCAAACAAAGCAGTCGTACGCCGTGTTTGACTTCACCACCTTTCGAATGCCTCTATATTGATGCATAGACGTAGTCAATGGCAAGGCAATGCAGGGCTGAATCGTGACGCGGCGACTGTCCTGCGCCGGCTGGATACCCGTCTTGGCATGTACCTGCCTCGCAATATGAGGCTCAAGAAACAAGCCGACCGTGGAAAAATTCGAGTAGTCAGATCATGCTAAGCCTCTGAGTTATGGGCTTGGAATGAAATCGGAATGCTGAATGGTCCGAATGAAGATCTGCCAAGCATCACTAGATGCAGCTATTTTATTTTCAAGATTCTGCCCAGAGTATTCTACTTGGCTTCTCTCTCCTGGCGATACTCCCGGCGCAGTAAACTTCCCAACTGACCGATGTCTTCGAGAATGGATCATGACGCCTACCTCAATCTGGAGAATGGCAGCTGGCGCCACAACGCTGTGCTCGCCGCGCTTTCCCTTTAGTCTACTCCTTGCAACATTTCCAAGTTAGAAGCTACGGGCATGTGTGCCCCAGCAAGCCTCTTCCGCTCCAGATCTGCCAGATCCGCAAGCGTGCTGTGAGCGACGCCCACTGAAGTATCGTTCTTTTCCACGTGTTAAGCTTCTCATTCTTAATCCCGGGTAGTTTACCATTCGTTTCATTCATGTGAGTAAATCACTGCACCCCTCTACGAGCTGCCCCTCTTCCATCCCAGTCATGCCACGATTATTCGTACGTGGACGCAATTGTAGCCCACCTATCGTTTCTCATGTTAGCATGCGGTTCGATCATTGGTAGCCAATCCTCAACTGCTCTGTGCGGTGGTAGAATGACCCACCCACGAGCATGGCTTCCATGGTTTCAACTTTTCGCCTTTATTAAGACGGTTTTGCTACCAGCGCACACACACCGCGAGAAAATAGTATCTGTCTCGTATCATGAGAGCAAGCATCACATTACGAAAAGAGCAGTTCTGCATGCAACACACGACTTTACTAGTTGCGAGCTGCAATAGCTGATACTCACAGAAACATCAGCGGATGGTCATTACAAAGGACCGGATTCTCATTCCAAAAATGGCTCGAACCTACTGGCCATTCATAATACTCGGGAACCTCTTCCTAACAAAGTTCGCCTGCGCCAGTACGGATTATTCCCAATATGTCAACGTCTTGTGAGAGCATCTCACCTAAGGAAGAAGGGCTTCTGCTGACGACGCCTCAGTACTGGAACGACTGGCGGTGGGAATATGTTTCCCGGAGTCGTAGCTGGTAAGCCTGCTTAAAGTCTTGCGAGCGAATTTTGAGAACATCTGATCTAATCACATGACTAGCTCCCTTCGCAATGGTGAAGCTTGGACCGGACGTTTCGAGTGGCACGGAGGACCCTTATTCCGGATATCTTCCAGACGGTGCATTTACTGGTTTCAGTATGATGCATGAGTCTGGCACAGGCGGTGCGCCAAAGTATGGAGTTGTTTCGCAGATGCCAGTTGTGGGAAACGTGACCAATCCACTCGCCAACCTTTCCACCGGTAGATCGTCTGCAGATGAAGGATCTGTTGGGTACTACAAAGCCTCTTTGGCAAGTGGTGTGATCGTTGAGCTTGCCGCTACAGAACATGCTGGACTTTACGAGTACTCGTTTCCGGACGGCAACTCTTCGTCTATCGTTATTGATGTATCGCACGTTCTGCCTTCGTACAGAGGAAAGGGGTGGAGCCAGAGTTACTCGAACGGAAGCTTTAGCATATGGGAAGACAATCATTACGAAGGCTCAGGAACATACAACGGTGGTTGGAACCTAGGTAGGTCCCGGATGATCTCTGGACTTCCAATGCTAATATAGGGTAGCACCCGACTGGACTATATACTTCTGTGGCAAGTTCGACGCTGAACCCGTCTCTGCGAAGACTTTTACTGGCACTGGAACGACGCTAGACTCATATGATAGTGAGCCTGGAGTTTGGACTTCTGGGAGCTACAGACAAGGCGGTGTTTTCACCTTCGAAGAAAAAAACGTGAAGTCAAGAGTTGGAATATCATTTATATCTTACCGGAAAGCCTGTGTCAACCTCCACGACGAGATCCCATCAGATACATCACTGCAAACACTCGTGAACAGCGCCAAGAGTAAATGGAATGCGGAGATATTTGGCAAGATCACGACATCATCCACCAAAACTTCCGACCTGGCACTCCTGTACACGAATCTTTACGGCATGAACCTGATCCCGTCAAACAGAACCGACGAGAATCCTGACTGGGTTTCCAATGAACCCTACTACGATGATATTTTCACGTTCTGGGACCTCTTCCGGTGCTCAACCGCCTTGACACATATAATACAACCGGTCGCCTACGAAGAGCAACTCCGGTCTATCATTGACGTATGGAGGCATGAAGGGTTCCTTCCCGATGCCCGATCTTCAAATTTCAACGGACGCACCCAAGGCGGCTCAAATGCCGACAATGTGCTAGCAGATGCGTACGTCAAAGGGGTTCGAGGATCGATAGACTGGCAAGACGGGTATTCCGCCATGGTACGAGACGCCGAGAAGGTGCCTGTAAACAACCACGACCCCGTCTCCCCAGACTCATCGGACAAAGAAGGCCGAGGAGCCCTACCAGACTGGATCAATTACGGCTACATCACGCCGACATACAACCGCGCTGTTTCCCGAGCAGTGGAGTATTCGGCTAACGACTTCGGTCTCTACCAAGTTGCCAAAGGCCTAGGTGAAAGATCAGATGCCTCGAAATACCTCAAACGATCCCGCAACTGGCGCAACCACTGGAACCCCAACGCCACCAGCCAGGGCCACAGCGGCTTCGTGGCCCCCCGCCTCGCAAATGGGTCTTTCATAGAGCAAGACCCACTTAGCTGCGGCGGCTGCTACTGGGGCGACGCATACTACCAGGGCCTGCCGTGGGAGTACTCGATGAACGCGCACCACGACGTGGATACCCTCATCCAGTACGTCGGCGGCGAGGACCGCTTCGTGGACCGCCTCGACCTAATGTTCCAAACCGGCATCATCAGTGCTGGGACCATCTTCAATGCAGCCAACGAGCCGAGCTTTACAACGCCGTACCTCTACAACTTCGTCGGCCGGCAGGACCTAGCCGTCAAGCGCTCCCGTACGGTAGCGAAGACATATTACAACACCGGCACGGGCGGCATTCCGGGAAATAGCGACGCAGGCGCCATGCAGACGTGGATCCTGTGGAACATGATCGGACTATACCCTTTGACTGGCCAAACAACATTCCTGATCGGCTCGCCGTGGCTCTCAGACATGGAGATCGACCTAGGCACAGGGAACATCCTCAACATCACCTCGACCGGTGGCAACAGCGACGACGCGTACTACGTGCAGAGCCTCAAAGTCAACGGCAAGAGCTGGGACAAGGCATGGGTCACGTGGGACGACGTCTTCGCGGACGGCGGCTCGCTGGAGTTCGAGCTGGGCGAAGACCCGGTGCTGTGGGCAACTGGGCCTGCACCGCCCAGCCCGGCGTCGGAGGCACAATAGGATGAGGCGCCTTCGTCAGCGTATCCAACACCCAGCGTAGAACTACCGACGACGGCGGCGGTATCGCCGGAGGAGGCGTTGAGGCTTATGGGGGAACCTGGTGTGAAGCGGAGGCGGAGCATTATTATGATTGCAGTGGGCGTGGTGGGTATTTGGACTGGCGTGGTGCTTGCGGGCGCTCTTGCGTGGAGGGCCAAGACTTGAATGAAGTCTTCGTAGAGCTACCCTTGTAAAGCGTGCTGAATTACTCGCTTCCTACTCCAGTAAAGCACTAATACCCTAGAATAGTCTTAGTCTTGCATACATAGCTAGCAACTCGTACGTTCCGAGCCATGTTTCCCTCAACTTCAACGTGACATGCTCAGACGATGCCCAGGTGCGTGACCCCGATGTCTTGGCGTTTCGACGGTGGTGGGGCACGTTCACTCAAGATGGCGCTCTGCCGGCCCCAGACAGTCGCCCCATTGGCAGACGCTGGCGCCTCTTCGTTGTTCGGCCTGTGCGGTGCAGCAATGCCAGGTGTGCTTGGACGCCGGGACGCGGGTGGCGCGCAGGGTGTCAATCGCGAGCAGCGTTGCTGGGCCTTTGTTTGTCACATGGATGATGGCTACGGGTTCGGATGCGCGAATGGCTGCGCGACGAGCTCCAAAGGCGGCGTGGCGGTGAACAGCCTCTGGCCTCGCGGTCCACGGTAGGTACCTTTGTAGCAATCGGCCCACGCACAACGAGCTCAGGGTCCTGTTCTGGGCCCCGCTCCGCATTCTTCAACCTGGCTGCCGGGTGTGGGGCGCACGGGGTGCCGCAGCCATCCTCCATGCACCGCGCCATGCAGATAAAGCTCATGACCCTCGAGCTGCTCTCCACGCCTCCTGATCCACTCCCTCGTTCCCCGGCCGCTGCGTCCCCAGCTTCTCCAGCTTCTCCAGCATCTCCAGCATCTCCAGCTTCTGCACGCCATGGCCTCCTCCGCCGTCCGGGTTGTAACCGCCGTCGTGACAAAGACGGTTGCTGCGTCTGCTACCCCGACTAAGGCTGCCAAGGTCCCTCCGCAAGGTGGGATTCTCGAGGGCGGGAATCCCTCTGTCTATGATTCCAAGAACCCTATCATCATCTTCATTATTCAGGTAGGTACAATTGCAGACACTCCCCCCACTGCCCCGCCGCCGCTGACAGGCCTCTCTCCAGGCTGGCATCATTATCATATTCTGTCGTGCCCTCCACTACCCTCTTTCCAAACTGCGCCAGCCTCGTGTCATTGCTGAAGTTATTGGCGGTATCCTGCTCGGGCCTTCGGTATGCGGCCACATCCCTGGCTTCACCGCGGCAATATTTCCCAACGCTGCCATGCCAAACCTCTCGCTCGTCGCAAATCTGGGTCTTGTGCTGTTTCTGTTCCTCGTAGGACTGGAAGTGGACCTGCGCTTTCTGGTCAGCAATTGGCGCGTCGCCCTGAGCGTGGGTCTGGCGGGCATGGCGTTGCCCTTTGGATTAGGATGCGCCATTGCCTGGGGCCTGTACAACCAGTTCAAAGATGAGCCGGGAACAAAGCCAATTGACTTTGGCGTCTTCATGCTCTTCATCGGCGTTGCTATGGCCATTACGGTATGCTCGCTTCCTTTTCTTACCACTTCGTCGCTTTGTCGCGGCATTACGGACGCCGGGTCACCATTCGTCCCAGAGGCGTGGTTGCATCTCCTGACATGTGCTGACAAGCCTTTTAGGCTTTCCCTGTGCTCTGTCGCATTCTAACAGAGCTGAAACTGCTCATGACACCAGTCGGTATCATTGTGCTCTCCGCAGGCGTTGGAAACGATGTGGTTGGTGAGTTGATCGGCGAAACACCAAACGCGGGGTCCCCAACGCTAACTTCTTCTCACTAGGCTGGATCTTGCTTGCGCTCTGTGTTGCCCTCGTCAATGCAGGCACCGGAATTACAGCATTATGGGTCCTCCTAACTTGTGTTGGCTATGTGCTCTTCCTCGTCTTCGCCGTCCGCCCTGCCTTCATGTGGGTCCTGGTCAGGACTCGCAGCTTGCAGGATGGCCCCAGCCAGGGCATTATCGCACTCACTCTCCTTATCGCACTCACATCGGCATTCTTCACTGGAGTTATAGGAGTACATCCAATTTTCGGTGCCTTCATGGCGGGCTTGATCTGTCCTCATGAAGGTGGGTTTGCTATCAAGGTCACGGAGAAAGTCGAGGATCTTATTTCTACCATGTTCCTACCTCTCTACTTTGCTCTATCTGGCCTCGGCACCAATCTTGGTCTTCTCAACAGTGGCATTGTTTGGGGCTATGTCATTGGCGTCTGTGCCGTTGCGTTCTTCGCTAAATTCATTGGTGCTTCGCTTGCGGCACGTGCTAATGGTTTGGTCTGGAGAGAGAGCTTTACCATTGGCTCGTTAATGAGTTGCAAGGGCTTGGTGGAGTTGATCGTGCTGGTAAGTCTACATCTTCTCTGATGAAGATGGAATGCTAATAAGGATCAGAACATTGGACTCCAAGCCAAGATTCTAAGCACAAGAACGTTCACCATCTTTGTCGTCATGGCGCTTATCACTACTTTTGCTACTACCCCACTCACTTCAGCTCTGTATCCTTCGTGGTACCAAAAGAAGCTTGAGGCCTGGAAGCGTGGCGAGATCGACTGGGACACCGGCAATCCCCTCGGTGACCACGACGATGCCGAGGATTTCACATTCGATAAGATTCAGTCACAAAAGATATCACGCATCCTTGTATATCTTCGATTGGACAGCATGCCGACCCTTCTCGCCTTTGTCTCGATGCTGGGCGGCAACCCTCCAAAAGTACCTGAGAAGACACATCCCCTGTTGGAAGGTACTTCGAGCTACACCAAAGAGACCGATGACTCCGGGGTGAGCGATGACAAGCCAAAGAGACCTATCGAAGCACACGGTGTGAGACTATTAGAGCTGACGGATCGTTCTTCGTCCGTCATGAAAGTTTCCGAGATTGATTCATACACTGCTCACGACCCAGTTGTCAATACCTTCCGGACTTTCGGCCGCCTGCATAACCTGGCTGTTAGTGGCGAAGTCTCTGTGCTCCCCGAGTCTTCATTTGCGGATGCTATCGTCACTCGTGCTTCCGAAGCGAACTCCGACTTCGTGCTTCTACCGTGGAGCGAAACCGGCACCATGAGCGAGCAGGGCGTTATCGACGACCACTCCGTTACCAACAAGCTCGCAACTTCCTCATACACTTCATTCGTCCGTTCAGCTCTCGACAACGCAAAATGTACCACTGGCGTCTTCATCAACAAGAACTTCGGCGGCTCCGCCTCTCGCCGCGAGAAAAACAAGCTCCACCGCACCTTCAGCGCGCACAGCATCCGCAGCAACAAGGACAAGGACGTCGCAGCCCCAATTGCAGACCGCAGCCACCACATCTTCTTCCCCTTCTTCGGCGGGCCCGACGACAAAACCGCGCTCCGCCTAGTCCTCCAGCTCGCTGAGAACCCCGACATCACTGCTACGCTCGTTCACTTTGAGATCTCCGACGACTATTTTGTCGCTGACGACACTGAAATCGCGCCTGTTTCGCCTATTGCTACTACCAGCGCAACAAAAGATACTACCGTTGTCACCTCACATGTTACCCGCGACCACGAGGCCGCGTTCTTCGCCGCCCTGCGAGCCTCCCTCCCGGCTGAACTCGCTAGCCGCGTTGTCTTCGAATCCGTAAAGAGCACCAAACCCATCGACGACGTGTTGGCGCGTGCGGGCACCGAATGCGGCCACAGCCCACGGAACGCAGGCGATCTAGTCGTGCTGGGGCGGAACGTCGGCAGTGGTGGGTTGGTGCTGCAGCGGAAGCGGACAGAGGACAGCGACACGGGTGCTGCGGGTACGCTGGGCGTGCTGGCGCAGAAGGTGTGGGAGGGGAAGATTGGGGCGAGTGTCATGGTTGTGAAGGCTGGTTTTGGGGGAAGCGAGTAAGATGGGTTTTGGGGTATAGGGGAGTTTGGGATGAGATATGATAACGGCTGCTGGGTATTAATGGAGCGACTGACGCTTAAAATATAAGAGATTTTGGATACTGGGGCTTTTGGTCTTCCTGGCGGAATTCCGGCCCATTAGACTGCCCAGACGCTAGAGAACCTCACCACACAGCATAGCCCAAGAGGCTGGACGATAATGACAGGATATTATGTGATATTGCTTTGAACGAGTAGGTACAGTCCAGAGGTACGTATTCCATCGAAATATGCCGTGTTCAAGGCTACGGTGATCAAAAGCGTATATATCACGTGACCAGCTCGTCTCAACAGCCATACCACTATACTCCATCAAGCTTAAGCGCTTACATTCTATACAAACCCTGTCAATTCTCTCGGGCCCGACAACTGAAAATTAGCGGCCGACGACGACACAGGCAGCAATCGTCTTACTCACTAGCTCGCGGCCGATTGGAATTATATCACAGGTTGATATATGCACCCAAAGGGCTCGGAGGGTATCGAGGGACCGAAGTTAGTAGATCTGCCTTCATGTCTGTGGAGTATAAGTAACTCGCAAGTCCGCTTCCTAATATCCCCTTCATCATCCTGCAATTCAAGCTCCATCTCAATATCAATCATCTCAAACATCCATCACTTTATCACATAACCTCAGCTCTTCCTCCAATAACAATTTCAACCATCATAAATTACTATTTCCACCTCCCCATTTTCCTCACAAAACTCAATCCCAAAATGGCCACCCCAACCCCGAAACTCACCGTCGCCATCATGGGCGCCGGACCAGCAGGTCTTACCCTCGCCTCCCTCCTCCGCGCTCAATCCATCCCCTATACTATTTTCGACCTCTCTTCCACCGTCTCCACTGCCGGTGGAACCCTCGACTTGCACCCCTCTGCCGGCCAAGCCGCCCTCCGCGCCGCAAACCTCTGGACGCCCTTTGTCAAACACGCGCGGCCCGAGTCCGACGTCATGAAAATCGTCTCGCCCGCCGGCGTCGTTCTTTGGGACGAGAACAAAGGCGGCGCGGACGAGCAACCCGCCCCAGAAACTGAAGACGAGCTCTTCGGCGGACGCCCCGAGATCGACCGCAGCGCACTCCTATCCATCTTGCTCGAAGGCGCTGGAGGCGCTGACGCCGTTACCTGGAACAAGAAGCTGGTTGAAGTCGTTCCCGGTGCCAATAGCACGCATACTCTACGCTTTGCCGACGGTACCGTCTCGGAGGAGTTCGATCTAGTGGTTGGAACCGACGGTGCCTGGTCCAAGGTCCGCAACATCCTGACACCCACAAAACCGCATTATTCCGGCATTTCGTCCCTCGAACTCTGGTCCCTCGACGTCGCCAACCGCAACCCTTGGCTTTCCGCGTACGCCGGCGCGGGCAACTGCTTCACTTTTGACGCGGACAGCGCAATCCAGGCCCAGCGCAACGGCGACGGCTCTGTACGCACATACGCCAGTCTGCGCGTCCCCGAGACCTTTTTCGCCGACTATGGGGTCGACTTCAACGCGCCAGACGCCGCTAAGCATGTTCCTGCGTACGTCGAGAAGTATTTCGGCCACGTTGGTGATGATCTGAAGAAGATACTGCTGTCGAGCACGGATAAAGTGATCCCACGCACGCTCTATCACCTTCCGCCCGGGTTCAGCTGGGAGGGCAAACCTGGCGTAACCTTGCTGGGGGATTCGGCGCATCTGATGACTCCATTTGCCGGTGTGGGTGTTAATGCAGCGATGTTGGATGCGCTAGAGCTTTCGAAGGCGATAGTGGCAGTCGCGCAGGAGCCGGAAAAGGGAAGTCTGGCGGAAGCTATTCGGGGGTATGAGAAAGAGCTGTTTCCTAGGGGAGAGAAGTATGCGCGGAAGACGCTAGCGAACTTGAATGGCCACTTCAAGGCAGGGGGGAGTGAAGAACTAACGGCGAGGATGAGGGCACATCATGCGCCGCATTGAAGAGTGCGTTTTAGAGCGTATTAGTGATCATTTGGAAGGACTGGGATGTTATGCGGTAAATATCTCTGTTACTAGGCGCTTTCGTTAGCTTTAGAACTGAATTTATATTGGTTTCACCGATTAGACTCCCTACATTGCACCGACTGACTTATGATCTTGGGCTATGGGCGACGTTTATACTCCAAAATAAGCAAGAACTTTCTACCAGATCGCCTCATGACACAATTAGTGGTGTCGCCTCCTTGAACACAGTCTCAAGATCCTTAGTAGTCACTGCGTCCTCCAACCACATCCTCGCCTTTTCGACCACCAACTCCCACGTATCCTTATCCGCCACAGCTTTCGTCTCCAAATATAACACTACCAGTGCCGTTGCAACTGCCGTGGCCGCGCTACTCTCATCCTTAAACGAACCCAACTTCGCAAGGGCCATCAAAAGGTCACGTGCCTTCTCTCGATCGATACCCATGCCATCGCACTCCAAATCCTGACGGCTCCACGACCCATCGAACGCCTGTTTGTTGACCAAACGCTCCAGCAACGTATCGCCCTGCACCTTACGCCTCTTCGCCGGCTGGGTAGCAGCACTCTTCGACCTCTTTTTCACCGCCGCCGCGGAACCAGCGGGAGCAAGATCGTCGGTCTCGAAGAGAGCAAAGCCCATGTCCTCGTCTGAATAGTCCACAAAGTCCTCATCCTCTTTCGCTGCGACGTCGTCTTCACTCTCTTCCTCCTCATCCACTTCAGCATCTACGTCCATGAGGATCTTCCGATGCCGCATAGCACCCCCTCTGCCAAGGCCTCTGCCTCCTCTACCTCCAGATTGGGGAGGAGGCGCAGGTGCAGACATAGGAGCAGACGCAGTCGCAGGCGCAGACTTACGCGCTGCCTTGCTGGCTAGCTGCTTTCGGGGGGCCTTCCCGCCGGTGGACTTGCGTGCTGTTTGCTTCTGCCTACCGCCAGTTGATTTCCGAGAATTGGTATTTGCTGTTGATCCCAGGTTAGGATCGCGGCCATAATGAAGTGAGGCATGCGCAAGAAACTGACCATCATCGGAAGACTCAGAAGCAACCATTACGAAGCCATCGTCGTCGCTTTCCGTAGCCTGACTCCCGATCTTTTCGAGTGCCTGTTGGCGTTTGGCTGCGATTTCGGCCTCGTTTGCCTCGACGGCTACGAAGGAGCAGTACTTTCCTCCGACCTGGAATTGGACTCCGAGGCGGACAGCCTCGCGTTGAACTATGGCGTCGAAGTTCCCAGCGTACTGGTTTCGAACGAGTTCGCCACCTTGGCTTTCAGCATCGTATATCCATCCGCGGCCTTCTTCTAGCTCTTGGGTTGCTTTCCGAGCGGCAAGCTGATGGATAGTAGTACCAGGGGCCTCAAGTGCTTGCACTGGTATTTCAAGTTCCAGTGGTCCTTGTGGGGAAGTTCCGCGCAAAATTACAGACGTGGGTGTCGTGTTCGAGGTTTCTGACGACATCAACACATAGACAGACGTGCGATTAAAGGGATATAGGGGTGGGATAGTGTGGGGCGTCTGCAGCAGCTTTGGGTGCGAGATCTTTGGCAAATGACCGAAGCGATCTTGGGATACGAGTTTGTTCTCTGCTTCGTCTTTCTCGGCTGCTCCTGCGTCGAAAAGAGAGATCGGCTTGTTGCGGAGCGCATATCGCTCAGGTGAGCCTTGGGTGTTGTCGTTGTCTGACAAAGTCAGGTTGAGCTTGAGGCTATCAGACACCCGGTCAATAGCATTGTCTCGGTATTTGATATCCAGAGAGTAATCTTTGACATGCGGGGTAAGAGCTCCTTTCAGCATGCGAACAACCTTGCCGTTAATTTTTTCTCCATTGCCTACCATTTGCGCGAACCCGTTTCCAGCGCGGGCGATGCCTTCAATGAGTGAACTGGATACTCCACTTCCGATGCCGAGGGGAAAGACTCTCACGGCCCCGTCTTTGGTGTTGTCCTTGATGTAGTCGAACAACGTATCTTGCGACCAGATGTCACCATCGGTGAGCAGCAAGATCTCTGTCTCGAGATCTTTAGTCCGAGTCTCAAAGGCTTCTTTCACTGCTGCAAAGGTCTCTGTGCCGCCAAAGTCTGCCGAGAACTTGCTGACGTATTTCATAGCTTGATCCAGGGCGTCTTGGCTATATAGCTTGCTCTGAGGCCAGAGCAGCTCGTGACGTGAGCCGAAAGACAGAATATTGAACCTTACGCCCACTGGAAGGGACTTAAGGAAAACCTGCAATGCAGAGATCGAAGTCTTCATGGGACCACCTCCCATACTTCCGGACCTATCGGCAATGAAAACGATCTCGGGTTTGGACGGCTTGAGGGAGAATTTGGGAACCAGACTGAGCATCAATGCGCGGTGGTTAGGGATGGATGAGTGGGTCTCCAAGAGGGCCTGTGGCACACCGACGTCTTTGGCGACTACCTGAAGCACGAAGTCGGCATCCAGCTCTGCTTTTCCAAGAGCTAAGGTTGCTGATGCCTTGTTGGAGCTGAACTGTGCATTATCAGACGACGTCGACAGAGTGCCAAGAGATACAGCGATGGGGTGAGTTGGAGACTGAATCTTCTGAAGCGGAGCATCCTCAGACATTGTGACGTCGACCGTGATAGAGATCCCACCCCCAGAAAGGGTAGATGCAGAGATTAGTTGACCAGGATAGTTTCCGTAGCGCGGGGCGATAGACGTAGGCAGGGTGTAACGAACTCCATCAACTTCGGCATCGTGTTTGAGCTCTCCGATATACGTGATAGTCACCACAACCTGAGAATCCCCCGGGATGTTGCCGATCGTTGTAGTAAAGACGTCGGCAGCGTCGGGTAGCTGTTCCAAGAGGGCGGCCTTTTCTCCGCGTTTCACAGCTTCGTTGTAGGCTTTCTTGGCTTCGTCATTTTCCTTGACTAACCCATAGATAGTGCGGTCCCCAACCTGACACTTGAAGTCCACTACACTGACGCCATCGAAGAGCGGAAAAGCATATCTGACATCATTAGCATGACTGACAGTGTTTGAAGAGGGATGGACTGCTTACTTTATTTCGTCGATCGCTCTCGCCGCTTCGAAGGTTTGCGTCAAGACAGTACTGAAAGCAGTAGAGAAGATGGTCGTGTGTGCATCTAGATGCGTCTGTGGAAGGTAAACCCGCGTCGACCCTCCAGATGGTGTGGGTTGAAAAAAATAGCAACTGCATATGTGGCCGCCATAACGAGGCAAACCACCACGGGGTGGCTGGTTGGTTCGGACCATGATGGGTGAAAATGATCGAAAGACGAAGGCTGGAGAGTTGAAAGACACTGGTTGAATGCGTCCAGATTGTGGAGAGAAAAGGAGTTCGTTGGGGTGGGCAGTGCACATGGTTTTATACCCCTCAGCCCCGTCTCGCGTAGTTGCCTAGGGCAAATTTCCGACCACACTACTGGTCAAACAAACCTGCATCATATCAAAGAGATATGTGACTCATAGAACCTGCGCCGATCTAATAAAGTGACGCAACCTTCCAAGGCCAGGGTACTACGACATTATGGGGTTGATACTACTGTCCGTAGCCCCTGGGGCCAGGGGGTCATGCTCTCGCCACACCACCCGCACCACCCCACCTAGAAGAAGAAGAAGCGTGAATTAATGGAGAATGGGAATGACTTGATACTTGAAGAGAAACGAAGTACATATTTCATTCATTCTGTAAAGACTTGTGGATAGAGATACATGCGTGTGCAACGAAGCCCGCTGCCTTGGCTTGTCGGCATGTAGAGATGCGGACTGTCCTACTGAGAACCGAGAACTCATACCTCAATCTGTGCTGACTGATTCTAGATACTTTTGACATGGAGATAGCCCTTCTTACCCTAGTTGGGCACAAGCTAAAGTCACGTTCCTATTCAGTCAGGATGCGGTTGAAGTCTTTGAGAAGTTTCGGTGCCCAGGCCACTCTAAATCCTCTCGTTTTAATGGTGGAAACCGTGTTGTATCGACATAATCGTTGTGGCTCTCTGTACAGAGACGAAGAGGGCCGTGGAACATCTGGTGAGGTGAGGAGAAATCTGACGCTATGCCCTAGCAGGACTAGTCAAAATAGCACGTGGAATTCTGAAGTCTATTTAACGTTCACGAAAGCATGTTCGTCTATCTAGATCTAAGGAAAGCTCCTGTTATGGAAGACGTACGTTCAAGTAATGATCCGCGGCTGGGCTGGATGGAAGATGGTCGCTTCAAGATATGGTCACGTGCTCTTCCCTTATCTCTCCTTTGGACTTTTCTTGGTTTCACATCGTTCTTTTAGAGCGTAGAGACTTATTTGAAGGATTCAAATACCTAAAAGGAAACGTAGCAACGAGAACCATCCTACAATGCTACCGCAGCAGGTCATCTTGGAAAACAACAAATTATCTCACCAACGATACCAAACTACTTATTCGCGGCACCCTCAATCCTCACCCTCCATAAGAAGCAGCAATAGATGCGTGTGCCGCATTTAGTAGGATTACACCGCCATCGTCCCATCTCGTCCACCGCCCATTCATCCTTCACCCTGCTCGGCCCTGCGTCACCTCCTTACGCCGTAGCACTCATCGCCGACTTCGACACTTGCCTCCCAACAAAATCTTTCTTCCGACTCTAACGTCAAGAGTGTGTGCATAAAGCAATTGCAGGCCTTACACCAGCAACCCTGCTCAGTGATCCTCCAAAAGCAGGTGCTCGACCAGGATCCCAATCCTACCCCAAAGCCAGTGCCAAGACTGGAAAGCAAGATCGTACGTTACCGTTGCCGTTGCAATACAACCTAGTTCCCAGTCACACTGAAAGAAGCGTGGCATTGTTCGCCGTTGTTCCAGGATACCCGGGACCGTAGAGGGTTGAAACCGCACTAGAATGCCTGCTCAGTGAAGGATTGTAGGGTAGTCACATTGGTTACATGCTGAAACCTTGTGCAAAATGGTCTGATTATCTAAAAGAGAGTCGGTAAGTGCCGACTCACCGTTCACCTTGCCCACGCGGCGGGACGTTGAAACAGCCTTACGCTAGTAGCGTTGGGATCAAGCGATGAACTACCAGCCACTTTCAAGGCCCACGTTGAAGGATTGTGCGCTGACGAACGGTTGAGAGAGCGGAGATTTGAGACGGAATGATTCAGCTGAATGGTTTGATTATTTGCCGCCAGCTATTGAACACTTGTATCGAACAAGCTATGTAAAAATGCTATACCCCGAAAAGTCATATCTGCAATGAAAGCAAGGTTTGCTGCATCTTAATGTGCATAAATACAAACGAGAAGAATTTTGTATCCATGAAAGCAGCTCGATTCGCTCCTGCGCTATCTTCATAACCTTTAGAAGCGACGCAATCTAGTAACTGCATCGTTCCATTTTGGCTTCTGTGTGTACTTTACATTTGGAAATGGCAGATGATATATGCAAAGTAATATTCTCATACTGATATACATGTTCCTAATACGGCGTGTTGCATCTCTTCTGTTACAAATCAATCATTGCTCGCTGCTAAAACGCCACCACTAGGTATACTCACAATGTTCAATTGGAGAAAATTCGTAAAACTTAGCCTTTGGGAACAACTCTGTCGGAAATTTGATTGTATATGAGGATGTGTTCGTAGGCCATCATCCCTTCCAGTCCAAATATTGAGTGGAGCAAGGAACAACGGAAGAAGGAGAGGATAGACCCTTCATAGCTTCTTCATGGTTGGAAAGGGATAGGATTCTGTGCCATGGCATATACAGTCGTTTGCACTGAAGTCACCGTCGTCCAGACGAGGCTAATCTTCCTCAAAAGGCTAGCAAAGCGCCCCATAAGCTCTTCGTTGTTCGCGCGATAGAGCCTGAGGTCTTTACCATGAGTAGCAGCCGAGTCCTCCATGTTTAGCTTGGCGGATGTCGGCGATGTATGCGTGCCCGCATAGGCCCACACAATAACAGCAGCGTGAAGCAGCGCAACGTTAGAGAGAATGTTGAAGCTGGCGCGACTATCCAGCGGGCGCTCTGCTTCCGTCATGATCAAAGACCAAGTAGCGCACGCATGTTCGGTCGCATCCCATGCGTCTGTACTTGTCGACCATTGGTAAACGGCTTCGAGGGACGAGTATTGGGGTTCTCCTTTTACGACATCGAGAAACAGTCGGTGAATTGTAGGAAGATCTGATCGCAACTGTATGAAGCTGAGGTTGTAGAGGAGGTGGCTTGCTAGAAGTGTGTCGCGATGATGTGCTATATGCAAACGGGTCGAGTTAGCTACCATGGCCCGCTTCCATTTTCTCAGAGCGCTCAAGATCCTGTTGTAATCGTTCCGCAGATCGCTCATATGACGACGAGAATGATCTAGCAAATCGATGCGGCCAGTTTCTCGTCTGCTGAGCCACAAGTCCGAGTCGGCGATTTGCTTCTGGCTGATAGGGGACGCTGGACTCGCTGACGACCGCTCGTTAGAAGTATCGTATGAGCGTTCTGAGGTAGAGCGATCGCTGGAGTTTGGAGTCGCGCCAAGTCGAGACATAAGACCTGGGTCGTGACTGAAGCGCCAGACTTGAATATTTAAGCCGAAGAGGAGCAATTCCAAGTGATGTGGGGAGAGTACCGGTAGCTCCTCCTCTTGTTCTAGTGCTATGTTAACTAGATCGCAGTACACGTACGAAGGCTGCTCGTCCGCTAGGTGTAAGAGCTCTTGCGCTAGTTGTTGCTCTCCTCCGCATTGATCGAACAACGTATTTGGGCAGGGGAGGCGCATTTTGATTTCCTCAAACGACACCAAAGGACGCGTGCCGAGCAGGATGCTAATGAAGACCTCCAATCGGAGGATACCAAACGCGAGACGTTTGCGAGATTCGCACCTGATCCATCGTCGGACCAAATCATCGATTGGCTTCCCAGAATTCTTGCGTTCAGTTAAAGCGGGAATGATATCCTCGCTCTCGCCGAAGAGATTCATCTTTCGGGCGAGAGAAACAACGATACTGCCAAGTTGCTGGGCAGTTGAGAAGGCCCTGCGATGTCCGAAATAAAGGGTTGCGGACTGGATCTGAACAAGAGACTGGCAAAGAGACTCATCGGGAAGAGACTGTTTGAAGCTGGCCATAACGAAGGCCATACGCAGGCCGTCTAACATTTGAAGATGGAAGTTTGCAGCTGCCTTGCTAGCGTAGACTGCACCGATTGCACTAAGGGTAATGTACAAATGAGGATGTATGTCGTTGAAGGCAAGATCGTGCCTCCAGAACATAGGCCAAAGGGGATGGAAGTTTTCCAGAAAGAGTTTGATGAAGTATTCAAAGATGTGACCAGATGGCCCATCCGCGGGTAGTATCCCTTGTAGGTCGAAGGCTTGTTCTACTTTGATGGCAGCGACTCGCCAAAACCGAGCACGCTCACAGATGCCATCTGCCGAATCTGGCAACTCAAAACATTTGTGTATGAGCCACGCTTTCGTCTGCTCCTGAGCAAGATGGCCCTCCACTGGCGTCCCATCTTCATCGAGCGCGCCGGAAGTACGAGTGTTTGATAGGGGTGTGGTGGTGCCTGTGGAAGCGGAGATGACCTTATCAAGCTCAAAAGGACAATTGGACATGCCAGGCTCGTGCGAAGAAGTAGATGGTTGAGCCGTTTCTCTCTCCCGAGAAACAACAGGGGGTATAGAGTGCAACGATGGTGGTATGGTATGCTGTGGGGTCAGCGATGGTTGGTGCCCGGTTTGAGGTGTTGACCCCATGGATGAGTGCCACGTCGTGGCTGGCGTATTAGAAGCAATGGTAGATTCCCACGGCATTCTGGTCTGGAGGGTAGCAGTCGTCTCAGGCGTTAGGAGCTGAGATTGGTCATCCCATCCTGGATCCTGTGAGAGATACATCGCTTCGTGTAGCCATGGCCACGCCGCGTTTTGGGACCAGAGCTCGCCCGTCCATGCAGAAGACAGGGCCAATTCAGGCGTCCAGTCCATCTGGTGCGAAGCGTCCGCATTCAGCATTTGAGCCGGAGATGTCACGTTAGAACTCGGGAAGGGGCCCACGCCTCCTGTGGGGAAGGGACCAATGGCTTGGCCAGCTTCACTGGGCATGCCGAACGAGCTCTTTGGTGGCGAGAGGGGGGTGCCGGGGAACAACCTAGTCGAGGCGTCGGATATCGCGCGATCTCGATCCCTGTACTGGCAGCGATAGTCGCCACGAGCACATCTGGTGCAAGGTACGAGGCGATCGCACTTGATTTTGAGCTGGGAGCACCGCACGCAGGCGCGGTTGTCCCGCCGACGGGGCTTTGAGGCCTCTCGCGACGAACTGCGCTCGTGGATCTGCATGTGGCGGTCGAGCAGGTCCTTGCGCTTGAAGCCGGCCTGGCATATGCGGCACACGTGATCATTGCTGCTGGAGTGGTTCTTGCGATGCCGATTCAGAGTCTCGACGGCCTTGTAGCCGCGACTGCACTCGGGGCAGTAGAAGCGCGGCGAGCTTGGCGGGCCTCCACTGACGCCCGCAGCAGACGGGTCGGACGAGGAGTGGCGGTCCATGTCGTCCATGGCGGACGCGGCGGAGGTGGTTTGGGCGATATGTACGGAGGATGAAGTGGTCTGCATGCAGCGGGGGCCGCAGCGGAAGGATGAGCAGTCCACCCCGCTTCTCAACGGTCGACGCGCCCAGCCGGGTGCTGCGTGTTGCGCTGGGAACGAGTGCTCTCGCGTCGTGTGTCGTGGGCCGTCGTGGTGTTGCACGATCGTCGGCTCGGGATAGGCTGACTACTGCAGCGTTACCATAGCCGCAGGCGGTGAAGCATGCCGTGACAAGCGGTGGTCTGCAGCGTTGAGAGGGATCCCGACGAGGCGGCTCGGAGTACAGGTGGTTGGGAGGTGGAGGAGATGACTTGCAGGTGGGGCCGGAGAGGAGAGATGGCCGAGTGGTGCTCGGGGAAGGCTTTGCGGCCAGCGCTTCCGCGTGTTTATCTACTCGACGAGCTGGGCGGGCATATGGGCATGCGTTCGAGGGGCACGGGATGTCAGAGGCCTCGTGTTGCTGGCGGCGCTGTCGCGGGCTGCCCGTCCGGCCTCGACGTTGAAGATGCGGGCGGCCTTGGCTTGGCAACACGGGAAACGCCATCAGCCACGGATGACGACCTGCTTGAAGGATGCGCGATGGTCCCGGGGTCGCTGGCGGATCGGCCTATCATCAAGCCTCGCCGAGCTTCCATCGCGGCAAAGGATCCGCGACTGAAACGCCGCTTCGGCCGCCACCTCTGGACCGGGGTGCAGCTCTCGCTAAGCCCGGGGTGTTTCCCCTCGAATGTCAACCACGGACGAGCAAAATCAGGCAAAGACCGCAGCCGTATTCCATACCTAATTAGCACACCGTGCAGTCAATACCAGCGTGCTTCCAGCTGGTGACAGGCTTCCCCAATCTTGCGCCCAGGGAAGGATCCCGATCGTCTGGAAAGGGGCAGACGTCAGGCCCGCTGATTCGACCAGCAGATAGTGCAAGGATGCGCCGCGGAGTCGACGATAGGCTGTACCATTTTGCAGATATTCGATACTCTGGTATTCCTATTCGGGAATGTTGCGCAAGCAACGTCAGTTGTCTCGACGCGACTGCGCCGCTCTCGCCGTATGCCGCGAGAATTTGCCCTAACTACCGTCTCGACGAGCGTTCTGCGTGTTTTCCGGGCGCGAGAGACCAGCAGCCCCTTGCTCCAGGATGCGAATCAATCTCCCTGTGGCAGTTTCGAGGTGCTGGGGCACGCCAATTGGTCACAAAGGCCTTTGAAATCAAGTGTTCGAGCGACCAAAAATAGTAAAGGATTCTAGCTGCCAGCGTTTGTAGCGCCTTGAACGTTGGCCGCGCTAGATCCCGCTAGGCTGCCCAGAGCATTCTACCGATTGAGTTAATGTTAGCATTTACCAAGATTCAGTGTGGTCGAGCATCACGTGGGCGAGCCGCTAGCGTCTGCGCTATTCCTAACTAATAAATCACCATCTTCACCAAGGGTGGTGGGCAACCTTTCGCACAATTCATTACTGTACCGAAAAGTAAGCAGTCGCCACTCACCGGTACTACTCTTAAACTTTGTCTATCTGTCGTTATCGCAATATCAATAGGTAAAAGGCACCTGCGCAGTGGACGACTAGGCCCGCCTTAGGGCATGTGGGGGCCAGTCGTTGAAAATAGGGGGAGCATCTCTGGTCCAAATCGCCGGAACACAGGTGGCAAACGTGCGTGGCTCCCTGTCACTGTCACGGAACGGCCACGTTTAATGGCGATGCTGGAGTTGTCTGATCGCAAGAATGGGGAGGCTTGTCCATGTCTAGCACACGCTGGCCCTATTCTAACAGCCACATTATCGCTACCCATGGCAGCCGAGAAAGTCTTTGGCTATCGGGAAGGCTCACCGCACGGGTGAACGATGAACGGTAGGATGAAGATCACGCGCAATGCTTCATCCTGCAAGGCTCTCACGAACCTCCAATGGACGTTGCCGCTGCGGGTGACGTGCGATGTGACCGTTGACTACGCCTCACCGCCGCGTAAGTCTCTGCACGCATACAGAAATATATCCCCCGTCGCGACGCCGCAACTGCACGAGGCTCGTACCCTGTGTGCCAATTGCATTGCCGTTGACGTTCTCCATGAATAGACGGGGAGGCCGTGCGCTATGCTGCCGCTAGTTCTAAACGGGTGGGCCCTGAATCTGTGCTCTCGTATCGAATCGTCACGACAAACCGCCTCCGATCGATCTTAGGGCTGCACTTCAAGTTGTTCTCCTAACCGTCCTGGCAGAAGCTTCACACGGACACGGCCCATGGTGACATTCCGTGTTCTTCTCCAGGGCTTCTTTGCCGTCTCATTTGCCCACTGTTTTGCGGTCGCCACTTCTCCTGCAGCACACCTCGCACCATCTCCTATCACCACATGCCTCGCACCATGTGGTATTGGCAACCTTTCCCTTGCCCTCCCATTCATCGTCCTGTCTTCCCGAAACGCCTCCAGCTGATGCAAGGAGACGGTGCACCCGGAGAGCAACCTTGAAACAGGCAATCCTGCCCGTGAGCTCTGCAGCATGACATTTTGCATCGTGGCAAGGCGCAGCTTTCGCTCAGTGCTAGTAGGCATGCGGAGTAGTTTCATCGAGTGAGTGGTTCTGATTTCTTTTTGTCGATATCCCACGTCCGCACTTTGAGGACTTCCATCACAGGTCCGGGGACCAGATTCCCAAGTTCGGACATCGACGGACACGCATCTCGATCAGGGCAATCCTTGCTACTTGTGCTCGAGAGTCATCGACATACAGCATCCATCACCGCGGGTTGTGCTCTACCCGACATAGAGTTCTACACTGGTCTGTGATTGGGTGTGTCACCTCGTAATGAGGGACACAATCTATTCTCAGCCAGTATAGACGCTAGCGAATGCATCTTCTTCGGATAGATAGCTAAGTGTTTGCAATCATAATCTGGTGGTCGATATCTGCGTTAGGGTCGTAGCGGAAAGTTTCTCCTGCAGTAGAGGCAAATGGGTTGCGGAAGATAGCCACAGACGCTCACATCTAACCCTCTCTTTCGCCTCCTGATCCACTTGCCCTCGTAATAGGGCCTCTATGGAATACAAGAGATGTAGGTAGGCAGCCGATATTGCCAACAATAGATTGAAGAAAAATTCGGAGCTTATGGAGCCATTAGTGTCTAGGCATAGCATTGCAATAACATACTCGTATCATTTCGATATCAATGCCTCGGCTTGATCTTTAGCACAAGGTCGTCCTCAGGCATTGGCCCCATCAGCCCTAGGTTCGGATTCATCACATTGAGCCTCGGGAACCTTTGCTTCCCCTTCTCCGGATTGGCCAGCTTCAGCTCATATCTCGTGAGCACACTTCCTACAAAAGCAAATGCTTCCCTCTTCGCCACGTGCCTACCCGAACACATGGATACTCCTCCTCCGAATGGTCTGAAGCTCGTACTATTGGCTAGCTTCCTGTCACGCATGAAGCGTTCTGCATCAAACGTGGCCGCGGTCTCGCCGAAGACTGACTCGTCGAGTAGAGTCTGGCGCTGCGGGATGAGCAGCTTGCGTCCGGCACGGAACGTCTTCCCGCGAATTGTCGTGTCGGAGACGATGTATCGGTACGTCGATGAGGAAGCGGTAAGGCGGAGGACGTCGTTCCAGATAGAGTCCAGCAGCGGACACTGGTTCAGGAGGTAGTTAATATCCAGATCGGCATCTTGCGAAGGAAGTGCGGCAGAGGCCTCCTCGACAACTGCTGCCTTCAGCCCGTCCGAGTGCACGATGTGCGCTAGCATCCAGAACGCTATCTTGAATGAGTTTGCATTCGTGCTAAATCACTCTCGTCAGTGTTCTGTCACTCGCCAACGCAGATGGACGAAGTGATCTTACACCCAGTACTGCTGCATTGTCCTGATAGCCCGATCCCTTACCCCCATTCCCAGCTCCTCCTCCAACTTATCCGTCTCCCGGAACCACCACGCCTTATCCGTCTTCTTGTCTGATAACTGCACATACCTCATAAAGATCTGAATCAGCTCCTCCTTCAGCTCGTACGTCTCCTTAGCAAACATCTCAGGGTAGTTGTAAATAACCATCCACGACTTATCATCGAACCTCAGAAACGTATCCGTCAGCTGGGGCTCCATCTCCAACAAGCAATGCCCAAACAGCGCATGCGTCGTCGCCCGAATCAACGACTGCGCCGCCCAATTCTTCACCAACACAACACGGCCCCCTTCCCCCGTCGATCCAATTACATACTTCCCCTCCGGTGTCCCACTTCGCATCTCCACCTCAAACAGCTGCATGAAGTCCCGCGATAAGATATCCATCTGGTGCCCAGGAAGCAGCTGCGAATGCCGTATATGCTCAGACATGTAATTATAGTCCTTCAAACCCCCCCTTTCCCCCTTGACGGCATCCACGAAAGCTGGCCGTGTCATCTGCTCCGTTCCAGCGTCCGAGACGCCAAAGGAGCGGTTGATGTTCACCTGGTCTGTGGAAAGCGTTGTGGTCTCCTTAAAGACGCCGGAAACGTCCCGCGGCGAGGTGAGGATGTAAATTGTCTCACCAAAGACGGTGACGGCAAAGGGTTCGCGGGAATTGGCGAAGTGGACGCGGCCGGCTGTGAACAGCGCTTGGCTATCGCGTAAGAAGCGGAATCCGTGGCCGATTATGGGGATCCAGTAGGGTAAGGGGCGAGGTTCGTTTGGGTGGAGTAATGGGCGGAGAGTGAAGGTCCAGAGGCGCCATGTTAGAAGAGATGATCCTACTACTACGCTAGTCAGAACGAGGTTGAAGAGAGCATGGCCACAGGTGTTGGCGAGGTCGGTGTATGACTGGTGGAGGTAAATGATAATCATCTATGCGGTGCGCAGTCGCTAACGTGTGTAAAGAGTGAGATGTGTAGATAGGTTATAGGATTTGTGCGACATTAGTATATTTAAAGCGTCTATCTTTCGACACGTATATTGCATATTTATATGGTTATGTGTAGGTAATAGAGGGGGTGTGTACGTGAGCATCCAACCTGTCACAGCATGCTGTCAGACAAATATGACAGCATCTGGAATCCCGCCACGCCTGAAAATCTGGGGTAATGCGGAGAAGATACGAGCGTAGAGGTATTAGAACAGTGCTTAGACACAAGTTTCGGCACGCCGACCTTTCATCTCCTCCCGATCTATGATGACGTGCTGAAGCACCACAAACAGCGCCAAGCATATAGACTGTCCAGCATAGGAGATAGCTCTAATTCAAGCTCTTAGGGACTTTACGTCTTATCAAAGCTTTTAGCATGCGCCGAAGCACCTCCAACGGTGTTGAGCAAATATGCCTGGACTTTTGGCGAGCCACTGTACCTAGGTGGCGTTTCGGAAGTACTGCAATGGCCGGAATTGGGAGTTGCGTCAGGTTGCGTAGATAAGCCAGTCGTGATCCGGTTTGGATGTGCTAAATCTCAATTCAGAAACAGTGTTACTAAGATAGGCAGGACTCAGCGTGGCCAACGTCGCAAAGTATCGAGCCAAATACCAAGAGACAGACTCTAAGATATTCTACAAGGTGATTACGTTTTATAAGCTAGTTGAAGGCAATGAGCCGCTTCCCTGGTTCATTTCTAATGCGGAATGCTGTTCCCTACCATGTTCACCGGAAGAGGGCTACACTGTAACCGTATTATGTGACACGGTGGAATGTATGCTGCCTGAAATCTAACGGAATTACTGGATTGGATCGATGCGATCGCCCATTGGGGTCCGAAACTTTTGCGTTGGGCCTAAGCTGAAACCGTTCCAAACTAAGATCTAAGCTTACTGCTACCTCCGGTACTTATCTTGAACGACTCCCTGGCCTAGGAGCTGGGTCTTCAGCCTTTCAACTTCGGTAAAACTTTGAAATCTATGCATCATGGCTTCTGGGTCGCAATCCCTCACTGCAATCGCGACGCAACTCCTCGAGTCGGCAAAGGTCATTGATGCATATCTTGAGGAGCACAAACTCCCTCCTATCTCCATTAGCGCTGGTGCCAGTCCAGACTTCCCCGTGCCTCCGTCGGAGAAGAACGTCCATGCAGCTCGGCAACTAATCCTGGACCTCTCCGAGGCTCTGAGCGAGAACGTGCTGGGAGCCAGAGATTTGCTCGTCGAGTGTTCATGGGGAGGCGTAGGTGTACCTAACAATCTCTAGTAAGAGACTGACACGCCAAAAGCACCACACTAGCTCCGCTATGCGCGCCATCTCCTCTTTCGAGCTCTACGCCAACGTTCCGGAGTCTGGAAGTGCTACTTTCGAGCAGATCGCTAGCAAAACTAACCCTCCTCTGGCTGTTGGATTTGTCAAAACGATTCTCCGATATGCCATGACCCAAGGTGTATTTTGCGAGCCCAGGCCGGGCCATGTCGCTCATACTGCTCCTTCTTTGTTGCTGCTAAAAGACCCGCTCGCGCGTGCCTTTGTTGCTAACAACGCGGATGAAGTGTTTCCTGCAGCCGCAAAGACGGCGGATGCGATGCGGAAGTGGCCTGATGCTGAGGCACCAAATCACACAGGCTTACAGCTTGCCTACGGAACTGACAAGGGCATGTTTGAGTGGTATGCGAGTGACGAGGGCGAGGCGAAAGGAAGAATGGCGAAGTTTGCGGGTTCGATGCAGTTTTGGAGTGCTGGTGAGGGGTTTCTAGCTAAGCATGTTGTGAAGGGGTTTGATTGGGGTAGTCTTCCAGAGAACGGACTCGTAGTTGACGTGAGTATCTCAAACATTTCCATATGTGAGGGTAAAGTGTTATTGTAGGGTCCTTGAAATAATGAACTGACAGCGTATCGCTAGGTCGGAGGTGGCTCTGGCCACATCAGCATTGCCATCGCGGAAGCCAATCCTTCCCTCCGACTCATTGTCCAAGACTTGCCCGGGCAGTCCGAGCAAGCATTGGCTGAAGCCAAAGTCAATGAGTCAGGCCTCATCTCCTCAGGTCGCCTGGACTTCAAGCCCGCCAACTTCTTCGCACCGCAGCCCGATTGGCTTGAAGCTGAGTCTGTGGATGCCTATTTCCTACGATACATCTTCCACGACTGGAACGATGAGCACTGCATCAAGATCCTTCGGACCCTGCTTACAAGCGGTAAATTGAAAAAAGGAGGCCGCATCGTACTTGCTGAGAGCGTGATCCCACCTCCGGAGGCTGCACCCCATCTGCCAAAGACGGTGTTGAAGTCGATCAGGAGGCTCGATATGCAGATGCTCACAGTACTGGGGAGTCATGAGAGGACGTTGGATGACTGGCAGGAGTTGTTCTTCAGAGCAGACCCAAGGTTGAAGATTGAAGAGGTCAACCAGCCTGAAGGGAGTGTATGTACAATGTTGGCTGCACGCTTGCAGAGTTGAGACGAAAGCATTTATTGAATTGAAGGATGGCATTTAGAGCTAGAGCTTCGAGGTGCAACTCGCACAATATTTAGCTGACAAGATCAGCATAAGATGTAGCAACATTACGACGTACCAGGGGTACAGACGGACTGTGGCCTGTAGTAGCACACGTACAATGCCTCGTCATAGAAATCCGTACACTCGTTTACCGCTGCATGAGGAGCTTCATTGTATTTACAGCATTCCAAATGAGAAAGAAACTCCGTGTTTTAGACTACTAGTAAACTCGCGAGACTACCCCAGACAGCGTCATCAGGGTGTACGTAGATTGGAATATTCTATCCACTGCCTTCGGTTTCTATAGACAGTGGCAGCAAAGCGTACGGATATCGATGGCAAGGCACTGTAGGTGGCTGAGCATTGCGTGAATAGCTACGACCGGCTCTCACGGTCACTCTCGTGCCGGCCACGCGCGTAGAGGTGGTGCGTGACTGGTGGTCACGGGTAAGACGGGCAGTAGGTGATCGTGAAGCGTGCGTATCGCGGCGCTAGTCGCATTGAGGCTCACATCACGTGGTCTTGTGAGGTCTGGTAGTTTACAGTATCGATGTCCAGTTGGAGATGCCGGATAAGCGTTGGAATCCAGGCCACTGTTGTTATACTGCCGTCTCCTCGAAATAGCATTCCGAGGGGCGGTACCGGCTATCCCACCTGCATGAGCTCCCCTCCCCCTCCATCCCCAACACGGTACTCGATATCTAGACACTCCCCCTGGCCGCACCCGAGTCCCAACACTTCTACCACCCCTCCGCAAGCTGCACAGAGATAACGCCGTGGTCCCCCTCCACCGCGCCCCCAACGACCCAGCATCCATATATCAGCGCCAGCTCTAGCCACGCAAAGCTCCCCGCCTTCGCCCCGCTCGCTGTCTCTGGCGTCTAGCAATCGATGCTGGCGACTCTGTAGCAGTAGTAGGCACCAGCAACGGGCGTGAAACGTGTCCTTAGAGCATTCTCCCCAACCCGTCCGGCACGAGCCATCCACGTACACGAGGCGCGGTCATCGGCTTTGTGACGCATCGCCTTGTTTGAGATCCTCCCTCTCACCCCTCTAGCCGATCCCGCCCAAAGCACCGCAAACAACCTTCACCCTCCCTATCTCTCGAGCCGCGCGCAGAAGAGTGCCAGCCCGCCAGCGCCAGAATACCATTTGAATGAGCCCTTCGCCCGACCACGCTGCCGACCTCACCCATCCCTATTCAAACGTCGGCTATCTCTACCAGCAGCAGCGGAACCGCCCCAAAGCCCTGGAGCACTTGCAGTCGCGCGGCCGGCACATTTCGAGATATGAGCTGGGAAGAAAAGATAGGTACGGGGAGCGCGTCACACGCATCTACCCGCGAGAGTTGTGAGTACACTTCTCCTTGTGCTGCACAATGGGCGGAAGCTGTAGACGCTGGCTTTGAGATGTCGAGCCTTCCCTTAGCTTCCGTCCTTCCTGTATAGGCACGAACGCGAATCATGGCACTCCCTCGTAGCGGAAGCCGTCCTACCTCCTACAGTGAAAACGGGTCAAAGATGGCTTATCAGCTCGCGAGATATGAGTCTTTTATGCACAAAGCGCCCTTTTCCATGACAACCTGTGACTAACTTTGCTCTTTCTAGAACCAAATCCCCGCCCTCACGATACCCGACCGGTTCCCCCCCAGCGCAGCCTCCTTATAATGCTACAACTTCCCCACTGCTGTCGGCTCTGGGCACGACTACAAACACTGCGGCACAATACACGAGCGAGTGGACGAAGTCCTTACCCTTCTTTGCCAACCAGCCACCTCCAACCAACGGCATTAGTATCAGTGGATCACCTCCGATCCATCATTCTCCAGCAGGACAAGGAGGCATGTCAAGCTCGCCCCCCGCACCCGGAATGAGGCCACTGAGCCACCCGAACCACTACCCTAGTTTCGGCGGGCGGCTGCAGCCCTCTCCCAAGCAGTCGCCCGGGAGAGATAGGCGAGCTTCCATGTACTCACAGTACGGCGCTCGGACTCCATTCCAGAACAACCCACCTCTCCCCCATCAACCACAAGCTCACTACTATAATCTTCCTGATTTCGATCTGGGCTTGACTCCACCTCCTAGTGACGGCACTATACCAGGAGAGCATGGGTACTTTTGTGGGTTCGATACTATCTGCATGGGGGGAGATGACGCTTCGCAGATAGCTGAGAATGTGCTCCTGGTTGGTTACGAGGGCGGGCTTGAGGTTTTCAGAGTCGAGAAGGGAAGGATGGACCTGGTCGGTCGACTTGAAGGTCTAAAGGGGAGTGTGATTGGCGCGAAGATACTTCCCTGGGCATCAAGAAGAGACCCACTAGCCTCTACAAGACCTCTCATAGTCCTCATCATTCACGGTCCGGCTGTCGACGACGTTAGTGCTGGAAGTGCGTCTAACTCGGTTGCTGTCACGGACGAACATGACGGCTCGTCGAATTCTCCCAGCAGGCCAGCGTCCAATAGCGGCAACCCTGCTGTGAACTCGATCTCAGGCTACCGGACCACCCTTGAGGTGTATTCCTTGAAAGAGAGGAAGCACCTCTCGACGTTGTATACAAGCCCACCTGTGCCCATAACAGATCCAATCGAAAGTCCGATGTTCCAACCTCCACCCCCCATAGGCGACTTTGTAGTTGACGCAAAGGGCAAATTTGTCGTCCTAGCTTCTGGAGCTAGCGGGGAGGTCTTCGTCTTCGCTCCCTACACTAAAGTTAATACCGAGACCCTGGGTACATTCCGGTGCATTGGTAAAGTTTGGACTTCAGTCCAGTTCCGGGATCGTGGATCACATTCTAGTTCCTCAAGTGCAGCCGATGTGAACAGTCACGAAGAACAAGTCCCCGAGCAATATGGCGTGCCTTTATTCTCTCTTAGTGACCGCTGGCTAGCTGTTGCGCCTCCTTCATCAACAACACTCCTCCCGATCGATGGTGTTGCAACGACATCGAAGTCACACGAACGACCTCCAGGCTTAGCTCACCACTCTGTTCCACCTCAGCCTGCGCCGACATGTGCAGTCGACGCTCCGGAGCCCGATGGCTTACTGAATCGACTGACAAGAGAAGGTACTCAAGTTGCCCTAAAAGGAGCACGGTGGGCTACGGATAAGGGAATTCAGGCTTTCAAAAGCTATATGGGTAAATCGGCACAGCCGAATGGAACCGCCAATGGTAACTATGGCACAGATCCGTTCATACAAACACAGCAGCCTTACTTTCCACCAACCCACGGACATCATCAAGCTCAACCGAGACCGGAGTCTACGGTCATATCTATACTAGACCTCCAGAAGCTAGTCGAGGCGGAAGAGTCGAAGAACAAAAACGCTCTCCATCCCGTGGCCACTTTGCCAGCAGCCTTGGGATGCAGTTTTATGTCCTTCTCTCCCAGCGGACTGATGCTTATGACCGTCAGCAAGAAAGGCGACTTCCAGGACGTCTGGGATCTGAAGCGTATAAATCACCGGAAAGCTCGCAAGTCATCAAGAGAGATCTCCTCTGGCCCTCACGTCCGCCAGGTCGCCCGATTTGCACGCATGACTGTCACAAACGTGATCGACGTCGTCTGGTCTACACCACGTGCCAATCGCTTAGCTGTGATCACCGACAAAGGCACCGTCCACATGTTCCTTATGCCGGCGTCCGCGTTCCAATGGCCGCCTTCTCGCCGTATCAGGAAGTCAGACGGCGCTTCTAAGACTAAATCTGACGAAAGCAACAACACTCCTACCGCTCGACCTAGCGCGGTCAATTCGGCTATGCAAGCTCTCAACGGGACAGCAAAGCCCTTCCTCAACGCCGTCCGTACTCGTAGCGGGAGCAGTAACGGTTCACGCTTCCCGTCCTTCAGTAGCCTTGGTCTGGCACCTGCAGCCGGCGCGAAGAGCGGTAAAGCAGTAGCAGCTGGGCTCGGGAAGTCTATTGGCGCGGCAACAAGCAACATCCGCCACGCAGGCGACAATAAGCTCACCCTACCACCTTCACAATCTGGTGTCAAACCCTGTAGCGTGCGCTGGTTGACAGGGAAGGGCCACGGTTCCATCGCACTCGTTGCAGGTGGTATTCTTCAGATTTACAAGATCCAGATGCGCCCCGCAACAGGCAAAGGCAAGAGCAAAAATGCAACCGCTATCTCGAAACGCAAAATCGTCGAGTTTGGCCTCATGCCTGTACGTGGCTCTATGTTTTCACCCGCAGTCATTGCTCTGCTGCAACCGGACGAGGAGAGACCTCACGAACTGGAACCCACCCGCGATATGGACATCCACGGGGAGTGGATTCCCCGCTCGTTACCGAACCGTCGTGGTAGGGGTGGCATCGCAGGCGTGGCAGGCGGGAAGAAATCCCCTGCACCCGCGCCGCTCAGCCTAGCAGAGATTGAGACAAACCCACCTTACCAGCCCTTCTACACCGACCGTCGCGTTGCACGGTTCCTGTTCGCAAAGCCGGCCCCGCAGGACGAGCATCAACATCACAGCTACAGTGAGTGGGACCAGCCGCCCATGTCTCCCATGCAGCCATCGTCGCAGAACCTTCACGTAGATGACGGTAATGCGTGGGTGTTTGGAGATGAAGTTGACGCCGTGCGCATCTCAACGCCTGCACAACAGCTTTACGACATAGGCGAGGGCGAAGGTGGAGATGGCGATGAAGGTGCGGTTGCGGCAGCGGTGCAGAACAAGGTCGTGCTGAGGGATGGGGAAGAGGAGGTGGAGCAAGTTGTTGTCACGACACGACGTCGGCGTGTTCGCCGGGGTGAGGGCGAGGAGGGGGAAGAGGGCTTCTTCGAGGATGATTGCGAGGTGTTGGACTTTGCAGAGGATAGAGTATGAAAGGTGAGGAGTGCCTTCTTGGCGCAGTTTGATATTTACGGGCATTCAAGGCAGATCTCTTTGGCATTTTGCTCTTTTCCAGTCTCTGCTTTGCTCTGGTTGGTTCCTTGTCGGCGTACTGGACTCGCAGGATGGGATTAGATGGGTTCGAGCGGGCGTAGGGTTGCTTTTGCGCTTGCTGCGGGAAGTAGGTGGCCATTGTGGCTTGTGGAATGGATATCTAGATAGTGAATTAAGACAGTCATGTCTGAAATCTTCTTCAATAATCACGCAGCAGCAGTGCGCTAGCGCGCCCCCGATGCTACTCAGTAGTGTTTCTCACGTGGACAGGTCACTTGGCGGTTTTAAACCCTTAGTAGCACCGGAATACCCACATAACGCACGCGATTTAGGCAAGACTTCCCGAGGCATACTGTATCCAGCCATCTATGCAGAATAGCGTGTAAACACGCTTGAATACACGCATATACTCGCCGTGGCTTGTCCAACTCCACTCGGTGTGCAAGGTCCGGCATGCCAGATGGACCGACCTCGTGCTGAGTCCATGCAGCGCGCAGAGCGGCATTTGTTTTATCGAACCATGGCGGCCTTGTCTCCACTCCTGAGGCTGCTCGGCAAAGGGCGCTAGAGCTCGAAACGGGCCACCTTCTCGAGCGGCATCAACATCGCGGGACCCGCTGCGACAGGCGACGCATCTGACAGGGCAACCAGCCAGAGGCGCGGCGGATACCGGCAGGCAGGCGCTGGAGATAATAGGCAGCCCAGAGTGCCCGCAATCCATACCACGCTCCCAGTGGCAGGCACGGCAGGGCAGCTCGGAATTGGCGATTGGGTAAGTCCGGGAGTGACCGCGGCCAGCTTGGCGGTGAAGCGCGCGCGACCCACGGAAAAGAAAACATAGTGCCTCCTCCTCCAGCTCCTCTCCAGTTTTTCGCACGCACAGTGCGCCAGATGATACGTCTCCGCCGTTGAGCTGATCAGGGCGCCGCCGCTCGTCCGTACCTCCACCATCGCCAATTGCATCTTCTCCACGTTTCCCGGGTGTCCGACGCGCTACTTATCGATTAGCGGCGTTAGCTTCCACTTCCATATAATTTTCTGTCCGAGCTTCGTGCGGACTGGAGCTTGCTGGCGCATCCTCAAGCCCGCTCTCCCTTCTGACCGCATCTTCATTCACCAAAGGAGCTCCCCAGCATCCTCACCCAGCACTCTCGCCCCTGCTGGCCGACTGATTTCTGCGCGCGACGATAGCCATGGCCACCGTCAAGGAGCAGATTGGCGAGGTGCTCCTGGGCACGACTCAGGAGCCCCAATTGTCGCAGCAGACGCGAGCCGCCTTCTTGGAGCACGCCGTCAAGGACGAGGAGACCGGCGAGCTCTACTTGGGCGAGAATGAGTTTATCAACGCCGTGGCTCCCGAGACAGAAGACTACGTGAATACCTGCTCACCACCGCCCTCATAACCCATTACTGACCCACTCTTGCCCACAGCACAAGATCAAACGCTCGCAGTACAGCATTCTCTTCCAAGTCGCAGACCGCAAGCGGACAGGTAGAGTGACGCTGCAGGACTGGAGCAACTTCGACAACCTCCTCGCGAAGCCCGACGCCGAGTATGAAATCGCGTTTCGGCTTTTTGACACCGATGGCACCGGCCTGGTCAATTTCGACAACTTCCAGAAAGTCTACAATGCGAGCAAGGGCGCCGACAGTCTGCCCTTTGACTGGAACTCGGAGTGGGCGTCCCTGTACATTGGCGCAAAGGACAAGCGGCACACAATGACCTACCCCCAGTTCTCGCAAATGCTGCGAGGACTCCAAGGCGAGCGCGTGCGACAAGCTTTCCTGCACTTCGACAAGAACAGGGATGGATACATAGAGCCCGAAGACTTCCAGAGGATAATATCAGCAACCGCTAGCCACAAGCTGTCAGATCACCTTCTCGAAAACTTACACACCCTCTGCAACATTTCCGCCGGCAGCAAGATATCGTATGCGAATGTCCGTGCCTTCCAGAATATGATCACGCAGATGGATATGGTTGAGTTGATCATCCGGAATGCGACCAACAAGAGCTCAGACGGGAAGATTACGCGGACGGACTTCCTGAACGAGGCGGCCCGAATAAGTCGGTTCAACCTCTATACGCCAATGGAGGCCGACATTCTTTTCCATTTCGCTGGCCTGGATGAGCCTTCGGGGAGACTTGGGTTGAAGGACTTTGCTCGGGTCCTGGATCCTTCATGGAACACGGCCTTTGGCTTTGGCGCGGGAGCAGCAGGCGCCCTGAACGATGTGGGCGCGAAGGCCTTCTCGACAACACAATCGATCCTGCACAATGTCCTGGAAGCCGTTCATCATTTTGGGTTGGGAAGTTTGGCTGGTGCGTTTGGTGCGTTCATGGTGTATCCCATCGATTTGGTCAAGACGCGGATGCAGAATCAGAGAGCGTCAAGAGTCGGAGAGATGCTGTACAAGAACTCGCTGGATTGCGCCAAGAAGGTGGTTAAGAATGAGGGTGTCAAGGGCTTGTACTCGGGCGTGTTCCCGCAACTCATCGGCGTGGCCCCAGAAAAAGCTATCAAGCTGACAGTGAACGACTTGGTACGAGGCAAGTTCACAAACCCAGAGAACGGGGACATCAAGTTTTGGGCAGAGATGCTAGCAGGTGGATCTGCTGGCGGTTGCCAAGTGGTGAGTACTAGCCAATTTATTACCGTTCACCGACACCGAGGTTGCGGGCCGGGCACAAGCTAACCACTCCATTCCAGATATTTACCAACCCTCTCGAGATCGTGAAGATCAGATTACAGGTCCAGGGTGAGGTTTCAAAGACGGTTGAGGGCGTGCCCAAGCGATCGGCAATATGGATCATCAAGAACCTGGGCCTGGTGGGCCTCTACAAGGGCGCGGGTGCTTGTTTACTACGCGACGGTAAGCTCACGAACATAACTCGCTATATTACTACGTCTTACAAGCCGCCTAGTTCCATTTTCTGCCATATACTTCCCTTCATACGCACACATTAAGAGAGATTGGATGGGCGAGACGCCGCAAAAATCACTAGGCATCGTCCAGATGCTGACTGCCGGTGCCATCGCCGGTATGCCGGCCGCATACTTGACGACGCCGTGCGATGTCATCAAAACGCGGCTGCAAGTGGAAGCGCGCGCCGGCGAGACGAGCTACACAGGCCTGCGGCATGCGGCGTCGACAATCTGGAAGGAGGAGGGCTTCAAGGCCTTCTTCAAGGGCGGGCCGGCGCGCATCCTGCGATCGTCGCCGCAGTTTGGCTTCACGCTGGCGGCATACGAGCTGCTGCAGCGAACATTCCCGATGCCCGGGCACAGCCACGAGGGGCCTGGCGGGCACGTCGAGCCCGGGGTGGGCCTGACGGAAGCCAAGGCGCCGCTGCCGTACCTCCGCAGCAGGAACGCGCTCAAGATCATCCTCGACCTGGACGAGAACTTTGGCAAGCCCAAGCTGCCGCAGGGCAAAGGCTGGAGCGGGATGCCGGGGTTCGGCGGGAAGGGCGTGGTGTGACGAGGTGCTGCGGCGAAGCAGATGCAGCATGCGGGAGGGTCTTGGGTAAAATGGGATTGGGCACGGGTCCGTCTTCAGAATCGCATCCGGCGGGCGCATTGTTGCTTTATCAGCCAGTCAGGGCGCGGTTCGTCAGAGGCCGTGGGGTGGTGGCTCTCTGCACAGGCTCAGAATAGACTAGACGGCCGGAGTGTACGATAGACATGGCAGGTCGGCGTCGCAGCAGAGTGAGGCGGCGCGGGCGGGCGCGGACACGACCTGGCGGGCGCTCGTCGTGGTGTACGGCGTGTAGATACAGCATGCTCGGTCTCCAATTTAGAGTCACAAAGCGTGGTTCCGTCTCTTTCTTGCGGCTTGCACGGCGGCACGGCTGCACGGGCGACGGCGGGGAAAGCTCGTGCTGTGGCCGCCGGCATGCCGGTTTGATAGCACGTCTCCGGCTCGCCGCCAGATCCCTGAATTCACGCGGCTCATCTGCCCCGCACCTGTGATTGAGGCTCGAGCTGGCTGCGCCTCAGCTCCCATCAGCACCAAGCAGGCACGCAGGGTCCGCCGCGCTCGCACCTCATCCCGAATGCGAACGGCCATCTCGATGCCGCCGCCTCTTCCCTCCCTGCTCCACCACGTCGCAGCACAGGAGCGGCCCCGGGTGCGCTGCACTGCCACTCAGGCCTGACGGGATAGACACGAAATCCTCCCTCTCGATAGGCTGCCCCCCCCCACACGGCAGAGCCGCAGAAGAGCTCGTTGGCAACCCCGTCCATTCCCAGCCTCATCACCATCAGGCCGACGTGGACCTGCCACCGAAGCCTGCCCTCAGGACATCTCCCGACGACGTGAACAGCTCTGGCCATCGCCGTATCTGCGCTCTGACGTTGAGACTGAAGCGCGGAACTGCTGCAGGTATGATAGCTCCCATGTCCAGCCGCCGGCGCACTCTGTTTCCACGACACCATGCTTCTTCCTTCGCCCTGTCACGCTTTTCTCGCTGTTGCTGTTGCTGTTGCTGTTGCTGTTGCTGTTGCTGTTGCTGTTGCCGTTGCTGGTCCTCTGCTTTCGCTGTTGTTTCGTTTCGTTTCCTGTTTCATCTATATCACTCCAGTGCCTCCGGGCCTGTCCGCGCTGTCCTTCTGTGCTACATGCTGTGCGGTTCAGCCTCTACCAGCGGTCTCAAATCTACATGCTTCTTTATTGCGATTCTCGTCCTCTGCATATATCAGTGATAGCTTTTCTGTCCATTCAATACCCCTCCAAGAATGCTACCGAGATCCCGCTGGACATTTAGCGACGGTGCAGTCACTGGGCGAAATTCTGACGCAGGCCAGATAATCCGTCTTACGCCATCTCACGCTGCGCTGAACTCGCGCTCCTTTCGTCTGGGGCTCTGTGTGACTTTGCGCCGTTAGCTTTAGCACTCGATCGAGCACCGATCCTGGGCCGTCGACCTGACCATTCCGTCCCTCTTCTTGTACGCAGAGGCTAGGCTTGCCTCGCCTCCCAGCACGCTGGCGAATGTCCAATTACGATTCTGACGACGCTTTCCCACGTTCTCCTGGTCTTAAACCCATCCGTCCCAAGGCTACTCCCTCGCCCTCGCCGCCGCCATTCATCCCGCAGCAAAACCGCACAATACCGTCTCCTGAGAACGTCAGTCCCTCCTCCCAGAAGAAGCGAAAGAAACCTAATCGGCGCAAGACTCGTCCGATCCAGGGAGACACCGTTCTGGTGAGTTTCATGGACCCAAACCGGCCCGACATAGCCCGGCTGGTCGGCGAACAAGCCCTCAACTCGGATTCTGGCTCAGAGGCCGACGAGGAGGACATGGAGGACATCGTGAACCAGTCTCCTCCAGCCGATTCTGCTCATCAGACCGCTGGTACTCCTTCGGGTCTTGACTTGGTCGGCACAGCTCAAGCGGCGCTGCAGACTGCCGATTCGAGGGGGCCGAAAGATACGAGAACATCCCCGCCACGGCGCGAACCCGTGAAAAGCGGCTCCGGGGAGTTTGCCGAGCCCCCATTCCGTCCTATGTCGGAATCAGTAAATGAGGCATCGACACAGTATCCATCTGCAGGCGTGCTGACGAATGGCGGGCAAGCCCATGCGAATGGGGCTGGCTCAGCCTCCGATCGCAAATTCGAGGCCACGTCGCCGAAGCTGACTGGGGAACGCCTAAGTCCACTTGCGAATGGCTACCCCCACGAGGATTCGCTTGCAACATCCCCAAACCTCCGGGAGCTTACAATCCCCCAATCCAAGGGCTCACCCCGCCAGACACTGCCAGCACTGCAAAATCCAAGCTCGCCGTCCCGGGACGGACCGAATTCTCCTAACCACAATCAGAAGCTACCCTCGTTTCGCCAGCTCAGCGAGCTTGCAGAGGCCGCCAGTAATGAACAGCTGGAGGCGAGGGCGAATGGCTATCCTCATCGCCATTCCTTCTCTTCCACAGGTCAATCGCCGACGCTGGTCAGTCGGCATTACTCCACCAGCAGCATCCAACGGTCGCCGCCCACTCCCTTTCCGCCTCTCAGCGCGACATCTCCCATTAGCGCGCACAGCGACATCTCCTCCTCGCAAGATCTATTTTTGCGATCAGGCCAATCGCACCAGTACTTCTTTAACCGCAGGCCCTCTCAGGCGTCGGATAATGGGCCACCGTATGGATCGAATCTGCCATTGTCGGCCTCTACGGCTGACAGCTATCCCAGCTCCGATTCGTTTAGCCCTGGCTCAACGGACCACGGCCATCGAATGAGCATTGATGAAGCAGTCAATAACCACCGAACGTTGCCGCCTCCGACGGGGCCACACATCCAACACATACCTCCACATGGCGCTAGCGGGTTCAAGTGTGATCATCCCGGATGTACTGCGCCTCCATTTCAGACTCAGTATTTGTTAAAGTGAGTTAGACGCCATCATGTGAAAGACGGTAGCTAATGGCGTCTTACTTCAAGTTCCCACGCAAACGTACACTCGCAAACTCGCCCACACTTTTGTCCAGTCCATGGATGCCCAAGAGCTGAGGGCGGCAAGGGCTTCAAACGAAAGAACGAGATGATACGGCATGGTCTCGTGCATGCCTCGCCTGGCTATGTGTGTCCGTTTTGTCCTGACCGAGAGCACAAATATCCGCGGCCAGACAATCTGCAACGGTATGATATAGGTTTCGAATTTACAGCTTGAACACCGTTAATCATAGCTGCGTAGACACGTAAGGGTACACCACGTCGATAAAGATAAAGACGACCCGCAATTACGCGAAGTCCTCGCTCAACGACTCGAGGGTGGGAGTCGGGGTAGGAGGAGGAGGGCGGGAAGCGGGTGACAAACCATTCTCGGCCTCCTCTCATTCTTACAACTTCGCCAACAAGGGCCATCCTACCGCCTCGCCACCTGTCGATGCCTTGCTTTGCATCTTCATCTTTACGACTGATGTCAGCGGACTAACTGTTTTCTACTGGATACGTCATCACAGTGCTGATACCCCGTAACTACGTTTCTGTTTTTCACACTAGGGCCTTTTGTGATACCTCTTCTTTTACGGCGTTATAGCGACTGGAATTAGTGTAGTTATACAATGGCTGTGCTGTAACTACGGCTGCAGGCGTAGATTCATTTGGGTCGGAAAACGCAGGAAACGGTTGATTCCCAATTTCGTATTCGCTTTGGAGTTCATGCGTCCCTTCTGCGTCTTCTCAATGTCTATACTTTTTGGACCCGATATATCAACCCTGTCGCTACATATACACGCGAGCTCACGCTCTCTTTCGCTCTTGGCTTGTTGATGAACCTTTGTGTCTCAAGTTTAACTTTACTTCTCCAATTATTTGCTTTCTGTTTCTCTTCTGGTGGGTTGGTGAGTAGGTTGGCTGGGGGGTGTCAGGAATTCCTCGTAGTGTATTGGCTACGGGCGCGAGGATACCACGCGTGCAGCGAGTCGTGTTTACTCTTAGCCTAAGGGGTCCATGAACCTCCTCTATTGTTACTGTTTTTTAAACATCAGTCGCCATTCCAATACTCTCCCGGGCGGTGTACACTGACTCGCCATGGTTCACGTGGCACCGCAGTTATGCGTTAGAGCGCGACGTCCCTTTGCGGCACTAAGTGGGTAAACGTGGTAGGTTGACTTGTAGTAACCTGCATGTTTAGACAAAACAGAAGGACTGAAACCCACGAGTGTCCCCCCTCCGTCCTAGCAAAGGCGTTGCCAAGAGCTCAGAGCGTGTTCCCTTGGTCGAGCGCGTGAGTGAAGTGGATGGGGAGGTTTGCGTTGCTGCGTCCCCATATCCTAACCCATATTTCGGTTGAGCGGGACCGAAGTGAGAAGGCAGCGGCGTTATATTGCTAGTGCTAAGTGATGAAGCACTAGATGACTGGGTTGGAGGAGGGGCCGCTGCTAGTAAAGACTTCGCAAAAAGAGCCCTGTCCAATTTTAGACCCATTTCCTCAGGTTGATCGCAAACGTCAACGTATGATGGGTTGCTGTCAAGCATGCCGTATAAATTGGGCTGGAGTAATCGGTTTATCTTTGTTTTCCGGGATCCGATTGAGCAATCCAGAAGCGGTCTCAGCGATTAGTTGTTTCATGTCTGGTGGCTAGATAGTGCCTCCTCTCTACTGTCGAACTAGTTTCGGCGCCTGGGCTGGTGTATGCATTTGCTGTACTTGAGGCAGCTGATTAGAATTGAAACCTGCGAGGTTCCCTCTATCCTCCTTCATCAGGCCACCTCTACGTTTACTATCATCACGACTTTGTCGGACTTATATGAAGATACTCTCGAGCAGTACAAAGTCGATACAAACCTAACTACTGACTGGACGGCTAACGCGGCCATTTACTACGGATATGGTGCGAGTAGATCCATGATGGTACGGGCTTATTACACTGCATCTCATGACATGATTGGTCCTAACCACTCCTCCCTTGAAAACTGGCCCCATTGATACTACTAGAATACATCTTCACTCTCGAAGACCTCTACCCTTTGTCTGAACACCTTTCAACACACAAGCTACATATCGCGACCTCAAGAGAATTTCAGTTAGCGCTTATCGAGCTATCACGAGCCCGAAAGGAGAATGCTAGATCGTGCATGATATCCATCGACAAGAACAATGCGATAGGGGATGGGTAGTCGTATTGTATAGCTGGTAGTTTTGACACGAATTAACAGCTAGATACCCCTAAACACATTCCTTGCACTAGACATACCCGCACTTAATCTCCCACGACGCGAAAACACCACCACTTCAAGCACCACTCTCTCCGACCGCCTCCCCAACCGCCTTCCCCTCCTCCCTCAGTATCCTCAACCTCTCCAAACTCGCCTCCGGCCAGTACTCCCTATTATCATAATACCCCTCCACCGCCGGGACCCCCTCGTCCCCAAATCCCACCCACCCCCTCTTACTCCGCGTGTAAATATGAATATCCGGCCTCACCTCCCGGCCCTCCAGCGTCCCCGCGCGCACATACGCGATCTTGTTCGCGCCGTCGCCGTACACGCTCCACACGGGGCCGTAGCACGCCGGGCAGCGGAAGATGGTCTGGCCGGCGCCGCTGTCCGAGGGCACGGGGACGCCGACGGGGCGCGTCGGCGAGAGCAGCGCGAGGTGCGCGCGCTCGACGAGCGCGTTGAGGGCGAAGGCGGTGCCTGTCTCGCGCTGGCAGCGCGTGCAGTGGCAGCAGTGGGTGAAGAGGGGCGCGCGCGTGAGGTGGAAGCGGATGGTGCCGCAGGCGCAGGCGCCTGGGAGAGGGAGGGTGGGTGTGCTTGTGGGGGCAGAGTTGGTGGTGGTGGTGGTGGTGGTGGTGGTGGTCATTTTTCTGTTATTTTGGAAAGCCGTGTGTGAGGGGTGGATAGCTAAGGGGGTTGAATTGAGGAATCTTTGTTTTGGAGTTGAGAGAGGGGGTGAGAGATTGAGCGGGAGAATTGAGAAAGAGGGGACCTAGCTTATTTATGTTGAGCGGGAGTACTAGCTGGGCCCTTTCTGTGTGGTACATCTTCGGCAAGGCCCTTCTGACTCCTCCGCGCGGCGATGGATTGTGGGAAAGCGGGAAGTGGGATGGAAGGATTCTGGGCGCAGACGAACGCGAGAAAACGTGACTTTTGAAGCCAGGTGGTTTTGAGAAGGTGGTCTTGGCATATACCGAGAGCACAGCCACATCTGGATTCTGCCTCTGCTAGATCGGCGGTAGGCTGTGGGCAGGCTGTGGGCAAGCGTAATCATGAATAACAGGACGGAGATGATGAAGTACAAAGACGAAGTGCCCACTTCTTCTTACCGGACGTTCCACAGAACATACCATTTTCGCCTAGAGCGTGCATGAATTCATCTATATCAAATCCAAGTCATTACACATCATGGTCGAGTCCTCCACATCCCCCAAAGACCAGGACGAACCCTACAAGCTAGACGTCAACGTCTACTCCGAGCCAGCGCCCAAGAGAGCGTGGTATAAGACCCTTGCCTTCTCCAATAAAGCGCCAGAGAAGGAAACAATCCCAGCGTGGCAAGACGCTAGTTTGAGCGATAAGGAACGGTGGAAGCAATGGCACAAAGCAAAGGATACCGAACGGTTTAAGAAGTAAGTACGCCTAAAAAGGAAGGAGTGAAATCGTTTTCTTTTGCCTGACTTTTTCTGGCAGCTCAACAACAGGATACTACACCAGAATTTACAAGAGCAAATACGGCTGGGTCTGGTTTACTGGCTTGTTTGGAGAAGATTAAATTACGCATGTCTTGGCGTTTTGGGCACGGGTTCTTTTGGGTTCAGATGCTTAATACAAAGGTACATACCCAAGCTCTTGAGTTAGAGGAAGTAAAAACACATGAAAGTCTCAAAACTCGAATCCACAGCATGCGCAACACAGAAGTCAAGGCCTTTTGAACAAGCAGTTTTGTCTATTTATTGCAAAAAGCAGGTATCATAAGCAAAGGCCGAACGCCTCCAAATAGTATCAGAAGCTGGAGCTATGCAGAAGAGAGCCTCCAATCCGAAGAGAAACAAAAAGCAGCAGAACATGAAAACATCGACAGTCCCGCTATCAAGCAACCCGCAGGTCCATCATCCAATTAGGAGCAGACCAACCATCACCATTCGACGCCCAATCATACACCTTCCTGAAACGGGCAAAACACATTATCCGCATGACTGATCGGGGCGCTCATTGCTGATGCCGCAGATGCAACAAAATAGAAAAAGGGAAAAAAAGGAAAAGTGGAAAGAAAACAAGGCTCTTCGCTCAGCTCCGCCATGTAGAAGCAAAATGTACACCGAAAAAGACCTCCACCCAGTAGTCTCGATTAAACCCAGCACAGTCCGTCGTCCATCTTTCCGCAACACCGAAGGCTCCAGTCGAACTCTTCATGACCCTACCGATTGCGTGTCTCCATGCCATTGTGCTTTTGATTATGCTCAAACTTGGCCCACCTTCCCGACAAAATACTCGCCTATTCATTAAACATGAAGGAAGGCCAAGGTTTGCCGGTGGGGACTACCGCGTAGGAACGATCAAGAGAGAAAATAGTATCGAAACAAGAAAGGAAAAGGGGAGTCTCTATGCCATGGTATTTTCGATCATATCCGAACTCGGCCCACCTTCCCGACAAAGTAACCATCTATTCATGAGACATGAAGGAAGGACAGCTTTTGTCGGTGGGGACTACCGTGTAAGGACATAAAAGAAAGCAAAATCATCGAGGCACGACATAAAATATGAGAGGAGTAGATGGTGGGTAAGGTAAAGATCCGACAAACTCAGACGAGTTGAGTTAATCAAGAGACTGAGAGGATGAAGGAGTTTAGCGGAAATGTGTGGCCTGTGTTGTTGCGGGCGTGAAGTGCCGCAGATCAGGCTGGTAAGCACGGTCGTTCTGCCTATGCTGCTGTGGCAAGTAGTTGACTTCGTAATCATCATCGTCTTGACTGGGCGCCTGCAACTTCTGCATGTGCTCGATATCTTGTATGACTTCGTTGAAAGCATTGGTGAGGATGTGGACCACACTGTTACGGTTCCACTCGCTGCGGGTCTTCCAGATCGCATCCATGAGTACTGCGTTGATTTGTTCAAGTTGCTCAACAGAACATCCCGAGCTTCGTTCTACAAGTTCCTCATGTAGCATCTTGATTTGCTCTTCGTCCAGGATAAGTTGTGGTAGGTCGTTGTTGAGGATGGAAGGGATAGACGTGGCTTGACGAGGTGGTGCAGCCATGTGGTTTTGCGGCTGGGAAGACTGCGAAGGTTGCGATTGGCTGCTCGTCCAAGGGTTTTCTGAACTATAGTTAGAGACGCTCGCGTGTACGTGCGAAGAATGACCGTGAGAGTCATGGGAATCACGACCTTGCTGCATACCACCACGATTTCCGCGGCGATCGGAGGCTTGGCCTTTTGAAAGAAATCTGGGATACGTACCTTGGGTGTCGGGCATGTCTGAACCAGTCGCCTGAGGCATCATGCTCGCGAAGTCGGGGCCAAGCCCGATAGCGAGACCGTTAGTGCTCTGGGTATTGAATTGTGGGCCAGAAGAACGACCGGATCGATCTGAGGTTTTCTGACCCGATGTCGTAGTAGATGCGCTATTTTGATACTCACCAGGATGCGAATTAGGCGCTACGAAGGTTCGCCCAGACACTTGAGATTTTTGCGTCTGGGCTGCTGGCCCACTCGGAGTTTGGAACTCATGGGAACCAGAGTCAATGGGCTGACTGTCAGTCATATGCGTGTCCTCAACTCCATGTGTCGGTCCATTCGATCCGTTGCTCTGTTGAGGGTGGCTGTCGTGTCCTGTGCTGGTGCCATTCGACAGCAGGGATGAGTTGGGATAGCGAATCGGCGTGACAGGTGGCATTGATCGACCAGGTACTATTTCTCCAAGTACAATAGGTCCTGAGGTCTCTACGCTAGTGGAAATCTCCGGCGGCACATTCGTTGCGACGGGTTTTGCTTTTTCGCCAGGAGCTAGATTCTTCTGAGCTGCTTCGACTTGCTTGCGAGCCCTCTCTTGCTCACGAACAAAAAGAGCATTGCACTCAGCATCGAGATCAGGATACTGTAGCTGCATCCCTTCAATATCGACTTCGACATTCGCCACCATCTCATTAGCCTTGAGGATTCGTTCTTGTTCGCCCCATGTCTTAGCATCCTTGGCCAATGTTTTGACGTCGTTTAAAAAGTCTTTGAATCTCTTGTAGTATCCATTCGAGAGGCGCTGTTCGATGACGGTAAGATCTAGGTTGTAAAAGAAGTTGCCGGTCTCTACATGTCGAATTCCTTCAACACCTTTGGCATCTCTGTCGACCTCGTACGGTCTGAACATGCCCTGCTCTTGCCTTTGCTCTTCTGATAGGTCGGAGGTAACGTGGCCATCCTTCCTTTCGTCAAATAGATATGAAAAGTTCTCTTCGGGAATGATAGGTCGAACGAACCGATTCCTGCCCTTCTTGAGAAGATCCATTACTGGCTGAATTATCATCTTCAATTTGTTGAGAGTCATCCTGTCTCGCTTCTTCTGAAGTTTGGCTTGCTTAGGGTCGTCTTGAATTATCGGCGGATGGATATCAGGTGCTACTTCAAGGACCGGGAGTTTGCGTTTTGTCCTATTCTCCGGATTAGGAAAGTCCGAGGGGGGCAAGCGGATGTAGGCAACGAGTGACTCGAAGAACTCTCGTCGTCCGTTCTTGTCCGGTGTAGGCAGTTTGAATTCATTCTTGGCGGAGTACCCAAAAAGGTCTCGCAACATCGAGGGATCTGGCTTGTCCTCTTCGCTACCAAGTTCCAGGACACCAAGAAGTAGAACGGGATCGTTCGGCGGAACGCTTCTCAACAGACTGAGGAAGGTCTTGATAACCTTGGGTTCCACGGTTTGGTACCAAACATCGACATTCGGGATGTATATGACACTTGGTTTGTGACGTCGAACTTCCTTGAATAGCTGAATGATGGCTGCTTCAGGCGATCGAGCGGAATCTTCGAGCAAAGTGGGCAGATCGAATGATTGCACATGGAGACCTTCGAATTTGTTGAGGAGCGCTGATCCGAGGTACTGCTGACCCATTCCTTGCAAGCCAGAAATGAGAAGGCGGGGTCTGAAGATTCTTGAACTTTCAAAGGCTCTCTGCATGTTCTCGCGTTCGAAGCCCTTCTCATCATCACGGTCATCAAATTGTGCCTCCTCTAGGGCCGTAAGCTTCTTCTTCTGAGGGAGGATCTCGTCGAGAAGTTTGGCAATATCTTCGAGGGGAGTTCGCAACAAAGGCGCAATAGGTTTCGGCAGAGGCGCGGCACCCGAGGAGACTGTCCGCTGGGAAGAGGGCACCATCTTGTTGACAGAGATCATGAAATCCTTGGCCAACACCTTTATGGTGCTAGGATCAATAATGAGCTTCTTATCGGATTGGTAGATCTGTGGGTATGTTCCCTGGACGGCATTCAAGGCCGCTTCAGTGCAGAGAGCCCTCAAGTCTGCACCACCGTAACCCTTGGTGACTTCAGCAAGCTGATCCTTGAATGCTGGGTTCAGTGGCGGTTCCCAGTTCTTCGTGTGGATGTCAATGATGGCACGTCGCCCTATCACGTTGGGAAGGGGGAAATAGAATTCTCTGTCGAATCTTCCTGGGCGTCGCAGAGCTGGATCAACCGAGTCCGGGCGATTGGTAGCACCGATAACGATAACCTGTCCACGACCATCCATGCCATCCATGAGAGCCAACAAGGTTGCTACAATAGAAGCATGAATTTGCTCTTGCTTGCTGGACCGGACGGGGGCCAGTCCATCAATCTCATCGAAGAAAATGATGCTGGGCTGATTCTTTCGCGCTTCTTCGAATAGCAGACGTAGTTGACGCTCAGCTTCACCAACCCATTTACTGAGGGCGTCGGCACCTTTACGCATGTAAAAGGTGACCTTCTTTCCTTGAGAGCTGACGCTAGATGCAAGAGCGCGTGCGAGCAGAGTTTTACCTGTCCCTGGGGGTCCGTGGAAGAGAACACCGCGCGGCGGCGTGACATGGAAACGCTGGAAGACCTCTGGATATAGAAGCGGGAGTGCGACCATTTCCTTGAGTTGATTGATATGATCATCCAATCCACCAACGCCGTCGAAATTAACGTTCGGGTCAACCCCAAGCGGATCCGCATCTGCTAGAGCCTTCTTATTCTTGACTTTGCCGAAATCTGCTGGACCTCCTCCTGATCCAGTTGTCTTCTGCGCTTCAGCGCTTTGAGGGAACATATGTGATTTTGCAGCAGTAGGTGTCATGCCAACTGCGCCTCCGAGAGTGGCGGATGCCCCAGTTACAGGCTGTGGAAGATCATCATCGCTGCTGTCCGAATCTGCGCCACCAAGAGCACCAGCTTCCTGTGGTCCTGCGATCAGCGACTCAACTCCGCCTCCAAAGGGCCCTACGGTGGAGAACAAGGACCTGTATCGTCCTCCTTTGCCGCGGACCGGTGGAGGAGGAGCGATGGAGTCCTCTCCGTCAATCTGCAAATTGAGGTCTGGTCGGATAAGGCGGTAGTCAGGCTTTGCTTTCTTCCTCAGCGCCGGTCCTTCGTCGTAGGTAAGAGTGTTGTCCGGGACGCCACGACGCGAGATGCGGCGTCTCTTGTTTGGCCGAAGCTCTGCGGCCTCTTCTGCTAGTTCGTCCTCGTCTAGGGCGCTGTCTGCCTCACTATCCGAGTTGTGGCGGCTGCGTTGTGAGGCTTGCAGCCTACCTCGGAGGCGCGTCGATCGTCGTCCAGAGTCGTCCGACGAGTTCTTTCTGCCCTTTGGATCTTCGGATTCTGACATTTCATCATCTCCCTTTGTCTCTTCCTCGTCAGCGGGGGGCTCGAAATCGCTGCTCTCGTCAACGCCTTGTTTACGCTTTCGAGCCGGAGGAGGAGCGGCTTGGGCGGATTTCGCACGAGACTACGCAAATGTTAGACATCATAGATTACCAAAAAACGTGTCGGACAGGATTGTGACGTACGCTGAGCTGTCTACCACCGGGAATGATAGGCTCTTCATCAGAATCTTCCTTCTGGGCATCTTGAACGACTCCTTCCATCGGCTGAGAGTCATCATCCTCATCTTCGTTCTGGACACCAGACTCAGCAGGAGACGCCGCCTCACTAGCCTGAACTTCAGCGCTCGCGCCTTGCAAGAGATTGTCTAATGGGCCTGGAGTATCGGCTTTCTCGGTGGGGTTAGAATTTTCCTGAGATGCCTCCATGATGGCGCTTGGTATGTTCCTCAACCCTTTGCTCCCTCGTGTCTGGCGCGAAGGCAGGGGCTCGGGATCCAAGGAGCCCGCGCGGAGGACCTGGACGTGCTTGCCGGAGTCGGATAGGGCTATGGTCGGCTCATCCCTCTCGTGAGACAGTCGGCTGCTTCGTCGCGTGCCTATGGCTACCTCTGGAGTTTGTGCCTTGATGGACGACTTGCTGCCCGTGCGAGCGCGAGTTGATCGCCGTGTTGGCGGCATCTTGAATTTCACGATCAGGGACTGTTTCTTGTCCTTCGGTTTCGGTCTGCGGGATTTTTGTGGGGTGGGTGCGAGCTCGTCGCGGTCTTCGTCAGAGGTGTTATCGATCTCGTCGTCACTACTCTTTTCTTCGTATTTCACTTCTTTCTTCACTGCTTTCCGTACGGGCCGACCTGAGGCGCCGATCTCGACGTCCTCTTCGCTTTCGATGGAGGACTCGTAGGATGCAGAGTCTCCCTCTTCCTCATCACTGACGATGTCGTCTTCAGATCCGTACCGACGCTGTCTCTTTTGTGGACGCTTCTTGGCACCGGCTGCCGGTCTCGATTGGCGTCGCTTCTGGGGTCGTGGTGATGATTCGGCGCCCCAGTCTCCGTCTTCGGGGTCTGACGCGAGTGGATCGTCGGGTCTGCCGCGCCTCCTGTGACTAGCCATCGGCGTCGAGTTGGTGCGCGGGGATGAGTGAATGCGAGGGCCTGCGCGGCGAAGTCAGTGGATGCGACGACCACAACATTGAATGTTGACCCGGCAACGCTGGGACGATGCCCAGAATGCAGCACAATCCGATGTGTACGGGTGTCACTTACTTCAAGCGTGCATGCGCTCGACGTGCAGATGGCCAGCGTCGAGAGATGCGTTATGCCCTGAGACGGAATACAACAGACATGGACAGGGTGCCTATGGCGCGACGCGAACAGAGAGCGACCGGCCTAGACGGTCGCAATCATCACAGACTGTGACAGATGAATACTCGAACAATGTGATGGGCGACAGGCGGGATCGAAGGGTGAAGGGATGGGGTGGGCGGCGATGTTGTTCTGCCCAGGTGGTGTTGAGGGCTGGGTCCAACCAAGGCTGCGACTTCGCGCTAAGCGAACAGGCCGCCACCAAAAAGCCCCTAAAAACTTCGCCGCGCATCCGTGACGGCTTGCACCACGAATTTGAGATTTTCTCCCACGACGTCGCAAACATGAATATGGGCCTTGACTTGCGCTCAAAACACGATATGAGCAAGCTCCAGGCCTGCGGCGACCTTTCTCGGGCAAAATCCGCCCACCTTCAGCCATCCTCCCCGACTTATTCTCCATCTTTCTCATGCACCAACTCGCCCTTTCCTCTCCCTAGCCATCGGTGGATCGCCTGCAGGAACCCGGGAGGCGGGACGAGGCTCAAAAGCTTATTTGCGTCGATATCTGGGGAAGGGCACGTGGAACCACGCACGTGCTCTCAATGCCTAGGTAGGTTCGCTTTTGGCGCACCAAAGCACGAGGGACAGCCCGATTATGGCCGCCACATTCATTTTCTTGCTTGCGTGCCGGATAACACTGATGTTCTGGTGTTATAGATATGGCCCCAATCGAACGTGCTTCATGTTTCCATTTCGCATCATCTCAACTGCCCATTCCATACGATCGCTACTCTCGTGCTCTGCTTTAAGAGTTTTATGCCGAGCGAATTTCTTGCTCAGCATTTGTGTGTCTAAGTTTGTTGTCTTCGTAGCTATTTAAGCGTTGGTGTTGAGGAACCACCTCACCCCTGGCCGCCCTGGCCGCAATCCATCTGCCCTGCCCCACGCCAAACCTTGCATAACTCCACATCTCTAGCATTTCCTGAAAGCAATATAAATGAACAACATGTGCTATCAGGAGCATCATGACGCCTTCTCGAGACCTCAGCACTTGATTTACCAAACAGTCTTGGAGCCTTCGGTGTCAAACTAAGATATATTCAAAAAGTATACACTAGTACTACATCTAAAGCGATGTAACATCCACCTTTCATGAGATGCTTCCAGGGTGCCAATCAATCTGACACAGTGCGTACTCGTTTTACAGATTCACGACCCCCATGCGATTCAAACCCTAAGGCACAAGAAGATTGCAGCTTCTATGATACAGTTACAGTACGTATTTACAGGCCCAGCTCCAGAAACGTTGCTACCTGGAAAGCAAACCGCTGGGCGGGATGACGCTTATCATCTGGTCAAAAGCTTCACTGTGCGTTAGCAACTACTCGCGAGCGCATGAAGGGAAGTTCCACGGTACTCACGTTTTCCACCATCAGCCACCCATCCAGATCCATCCAATTTCCACTTACCCTCTCCTGGAATATCTACTATAACCATACCCCACCTCCCAATAATGACCTTCGTATGTGTGAACACTCGAGACCATAGCCGGGCTACCCACCGGCCGGCGAAGAAGAATGGTCGCAAGACTATGCTCTCCTCCCTAGTTCCAGCCCACAGATCTTGGTAGTTCCGAGCGCGTATCTTCTCGAATATCCTCACTTGTGGCCCCAAATGTCCACTGCATTGTGCGTCTCCCTTCCGCACCACCGCCACAATAGGTTTGAAGAATGGAAGAGGAAGTGTCTTGCACTCTATCCGAAGCGCAGTCAGGCCATAGCCAAATGGAATTGCATGAATCGATCGGATCAGGAAGACCGGCGCTGCACAAATCCAAGCGGATAACAATGCCAACAGCACAGCCATACCGCCGTAGGTAACACCTACGTATTTAGGGAGCTCTGGTGGTAGTTCTAACCAGAAGTTCTTAAAAATGAACGCTGCGCCGAAGGCGGTTGCCCCTGCGCCTGCATAGGCGACGACGGCGTAGTATGCTTGCGATGGTGCTTTGTATAGGAGGATTGGTTTCGAGCCTATGGGCATTCGATTGGGGTTGAAGACATGAGTCTTAGGGCTAAGGCCGGGTTTCTTGGTTGGTCGCGAGCCAGGTGTTGTGGGTGGAACATTCTGCTTTTTAGGCAACTTTTTTGATTCCGCTAGACGTCTGATGGAAGAAAAGGAGAAGTGTCGGGTGTTTCTCATACTGTGAAGACAATTTAATGACCTCGGTGCTGTAGCGACTCGCAGTGAAGGGGGTAGGTTGAAGTAGGTTTGCCGTCCAACGCATGAGAAACCTCGAGCGAAGGATGCCATTCTAAACTTTTTCAGCATCTCAATTGCTAGGCAAAGGCTCTACTAGACGTACCTGGAAATCGGGAAGGGCAAACCGCGTGAGTTCACATTCATCCAGCTCATGCGGCCGGCATGCGATGTTGGCGTAAAAATCCCGAAGTTCACCCACCACGGATCCCCGTCCCCGTGCGCGGCGTCCGAAAGCCCAACAAGCTGGCCGACATCTCAACATCCTCACACCTCCCTCTCTCCTGCGATTCACTGTCGGCGGGTCTCCATGGCCTCAATTGCTTCGGCATGTAGACTGTCGGCGCGAGTCGCTCGGCGGCAACTGCGACAATATGGCTCAACCAGAGGTAAGACCGCTACCTACATTTCCGGATGGACTCAGTACTAACGGAGACCTGAATAGCTTTCCACCCAGCTCCTACCAGCTTGGCTGCGCATAACTTCACCATGCCAGCGCTATCTCCGACGATGACCGAGGGCAATATCGCGAGTTGGAAGGTCAAAGAAGGTATGGCAACAATGGACAATGTGTCTAGATTGTGCGGAATCTACGCGTTTGTGAACAATTGGACTCGAATCTGACAACTACTAGGGGACTCGTTTTCAGCTGGCGATGTCCTCCTCGAAATCGAGACCGATAAGGCGCAAATGGATGTTGAGGCCCAGGACGATGGCAAACTGGCAAAGATCACGGTACGGCTCACTGATTTCTAGTACCAAAGGAAGGAGCTGATGATATTACAGCAAGGCGACGGCTCCAAGGGAGTCCAAGTCGGAAGCAGGATTGCTGTGACAGCGGAGCCTGACGACGACTTGAGCTCGTTGGAGATCCCAGCGGAAGACAAGCCTGCGGAGGCACCGAAGAAAGAGAGCAAAGAAGCATCCCCGAGCAAGCCCAAAGCTGAATCGACGCCACCCCTTAAGGAGCAGAAACCCTCACAACCCGCGCCTTCAAGCTCCGAATCCAGTGAGAAAAGCCCCCAAGCTCAGGCACAGAAGCAGAAGTACCCTCTGTATCCCTCTGTCGCCGCGCTACTCAAGGAGAACGGACTGGCAAAAGAGGACGCAGACACAATACCATCGACTGGACCAGGTGGCAGGCTCCTGAAGGGCGATGTTCTGGCCTATCTTGGCGTCATTGAGAAGTCATATCCTCTAGAACAATCGAAACGGATAGGAAAGCTCAGCCATTTGGACCTCTCCAACATCAAGATTGCTCCACCCAAGAAGGAGGCCGCTCCAGAGAAGCCAGCTACAGCGCCAGATGTTGTTGAGGAGGTTGACACCGAGATCGCAGTCCCGATCTCGCTCACGGCGGTTCTGGAGTGCCAGAAGCGTATTAAAGATTCTGTCGGCATTTTCTTACCCATCTCTACGTTCATTGCGAGAGCTACTGAATTGGCCAACGATGGCCTCCCCCGCTCAAAAACAGCGAAGCCGTCTGCAGACGAGCTGTTCAATGCTGTCCTCGGCTTGGACAAGGTCTCCGGCCCGTCAGTTTCTCGAGGGTACTTTGTTCCCCAGGTCACCGCTCTCCCTCCCGTCTTGTTGAAGGCTTCCAAATCAGCACCTAAGAAGGGCAAGTCTGACATCCTTGATATTCTCGCTGGCAGGAAGAGTGTCTCGCGTTCAGTCTCAGCTCCCATAACCGGCGGCGCCACAGGCGCTGTTGCTCCAGTCAATGTATTCAGCGTTAGCGTTCCCAAGGGCGATGAGCGAAGGGCACAGGTGTTTTTAGAAAGGGTCAAAGTTGTGCTTGAGGCAGAACCAGGCCGTCTAGTCTTATAGGCTGGGGTAGCTAGTTCGCCGTGTAGTATTTGTACACTATTTCCTGTTCTTTGCGAGTGGACCAATATAGACTATCATACAGGCCCGTGTAATATCATCTGTGAGCGAGCAAAATGCCCACTATTCGAGTGCTACTCGTGATTACGTGACTGCACATCGCTACTTGATCAGCATGCTTCGTAGACGGTACCATTCGCGATAAGGAATAGAAGTCAAACCCAGCTCGGTGTCAAAATCAACTCAGTAGCTTCGCTTATCTACTCACATGTTAGCCCTGCGCGTGGGTGATTCGTATACCGCTTCCAGCACTAAATATTTTTCAAATGGATCACGTGTACTCCTCCACTACCACCCTCGTCGTCCTCCATTTTGTTCTCATCAACAACACAAGCTCCTCCGTCAACACAATATTCTACCGCAACTGAAGCCACGACACATCGTCCCACCTTTCCAGTCAACATTATAGCGCGCTCGCATCTCTTGACACGCTCTCGTAGGTAGGAATGATGAGAGAACCTCCAGCTTTGCATTGTGACCCCCATTCAATTGTAGAAATTAGACTTTTATTTCTGTAATGGGGCGATGCTCTTCGTCAGCTAAAAGAGCTTCTGCCATTACGCCCAAATTATTCTGAAGGGGTCTGGGTGGTAAATATTAAGACGGCGTAACGCATGGAAGACGAAGGATAACGAGAGCGGGAGGAATTTAGGTCAAGTAGGTATCAGAAGCATCGAACTCTTAATTTCATCTCTTCCCTGGACATCTTAGACCATTCTGCTTCGTATTAAGTTGTGAAAGTCTGTACCTCTGCTCTCTAGTAGCCCTTCGCTTTGTGTGATCCACTCCTTCGTCCGCTACAGTTTCTTTTCCTAAATAATGCCCATGGCTTTCGATCTAAGAGACACGATATAAGTGAATATAGTTGCAGCTATCCGAAGTGATTTGAAACTCTATTCCAATCAGGGTCATGTCAAAAGTGCGAGGGTCATACGAATGCCTCTTTCTTAACCAGAGACTAAAAAGCATCAGCAAGCAGGGCTAGACGTTTTCGCGTAGCGTTGACACCAGATCCCCAGCCCACATGTTAGCTCCGGACTCGTTACCGCTGTTTGAGGTGCCTCCGTAGGTTTTCAAAAATCTGAGCAACACGCAAGTTCAAGGCTGGCCGAACTACCTTTCGAAACTCTTAATCAATCAGATAGCCACTATCGGGGGTGAAATCCATCAACCAGAGCGGATATCTGATCTACAGTGAGTTAGGGTGCGCAGTATCCTTATCAAAGCGGTGTGAACCAGGCATTGTAGTTATGGAAAGGTCCACGGTCCGTTTGAAGATGAGGCAAGTAAACAACACCACCTGGGCAACAACCAACGAACCTCCCAACAACTTCAACTTTCCCAAGTAACCTCCCACAAAATTTTACGTTATCCTATCTGCTCAGATTCAAGTCACTCACCATTGATTGCAATCAACCGTTGCTAGTCCACAAGCATTCACCGAATCCGATATTTCATAGGAGACTTACCAGGAGCCGATGAGTTTGATTGTTTTGATTCACGATATCACTTTACATCATCACCACGAAAACGCTAGGTAAGTCGTCTCACCCAAACAAATTCTCTTGTCTTCGATGGTAGGGCGAAGAGATGTACCAAGAATTCCTCCGTGGTCGTCCCATGGAAGCACAGCGCCTCGGGCTACAGCCCACCAAGAAAAACAATCCCAATATCATATTCTTACGTAGCATCCAAAGTCCCCACAGCTAACACATTTCAACCCCAGATCCTCACCTAGCGCCATCAATCCTCACCATTGGCAACGGCGTGTACTTTATCAACGCCTACAGGTCATCGGTCAAGCCAGAATCTAAAGCCGCGACTGTTCTCTCGATAGTCATCATCCCGGTGCTCTAAACACTTCAAGCAGAAAATCGACTCCGACCGTCGGCAAACGGCGTATACTTTCAAACACGTCTACAGACCATGGCCGAAGTCACCAAACCCAAACACTACCCCCTACGAATCCTCAGCGAGACCGCCGCCCACTACCTCGTCGAGCGCGCGGGCATCGCCATGCCCACCCTGGTCCCGAAAGCCTCCTGTCCCCAAAAGCTCATCGACGCCTGGACCCAAGCGCAAGCCGACAACCTCGACGAGCGGGAATCCACCAAAGCGCTGCTGAACGAGCTCGAGATCGCCTACGACTACGACGGGCCTGGTACGCTATCCCCCGACTCCCGACTCTCCACTCCCCACTCCCACCCTCTCGAAAAAAACCAAACGTTGCTGATGAGATATGCACAGTCCCCAGAGCACCCAAACACGGCTTCCCAACCGACTTCCCCGAGTTCTTCGGCTACCCGCGCCCTGTCGCGCCGGTCGCGCCGCGGACTCGCAATCCTCAGCGCCAGGAGAAGGAGAAGGAGAAGGACGCCGCGGTCCCGCCACCCGCACCAGCACCCGCACATGCTCCCGCCGCCCCGCCTGAGCCTGGACCGCACTTCCCCTGGGACCCGGCCTATCCCCGCGTACGCACGTCAGCTTCTCAATGGGCCCCCCAGCGACCCGCGCCGTTCGATCCGCAGCGCGCGCGGGTCTGGGGCCCGGAGCGGCAGGAGGTTGTGGGGTGCGAGCCGGGACATTTGGGGTTGTTCGAGACGCTGGGGATGGGGTGGAGTAGAGAGGAGATGGACGAGTTTGTGCGGCCGGTGAGAGAGGCGAAGGAGAGGGAGGAGAGGGAGGCGACAGAGCGGGAGGAGAGAGAGCGGGAGCGGGAGCTGGAGCGGGAGCAGAGGGCCGCGAAAAAGAGAGGGCATGGTTGGCTGGGTGCGCGGGAGGGGTTTCGCGAGCCGGGGTGTGGTGTTGAGGGGTGGGTCGAGAGGTTTGGGAGGTTAGAGGGGGTTGAGATCGAGGGAGTGGAATTGGACGAGATGGAGGACAGCGAGGAGGAGGAAGTAGAGAGGGCGGATAAAAGAGTGGATGAGGTTGTGGACGCCGAAACGGAAGGGGAGGACGGATCGGTGGGGTTTGAGGTGGTGGAGTCAGAAGAGAGAACGGGGTAGAAGTTTTCAGGAGTGGCAAAATTTAATGATGGGGACTGGGTTGGGTAGTTGTTTAATGGATTTGGATATGGAATCACTTTCCGAAGTTTTGATTATCGAAACATCGCGTCAATTGCTTCCACACGTGATGAACAACTTGGATGGGATGTCGGTTTAAGTAGGTCTTCAATTTTGACTGGCGTTTGAGACGCTACATGCACCTGTCTAGTTCAGTCTAAAGTACCTCAATACATTATAAGAATTCAGGACGTGATGGTAAGCTCACAATACCGAAATTGAGATCCACTGGGCAGTCGATTGACGAATGTACGTCAGCGCGCCAATCACAGGCGTTGGATAGTCAGCACGAGTTTGTTTGCGGCTGACCTCAGCAGTCACATCTGATCATACTTTTAACGATGTGTGGAAGATTTCGAGCGCTGAAGTGGTAGATGAGTATGAGCAGCCTATTGTGTAAAATTTATGCTGATGAATATGCACATCGAGCTCTAAGCGTTCTTTGTGAGGAAAACGCTCCACAGAATTTGAAGCAATCGATAGGAGTAATAAAGAAAAACATAGGACAAGCCACAGCTCTACAAAGGTAGTCTATATTAAGACCAGTCAAGCTTGAAAAGTGATACGAAACAGTGACATGGACTGAAGGGCTGGAAATTGCAGGTACCTGAGAGGTAGGACACGGACGTGGGCCTGTCCGGCGTATACTGACTCGGTGTTTGTCTGTGCTTGAATAATGCCGCCCTAAGGTCTGCGCCGGGTGTATAAAGCGACCCTATATGCAGGACACGGGCTCCCACATTTTCGCGGATAGGGCTAACATGAATAGCGAGGCAGCCGGCACACCGGTACCATTTAAACAGCGCAGGGCGTCATAGCGACTCGTAGAAATGACGGTGTGCCGAAGCGACAGCGACAGCCATGTTTCAAGGAGCAGCGCTGCGATCACATCGTGACGTCCAAACGCTCCGCAGGATTGGTGCTGAGGAGCAACAGCCCATTGGCCCTCGTTTCTGTCAAGTGACGTCGATCGCGAGCTTAATCGACAGCAGTCGTGCCACATAAACGGTCGCCACACCATCAATCAGGCCTGCCCCTCCCTTGCACAGCGCAAAGATTTACACTGCCGTGACCTCAAGCACTCACCTGATGCCATCTCTCAAATTGCGGTCGGTCGACGTTCGGGCATAGGCGGTCCCAGCACGGTTTCTCGCGCGGCAATGCCACGGTGCAGACTCGGCTTCACGGGTCGGCAGGTCGCAGCGTGGCACGGTAGAGGTTGAGACTTTGTGTCGTGGTGGTCGCAGCCGAGCATCCACGGTCGACGGTCGCGTATGCGGGTTCGCATGGACCTGCGGGCGGTGCGGTCGCCGATCTTGCTCGCAAAGAGCTGCCAGCGCGGGGAGTCTGTATTATTGAGCGGTCACGGTGCGAGGCTGCACGTGAGACAGACAGCGCGGTGCTGACTGAAGACGCGGTGCAGAATGTGTGCCGCAACGTGGCAGAAAAAGGTGACCTCGCGAGACGGCGGCATACTCAGCCAAGAGCAATAAAAAGCCGTCTCTCGCATTCTCCGCGCCGCCATGCTAGCAGCAGCTGTCATGTGGCTCTCGCGGAGGGCACAGATATCGTGATAGGCCGTGGTGTGATGGCCTTTCTGTCTGCAGGCCTTCACCTCCTCCGGACCCACTCGCGGTGGTGTTCGGGCGGGGTTGACCGCCGTCTCTTGATCTGGCCCGGCGTCTTGGACGCAGCCAAGCAGCGAGGCCAATGAGCACGCTCCCGAAGGAATTTGCGTGCCGTGGTCTGGCCCTCCGCGATCTGTGCGCGCACGCTGAAGCCAGGGATGCTGCCCGCCTGATAAAACACCAGCCTCACCCGTTGATGTCTTCTGGAACTTCTGCCAGTGAATTGAACCTGTCTGTACATCCAATCTTCACTGCTGCTGCTTCACCTTTCTGCCGCGGCCGACATTGCACCTCCGCCGTCGCCTGCTCTTCACATTGCCCCGGGCCTGCCCCCCGATCGAGATTGCACGCACCCGCAAGCTCGCACAGCTCCCGAGCTCTCCCCACCCCACAAACAGCTCTGTACTCAGCCAGCGCCGCGGGATTCGCTTTGTCGCGAACAAAGCCCGCCCTCCTCCCCGCCTGCTCCTCCGGCATCCTGCTGCGCGTCCCAGCCGCCGACGACCTTGTCTCGACGTTCTCGGCCATCTGCGCCTGCATGGCTTAGTGGCTTGCAGCTATCAACGAACCTCCGTCCACGCCTTCCTCAAACCGTCCAGTACCACCGACTCTCGCCCCGAAGCTGCACGCTTCTATTTAGACCACCTCCACCACTCCATCCATCGCCACTCTCTCTGTCCCCCCTCGTTTCTCCTCTCACACCACAGCATCGATGCCTCTGCTGGCAGTGGATCGATTCCCAAGGGAACCAGCAGCGGATATCGTCCAAGATGCACCCTCTGCTCGCCGGACGCGTTCTCAGCGAAACAGCCAATCCACCTCCAATTCTTCCTCTGCGGCGCAGTCAGAACGACAGCCCCAAACTTACGGCTACCACCAGACATTCCACACCCACCAGCAACCAACAGCCAGCTCGCCTGCTCCCACCTATGCGTCTGCCATTGGCTCGCAGGCTATTGCCAGGATCTATGCCGTTGAAAGGACAATAGCGAACGCACCCAGAGACATCCTTCCCTTGTACACGTGTTCTGTGGAGATTGAAGGGTCATTGGGTCTAAAGCATGAGATGGCCACGCCCTTCCAGTGGGCCAGCAATCGACATTGGAGCGACGTTTACGTAGCCCTGCGTGGCACCCAGCTCAACATATACCGCATCAAGAATCCCGGCTTCCTCAGCAAGAACCGCACGCCATGTTCTGGCAAAATCATCAAAACTTATTCTCTCCAACACGCCGAAATTGGTATAGCAGCAGACTTCAAGAAAACGCGCCTGGTACCGAAATCGCCCTTTGCCCACTTAGTCCCTGCTTCTGCTCGTCAGAAGGTCTACGAGACAGACCCGCATCTCTTCGAGCCAGTCCGCGAGTTTGTCTTGCGGTTAAGGGTTGAGACAGAGCAGATTCTCCTGTGCTGTCCCAGCCAGCCTGCGCTGTTGGACTGGGTGGAAAGCCTTTGTGCTGCCGTTGACATCGCCCCGCCAATTGACGACCGAAGTGAGCCTCGATATCGCAGCTTGCCTCGACGGAGTAGGAGGCAGAGACAGCTCGATGGCACTCGTTTACCGGGAAATCTGGACCAGATCGGCACCGTGGCTGCTGGACGACGACTTCTGGAAGAGCAGGCACGAATCATTGCAACCCTGTATCCAAATCTCGCCAACAATGCCATCCCTGCCATCGAAGCAACCGTCCCCGAACAACCACTCGAAACACCTGCCACCCATGATTCACATGAGAGCGAGCTGGCACACGTCAATTCGGACCCAGAAGCGGACGACCTGGACCCTGCAGATTTCCAATTCGCGTCTCGTCGGCCACAGAGCTCTGCTGCAATTCACTCCGGCACAGAAAATAACGCGCCAGAGTCAACGACAGGATCCAATGAGTTGACTGAGCAGATCACGAGGACATCAACTGGGTCGAGTATCACTACCACGGACCCAAAAGCTGCCCCCAGACAAGCCAGCCCCGGGTCCAACCTCCGCTACCGCCGCCGTTGCGCACCTATCCTACTCGCTTCATCACCTAGAGCTAGCGACGTTGTATTCAGTGCCGGCAAACGCATGCGTATCTACTTAAAAGACAAGGAGTGTATGTTGATAGACTACGAGTCTCAAGCTCCCCGCTACGACGCCCACGCCTTCCCTCGTGCTCCAAGACTTGCGCCGGTGGGAGAAGAACCTGCCACAGCTTCCGCGACTCCGATGGCCCAAGCACAACCTATGCGTCCTAGCTCACCTCAACGCGGCTTAAGCGACAACTCTATCGCTCACTCCTGCACCTCGCTCGACGCCGAAGCTGCGGGATTTGGACACGACCTCGTCTATACCTCTTCAGTCGAGTCCCCCGATCACTCCCGCTCCGATGGCGACGACATCACCTCCGAGCCGCCTTCTCCTACTATCGCAGACGCACCGCGCAACACCAAGGGCGATGCTACGCGTGGCATGATGCGGCTGGGAAAGGTGCGAACGAGCGAAGAAGTCGGCGAGGAGGTCAGCGGGCTGAGCGCCGCGTTCGGAGTCGGCGTCCCCATGTTCTGAAGGGGAGAAGAGAAAACGACGACGAAACAACGAGATCGCGCATGTGGAAGTTTCCTCTACTACCTAGATATCCGACGTATTTGTTCTCCTCAGTCGGTGTCCAGTGGTTAGAGTGCTATGCTCGCGTGCGTATCTTTTCCTCGTTTCTGCACCTTCTCTACCTTTCCTACATCGAAGCATGACACGAGCTCGATTACCACATTTTCCTTTGCCCTGGTTTTGTCTAATCTCTTTATCCTTCTTCTCATGAGCAGAGAGCGTCGTTAGCGCGCTCCGGTTCGAATCTGATCCGATGGCTTGGGACACCTGCATATGATACCCCCGAATGAGAATGTTGTTATTGTTCTAGAAAGCAAGCAGGCTGCTAGCTGGGTTAATGCATGCTTATCTGTAACGGGGGGCGTTTTGGGGCCGGACTGAGAGTCTCAAGCGTGGCGGTGTATGAAGGCGATATCCTAGTACGTGGCTAGTATGTGACTACTATCTATCTCATGTCTTAGTGGATAATATGAATCAAAGGCCGTTCGACGACGAAACCTAGAATGGGTGGTGTCGGCGGTTATATTATTATTACGAATGGTGTCTTGCTGTGCTATCGTGACAAGTTACCGTTAATGCTTGACGGCTCTCATTTAAGTCGACTCACTAAACAGCTATCTTACTCCCATTACTCCCAATACTCCCATCACTGATATTACGTCCGTTATTCCTAATACTCCTGTTACTCTCATTACCTCTAACAATAGGCCCCCTCCGCACCCATGTCCCCGGTATATAGCCGCAAACAGCAACCACCCAGAACTGTGGCGTCTTGGCATCCTCTTGTTCTTCCGAAAACGGCAGCGGAGGTCCCGCGGGGCTGGAACGGGTCAAGTACTGACTCCGCGTGCGGATGTGGGTCAGGGACAAAACCCAGGGTCCCTGATCCAGGGTCTAGGGGCCATGCGGGTTGGGATAATAATGGTTAATTAGGTTGACGTAGAGGGAGTAATGGGAGTAATATAGAAACTGTAAGAAGTATTAGTAAAAAAAGAAGTAACAGAAGAAGTCCAGGAAATGTAGAAAATGGAAGTTGAAGTTGGTGGAAGAGGTTGAAAGAAGAAGTGATGGTGGAACAATAAGGGGTTATACGAAGAAAAATCTCAAAAAGCATATTCGAGATATAATATGTACCAATTATGTAAGGCCTTTTGGTCTATATTCCAACGGTATGTGAGACGCTTTCCTAAAGCTATATGCGCATCATGGTGAGGCTTTCGTTAGTCTTTTCTCCAGATGTGCGGTAGAGCGTGGGGCAGAGTGGCGGGATGATCACTTTGAAGTGGGACAACAGTATGGAAACATGACATGTACATTCTATGCGCTAGGAGAGCTGCATAGTCTATGTATTAATTTCAGACCAGACTTGCGCCAAAACACCGTGCTTTGAAATTGCTGAACAGCTTGGAGGCTCGATTAAAGCTCTTCCTTTACGCGTCCGGCCCCAATGGCGCCTCGGTGGCAGCCATATTGCACTGCCTGAAAATCCGCACCTCCTCAGGCGTAAAGCTGCCTGTTACAGTGTGAAGCACACCGTGGTTGTTGAACACAGCCATCGTGCCCTCTTCCCAGTCAACGGGGTATACCAGCTCCGGTGCGATACCAGGCCGCTGCAGCCGGTGCACGATCTCGCGAACCTCCTTGAGGTCATCAATCACGGTGCCGTCGGCCAGGTGCAGCTTCTCGACCGCACTGGGGTGGACTTGCAGTGCGAGCTGGCCGGTCACGGGGTTCTTCCAGCACATAGGCAGGATCTTGACTTTCGACTCTTCAATAGGAGGCAGCTCGGAGTACGGTAGCTCGGCGCCGTCGCTGACCATACCGAGCCCGTCGGAGCGTGACTTCGCGGGCGACATCCAGATGTAAGGGTGCGGCGCGTACTGGACCTTGGTCGTCCGGGCGAACTTCTTGTCTTCTTCGGAGAGAATGTCGTACATCTTGTACGAGCTGACGAAGGCGGTGCTGCCGCGGGGGACTTCGAGCTCATTGCCAGTGCCATCATCATAGCGCAGAGTCTGATGCTCGCTCTTTGGCACCTTGACAGCCATAAGGGTGGTGACACGGGGCGGTTCGAGGTCGTAAAGCGCGGCATCGATATGCCAGCGGAAGAAGCGGGTGTTGTCGCGGTCGTCTTCGGCGGAGATGGGGTCCTTGTGGAACTTGTTGTGGTGCGGGTGCTTCAGGGTGATGTTCTCAAGGCCTTCAAAGGACGCGACGGGGCCGTTGCCGATGACTTGGACTTCGGGCTGGTGGGGGATGGTCTTCAAGTCCGGGTGGAGGACGGAGCGCTTCGCGTCGAGGGTCTTGCCATGGCCATACCCAGTGGAAGCTGGATCGAAGCGCCGCGTGAGCTCGTATTGGGCGCGCGGTGACAGATCTTGCTGGTTCTTGAAGATGATGACGCTGTTTTCGTAGAGGGCGTTCCGGATAGCCTCGAAATCGGCATCTGAATGTATTATTAATATGAACAGCTCAGAAATAGAGGGGAGCCAAGACCTACCAGTGATGTTTTCGAGATCGGCTCCCCTGATTTCAGCACCAAAGTCAATCGAAGAACCCTTGGGCGGTTCAATCTTGTGGACAGTGATGGGGCTGTTGGTGGAGTGAGGCATGTTGCGGGTTTTAGAATGGATAAGACAGGCTTTCGGGAGACTTTTCTAGTTGGAGACGTGTTCTATGCGACTGGTTTGATATCTATAATCTAGAAGGGGAGTGTGCCTAATATATACTCGGCTCTTGAGCAAGTCCTTTTTTTCGTTGTTGGAGGAGGCGACCGAAGCGGAGGTGGCCGACGGCGACTGAAGATAGAGCCCGTATCCGTAACAGCCGTGATCCACCAACCACCATCCTCCAGACCCTCAAATTCAGAAGCAAAGACAAGATCTAGAAACTTCCGCTTTTCGTCAGTCAGGTCCCCGGAGAAAGGCGTTATCAGATCGCTGCAAACACTTATCGGCATCGCTCGCCGCCGCCAGCCATGTGTCGTTTGCGGTGCGTCACCGCCAATATACTGCGCAAAAAGCACTTTTACGTGCGTAATCCAGCTTCAAATGGAAACGATAGTCAAGCAATAACGCAGCCCATTCTGATCTCGATCTGTAATGCGGCATAATTGTGGCTTTGATGTCTTACTTCAGGTTTCGTCACATGATAAAGGGATCAAGGGGAAAGGTAGTCCACTATTCTACGCACCTAGGTCAAGTAGATGAACAATCAAATATGCCCTAATAGATCAGTCATACCGTTTAAGTATCTCCTGCGGTCCTGAGATAAAGTTCATCAATGATTGTGAGGAAATTTAGGCCGGTTTAGGACGATACCGCGGTTTTTACCAATTTCGCCGGCTATATAGAGTTGCTTTGGTGAAACTCAAGTAGGACATGTTCACCTTAGCATCCTCCAACAGTCCTATTTATTTCACTAGTGTGACTGTTTACGCGGCTGTCCCTTCTTCAACGTCAATTATTTCCGGCCTGCCTTCGGACTTGCGTCAGCATCTTCTAAAGTCATGTCGACGAATCGAAAAGTTGTACAGATTGATTGACCTTCAAGTAATTTATCTTTCAGGTTCTACGGGCAATGCAAACGTCTGAAATATCCCTCTGCAGGGCGGGCCTTTACCCACTGTCGCCGTTCTCTTGGACAGATTATATATGACGGTCGACACTGTGCAATAAGGCCCGCCATACGGGTACCCTTCCAATTCCTTCGTGGGACCAGACAAAATGATGGGGTCGATGTGCGCGCAAAGACTATCTGGCCCTCCTGCATGATCAGAGAAGCTCTTGATTATGTTATCCTCCGTAAGGAGTTTCTTCTCTGCCAGCTCATGAATGCCCGCCTCCAGTCGCTCAGGACGATACCAGCTGCTGCCGCCGGGATACTTGTCAATTACTGCATCACCTGCAAGGAATGCAGGGTGACGGAAATGATTCGAGTGCGTCAAGTAACCTCTAGTTGGCGACGGTGATATCGTGAAGACACGTGAAGGTGTCATTTCTAAGCACAGTGCCAGTCCTTGTGCATCGGATACCATGAGGTTGTTTGATACGTGCCGCGGGGATGTATTGATAGCAACGAGTCCGGTAGAGAAGGACGGGCTTTCGAGAAACATTCGACGGACCAACGAAATGGGCAGCATTGGCTTTGGTGTCTTCTTCTCACCGGCATGCAGGGTCTCCTCCAAAGGGTCAAAGTCTGCGTTGGTCATAAGGCCATTTGCTGTCAGTCCCAGCCCACGGGCGTTCATGCCGGAACGAGCCAATCCACCAGCCTCTGTAGTGATGAACATAGCAGGTATACCTTCCGAAACATCCGGGTGAACTTCGAGGTAAACCGCTGCATCGTTGAGCAAGAGGTGTGCCGACATGTCCCAATTTTGCGCCGTGATAACAGATCCATCCGCCGTGGTAGTTGAAAGGAATGATGCGCTGGTACATTCGTTATTCTCGCCATTGTCCACAGCAATACTAGCTTCGTTCACATCCAGAGCTGGCTTCTTGACACGAGACAAGTCGTAACGAGCGTTCAACATGATAATTTCATCCAGTGAGATTCCAGCTCCTGCAGCAATTCCTTTCATCTCTTCCAGTCCCGAAGGATAATACATAGCTATTGCTGGAAGATAGACTTGATGTATTACGTTGATGATTGTCTTCCTGCTCAGCGTCAGGCCGTGATCTTTGAGTATGCAAAATGCCTGCTTACCATGGTGGAAGCTTTCCGAGTTGACGATAGTGATTTACGTTGAATAATATCTTCTCTTTTGCTTGTTCCCCATAAGCATATCCACGATCATAAGGCAGTCCCTGCGCTATGACATGCTGATACCTCGGTGAGATGCCCTTCTCAATTGGCAACATCTGCATTGTTGAGGCGAGAACTTGGCCTTGTGATAGGTTCGAAAGAGGTACGCTCAGAATGTCTTTTGAATCTTATCCTTTGCAACCGTTTCGCGATTACTTGAGAGCAAAATCTGAGTAGCGGGGCAGCGTAGCTTTATAATAACACTTTTAGGGGCGTATATGCTAATGAAGTGTACACATATGCTCGTTCTAGGTCATATCTGCCTAGGATGAATATCAGCAAGGCCTCTTCGTGGTCAAAACAAACCAACTTGCTTCTGCCTAAGGTGGGTCTACAAGCGTTGTCTCTGCCAAAATGCCATCTTGAATTCGTTGAACGGCAAAGTCCCGGTAGCCGTTGAGCTCTGTCCTCGAAAGTGGGAGTGGTGGGTCCGCCGATCTGACGGACGGGTCGTCCGAACTAACTCTAAAACACGTCAAGAACTCTCCGCACTCTTGCACCTTATCAGAGTAATACTTACACCATCTCAAGAATACCTACTGTGCTTGACGTCGGCGGCTCTGCAACTTCAACATCTTGCAAGTTTAAATGGCGGACTATCTGAATTTCACAAGCAAGAACTTTGCTGGTATCGCATCAACGCTAGATGAAGGCAATGTTGATCCCCTCTATGGCTCTGAGTACGACTTTCCGCGAGATTTGATTGGCTACGGGAGAGAATCTCTAGACCCCCAGTGGCCAAATGGGGCAAAGATTGCAATATCATTTGTCATAAATTATGAAGAGGTCGAGTTATATCACCGTACTTCTAAGAGCGAACTAATACCTTTCATAGGGAGCTGAGCGTACGGTCAGCAACGACGATGAACAATCGGAATCTCATCTCTGGGAACAGTCCAATATCGGTCCGCGTGTTGGAGTAAGGCAAATCAATGCGGAGAGCGATTATGACTACGGTTCCAGGGTCGGGATTTGGGGGCTACTAATCTATTCGAGGCGTACAAGTTTCCGGTGATTGCGTATGCTGTTGGTATGGCACTGGAAAAGAACCCAGCAGTTGCAAAGGCTTTCTTGGATGGGGGACATGAAATCGCTTCCTATGCGTATCGGTGAGTTACCTGAAATGAAAATTACCTTCACTTGCATTATCTGAATGCATGATATCTGGGTTGATTACTATGGAATGACCGTAGAACTGGAGAGCCAGTACATAAATCGGCAGCTCGATTCACTGATCAAACTCACAGGATCCGCACCTGTGGGTTGGTATATGGGCTGACTTTCGCCATACTCGAAGGCTCTAATCCATAAAATCCATGAAGAGAGGAGCCTTCCGTTGCTGTATGAGTCTGATTACTACGACGACGACCTGCCCCATTGGGTTGATGTTCCAGCGGAGAAATCGAAAGACCTAAAAGAGGCCAACGGGATGTTGATGATTCCTTACAGGTAGGAATGACATTCTCCAAAAGACGGCCTGCCAAAAGAGAACCCGCGACTAACGTTTGAATCAAGCTACGACTGCAACGACCTCAAAATCCATTCCCCTCAAGGTGTAGGAGGACCTGGTGCTTTCGAAGAAAACTTGAAGAAGTAAGGAACTCAGCATCTTTCGGGGGTTATCTTCTAACATGTAATCAGTGCTTTCGATACACTCTACGAAGAAGGCCTCGCAGGCAAGCCAAAGATGATGACGATTGGCTTACACTGCAGGATCATTTCAAAATCGGGCCGATTCCCAGCGCTGAAGCGGGTTGTACAATACGCAGCTTCGAAGCCGGATGTATGGATGACTACTCGGAAGGATATTGCGGTCCACTTTCGTGAAAAGTTTCCTTACAGCAAAAAATGAGTAGTCTACATTGTTGGGGCTTCGTCGATCCTCGATATCGCAAGTCCACATTAGCTGCGTATAGTTCTCGTTGCATGCGATCTCCCGGTCTGCGAAGCTAAAACACATGGATGAACAAAGACATATTCGTTAGACTAGCGTGAAGTTGACGAGATTGCAACTCAGCAAGCTGTTCGCAACCTGTGAGATTGTCGTCAAACAACCTTCCAATCCTCATTATATAATTGTAGAGACATGAGTGACTGGGAAGAACTTTGTTAGCTCGGCCTTTGGTGCGCAAGACCTGAGTTAGGTACCAGGAAAGCTTTGCTAGGAATGCAAAGCTTTTTCAGAGAGATGTAACAGCGTTGTTACGTCCAGCTTCTATGGTGAAAGCGACAGCTTCTGGAAGCGAGACTGTTGACGTTGCCCTAGACGTTGCTCTATCGCCAGCTGTTGGAGAGCGAAAGTGAGAAGCTTTTGATCTCCAGAGATACAGCCAGCGAATAATGATATATGCATCGATTCCCTTCGCACTTCACGCCAAGAATAGTATAATTTGGATGTTCGTATTGATTCGTGGTTTATGTACATTTCGAGAACTCGTTCGATCGCGTCGTCAACCGAGCAGCCGCTACACCTTTCCAGAGTATTCAGAGTAACTTCATCGCGTTCGTAATGTAACAAGATGGGTGTGCCGAACGCCGATATCATGCTGCCTTCAATTCCTCAGCCAGACCACTTGAGCCCGGCGAAGGGAGAGTCTGGAAGTGAAAGAGAGGGAGAGCTCATCGAGTGCACGCCAAGTTTTCATCATCTAGAAATGAATTATCAGTAGGTGGCTCGGGTTTGACGAGAATTGGTACTCACTTTTTTTAAACTGGAAGGATGAAGAAGAGGAGAGGACCCAGCCGGCGAAGAAAATATGTGCGCCGCTAATTCCAGCTTAGTCATGCTCTTGGCATGGACCTCATCATAGAAATATCCCTCAGGGATAGCTCTCCATCGCATTGTACTCTTTACATGACCTGACTGATCATGCTTTCGCAAGCTTCGTGTGCGAGGGCTCGAGTACGGCATCCAGTATTAAAATCATATGCTGAGATTTCGAGGTTCATCCGGAATGGACCCCGTCGTCAGGGCCAAATATCAAATCACGCCCAATCTGTGTCTAAATTATGCACTGCGCAAATACGTTCTTTCTCCTCCTTAAAACCCTTCAGAGATACCACTGGGACTCAGCCGCTGCCTCAATTTCTAGAAGAATACAAATCATCAAGTACGTCTATTTTATATCAAAATATATGGGCATAGTTTATGCACGCCCGTTTACCAATGGCTGAGCTGCTTCGATACATTCGCCAAAAAGGGTCATCCAAACACCTGGCAACGGCAGATTGGTAAAACTAGGCTATTTTCCCATTAATGTAGTATGCGTCGTGGAGTTATCAACTAACCCGACTAGTCAGATTTCCACCCCCAACTTGTTCAATAGCATCACTAAAAGATGCCAAAGTTGGCGAAACGGTAGTTCTACACGGGTACTTGGGAAGCAATAGGAAAGATATGGCGAAAGGCTTGACTTTTGCTCAGCTTCTGAGCAACGACATGGCGACTTGCGTTCAAATCATTTCATTGGGCAAGGATGAGAATGGAAATGAGAAAGAGAGCCACGCAAAATTGAAAACACTGAATTCCCATTCTCCCGTTATCATTGGAGGTATTTTGAAGGAGCGGATCCCCCCCAAAGACAAACCGGACACTGGCGTTGAGCTCATCACCAATGTTGAAGTCAATATTGACGACGTCCAACTCCTCAACACGATGCCTAATGCGCTTGTTACCGGACAGACCGCATTTCCTCCCGAACAGCGCCATCTTCAGATACGAATGGGGGATGACATCCGTAAGGCCTTGGCATTTCGGGCTAAGGTTGCTCAACTTTGCAGGCAAAGCCTCATAGAGTCCGGCTTCTTGGAGATCGAGACCCCACTCCTGTTCAAATCGACGCCAGAAGGAGCTCGGGAGTTTCTTGTGCCTACGAGGGCGAAAGGCTTAGCATATGCTCTGCCGCAGAGTCCGCAACAATACAAGCAAATCCTCATGGCCAGCGGCATACCCAAGTACTTCCAGGTTGCCCGTTGCTTCCGGGACGAAGATCTGCGGGCTGATAGGCAACCGGAATTCACACAGGTGAGACGGCTTCTATGACAACCGTTCGCATCATCTAACGCCTGTGAAGCTTGATCTAGAAATGTCTTTTGTGACTGGCGAAGATGTGATGCAGCAAATCGAAGGGCTCATAAAACATCTGTGGAAGGAAATGCTTGGCTGGACGAGCCAAGATGAATTTGCTCGTATGTCTTACCATGACGCTATGGCGCAATATGGGTCAGATAAGCCAGATCTGAGACTTGGAATGAAGGTAAGTGTGTCTCGAGATTCGCAAAGAGTTCTGATCCTGTATATTAATCATCACCAGATTCATCGAATCGAGTATCTCCTTCCAGCTGATTTGATCCTTAACATTGGTCCATTGCACGATCCGATTGTTGAGGGGATCAAGCTGAGCGTATCGGATGATGCTCGCCAGACGCAGAAGTTTATCACAAACTTCATGGACAGTCCAGATGCAGCACCCTTCCTGAACAACCCAGAAGGCAAGCCTGGAGTCTTCGTTTACAATACGAAGAAGCCTCTTTCAGGGCTGCATGCGTTTGGATTCGAGGGTGCTGAGCAAGTCGAAGAAATGCTGGACCTCGAGCAAGGCGACCTAGTGGTCATCCAGGCGCGTAAAAATGCGCCATTCTCTGGTGGATCTACACCTCTCGGGAACTTGCGATTAGCTCTCCACAAAGCAGCGAGGAACCTAGGAATGATCGAACAACCGCGAGACTTCAAGTTCCTCTGGATCACTAATTTCCCGCTTTTTTCGCCTAGCAACGACACAGACCCCGGCCAAGGTGGTGCAGCCGGACTATCCGCCACACACCACCCCTTCACAGCACCCAAAACGCCTGAAGACGTCGATCTTCTGCTGACAGATCCACCAGCAGTCATAGCTGAGCATTACGATATTGTTGTCAATGGCGTCGAGCTCGGCGGAGGTAGCCGGCGTATCCATGATGCCAAAGTGCAGGAGTACGTTCTGCGTGACATCCTCAAGATGAGTGAGGAGCGTCTCCAGGATTTCAAGCACCTAATCCACGTTCTGAATGCTGGATGCCCGCCACACGCTGGAATAGCTCTGGGATTCGATCGCCTCATTGCGGTAATGATGGGTAAAGAGTCGGTTCGAGACGTTATCGCCTTCCCGAAGAGTGGCAAAGGCGAGGATATGCTTGTGAAGTCACCAAATGCGGTCACCAAGGAGCAGCTTGATACTTATCATCTGCAACTCAAAGAGTGATGGAGAGCTCGAATCGTGGTGTATTATATATGTATCATAACTGTACTTTGTACTAAGTGTCAGTAAGCTCAATGCCGGCAGATAGCAGCGACCTCCTAGATCTTATCTTGCGCCTTTCATGCCTCTGAGGAGGCTGTCAATGATATCTAGTGTCTTGGACAGTCTATATGATATGTGCCATGTTTGTATAATATAAGCACTCCATGCTGGGAAGGAAGATGTAAGTGCGTGGCACCAATAGAGTTCTAAATACTCTTGATCAACCAGTCAATTTACTGCTATTGAAGTATAGTTGACGTAATGAAAAGTGCCTTTCGGAACCTTAGGCGTTACCCGTCGTGGTCTCATGATGCTCAGCATGGCCGTTTTCAACCGAGTTTGGCGTTGGAGAAGTCCATTTCTGTTTTGTGTGAGCTTTTGCACGAGGCTGTCTCACCAGATGCAGCCGACTTACCTGGATGCTGCGACTGAAATTGAGACAAAATATCCATCTTCTTCTGCTCGTCGCTTGTAGGCTTACCCATCTCTTTCTGCCTCTGGTCAAACATCATTTTCTCGACCATGCTCCTCGTCTCACCGTCCAAGTCGCTCAGATTGCTGTTCTCGGGCTGGATTTTAGAGGTGTTTATCTTCGGTGCTGACGTGACGACGTGTGCCCACCACTCCATCTTGTTAACCTTATCCAGATGTACGGCAATTTCCTTGCCTTCGGGGACTGTTTCGAGAGTCCAGGTGGATTCGTCGACGAGGATGGGATGTGGAAGGTCACCCTAGAAGACTAGTTAGCTTAATTCTGATAGAATAACAAGTAATGCCATACATCTACGACTGGTTCCTGGCCCTTGACGCCAATCTTGAGCTTCCCTTTAGTGAATTTGACATCCAGATCGCGGCCCTTGAGGTTTCCAGGCACGGAGACGGTGATATCAACGTCCTTGATAGTTTGGGTCCACTTGTATGGTAGGGCACCTTGCTCAGCGGCTTCTTTGGCCTTGAGCTCCTCGTCTGCTCGACCACGCTCCGACGGAGTTGGAGACGACGCCATGTTTGTGGGAGAAAATGTTTATTCTAACAGCGTGGTGGGATGAGGCTCCCGCTCCACCCCGTGCACCGGCGGAAGCGTCATCGCCAACAAACACCAAGCTGCATTGCGGCCAGCTCCTCCGAACAACTCACCGCCGCCGCCTTTGCACAGCACCCAGGCCTCAGTGCTTCTGCGCCTCAAAGCAGCTATCCGTATGCGCCTATCCTTGCTATTGTTCCGCACCACTATGTTGCGATAGACCCGGCCCGGAACACCCACCCGATCCACCCTACACACGTCGCGCCGCCATTACGAAGTATCGAACTTCACTCGCGATGACGAGCTCGTTCGAGAAGTCAGTCAAGGGCGGCACGAAGATCAAGGTAGGGCTCTAGAATACTTGAGACAGCAGCTGTGCCTGCCGCGACGGTTCCTCAAACTGATAAACCATTCCGCCAGCTCGCCGCCCCGAAATCCAAATATGTCGAGCACATTCTCATAGCCACTCACGCCGGTGAGGCCGGCGTTGCTGAGATCTTCCGCGCCCTCACGAACAGACTGCGGGACTCGACATGGACCATCGTCTTCAAGTCCCTCATTATCGTTCACCTCATGATTCGGGAAGGGGAGCCGGATGTTACACTCAAGTTCCTGGCCCAGAACCCGCAACGGAAGTTGGCAATAAATCATTTCACAGAGGGTACGTGACTCTATTTCAGTCGCAGTCTGGTATGGTTGGGGGTGCTACAACGGATGGTACCATCAGAATATGCCCATTGGCCGTATTATACAAGAAGCGGAAAGAATCGTTGTATATTGCGACCGCTCCTAGCTCAAGCATCAATTGCGAGCTAGTAATAATATCCACGCTACCCTAGGAAATCTTACAGACACCATGCTAACGCTGCACGACAAATCAGTTCAAACCCAGGGCCGAAACATTCGAACGTACGCCGAATACCTACTCCGCCGAGCGCAAGAGTACGGAACTACAAAGGTTGACTACGTGCGCGGGGGAGAGGGCCGGCTCAAGAGATTGAGCATTGACAAAGGCCTTTTGCGTGAAACGGAGAGCGTCCAAGATCAAATAAGATACTTGCTAAGATGCGAGGTATAATTCAAGAAGAACCCTGAGGTTGATCGACTTGACTAATATGACCTTAGCTCCTCGCTGAGGAACCTGAGAACGAGATCACTTTGACTGCGTTCCGGTTATTAACAATGGACTTGCTTGTGCTCTTCCATGTCATGAATGAAGGGACAATCAATGTGCTTGGTGGGTACTATGTGAACATTAACCGGGGTTAGCCACTAATAAATCTTTAGAACACTACTTTGAGATGTCTCACCCGGATGCTACGAGGGCATTGCAGATTTATCGCACATTCGTCAAGCAAACGGACCTGGTCGTTCAATACCTGAGTGTTGCAAGGATGCATGAACACTCGACAAGGCTCGAAATTCCGAAAATAAAGCATGCCCCTACTAGTTTAGCTGCATCGTTGGAAGAATATCTGAACGACAAAGACTTCGAGATAAATCGCCGCCAATATCTTGCTGAAAGAGAAGCTAAGAAGCTTGGTGGTGGTAAAAGCACGAACGGGACAAGTAGAGCATTTGGAGACTCGAAGCCTACGGCGTCAAAGACCTCCGCAGGGCAAGGTTTTCCTTCGCCGAAGCAAGCATCTGCAGCATCGGCCAAGCCAGAAACCAAAGGGCCTGCCCCGGATTTGATCGATTTCTTCGCATCAATCGAGCAGAATCAACAGCCGTTGGTTCAACAAAACCAGCAATATTCGCAATACCCCCAGCAAACGAGTATGCAGCCGGTTGGATACCAAGCCCCCATTCAGGTCGCAGATTTCCAAGCAACGAATCCATTCGGCCAGCCGCAACAGCAGCCACAACAGCAGCCGCAACAGCAGCCGCGACAGCAGCCACAACAACAACCGCTGCAGCAAATGCAACCAACTTTCACAGGGGCCGGCTTCGGCGGGTACACGCCACAGCCGTTCAATCCACAGAACACCTCGCTTTCGAGTATACCCCAAAATGGCGTCGCGAACTTCTCGCCCCAACCAGCACAACAGTTCAACAATCCTAATCTGGTCGCTGATCCCCTACACCCGCAATCGACCAATCCATTCCGTAACTCTGTAATGCCTAATAATATTGCGGAACCCAAACTTTTGAGCAACCCTCCAGTCGCACAACCGCTCGCTCGCTCCCCTACAAACCCTTTTGCTAAGCACGGCGCACAGAATCAACAATCACCTAGTCTTGGCTTGTCCTCATCACCCTTTACATCGCCTCCGCCGATTCAAACACCTCAAAACAGCTCTCCCTTTGCACCGCAGCAAAACACCCTCTCGCCCATGCAGCCCGCACCGACAGGCACGAACCCTTTCGCCCGCAACCCATCACCGCAGCCGCAAGTACCACCACAACAAACTGGTCTGATTCCCAACCCGACAGGCAGCACGAATCCTTTCCGACAAAGCGCGTTCGTGAACCAGCAAACGGGCCAGGGCTGGCAGAACACGGGCCAAGGAACGATGGGCGGAATGGGGCTGGAGGCAGTGGACACGGTGCCGGTATTTCCCAGGCCAGGACAACCCACTGGACAGCAAGGGCAAGGTCAGGGCTGGTCGTAGGCGCTTGCTGCAATTGAGAAACAGGATTTACGTTTTGACCTTCTTGAATATTTGGACAGATTTTGATATCGAAGGGGCCGGCTTCGACGGCATGGCGTTAGCAGGACTAAAGTATGTGGTTGGGTTGTCTTTGTTTCTTTCTCACTCCTACTGTTGCGTATTAGCCTGATTGCGAGGCCACAGCTTCGCCCTTACTGGTCTCGGGCTGGATCAGATGAGGCGAGTCTTAGTCGTGAGGGACTGGGAAGTGGCGCGTGTACTCTTAGTGGTGCGATGGCCGAGTCTGGATGTGAAAACTGGTCGTTTCTAATCAAAGGCGGCATTTCAATGTGCGTGCTTGCAAAGCAAAACCCAGTATTGAGATATGAGTTCGTGAGCCGTGTCTTCTTCAATTCCGGTCTAGGTACTGTTTCCTTGTTTCTCCCCTTTTTTGAGCAATCATTTCTACACCTTTGGATTTCTGTCTAGCAACTTCCTTTTGGTATATTTTTCTACGTTTGCTACCGTTCCGTACTTATTTATATCATCACCACCGAACCACCCTCTTTCTTCGCTATCAGATACCTAGCAACAACCATGGCACTCCACCTCATCCCCGCAACCCCTCCAACTGATCCCACCAAGGTCCGCTGCAACGTAGGGCCCGACTACTTCCTCATCGCCTTCGACGTTTCCAGTTCAAGCCTTGAGAAATGCTCGCCACACTTGGCGCAGACCTTCAACACTGCTACCCAGGAAAGAAAAGAGACGAACCATCCAGCCCCCGTAGTACTAAGATTCCCCGCGCCGCACCGCTTCATCGCGTTCGCAACCTGGCTAAACACCGGCGAGCCGTCCCCGTTGTACACAACAGGGCTACGACTAACAGCGACGAGGCCGCGAAGGAAGCGCGTGAGAATGAGCTCTTGGCGCTTTATGTTTTTGGGAGTAAGTTCTAAGTCGTGCGACTCCAGCGGGACGTCATAAATGCCTTCTTGCTGCGGTATGAAAAGGAACGCAGGTCCTCTTCTTGGGTCCACATCCTCTTGGCCCTGTCGTTGCCGGAGGCGGACCCGCTGGCTAGGCTCATGGCGCACTATGCCTTGAATATGGAGACGGCCGTTGAGCCTCACGCTTCTCGATTGAGATCTCGTATACAATGTCCGTGGATTTTTGCGGCATCCTCGACCTAAAACGTAGCGATCCTGATCAGTTTTGGACTGGGCGATTGGACGACAATGGTTTGCATTAAAGGAGGCTGGGCTGTGTGAAAGTTGAAATCGCGTCCGGAAACCGTTAATCGTCTTTGTGGCGCTAATCTCAACACCCATATTTGATGGCGATATTCAAAGGCTTATCTATCACACATCAAACTTTTTCCCTCTTCTATTCAGTTGATACACGGAAGAGGATTCGGGATCATATGACACTAAAATCCTGATTGGTATGAAAGCGAAGCCGTCTGCTTGACCCTAACAGTAAAGGGTTCGTAATCATCCAAGAAACGCTAAAAGGTCTCTTTTGTGGAAGTTTGGGGAACGTACGAGATGCGTACGCGTGTTATCGGCGTCTCGGTGGCCAATATTTTCTAAGTCGCTCCAGACGAGCTGCCTGCTCTAGGCGAAACTGTTTCCCTGTTTCCGAAGTGACATCCGTCCTCGGTTTGATAGCATCACCGTCTCCTAGCCACATGCGAGAACACTTAGAACACTGTGAATGCCCGCAAGTCGGACAGTTGCCATCGTCATTGTCCAATATATCAGAGCACTGACAGCATCACTCAGCTGTCGTAGGCATGGCAATTTTACGCCCGAAAATCCTGATACCCAGCGCGAGATTATCGGGCGATGAAATATGACTTGGTGAAGCTGCAGATACTTTTGACTTGAGGTGTTCTATCTCCTTGAGAGCAGCTTCAAGTTTGACCTGCGTCAGACGTTGCTCAATCTGCAATGAGGTGATTTGATCTTGTAGAGGCTTTACTATATTTTCGTGTTCTTGATTTGTGATGTATGGGGTCTCACAGCATCCGCCGAACAAGTTGAATATGCCTAGCCCGGCATCGTAATCAAATTGGTTCATGAAATCGAGCCGCTTGGTTACATCCGCTGCGGTAGGTCGCATTGCTGGGTCTCGGGCTAGCATGAGCTGGACCTCGCATAGTAAACGCTTGGGGCTCATGGTAATAGTATCGTTGGCCAGATTGAACCATTCCTGGCTTCGGTGTAAATTCGCTTGAAATGATCCATCCTGCGCAGTACGGAGAGCTTTCAAAGGAGCTAAAGTTCCAATTCTTAACAGCTCAAGCATCTCTAAGAATATGCAACCTAGTGAAAACATATCTGCGGAACGACCGTTTCGTTCATATAATGCTACTTCAGGCGCGAAGTATTTGGGAGTTCCGCGCTCTCCGTTTTCAGTTGCACTCATGGAGAGCATAGAAAAGTCCGTGGAGCTTCCAAAGTCAGTGAGCCATAAGTTGTCTCGACCAAGTAGAACGTTAGATGGTTTTAGGTCCTTGTGGCGAATCTTTTGGCTGTGAAGATACTCAATGGCTTTGGCTAGGCACCCGAATTTTGAGGCTAGATATCTATCACCCCCAGGCTGGAATGCATCGTAGGTGTCCGGGAGGCCAAGTGCTCTGAAACGATTGCTTCGATCCTCCCCAATGATCTGATCATCGCGGTCCGCCTCCTCAAAGTCTTCGAAGAACGTCGCCAGGTCGCAAACTGCAACGGGCCGCAACAGCAGGCCAAGAAACTGGCCTCGGATCGATGGTTGGGTGTAAGTCCCCACTAGCTGAATGATGTGATGGTGACTGAGCTTCTTTAAGATGCTAATCTCTTTCATCTCTGCATCTGTAATCTTCTTGCGACAATACTTCCTCTTCCAAGCTACCGCAACACCTTTGCAATGAGTCTCATAAACACCTCCCATGACTCCATAGCCTAAGAAGCGACCTTGCTCTAACGGAACCTTCTCATTGGGGCCAAAGTCGACATGACTTCCTCGTCCAGATCCAGACCAGTCATCCCAGATAGACGGGCCAGATAGATGGAGGTATATTCTTTCTCCAGAGGGAAGAGTCAAGGGCGAGAGATGGTAACTGTCTGGTTTATCTGAAGAGGAATAATCTTCTATCTGAAGACGTGGGAGGCCGTTGGCAGAGCCTTTTGAAGGTGTATCAGGCTCTGAGGACCTAACTATCGAAGATTCCTTAGGGGGCGTGGGGAAGAAAGTTGGATATGGCTTAAGCCGTGATGTTTGTAGTTCTTTGGCCTCCATACTTGAAGAAGTGCGAACAAGCAACAGCAATCCGAGCTGCTAGGCCAGTATCTCTCCTGGTAAGGCAACAACCGCTGCCCAGTCAAGCCGATCAGCCTCCTCTTACTTTCCACCAAAGCAGACAATGTTAACACATGAAGGAGACGAAAGTAGCGAATAAAGCGCTAGTGATGAGGCAGGCAGAACTCGCACAGCTATTTTTGAAAAGGTTGGGTCATTATTGTGAACTGAGGTGGAGTTGACAAGGCTCAGCCCCGCGTGGAGGTGCATACGTCTTGGCATATAATTCGGCCCCATGCTTCACAATTAGTTTTCACCAAATATGGTATGTGCTGTAATCTCTGCACACCGAGCACTTATCCATCTATCTACGGACTCCTAAAAAATGCCACGGACAAGAACCCGAAGAAACCCGGCCCTCATCTTACACGGTACTTTTGGTGCATAATACAGCCTTGAAGCCAGACTCCATTCATCCCCGAAACACATATTCATCGTACTACTGCTTCTTGGCGCAGTTTATCTTAGCCCGGCTAACCGCCGTTCCTGGACCTCAGACAGCGCTCTGCTACCGCTCAAGAAAGCCACTAATCCAACAGCTCCCGCAGCGGGCAGCGTCTGGAACAGATTCCAGCTGGTATAGTATAGGAAGAAAATGCCCTCCAGCGCAACAATGGACCCAAAAAAGAGGGCATGCGATAGGGGAGCGCTGCTAAGGGCCTTGGAAATGTGGTTGAGGTTGGCACCGAGGGTGAGCCAGACTCCGAACAAGACCGGGAGAGCACCCAGCACAGCAGCTGTGAACACTAAAGTGATAATCTTTGGAGGCGACTTAGGGTCTGAGCGGAAGATGTGGTGAATCTCCTCAAGCTTGCCGTATCGAACAGGCTTCTCGCCAGCGGCAATTGGTGCGTTTGGATCGCGCTCGACTGTGATTTCGAAAGCTTTGCTTTTGTAGGGAGTTGATGAGCCGAAAGAGGCAATGACGAGGGACGCTGTGAGAGGCTCGGAGGCTAGGAGGAGCGGTGTTGGGAGATCTTTTTGCGTCTGTCTTTTGTTAGTTGAATAGACGACACGTTGGGTCTACCAATCGTACCAATTCGACTTTTCCTTTGCCGGTATCCTTGACGCTGAAGATAAAAGACTCTTCCAGACCCGAAGCTTGCTCAGTGACTGTGAGGAATGCCTGATGTGGGCGCTTTGCCTTTTTTCCATCTGTTGTTGTGAGGAGTATCTTCAGAGTGTCGGTCGCTCCCAAGGTGACCTGCTTGGACAATGGCGAATTGACGGCTAATCTAGAAAGGAAGATTCAGTAAATACCTAGTGCACACAGTGTGGGTAATACGCTGAGCATACTTCTCCTTGAGACCCCCTCCAACACCTGCACCTTTGCTCTGAACGGTCAAGGTGGCATCTTCAAAGCCCCAGGACGAGGCTGCGGAGACCACGCAGGCGCCGGAGACCAAAAGAGAGGGCAAAATGGAACGAAAGAAACGCATTGTGGCAGCACTGAGGTTTCCTGGTATTTCTGAAGCTCTTTGGGTGTGCTCGACAGCTCAAGAAGACACGACGTAACTTGGAACGTAAGCCTTCCGAGGTTGGAGCTAGCCGCTTCAGGGTTTAATGCCAGTTCACATCTCGCCGGCAGCTAGCGCGCGACTTTGTGCACACCTGACTGTCAAACGCCAACCAAACACGCCTCACCGCTTTCGACGTCGATACTTCCTCGGCCGGCCTCCCGTGTCTCTCGAGCTCTAAGGCTTCAATATTTAATGCCTCGTCTTCCCAATGCTACGCGACTAATCATCACTCACTCTCATCTCTGTACCACCTAATTACACCCAACCATCACCTCTCATCACCATGTCGACCCTCCTCGCTCTCCCGGCCGAGCTCCGCAACCAAATCTATCGCTACGTCTTCACCTCGCGCGACCACCTCACCCAGTCCATCAAGGACCCTCGCGCCACCTTCCCAACGCACGTCCTCTCCCTCCTCCTCACCTGCCACCAAGTCCACCAAGAAGCCGCCCTCCTCGCCTTCAGCACGACCTCCTTCCTCACGGCGTCCCACCGCGCGCGCGCGCTCCTCTCCGCCCTCAAAGCCTCCGCCGTCCCGCCACATCTTGTCCGCAGCATCACCAGCCTCACCATCGCCGCCCACCTTATCCCCTCCCTCGTCTACCCGCGCGCTCTCAGCCTGTTCCTCGAGAATATTGCCCAAGTCGCCGCCGCCCTCCCCGCGCTCGACGAGATCGCCGTGCTGTTCGAGCGGTGCGGCGCCGGCGCCGGCAGCAGTACCGATCTCCGCTCCATTCTCCAGAACAAACTGCCTCACATCCTCTCGCTCCTGCGCGACCTGATGCCGAGCGCGCGGTTCGAGCTCCGGGGCCAGTGGACGGGGGAGCCGGCGCCGGCGCGCGAGCGGCGGGAGCGCGAGCGCGGCGTCTACCTGCTTACTTTCAAGAAGGATGGGGAGGACAAGGAGCGCGTGCTAAGAGTCGAGTTTTTGGGTTGTTGGCCGCAGAGGACGGATGCACTGTATGCGACCGAGGTGGAGGTGGAGGAGGCGTTGGCGGCGGACCCGACATCCGGGTGGGATTTGAAGAGGCGGGAGCGGCCGTTTTTGACGGCGGCGGTGACGGATCCGGCGGAGAAGATGCGAAGACATAGGAGTAGCTTGGGAAGCAGTGTGGGGGATGAGTCGCCCGGGTGGAGCTCACCGAGGGGCCATGGTTCACCTAGGAGCTCGTTGGGATTCGGTTCGCCGAGGTCGAGTTTGGGAGGGGAGTGGTCGTCTCCCGGGAGGAGATCTGTAGGAAGCAGTTCTCAAGCAGTAGGGGGCTCAGAAATTGGGCGCGACGTTTCACCCTGGGTACAATGTGTTGCTGCTATAAGAGCCGCGAATGTTAGCCGCAAATTGAACGGAGAAGAGATTGAATGAAGACGGTCATGTAGGGCCTTTTTGTTCTGCATAGCGTGGGCGTTTTGTGGGGCGGATGGGATTTTCGGGCGTTATTGATACCCAATTGCCCTAGTCGTTAGGTAGCAGCAATGGAACACTCTCCACTCAATTACAGTGCACGAATGCTGGAATAGTTCTCCTTGGAGTGCCGCTCTCTGTGGCCTTCGGATTTGGATATGGAAGCTAACTTACCAAGGCCTGTTCAGGGGATATGAGCAACCTAGGTTGCATTCAAGACCAATACATCGGCAAAATTGTTGATGCGTACGTACAATACGGACTCAGCAGCTCGTCACTACAGTCTTCATCTTTTTATCAGCGCTGTGACGATTCCAAAATATAAATTCAATGCTACGTGGGGTATTTGGTGCAAGAATTACAGATTATGTGAACGCCAGGTCCACCCTTCCGTCAAAAACAATGCCGAAAACGCCCCATATGCTGCCAATATGCTCCCTACGTCTTGCGTATATGCTGGACTACTCCTGGCCAATTAAGATACCATTTCCACCACTCAGCGTCTCCCCTCTGCGTTCATCACTTCTACCAAAAGCGTTGACGTGATGGGTAGTATAGACGTCCCATCAAGGCGGCCGAAGAGGACGTGTTTTTTGAGCTTTCTCTTGACGCAGGCAGTCTGTCGTACTGGCCTGGATCCAAGAAGCTGCCGCCAGGCATCATCCACTCACCCTGACTGTCGTAGAGGATGTGAGGTATCACGTGCTCAACACGTGACGTGACCCTGCTCAACGCCTCCTTCGATGTCGAGTCCCCGTGGACCGAGATGCTTCCGAAACCGTCGGTTGGTACGAGTTGGATATGCAGTCCCAGTGGAACGGGATCGCAGTCGTCTCAATAGCCACTCCTTGATATCTTTGGACTCGGTGCGTGCGTGGAGGCGGGGACGGATACGTGAACGCTTCGCGCCTGATATCCTCCAGCGCCTCGTTCGTCGCTGCAAGCACCGCAAAACGTCGGTCTGGCACGCGTCTAGCCGTCGTATTCGGCGTCCTCGAGCGCGACGACCGGGACGAGTGGTGTTGGCGCGGCGAGCGCTGTTGCGACTGCGCCGGCGCATCGCGTCTCGGCGTCGACTTGGGCGGCGACGGTATGCGTGTCCATTGCGATTTCTTGGTCTCTGGTTTCGCCGACTTCTTGGACTTCGAGCTGCTGGGTGGATCGCGCTTTGCGCCTCGTCCCCTGAGCGTGTTGGTTGACGACCGACTGTGCCGCTGCCTGTGCTGGCGCGAGCGATCTGGGCGCGGGTTCAGGAGCATTTCCGTGGACGAGCTGGCGCTGTCTACTAGTTCTACGGGTCGACTCCATCGGTCTGGGACTTGGAGTTGGACTGTGGGCCTGCGCGCATCACGAGGCCGCGGAGTCTCTCGAACTGCCCGCTTCTCTGGTGACTTGGGCGCTTGACGGGGTGGTTTAGGTTCGCGCACTCTCCGAATTTCTTGGGGAGGTTTCGCCTCTTGTGGGGTTCTTGGTTCGCGGGTTCGAGTTTCTCGCGAGCGCCGTGGTTCTTTCGGTATGAGTGGTTCTTGCGCTGGGTATGCGACCACGACGGGCTCAGCGTTGAGACTGTCGTATGCATGCTTCTCGCTTCTCGACTCGCTACTCCTGGGCCTGCTCTTCTTCTTCTTCGGTGGAGGGGGTTTGCCGGAGAACGGCCAACACCAGCACATCGCGAGGCGCGCAAACTGGTGGGGTCTCCGGCCGGTGGTGATATCTGGCTCTTAAGCAAATGAAGGGATACGGGGCCGGTTTGTGAGTCGACGACGGCCAACATTGGACGCCGCGATCATCGGGCCCCAAATGGAGAGAGCTGCGCCCCTTCTTATAGGCGTGGACGCGGAGCCAATGACGGCGGGCGATGAATGAGTCGGGTTTCAGGGCATCTGTCTACTTATCGATAGATAAGGAAAGGTGTAGGGCTAGAGAGGGACGCGCGCTGGGCCCCGGCGTGATCTCATCGCCAGCAGCCGGGCACGCAGCGGGTCTGCGGCGACTGGGCCGACAGCAGGAAACGAAGAAGAAATGCATGACGCCGCCGGATCAAGAAAAGACTCATCCTCTGTACCTTGTGTGCGCCGGCCGTGCCCGCCAATGGGACTGCGCGCTGCGACGAGGAGGGTGGGAACGGCCTGGATTGGTAAGTCTGGAGAGGGTGGCTTACACGGCCATGTGACCCGTCTGGCTCCAGCTGATCGAGGCCCGACGGGTGCACATGGCGCGCCTCTGCTCGTCGAGCTCGTCGGGGCATGGTGGTGAGGAGTGCGGAATGCTTTGTGCGGGCGCCAGCGGGCTTTAAGGGCGCTCTGAGGGAGGTTTATGCCCCTTTCTGCCCTTTGACGTGTCGTACCTGGCAGACGGCCATGCATGCAACGTGTTCGTGCGCTGGCCGCTCTGAATGACGGCCCGTCCGGGACGATCCTAGCACAGTTCGCGCTACGACGGCTGCGGCATAGCGTCCTCGTATTCAGTGTGCGTTGCGTGGCTAGCTGCATATGCAGTTGGGCAGGCATCACACTCCTCATCACGCTCGCAAGCACTCCACCACCAAGGATCCTTATCGGCCTTTTATCTGAAAGCGACGTCACTGGCTGGATACATCTCCCGTCTAACTGCAATGGAGCTTGCTTTCTCTTGGCTTCGAGTCCGCTTTCGGAGTAGTACATGGCGGTATGGCAGCGCCGACTGGCTGTGCGGTCATGGGAGCTGCAAATAGTACCTGATGTGTCATGAGGAAAAGCAACGTGGAAACGGCTTGGTTTCCTCCGCGCAGCCGTATAGTGGCTAAGATGCTTGAAGATTTCCGAACACTACTGACGTGAGGCGGCGTTCGTTGAACGTAGGTACAGTTCCTGAAATAGTGACTTCAGCCTACCATGGCACGCCTGAACCCTTCGTCCCCCGCAGCGGTACCTGAGCGTGCTAGGGTTGAACCTCAGCGGTTGCTACTCCCAGTTGACTGTCGGCCTGCCCGTAATACAGAAACCACTTGCCCTTGAACTGCACCAGTCCCTCTGCGAAGACCACTTGGTTCACCTGCCCTTGCTGCTCGTCCACTGCTTCAGGCACCATGAGCGGCTCTTCGATTCGCGCAATTGGCCCATCTTTCAGCGCAGGCTGATAAGTGCTCCCCGAGCAGCCGATTGCCTGGCTAGTATTCAGATTCGGCCTGAAACCTCCACTCGGGTCTATCAGCATTTGCCCTACTGAGTACTGGTCTTTTGGGAATCCAACGCGACCAGTCGTCATGCCATTGTACACCAACAACCAGCGACCATCTCTCGTCTTAATAGGCGCAGGACCAGGTTCGATGAGGCGATTCTCCCAAGGATTAACAGGTCGCGCAAAGTATTCTTCCGCGGGGAGAGTGGTCCAGTTATGCAAGTCTGACGATGTAGCATGGTAGAAGAAAGAGTCGCCCCAGTACATGTGGTATAACCCGTCAGGCGTTGGCTCTTTCACAATTGCTCCCGACTTAGAATGGTTGACACGCGGCATCGGAATGTCGATGTCGGAGTATGCTACATCTATCCAGCTAGGGAACAAAGGCGGGATCTTGTTCCAATTCAACAGGTTGGTAGAAGTCGCCATGCACAGCTGAGCCGACACGTTGTTGTAGGCCGTGTAAGTGACGATGAAGGTCCCATTCACTCTCACGATGCGCGGATCTTCAGTGCCACCTATGGTTTCGTATTCTTCCGTGGCGTAGATGATCGGCTGGTTCAGGCGCGTGAAGTTGTACCCATCCGTTGACCACGCCAAACCGATGCTTGACGTCTTCGAGGCATTCTGGGCTCGATATAGCAGAAATACTGTCTTATTCAATACCACGGCTGTGGGATTGTACAGAAACGCGCTTTCCCAGTTATTGACTGCATTTGGCGAAAGTATTGGGTTGTTCGCATATTTCGTGAAGGGCAGAATTGGAAAACTTGGCGCAACGTAGTCCGGGTCGCCCTCGACTGTGTCTTTTGTAATTTCGAAGGGAAGAGTATCTGACGAGTAGACAGTAGCGTTGTGAGTCAAGGAGAGTGACAGTCCTACCAAAAGGCAAAAGGTGAGAAGAATGGCCGCCATGCCAGTCAATTATGTGCCTTTAAGACCCAATTCCACCCATCATGCTTCTTAAGACCCAATAGAGGGGCCATGACGTACATACTCATCGTGAGAGAAGTTCTCCTCTTCCCCGCGCGCAGCTTCTCGGAAGTGGAAGGCCGTGACGCTGGCCAAGGCAAAGTTAGTCACTGGGATGGTCGCCTGTGAGAGCACGGCAGTTGGGTTTGTCGCTGTGAAAGATGCATGAGAAGCGGAGAGTTGGAATCGCGGCCGATGGGACAAAAGCAGGCCTCTCAATGAGTCTAAGGAGCGTGTTGCTGCGACTCGGCCGTCTCTTGCAATCGCGAAATCAATCCTTCTGCGTTACGGCCGAGAGATGCAGATGAGGCTGGACAGTGCGGGGAAATTCAGGCCGAATCCTCGAGCTTTGATTGCCCCGAACCCCTTGACAAGCGGGAAGCTACTCATGCAACACGGAGCAAAACACCACACAGCCTCATTGCTGATCGGACCCGTCTTCGAGACCAGCGAACTGAAGCAGCCGTCGGGGGCGGACTACACCCTTGAAACTAACAGCCTCCACATAGGACAGTAAGACGCGTTTATATATAAGTGAGGTTGTATTCAATCCTTCAATTAGCCAACAAGCAACATCATCATCTTCTCTCATCTTCCCTCATCACAACCCTACTTGTTATACCCTTTCAAGCAGTAATCCCTTTTAACAAACTCTCCCATCATGTCTACCACCATCCGCAAAGCAGTCATCACTGGTGCCGGCGACGTATCTAATGTCTCTGTCGTTGACGGCCCTATCTCAGCGCCGGAGCGTCACTATGTCCAAGTTCGCGTCCTCTACTCTGGCTTCTCAGGATCTGACATCAACATGCGCCTCGGTATCTACCCATTCCAGAAGAAGGCCCCCTTCACGCCGGGCTACTGCCTCATTGGACGCGTCAATGTCAATGGCCAGGACAGCAACAAATTCAAGAAGGGAGATCTCGTGGCATGTCTCTCTGTCTACGACGCCGAAGCCGAACTCGCCAACCTACAAGAGAAATACCTGATCCCAGTCCCGGAAGGTCTTGACCTCCAACAAGCCACTGCACTTATCCTTGATTGGAACACGGCATATGGAATGGTCATGCACTCCGCGAACGTCTCTAAAGGCCAAAGGGTTTTTGTCCATGGCATGAGCGGCGCTGTCGGTTACGCCATCACCATCCTAGCCCAGCTTCAAGGGGCCGAAGTGTTTGGTACTGCCTCGCCCAAGAATCACGACGCCATCAAGCAATTGGGTGCCACGCCATTTACCTACGCCAACAAAGACTGGATCTCTGCGATGAACGAGCTCGGTGGTGTCCACGCCGTCTTTGACGCCCTTGGATTCGAAAGCTGGGATGAGTCGTACTCGGTCCTGACCCAAAAAGAACGAAGCATCCTTGTCGGCTATGGAGGAAACCTTCCGATGTTGACGGGACAACCTCCCAGGTCTATGGCCGTTCCCGTAACGAAACTGCTCGCTCAAAATATGAAAATCTGCAAGCGAAGGACGACGTTCTACTACATTGGGCGCGATGACAAGACATTCGTTCCAGACTTGACTGCGCTCTTTGAATTGTTGAAGCAAGGGAAGATCCAGGTACCCATTAAAAGGGTTTACGGGCTGGAGGATGTTCCAGAAGCACATAAGAGCTGGAATACGGGATCTGGTATAGGCTCTCTTCTGGTGAAAATTGCACATGATACTCTGGTGTAGTGCTTGCTTCACTTCACTTCTATTCTATTCCTATTGGTCGTTGTAGTTGAGCGTGCTTTCTATTCGCTTTTCTTCTCAGTTCTTCGAGCTGAAAGAACAGACATGGGAAGATCGGACTTTGTACGTCCTCAAGCCGAAGATATCTCATAGAATTACGGAGTTTGCGGCGATAATTATCAACCCCTCTCACCCCACTTAGTGACGATGATGTGATTGAATCCAAAAGACACTGCTACCAGGTTTCCTTTATAAGCTGTTGCTCTAAGTCTAGTTATTCACAGGCCCCACTATCGAAGAACTCCGAACAACGTCACTGAATTCCTCCACACTTCTACATACAGTCTTCACATTCCACCTTACAGATCCACTAGCACCGCTACCGTCATTATGCCTCTCATTGCACAAAACGTAACGGATAGGGTCATCCTAGGACTGATGACCTTAGGTAAAGCTCCCCTCGAGTATACATCGACAGGTCATAAGTCTGTACACACGCGTTTTACCTCTGCTTAGGGTACCACCATTGAATTTCAAAAACTTAGGCCTGGCGTCAAGTTTTAAGTAGTGCAAATTAGACTGCCTCTTGACTAATTGGCCGCTTACTAGCTGGGCTGCTCCTCACAGTGGTGTCGAGTGAGCAAGATTGAAGCCAAGCAGTGATAGATCCGTGTGCCCAGACTTATGACCTGATACTGTATAATCAATTAACATCTAACTAACAACAACCCTAGGCCCTGACGAATCCAAAGGCGCCAGGATCACCTCAATCGACGAATACAACAAGATCCTCGACAACTTCCAAGGCCGCGGCTACAACGAAGTCGACACCGCGCGCGTCTACATCGACGGCCTTCAAGAAGCCTTCACGCGCTCCGCTAACTGGCAATCTCGCGGCCTGACACTCGCCACTAAATGCGCGCCCAAGGAACCCGGTACCCACAAACCGGAGAAGTTGCGATCGGAGTGCGAAACTTCGCTGAAGGAGCTCGGTGCTGATACCGTCGATATCTACTACCTGCACGTGCCGGACCACTCTGTGCCGTATGAAGAGACGCTGGGGGAGATCAACAAGCTGCATAAGGAGGGAAAGTTTGTGCAGTTTGGGCTGAGCAACTACGCGGCGTGGGAAGTCGCTGAGATCTGGAATATCTGCAATGAGAGGGGATGGGTGAGGCCGACGGTGTATCAAGCTATGTATAATGCTATTAGTGAGTACTATTTGGAAACATAATCAATGAGTTGAAGCTGACCACACTCTTTCTAGCTCGCGCCATTGAGCCCGAGCTTATCCCCTGCTGCCGGAAGTACAAGATCGACATCGTGATTTACAACCCACTCGCAGGCGGAATCTTTTCCGGAAAGTACAAGACAAAAGATGTGCCCAAGGAAGGTCGGTATTCAGAGACTTCAGCTCGACAGGGGAAGATGTACCGCGAACGCTACTTCAAGGACGCGACATTCGAGGCGCTTAGTCTCATCGAGCCAGTGGTGCAGAAGCACAACTTGACTCTACTGGAAACGGCGCTTCGCTGGTGTGTCCACCATTCGGGACTGAAGACGAGGGTTAAGGGAGGAAACGATGGAATCATCATTGGTATCTCGAGCCTCAAGCAGCTGGAGAGTAATCTGGCGGATCTGGAGAAGGGGCCATTGCCGGAGGAAGTGGTCAAGGTTCTGGATGAGGCGTGGCTGATCACAAAGCCTACCACCACAGTGTACTTCCGCTAGATGTGGGTTCAAATCGGGAGACGCCACTTAGGGACTTGCCTTGATAGTTGCTTGCAATACTGTCACTCTTCACACAAGGGTCCCGAAACTGACCTCTAATCACGTACATACGTACTACACTGCGTCGCCGAGCTTGACCAAAGAAGCCATTGAGCTTCAATGATCGTCTCAACACTCCTCTTTCCTATACTCCATGTAACCCTATATCCCAAAGATCCACTTGACCTCAATCACCCTTGCCCTACCCCCCCAGCCGCCGCCGCCGCCGCCTTCGCCTCCTCCCCCCTCCGCCTCCTCACCTCCAGCATCAACTTCGGGAAAAAATCCCTCGCCATCCCCACATCCACAAACTCCCTCCACCCCACAATCTGCTGCCCGGCCTCATCAAACTCCATATTCCACACATACTCATTCACATACTCGCCCGCCGCCGTGTCCCCCCGCGCCTCCAGCCACATGCTGATCTTCCGCGCCACCACGTCCTCAACCACGTCGGTGACGGTGAGCGAGAAGTTGGCGAAGACGCTGGCCATGCTGTCGAGGTTGCGCTTGTAGGCGGCGTTGTCCTGCGGCGGCAGGTTGAGCGATTTGGGGTGGAAGGTGCGCAGGCAGTGCGGGGCGCGCACGGCCATGATGGCGGCGTTGTCCATGCGGTTGAAGGCGGCGACGAGGGCGTGGGCCGTGATGCGTTGGGGGGTGATGATTGGGGCTGGGGTTGGGGTTGGGGTGGTGGACATGGTGAGTTGGGACGTTGTTGGGTATTGATCGTGGGGTTTAGGGTTGGTGAGGACGGCAGAGGAATGTGGCTGTCAATCTGGGAGATTCGAGCGCGCAGAGACTGGTTGGGAGAAGGGAGGGAAATGGTTGTCGTTGTTACGGAAAGCCATGATGCGTGTGAGGGGTCTAGGTACCATGTGGGTGTTGGAGGATGGCTCGATTCCAGGAATAGTAGCATGTATGCACGGACGCACGGGTCACCATTGCATCAGGCCTATTAATTGCGTACAAGAGTTGTATTTGTCAATTCTAGTGCCGACAGAGGACGGTGGGGAAAGGAAATACGAGACATAGGACCCAAAGGGTTTGTGCCTTTACCAACACGGCCAGCCTTGTGCCTAGATGGAGCTCTGCATTTGACCCCATCTTACCCCTCTATCAAGCTTATCGTCAGATCTAGGGACGTCAAGGTCCTGCCATTGAGGGCTGATCAAGGCTCAAATGTGCTCCAAGAAGCTCGATTTCTATAGGTGCGCAGTGCACTCGATCTCGACATCTGTGCCCAATGGAAGTTCTTTGACTGCAACACACGTCCTCGCCTATTAGAGTTAGTTGAGAGCTTGCTGTGTTGCTAATGGAACCAAGAGCTGTAAGAAAGACTGACCGGTAGATAATCGCCGGGAAAGAACTCCAGATATGCTTCATTCATCGCACCAAAGTTCGTCATACTCGTGAGATAGACGTTAATCTTGACAATATTCTCGATGGAGCTGCCAGCATCCTTGAGCACGCCCGTGATGTTCTTCAAAGCTTGTCGCTGGTACGTGGAGTGGGGTCAGCGGAGGGACTTTGGGAAGAGCAGTTGATAGAAGACCGGAAGAGGGTACTGACAGTCCGATCCTGGATGGGACCCTCGATGACCTTCAAGCTCACTGGATCCACACCTTGAGGCTATTAGCTTCAGGTCGTATGCAGGGTATGTTGCTCATACCAATATTCCCAGAGCAGAAGACAAACCCATTACACTTTACAGCCGCGCTGAAAGGCATGACTGGGAAAGGCTTTGGGGAGCTGTCTGAGAGAACGACTTCCTTAGTAGTAGACATGATTGCTGTGTAGAGAGTCTGGGTCAGAGTTCGCGGCTGTGGAGGTGGTAATGCATGATATACTCCAAAACTCTCACGCCCTATGTAACTAATAAGCTGACTCACATCCAGGTGCAATTTAACGGAGGACCCTCGCCCCACAGTTATCCAGGACGGATATCGCAATGCGATGATCTCGACGTTATCATTCAGGTCGCGGTCTGTTGGACTTCGCGTTGAAGAACAAAAAGAGTGACCAGGTAGGTAGGTTCTTGAGGTACCCCTAGATTAATGACGAAACTTGAAGTGGTGAACGTGAAGTACTCGGCTTCAAAAATCGGGTCTTCACGAGAGAGACAAGCAAAATCAGAGGAACAATAGTATTTCTCGCTAACCAAGAATTAAGAATCATACTAGGACTACCAAAGTACCGACGGAATAGGAACGCCCTCGACGTACCCCAAGCCTATCCGACGCTTCGTAACTCATGTCCTCATACCCTCATGTTCGAGTTGCGCCCTCAATCCAACCCGCCCCCTTATAACTCCTTCTTCGTCTCCGAAGCAGCATCATCTACTACTGCTTTCTCAATATACCCCTTCCCGACCTGCGTCGTCTCCTTCCAGCCTCGCTGCCTCAGCCAAAATCTATCTTCAGGCGTGGCAGTCTTCAAGCTAGACCTCCTCGCATCCTCCTCCAAGCTCTCACGATCGATGTTACCGCCCGCCTCCGCCATCTTGGGGAGCTTGCTCATCTCACTCAGGTTCTCCTCAAAGTAGCGCTTGCGCACCATGAAGCGCTCGCGGCGTTCCTTCTGGCGTCCCGGGGAGTCGAGCTTGGAGATAGCGACACGCACGCCCCAGCGGAGGACGAGGAACGCATGCTCAGAGAGGAATATGGAGAGGAGGAGGGCCCAGGCTTTGATGGAAGACGGGGAGCCGTCCGGGCCGAGACCGTCGTTGCTGAAGAGATAGACGAGGGCTGAGGTCGTGATGCTGCCGAACCAGGTCAGGAAGCTGAGGCTATCGAGCCAGGGACCAATTGTGTCGGCGCGGAAGGGGATGGGGCGCTGCATTTCGATGCAAATTTTGATAGCGTCTGCGCGGAGCTCCATCCAGTCGTTGATGATGAATGAGACGGCGGTCAAGGGCCAAACAACGCTGAAGAGGGATAGATAGCCAAACTGTACCATCAATTAGCCCAATATCAGGCGATATAAGAGGGGTACTTACTTGGAGAACCATTTCTCTAAGGTCTGTTGTGACATCGTAAACGCCCAGCTCTGCTTCGTTGCGTACACGAGACAAAAATGCAGCTTCCTCAGGCGTGTCATTCAGAGATGGATCAGGGGCAGTCCCACCGTTCTTGGCAGCCCTCTCACTTTGCATCTTCTTGTACTTGGAGAAACCCTGGCGCTTGAGATATGGTACGATGACCTCCATACCTAGATTGACGATCTGGGCAGTCACTGTGAAGTAGATGACCTGCTTTCGAAGTCTTGAGGGGTTGATGGCAAATGCAGCAGGCGTCTCGAGTTGCTTTTCGTTCTCGGCAAACGGTTTCACTGCCAGGCTGAAGACATCCAGGTATGGCACAATGATTGTGCCGAACGGAACGTAAACAAACGCTGTCAGAAGGATAGGGAGATAAGAGGTGATGAAGTTCAACACAAAGATCTTCTGCGTCAGCGCTACCTCGTACGCAGCATGGGTTTCGTAATTCTCGAACTCCGTCAGGCGGGTAGCGAATGTGGTAAGGATGCCTTGGAGGATTGGCATAAAAATGGTCAAGATCCCCGTCGGTAGGAATACCTAAAACTACGTCAAAAGACACTCATATCTACACTGTCGAAGTACTTACCAAGAGGCTTTTGAGAGGTCCATCGTAGACTTCTGAAATGAAGACCTCAATTCCGAAGCAAGTGGCGATAAGACTCCCGAGAATTGCTGCAGCTGCCAACGCAAAAGGCAGTTGCAGAAGCTGCCGCTGCAGTCTCTTCGTAGCTGGAAACATCTGCACGGTTTCGCCAGTGACTGGATCGGTGATCTCCTTCTCGTGCGCGAATTCTTGTCTCTTAACCTCAATGCGAGAGACGCCCCGAACACCCCATCGCACACTTAGATCAACTTCCTGATGTTTCCAGTATTCAGTGAAGACGCAGCACCATACGGCGTTGACAATGGCATAGAAGGCGGAAAAGTGACCGAGTAGCAGCCAAGCCGAGAATCCAAAGACAGCTGGAAAGACGAGGAAGGTAAAGTAGGACTGAGTGAACGCGAAGTAGAAAGCAATCTATCTGCAGTCAGTAAACTTGCCAGGCAGCGTATTCCGGCAATGAACCTTACCTTCTCTCCAAGACGGTTTCTAATGTCGTCCAAGTCTTCCGTCGTCAGGAAGTACGAGGTGCTCCACTTCTTGATCCAGTCCTTATTGTACTCATGGTCATGAAGAGCGAATATGGACTCTACTTCCTTCCAGCCGTCCTCCTTTGGCGTGATGCCTGCGCCTCCTTCCGAGACAGGGTTTGTGATGAGTTGGTAAATGATTCGAAGACGTTCAGCTTCGTATAGGGGTTCGTTCTCGAGAGCTTCGCGGGTTTCCTTGGGAGGCGCAGCAGCTCGTACGCCATGTACCCAGTCTCGGACTCTAAACAGAGCTTAGGCTGTGCGTTTGTAGAGGAGTTTGTATGAACAACCGAACCTTGATCTGTAAACCTCTCCAAACAAGTGCTCCTCGGAAGCAACCCGGACGAAGAGCAAGAGTGAGTGCTTTTCTCCGTTTCTGACCTCAGTGGCCAGTCCAACGGACGCAAGAGCCTGCACAAGCTGCTCAAATTTCGCAATGGCAGTCGCCTTGTCTGTCTTCGCGAAGCGGTATATCAGGACGTACTCGACGTCCATGTTCGTCTGCAACGCCTGGCTTTTGGCCATGGTGACGATTGGCCTGAGGAAAAAGCGTGTAGGGGAATTAGGATTGTAGAATATCGGCCACAGGAAGGCTCTGTGGGCATGGAGGGGTTTCGAGGCGCGTTCACAAGTTGAACCTGGAGAAAGCCTGGCCAAGCTTCAGCTGCCCCACGTCATCGAAGCGGCTACTGCATTCAGTCGTCACAGCTACATGGAAACGGAAGGTAGATACTGGGGTCTGAATGCCTTCAATTGTGTACAGAAACAGTGTTTTACAGCTTAATTTATTTTATATACTCTGTCCAGGGTTCCCTTCCACCTCTGCATCATCCCTAGTTCGATCATCCCCTCCAGCATCGTTGGAAAACCTTGTGCCGATCTTCACGAGCCAATCCGTGATCGAGCTACTCTAAAGCGGTATACTAGTGAGTATATCGCGCGAAGTCTGAACTGGAGGGGGTGCTGCAATTGTACGAGCAAATGCTCAACCCTTGTCTGGAGGCGGGAGCATAATAACATACTCCCTCTCAGATCCTCCAAACTTCAATAGGTCGCCATCCCTGAGTTCTACATATCGCCCAGCATCCAACTTCTCCCCGTTGAGAACGGTTCCATTGCTACTTTCCAGATCGATGATATACGGCTTCACCTTTCCCTTCTTCTGAGTAACGCCATACTCGTCCTCCGTCTTCTTCACGATGTATCTGAACTGAATTGCCGCGTGTTGCTGGCTAGAGCTAGGATGGGCTAGGAGAATGTCAGCCACCTCTGGCGCCCGACCAAGCAGCCAGACCGAACGCGTATATAGCTCTATTGTATCCAATGTGTCTTCCCCCTTGAATACGAAGATGCGCCATTGGGCTGATGAGAGAGGTTTCCGTGCCTCGGGTGGCTCGTGGTATTTCAGTGATATATTGGTGCCAGCTACTGTGTTAGCCTCACGGGCGAGTAGACCACTAGGGGCTAGATTGGGCTTCTGCTTCTCAACCACCTCTTCTTTTGATAATGCGCCAGAATCTGGTCCGCCTCGGAAAGAAATCTCCTGAGATGGAAGCGGCTTGCGGCTGCGGGTTGGGGGAGAGGGGTTTCGCACTTTGACACGCCTGTCCTTGTGGGAGGGAGACCGTGAAGTCCTTCGACGCGGTGAGGCTGATCGGTCACGGCGCTTCGACGCGCGGTAGGGGCTTCGTGAACGAGAGTGACGACGCTTCCGACGGTCACGCGAACGGTCTCTGGATCGCTCTCTTGATCTGGACCTACGCCTTGGACGATGATCCCTGGAGACGTCCCTTAGGTTTAGCTCCTTCTCCGTGGCTGTGTCCTTGGGCCTTCGCTCCCTTGACCTGCTGCGTGGTTTTCGATCTCTTGAGGAGTCCCTAGGCCTGCGTTCCTTCTGACTAGTATATCTGTCCCTCGACGCACCTCTACGTCTCCGTGGCGGTGATGATTCTCTTATCCGACGGTCCCTAGAGCCGCCCAACCCTGATCTTGCTGGTGAAGCTGCTTTCGCGGACCCTTTGACTCGGGGTTGGTCTCGCGGCCTGTCCCTGCTACGGCTTCTGCTTCTCCTCGTCCCGGTTCGCGGTCTAGCTGCTTCGTCCCCTGATGAGCTCACAGAACGCCGGGGAAGTCTCCGCTCATTATGGTCTCCTTCTTTTCGGCCTAGCGATGGTCCCTTCTGATCCTCGTGGCGTCGTCTCTTGTTGCGGTCTGTTGAGCTAGCAGACCGACTGCGGCTCCTGCTCAAGCTGCGGTCATTGTGTCTAGGGCGGCGGGAGGCCTCGGACTCGCGACCGCTTCTTGGTACGGATGCTTGACTTCGGCTTTGGATGGGCGGTGACTGGGTTGGCATATCCAAGGCGCTGGGCTGAGATGCAGGAAGCGGGGCGATTGTGCCAACGATCGTGGTCGAACTCTCCTGTAGCCAGGTACTGAGTGGATCCAGAGCTGGGCGAAGGCTCCAAGGTACACAGGAAGAAGTAGAAGTAGACAGGTCGCTGGCAGATACGCAGTGTCGCAAAGAGGCTCGGTCTCGAAGTCTTTGGAAAGGGCCGGGGGACGTTAGAAGCGAGACTCCACCCAGCGCTTATGCAGCCTCAGCAATGGCTCTCCCCGTGAAAGGTCACCAACAAGCAGTTTCACGCGTCCGGTCCCTTGGTTTCAATGCTTGCAAGCAGTCGCTCTCACCCAATCAAGCTGGCGAAAGCATGGGAGGGGCGTCCGCGCCGCAAAGTGGCGCACACTTCCATTTGCTCTTTGCGGCTCCCGAGTCCGCCTTGGAGCATTACATACGGCTCTAATGCACATGGAAAGCAGGCGCTCAATAGCACGGCCAGATGGGCCTCTAGCCCTGGAGCCTTAATATCGCTCCATGGCCTGCCAGTCTCACAGTTGTGAGCTCTCTTCAACTTACGTCTCAACCTCAGTCACTCGTTACCCCCCGCCAATGCCCGCCGCGACCCTCCCCGAGACCAGGCGCCTGGCATGAGAGGCTATGGCGTCGAAGTTCTTCACCTGGACCAAGGGCGACCGTCGTGCTGCAGCAGCCGCAGAGGCGCATCGAACTGGCGGGCTGCTCCCGATCGTGACCGACTTCTCGGACGCACGCAACAACTCGTCCTTTGCGACTAGTAGCGGCCAGGTATGGTGGCAGTCTCTTTTTTGCCTCGCCGTTGGCCTTGCGTTGTCCATGCATCAATTGGTTGCAGCGACGCAACGTGGTGGTGCATATATAGCGTTGAGGTTAACGGGCAGACCTATGCGTGTTGTCCGGTCATTGGCTGACCCGTACAGAATGCTCACGCCCGTCCTCAACTGCAGGGCCTGTCGTCTCCCTCGAGTTGTGACGCTCATGGACAATGCCTGGCTCCCGCCTCTGCCCTCCACAGTGCCGCCCTGAGCTCCGTCAGCTCTGCGTCGAATCTGCTGGCCGTGGTCAATGAGATGCTCCGATCTCCAGCCTTGACTGGCAGTGCATGTCCTAGATCTCCGCTACATAAGCCCTTGCCCGGTAGGCCACGTTCGATATCTCTGCCACCGACGCCAGATATCGCAGAGCTTGCCGGCTCCCTCCTGCTGGTGAATCAGGGCTTCCCTCCCGCCTCACCCGTCGCGGCATCCGCAGCAAGCCAAACCATGAGGTCGGTCCGCAGCGCGAACCTGCTCAGCCCAACTCTTGCCGAACATCGCGCTCCTGCAGTGCCCCGGGAGTCTCGTACTGGTATACCGCAGCATAAAAAGAGCCTGAGCGAGGCTCGCGTGCAGCGCCGATCAAAGTCGCGACCAAGCCTGCTCCTTTCCCCATCGTCGACGACCGACAGCAAGCTCACGGCATGTTCGGCCTCTACAAACGGCGGCCAAACGAGCAGTAACGACTCGGCCCGGGCTAGGGCGGGCTCGGATAGCAGCAGGTCATTGCAGCCGTCGCCCATGATTTTGGAGAAGAGGAACGGGAAGCAGAAGATGAGCGACCAAGGTCCGAGCAGACGTGATGAGGTTAGTGCAGTGTTTTCTTCTTGATGTAGCAGATACCCGCAGCCGCGATTTGGTCGATTGTAAATGTGGGAAGATGTGATCAGATATGCTGTGGAAGTGAACAAGGTGGTCCTTAGAAGCGTGTGCAGAGCGCGTCCGGACGCGTTAAAGTTCTTTTGTCCCGAGAGTGAACGCCATGTATCCGCGTGGGGCCCAATTGAGATCGCGCTAAGCATTGATAGATGTCGTCAAGTTCAAGCCAGCTTGAGGAACTCAAGGCGACTATCTCGGCACAGGATCAAACCATCTCGACGTTGTCGTCGCAATTCGCTAGCTTGCAAACATCCCACGAGGCTCATATCGCATCTCTTTCTGAAGCCCATGAACGCGAGATCTCGAGTTTGAAGACCTACGCTCGAGTCCTAGAAGAGCAGTCTCAGCAGCGGTCACTTCACCATGGTAAGTTACGTCGCCTGCCTCCATCTGGTGAATTGCAAACCTCGCTAGAGCCGAGCCGAGCTAACCAATCCTGGCGCGCTAGCGTCCAGCAACCACCTTTTAATGCTCCTCGACACTGCCGAACCTCAAACACCTACCGCAGAGCGACCGGCGAACTCGCAAACCGCGCCGTCTGCTACGAGCATTCGGTCCTTCCAAACAGCAATTGAAGAACAGCCTCAATTGACTCCGAGGGCAACTGATCCGACCGCAGACATGAGGAAGCTCACGAGGACGCTCAGCAACGCAAGGAGGCCGAAACCACAGGCTGACACGTCTGAACACGATGAGACCCTCAAACAAAACGCCGAGCTTACCATACAGAATCATCAGTACAAACTCAACGAATCCGCCCTCCGTAGACAAATCGATCGATTCATGGACAAGCTCAAGGCTGCGAACAGTGATGTACGAGATCTGCAGAAGACTGTTGGCACCCAGAAGGAACGTATCGACAGCCTTGAATTAGAGGCGCGTGCTAGAGTTGAGGATGCGTCCACCACCGTCAAACCGGCACTCGAAGACGTCAAAAAGCTGCGCAACTCTGTAGACTACCTTGAGACACGTCTTCAAGCCTCTAACGTTGCGAGGGTCGATGCCCTTGAACAGATTTACAACCTGAAGCACGACGTCAACCCGTTTAACAGACCCCAGCCGTCAGAGAAGCAGCTCACTATCGACCTTCAGGAGGCTTGCTTGAAGATCCACGTTTTGGAGAGCCAACTCCAACGGACAGGACGATACTACGAGAACGAGGTCCCGATTCCCTCGAAATCTAGCCTTGGAACAACTATCGTCCCAGTTCTGGCTAGCGAGAATGCTCTACTTAGGGAACCTGCCAAGGAAGACCCAAGTCAGGCCAAAGTCATAGCAGCCTTTGTCGATAGGCTCGAGCGCCAAAATTGCGACATTGAGCGACTGAACGACAAGATCAAAGAGAAGGACGCCATTATCAATAACCATCAAAGAGAATATCGGAGAGTCAGTGAAGCGGCGACGGCGCGCTACGCAGTCGCAGAGGCGCGCCTTGAAGAGATGGAGAAGCACAGCGAAGCCTTGGAAAAGCGGTGCGATTCGTGGGAAGGGGAAAGCAACCACTGGGAACGGAGATTCAATCGATCTACGGCCGAACTGAAGGAGCTCAAATCAAAGCTTGACGATGCCGAAATCCATGTGCTCAGATTGCGTAGAGAGATGGAATACTTCAAAAAGGTACTTGAAAGCGAGGTTCGAAAACACGCGTCCTTCAAGATCTGGTCGGAGGTGGATGATAACAAATCGCTTCCACCGAATGCGACACGGGAAGATGTTGATCGGATGATTGCGCTCCTTCAAAAGCGTCTGAAGGCCCACCTGGCGAATACTTCTGGCAAGGTCGACAAGCAGCTAGCGGAACATGAGTTCCGCATCGATCAATTGAGTAAAGAGGTGGAATTCTACGTGCGAGAGATCATCTACTACAAGCTTGACATCAAAGGGTACAAGAAGGACATCAAGAGCCTGTCTAGTGCTCTGAACCTCCCCAGCGAGGCGAGTTCGCCCATTGGCACAGGACACCGCGAAATACCAGTTCGAGCCAAATTCACCATCACCTCCCCAGGCCTCGGAATATCGGCCACGCCGTCTCCAACTTCGATCCCAATGTCAGCTAGTAGCTCTCTTCAGCCTGCTACCCCTGCAACATCCGCCGCACTCTCTAGCCCGCAAGCTTCTCCCGCTGGCAAAAACGTCCCATCAAGCCTAAACAAGAAGCTCCCACCGTCGCCAAGCGATATAAAGCCGCCCCAGACGCCAGAACGCAGCTCGCGCCGTCCATCTCAGACCAGTCCTGGCCCATCTCCTTATTCCGCTCCGCGCCGCTCACACTCTCAAGACACCACTGCAGGCACGGGCGTGCAGAACACACTCCCAAACCCAATCGCCCTGCAGCGCGAGGACACACAGCGGAGTGCCTCCGACAGCATCATCACTATGTACGCAACCGCACGCACCCCGGACTGGTCTCCACCGCGGACCACGCCCGAACGCCCTGTGCGCCCACGCCATGGGCTCCTAGACTTCGTACCGAAGACTGACGTCTTAGCCGCGGCCGAAGCAGAGAAGCAGAAGGAGGTGGATACCGCTGCCGGGAAAGCCCCAATGCGCGGTCATGGGCGTAGCATGTCTTACAACACGGCTCCGCTGGCACCTCAGCAGCGCAAGCGTAGCGGAAGTGGATCTGGATCTGTGGGCACGAACGAGGGGAGCAGCATTCCCTTCGTTATCGGGATGGGAAGCCCGCATAATCCCGCCCTGTTCAGCGGACCTGGGGCTGGAATGGGTGACGGCGAGCCCTTTTGAAGTGGCGATGGACGGGGTATGGATAGCGAGGTGAAGTATGTGACTTTCCTTTTTCTTCTGATTTAGCGTGTCATATTGTGATCTTTTGCCGGATAGGTGGCTTTGGCTTTGGCTAGGTGTTGCAGGCAGGAAATCATGGCTACGGAATTGCCCGTGGCACTGTTCTTATGGCTTTATGGGACTACGAGGGGTCTCAACGGACTTCAATGAATGAGTAAGTACTGATCTGATCTAGCTCGTCCTTTCTCTTCTCTCTCCAACGGCGGCATGATCGAGCATGGTGTTGGAGGCTTGGTGCCGGAGGCTTGGTGCCGGCGGCTTGGAATCAGAGCCCTGGATTATGGCCGGTGGCACTGGTATCGGAACTTTGGAAGGCCTCATGATGTATAGCGTAACACACAATTGAATTGTGACTCAAACGAAATTTTAATCTGAATTGTGACGTTACTGCGAACGATATGCGATTCTCAACCTACTGTTACGGTTTCCGTGCAGTGTTTGATAGTGCACTCCCGAAGAAGCATCGGTGCCAAAGCCACGCCGATTCACGACTGATGCAGTGGTGATAGAACAACAAATGAAAACAAAAGTGCTCAGCTGATGGTAATCGTGATGGGAAAGCTACATTCCGGTTGTGATAATCTAAGCGAAGATCTGGGGAAAGTGACAGCTCGGGCCTTTTTGTTCGACTTGCAGTGACAACATCGCGACGTCATTCGCTTCACCTATCCTCAAGCCTTCTGAGCTTTTTTTCACCTCCAAGCTTCTTCATACCTCCGACAAAGATTCTGCTGCTCCTTCAACCCATCCTCAAACCAACCTGAACTACACAAGAACCTCAATTGCCACCACCACAGCACTTCACTCTACTCAACATGTCGTCCATCATCCGCACCTCGATTGCCCGCCAGGCCCGGCTTTTCTCCACTTCGCCCGCTGCCCGCAAGTCGGTCACCGAAACCCTCAAGGAGCCGCTCAAGAAGGTTGACAGGATTGTCTCGGATGCCGCTGTCAAGGGCATTGAGACCGGAGGTATGTGAAGCTATCTCTTCAATACGTAAACCGCACCCACTTTGGCGAACTACGCTATTCATCCTGCTCTGCATATGCATCTATTTCTCTTATCACACTTAGCTTTAGCCAATGCCAATATTGTAGCTAACAACCCCCCCAGAGAAAGTCACAGAAGCCGCCAAGTCTACCATCGGCTCCAAGAGCAGCGAAGCCTCAGGAGAAGCCTCCAAACTCGGCAGCGAAGCCAGCGGCAAGTCTTCCGAGCTCACTGGCGAGGCGAAGGGCAAGGCCTCCGAGCTAGCCGGCAAGGCTAAGGGCGCGAAGGAGGAGATCAAGGGAAAGATTTGAACAGCTCGAACGACATGGATCATCACGGGGTTTCTGAATGTCAATAGCAGAGCGTGAAATGATAATTGTGTATCATAGCATTCAAATGGAGTTCGACTCGGGTTGACCTTTTGCTGATACTGATTCATGATTTCTCAGTCCAATTACGCCATCTACATCCCTGAACACATCTACATCACATCAAAACTCCACGACCCACCTCCTTCTCACCCATCTCTCCACGCCCCCCTCTGCCACCACCCACACCTCGCCGCATCCACATCATCCCTCCCCACCCCAACCCTCGCACTCCCTATCCTCAACACCTCACTCTCAGCCCCATACACCCCCACCCCCCTCGGCCGCCCCTCCACCACAAAACTCACCACCGTCTCCTGCAACGCCCGCGCCACCGTCCCATTCACCACCCCCTCCGCCACCCCCCCGTTCCAGAACGTATACGGCACATCCTGCCCATGGATGCTCGGCGGCGTCGTGAACTCATACGCATAGCTGCGATTCCCAAACGCATGCGCCAGATACACGTTATTGCACGTGAACGAGCTCTCCGCCTCGGCGAGCGCCACGCGGGCCGTCTCGTCTCTGTACCCGTGGCTGCCGTCGAAGACGGGCGGGTAGAGCACGTCCGCGACGTACGCGACGGCGGCGGGCGTGATGTCGGCGAAGTGGCTGCGCAGCAGGGCCTCGTAGGCGGCCTGCGTGGTGACGTAGGGCGAGGCGAAGAGCAGGCCCTCGTCGGCGTTGTGGCCGGTCAGGAGGCGCACGGCGCGGTGGAAGCGGCCCGAGGCGAGGAGGACGCCGGGCAGGGCGGGCGTGAAGGCGCCCGAGGCCGCGGGGCCGTAGGTGAAGAGGCCGTAGGGGGCGGCGCCGACGGTGAGGATGTTGGCGCGGATTAGGGTCGCGGAGGGGAGGGCGCGCAGCTCGGCGAGGCAGGTTGTGTTGGTTAGGTTGAGGAGTGCGGCGTAGGTGGCGTCTTGGAAGGAGAGGGAGGTTGTGGGGAAGAAGCCGGGGGATTGGGGGATCGCTTGTTGGAATGGGACGGGGCCGCGTTGGCCGCCGAAAGCCTGGGGGTGTGTGAGTATGGGATCGTGTTATATGTTCGAGGAAAGTGTGTCTTACGGTAATCTGGTGCATTATGCTTCCCCCGCCCGCTGACTCCCCCATGACCGTCACGCGGTTCTTATCGCCGCCAAAGAGGTGGATGTTCTTTTGCACCCACTCCAGGGCCAATCTCTGATCATAGAGGCCTGCATTCGTCACGCCGCCTTCTGACTGGAACTTCGGCCCAGACAACCATCCAAAAGCCCCGAGGCGATAGTTCAGAGACACAAAGACTACATCACCGATACCATCGCTCGCCTTGAAGAGCCCAGACGGGTTGTATTGCGCATCACTCTTCTCCCCTGCCGTGTACCCGCCCCCGAAGATCCAAACGAGCACCGCAGCATGAGCACGTTTGCCAGCGCCTTCAAACACGTGCTTTGGAGCTACGACGTCTAGAAAGAGGCAGTCCTCGGTAGTACGGGGGTCGATAGTTGGGGCACTACCCGACGTGTTGAATGTCTGAGATGTATTGAAAGGAATTCCTTCGAGGTACTCCGGGACGGCTACAGCGGCGACGACTTCCCAGGCGGGGCTTGCTTGAGGGCAGACGCGGCCGACGCTGCCTGTTTGCACCTTCGAACGGTCTACGGCAGGGGGTTTTGGGACCGTGAAGCGGAGGTTGCCGAGGGGTGGTGCTGCGTAGCGGATGTTTGAGAAGTTGTAGAAGCCCCCTGTTGCCTATGTTGTGTGAGTATTGAGTGTTTTTTACGCCACAAGTCATAAGGATTGGGATGTTGGAGACGTCAACGTCGAGTTGTAGAAATGAAATGAGAACAAGAGAAGTTGTATTTCTTACATTGAAAGACGCCGCTTGATGCAACTCATACCCCAAATCAACAATTGGCAGAGCGTCTCTTGCAGCTTTAGATGGGTGGGCTCCACCAAGGCCGGCGAGTGAGACCGCAACAGCCAGGATCGAAAAAGTGCGTATTGAAGATACAGCAGTGGACATAATGAAGAGTGGCGTATAGCGTGATAAGAAAACACTGTTCCAGCTCTTGCTATTGCTGATGCTATTGCTTCTGTTGCTTCATATGTAAAGCTCCGGTAGGGTAATGAGTGTCGTGGGTGTTTGTAGCGTGTGCGGTATGATAATCACGAGTTTTTGAGCCAGTCTATATACGAAGAACATGAATTGAAATAAGCATTCTTTTCGGAGTACCTCGCGCAGCCCTGAGAATGCTCACCAAGTTAGAAATGAAGGATTCCCGCGTAGCTCGTGTATTGCAAATCCACAACGCACGGCAGTGTTGGTGATAGGTAATCAAGCACTCCCTCGTACTAGGAAAGACGGCTTAATTTGTTTTTAGACGAAAACTGAGGACCAACAGGAATGAAACACACAAGGACACAAGGGGAAGCAAAGCGAAGGAAGACTTCAAGTTATACGTGGCCCGCTGCCTCCGCTCTTGTTCGAATAAAGAGCTTTTAAGGACCTGCCAATATCGAGTAGCCATGACGAATAGCAATGGCGGAGGTAGCTGAACGTGGTCACAGAGCCGTGGAACCAAGTGTTCCTACGTAAAGACTCGTTCCCGCAGCTTATAGGTGGATCCGCATCGTCAGCTTTCCGCATCGAGTATGGGGCTTCGGTTCGGTCAACTTTATCCAGCTCGCGACCCAATGATAAACACCTCGACTGGGTTTCTCCCACAGGTGGTGATGTAGTGAAGGCGTTGCGAGCGGCTCGAGCTGACCAACTGCCTCGGTCTGCTCGTATACGAAGTCCAATTAGCCAAGGCTCGGCCAGATCGTGCATCGCTTAGCGGACCTCGATATTGGCCTCGGTGCCTCGAGATGAACGACCGAGTTGACTCAGGATATCAAAAGGCCATTCACTGCAGCCGGTCGAAAGTCTACACTATTAGCACCACCATCTCACCAGGCCTAAGAGAATAGGATTGTCTCATTTCATTTACATGGTATATCAATGCTCCGCCCAGTATTAATCCAACGCCTGCCGAGAAGAATAGCCCGAGGGTAGTCGAAAGGATTTCCTCCAAGTCCACAATTATGCTATATACAGGTCGACTTTTCCACGAATCGTCATATCATTTTTGGTAATTCAGCCGTACTCGCGAGCCGAGGTTCGTGATTTTGCATGAAGCACGTCTACATCACATAGAGCAGGTCGGTGTCTGGAGAGTATTGGTATTAGTCGCTGTTCAAAATTCTGACCCGAAAGAGTTAGGCTTAAACGGATTGGGGGATTGCTCACTCAATGGATGACTGCAACTGAGCTGCGGCTTCTGGTCGTATTTTCCTTGCAGCTCATCACGGATGCTATTCAGCAACTGCACGTAGCTCTGGTTGGGGTTCTTCTTGAGCGCATTGATGAATGCCCAAGACATAGCCCCAGTAGCCTCGCCACCAATTGACGCGTCAGCGCTGTGAATCGTTAGTGAGTTTTCTTCGAATTTCGTAGCCAAGGCCAGAAGTAAGGTAATGAAAGACGAAGCGACTTACGAGGTCTGTGAGTCCTTGCTACCAGACCACATAATAACATCAGCCGGAGAAGTCTTCGTTCGGAGGTTCTTCTGGTAAACTTCATCGCCAGTTGTGATCTTCTTGAACAATCCAGATACCCCTTTGAGAGCGCCACCCATATCATTGCGAGCATAAGACGAAACAATGCCAAGTAGACCTTGACCTGCTTCCTTGGCAAGATTGGGCTCCTTGACGACACCTTGAGTAGAGTAGAGGTATGGGAGATCCAGAGCAGAACCAGAGTGGCAGGAGTCGAAGATAGCGGTTAGTCGTACACCTGGTAGGAGAGGATTGACCCTGAAAGAGTTATTAAGCTGCGTGGTGCAGATGACCGTGCTACACGTACATAATTCTGTGCATCTCATCATCGACAATGTGGCCTGCTGTCCTGAAGTCAACAGGGTAAATAACCTCATCGTAGCCGTCATCTTCGTCGCCGTCGAGATCTGGCGTTTGACCACCATGACCTAGGAACGTCAGTCGAAAGCTTCCATTTCTCCTTCGAGAAGCTTACCGGAGTAATGGAAGAACAAGGAGTCGTTTGGGTGGGCGTCCTTGACAAGCCAGTGCATGGCTCGGAGAATGTTCTGCTTGGTCGGCTGGCTCATGGGATTCTGCTGGTCGTCGGTCAAGATGACCATATCCTCGCGCTTGTACCCGAAGTGGCCGTTTAGATACGTGGACATGTTCTTCACGTCGTTGATGCAACCCCGAAGCTGGCCACGCTGGCCGAAATAGTTGATGCCGATGAGTAGGGCCTTTCTCCGTCCATTACACGCAGAGTATTGGAAACTGTAGCCTGCCGGCGCGCCTGGGCCAAAACCTTGGGCCTGTGTGGGAGGTGGAGGGGGAGCGCCATGGCCGCCGGCATAGCCCTGGTTGGCTGGTGGAAGCATTGGGTTCTGCTGAGGAGGTGGATATCCATACTGCTGAGGAGGAGGGGTCTGTGCAGCGCGTAAGCGGAGAAATCAGTGCATGACTTGGAGACGACGCACTTGCTGGTACCCGCCGTATTGCTGCGGCGGAGGAGTTGGCTGCCCGTAGCCTCCGTTGTAAGGAGGCTGTGGAGAGTGAGATGGTTGAGGCGGGTATCCGCCATATTGCTGCTGGGGCCTGATCTACACGTCAGACTGGCATCGCGATCGCGATCACGGCTGGTACTCACGGCGGGTACTGTTGCGGAGGATATCCCGGTGATCCGTAGTTCTGCGGCGGTGGAGGGCCGTAGCCCTGGTGAGGCTGGCCACCGTACCCGCCTCCGCCTGGGTATCCGTAGGACATGTTTCTTCTTTGAAGGGCGAGATCCGAGGCCAGCAGCTAGTCGAGCGCCGGGAGCAAGTGGATAACTGAGCGATGAAGATCCGACACGGATGGAGGGTCGAGCGTATATAGTGGCTCAAGGGGGGGAGCTGTGCAAAAGGATAGCGGGATGGGTGCGCAGGTGGTCGAGACTGGAATGCCGGTGAGGGTTTTCGCCTGGCGGGGTAGGGCTGAGGAGCTGACGGGGCGTGCGGGCGCAACAGAACGGCGGACTGCGAGGCTAGAGAGAGCGTCGCCAGAGGAAGAGCGCCGTGGACGCGACACGATTGCGCGTATATGATGGGTGCCAGGAGGAGAGGACGTCGGAGGTGTCGTGGCGCGCGATGAAAAGGCCCTGGGACTGGGCTCAGGCCTTTGGGCGTTCAGAAGGGACGGGAGCCACGGCAATGCCTTCACACGGACCCAACCGCGTCCACCTTCTGCGCTGCATCTCACGATGATGGTTGCCGCAGCCCGACGCGATGGGTGACGGGCGGCTTCAATCTCCTTTGCCGCTCCGCCGCCTGCCCAGCGCCAATTGCAGCTGGAGGGCCGCCCTCCGCCAACACCTGCGCGCTGTCATGCATCGTGCCACGCCGCGGGCGGTCGACGACAACGACCCGCACGTCTGGCGGGCCAGAAAGGGGCTTGAGCGGGCTGGCCGAGCTGCCGTCGGTCTGAGCGCCGAAGGTGAAGCCCCAAACTGGAGGCCCGGACGGCGTGCGCTGCCCAAGACGTGAAGCACTCCCTTCAGCGCGACGGGGGAGTCCTGACACAGCCAATTGGCCTGGCGCTGAAGCGACTCTGCGTCCCGAAGAGCAGCAGCAGCACACCCTTCCGAGAGCAGCGCCGCCAGTTCGGCCCCTGCAGCCTCTCGCCAGCTGTCAAAGCAGTCAGTGTCCCGCGCCTGGGCAGCAAAGTGGCTTGCGTCGAGACGGCTAGCGGGCGGGCAAATCCGAGTCGCATGGGGCTCCCCACGCGGTGCCACGGCCAAAGCCCAAAGCCTTACAGCCCTGCCCTCGAATGATTGCCTCCTTTCCCGAGTCGGCAGTGCAAGGCTGTTCAAAGCGTGTTGCATCAGCGTTGCCTGTCAAGATGCAAGCCAAGACAGCCAAGACAAGGGCATTGGCCAATTGGGGAAAGGAGTGTCCCCCAAGGCTCGTTCCCCTTCAAAGGCAGTCATGGGATCCACAGCCTCTCGGACCACTATCAGTACTTACAAGGCTACGGAGACATGCCCTCAGTATTCACATGGAAGTTGAGCTCCCCGATTGGTGACATGAATCGCGACTACCGAGATATCTCAACCGCAACGGAAGCGTGAAGGCTACAAACCCGAGAGCTTGGCGTCTGCACCTCGAGAGGCCTTCTTTTACGCAGGGAACAAGCATCTAAGAAGAGTCTTTTCATTATCAACCATACTTACTACTCGCCTGAACTTCCTTCTTCCAAATCTCACGGCAGGGCGTCTTGTGCCCTCACTTCCTGTTCCTATCAGACCAGTTCAACAACCCCCAAGGATCCCCATTGCCTCATCGCCACGCTCCGTATCCCACATACCCGGAACCCGCATCTCGATCCAATCCCACGGACCAGGGCATATGAATTTTTTGCCACAAGTCAGACCGCACTCAGCCCTCGTATCACACCCACCACCTGTTCCATAGCCTATCAGCATATCCAGCCGAACTAGTATGCCCTGCTCTCTCGCATGGTTTCTGGTTCAACGGAACTGTCTATCTGGTCGAGTCAAAGTGTAAGCGCTCGACGCGATATTGCTTCCTACCAGAAGAGGCGCTGCTTGGCGTCTATCTCTACACCTCGAGGTCATGTACCTCTCGGGCCCGTCATGCTTACAGCCATGAGTTTCAGAATGAACCAGAATCGTTGTGTTTATATATGCGGGGTCTTAGCTCAACACTTACAAGGGTATCCCAAAGTCCATTCCCGCTTTCGAACTTGAGCTTACAGGATTTTTAACTGAGTCATGACTAAGCAAACCCGAACTTGTAGTTGTGCAATCTGAGCAGCCCTGAGCATGCTAAGACTGACCCGAATCTAGAATATGAGCAGTTCCAGGGTCAACTCCGGGGTCGGCGACAGACGAAGGAGCAACGTCCAGATCCTATCCATGGCTGATATTTGCACGTCAGTAGGGACCAAGCTAGAGAGCTCCGTTGTCGAGTCGTTCAATGTCTTGGCGAGCTGGCTCATGCGAAAGACATAACAGAGGCAGCGCCCCCAGATTCGGTGGTATCGCTGCTCGGTCGGTGTGTTCACCTTCCAATATCGACCGGAGAGGGCCCCTTTCCGGACCGTCCATTTCTGAAGACAGCAGTTAGCGCTTTCACGGTTGATGTCCCGCGAGGACGTATCTGAGCAAGACTCAGATGATACTGCAAGACGCTCCATGCGACGGTGCGAAAGGACGGGCAGAGCGGACAGAAGAATCCCGGAGTGGAGGTTTCAAGAACGGTATCGATGGTGAGCCGCCCGGCAGAACGCCAATCTCTGCCGCAGTTCGCGCAATCGGCAAGTCTCGAAACTCGTTCACGACGGCCCCAGAGCACACGAGAGCGGTGCGGCACTTGACGCAGAAAGCGATGCGGAACTCCGGCAGGTACTCGCTCGGGCTGGATGCGCAGTCATCCTAAAACACACGAGCAAAGGCCGACTCTGGGAAGCGTTGCTTGGGTCACTCACGCCCTGCCGCCGATCGAACCACGGCGTCGGTGCAGAAGGTCTCGAGGTCCAGAACTATGATCTGTGACTGCATGAATGCACCGTGCTACGCAAGCTGGTCGAATCGCTGATCATGTTAAGCCCACGGTAAGCTTCAAGAAGACAAGCCGCAAGTCAAAGCGGGAACAGTTGAGTCAAACTGGAGCAGAATCATGTATTAGGGCACTCGCTCTACTCCAGCTCATTGTCCTCTCCCCGTCCTACAAGGTATTACCGGACCTCTCCGTCTCAATCCTCCTCGTCCTCTTCTTCTCCTTTCGTAGCTCCATAGTTCTTTTCCGACTCATGCTTATGTCTGTCTACTCGCGCCGAACGCTCATAGGGTTCTTTCTCCTCACGAGAAAGAGATTTCCACTTCGCTGTTAATGCTCTGGCGATGTCATCTGTGCGCTGTTAGAGACGTGAGTCGAGATTGTGTGGAGCTAGGACAATGTAAACCATTTGTGGCGTTCGGATTCTCTTGCTTGACTTCCTTAAGGTTGTCCTTCACGAAATGCCCATATGCAGATTGGACTCTCGTTCCTTTAGCGTTGCGTGTGACCGGCATACTTATATCGGGATAGAGTATGGATGAAGTTCGAGTAAATATAGAAGAAGAGATAGAGAAGAAATGAATCTAGTAATGTGTAGATCGGTAAGCCATAAAATCGACCGGGCGCAAGGAATGAGTGAAGATTAAGGATGACTGTAGAAAGTACAGATGTTATATTTCTCTGCATTCCTATAACGCATGTGCTAGACGCACTTACTTAGCACAAATCCCGATTTGGTTTCGTCCGCTTTCCCGGTTGATATGTGATAGACCTTAGTCCTGGGTCGCAACAAAGTTAACCCACACACTACTTCTTTGACCAGGCAGTCAGAAGCTGTCATTCCTTTAAGCAAACCATATTTTAGTAGTAGTTGCATCATGGCAACAATAGCTCATTTACCGCCTTGAACAAGACTGGCCTAGAACGCGTCCTCAGAACGGGGTTTCCGGGTTGACGTCATGAACTAGAAATCCACTTCAGCAAGCCTCCGTGGAACGAACCGCGCTGGACAGATCGGGGAAGTGCAACATGTATGTTTGGAATGAACCCCATCAAAAAAGAGTTTCTCCCTACTCTATGACTCTATCCCGCATCGCGGCCGCGTTCCCAAATTCACCTGTCCCATCTGACACCTCGATTATGCCGTCTAGAGGCTGGGAATACGTACTAACCTATGCCGACTCGCGTCTTCGGCATTTCGAGAGCCTCGACTTGGCGCTGGCAGAGTGGCGTTTAAAAGAGTGCTCCTAGGCAGTTTAGACTTTCTTTTTATTTTCTTCGTCGAAGGCTGGGTTCTTGGTATTGCAACATGCTCGTCAATCTCAGCGTATGGGCCGGTTCCTTCAAATCGGAGACTAGAAGCCCGTATGTGTGGGTTGTCCTGGTCTAGGACTCTAGGCCATCCTGAAGCCTGTCTTCTTGAGGCCTAGGAACAGCTTTGCAGGCACCAGTGTAGCATTGGTATCTGGTGGCGATGGTCCGAGTTTTCACCGGCATTGCCATGGCAAGAAATCTCCAGTCGACTTGGTTGTTCAACCTAGGTTTTTAAGTTCATGCTGCTGCACATCGAATGGGAGCGTCTTCCAATTTCGGGCTCGTGCCTCAGTGGACTGAAATATCGATTGACGAACGGACAGTTACCCACAAACTCTAGCAAGGATAACCCAGATAGACTATAATTAGGCGTTATTAACCGAGTTTGGACAGAAAAAGGAGTTGAAGCTGAGCATCCGAAGCTGTGTTCTAGCAGTGCAACCTGAGCAGAGATTGAGTCGAAGTTGAGCCAGACGTTATTTTGGCTTACAAACAGAGAATACCACGCCAACTTAACAGGGAAATGGAAGGAGATAAATTGGTCGATAATACACGCACAAAGTTGTTAGAAGGAGTCTGAAGTTGGACGTTCACGCCAGTCGGGTTCGGCTAGCGTGGACCCCGGAATTCCAACAACCTTGGAAGTTGTTCTTGTTGCACGTCATCAGGCAGAGTGCCAAACACCAAGCTCGAATATCACCATGATAGCCATCATACATCATCAAACTGCGATTTGAAATGTCTACAGGATACTTCCCAAAGCGCGAGAAGATCGGCCTGGAGGACCTCTTCAAAGGCCTGGTCACGGCATCACACATCCTCCACAACAATGGCGTCCTCGACGCTTACGGGCACATATCTGTTCGGAGTCCTGACAATCCAGCATCTTTCTATATACCGTGCAACATCTCCCCGGCACTTGTAAGCTCTCCCGACGAAATCATAGAATACAACGTCGAGGATGCAAGTCCTGTCGAGAAGAACGTACCACAAGGCTATCTCGAACGCTTCATCCATAGCGAAATTTACAAGCGCTTCCCGACAGTGAACAGCGTCGTGCATAGCCATTGCAGTGACGTGCTACCGTACGGTGTAAGCGGCGTGCCATTACGGGCCACTGTGCATATGGCTGGCTTCCTTGGTGTGCATCCACCGTTTTACCAGCTCGTTACCCTATCTCGGCGAAGCATGACTGATGGGGTTGAGTTCTAGGTTCCAACGTCCCTGTATGGGACATATCGTCCCACTACTCGAGCGGCTCAAAGCATGACTTGCTCGTCCGCGACACCTCTGTCGGTGCCTCCCTCTCAGCAACGTTCAAACCTGCGACGTCTGCTGGCTTCATCTACTCCAAAATGAGGTCCGCACTTCCGGGGGCTGCAGCAGAGCCTGACCACGAGCCCGACCATTATGTCGTTCTGATGCAAGGACACGGTTTCACGACCGTTGCGCACTCAATTGAAGAGGCCGTGTGTCAGGCTATTTATACTAAAGAGGCGGCAAAGACGCAGACCACAGCATTAACGCTACGTAACGCGTACTTCGGAATTTCAGTGGAAGGCAAAGTTGATGTAGAGGGTGGTGGGAAGATCAAGTCCGGAAAGCTGAAGATGGAGGGTGAACTGAAGTATCTGAGCGATAAGGAAGCAGCGGAGGCATGGGGCAGTATGAAAGAGACTGTCTCTAGACCATGGGCCTTGTGGTGCAGAGAGGTCGATGTCAATCCGTTATACAAGAACGATTGCCCCGGTTGCGAAGACGACTGATGGAAGTCTGTCAATCATAGGTAAGGGCACATTTTGAACGAACCCCACGCGCTCTTTCGGGAGCCTCGCTTTCTTTCTTCTCTGAAATGCTCTTCTTCCGAGCGCCAAATATCAATGGGCCTTCTTCTTTCCTCTTGATTCTACTTTACTTTGTAGTTCGGACACTTTTGACGAAATTATATCTTTGATTGCTGTACAATGTCTTGCTTTTAGTTTCCCGACTGGCTCGACTTTCCTTGTCCGCAGTTGGGTACGAGCAACATAAAATCAGAAATTACCACCTAACGCCGAAGCTTTACTCACATCCAACCATTTCGAGCGGAGAAACCAACCTTGCATCATTAGATATCCAAAACCACTCCAAGATTGCGTCCATTAGCTATTCGCCTTGCTTGGATATGTTCCTGAACAAGGTCACGTCCGAATTTTTGCTCGCCTTGCTCTGTCGCTCAAACTCACTACTCTCGCGCTCCCGTATCTCAACCGCTTCAATCCGGTCATTGTCATCCTTCGAGTCAAAGGTTACCGTCCTTGGACTAGGCGGATGCTCGTCGATGGTTATGTGATCCATATGGATACCCTCAGGTTGCTCTCCTAACCGATACCACTTGGACCCACGCTCTTTCCTTCCAGCCGCCGACTGTGTCGTACTAGCAACAACAGTGGTCGTCGTCGTTCGGCGTATCTCGCCTGGCTTAGGTCTGCTATTGCTGCCCGACTGAGTCCGGTCGTTATTCTGCACAACGCTGACCAGCTTTCCGAGGATCGCAAACTCGAGCTTGAGCTTGGCAGCGTAGATGACGCTCTTGAAGCCTTGCTCCAAGACTAGCAGATTCTTATATTCGAGGGAGAGGAGGGCAATATCTAGGATGATGATGATAACGTTGACGAAAAAGAGCTGGAACATTGTGCCTCGGTTTGCCTGGCGCCCGCCACCGACATAGACGTTTTTGAGCAGCTCGCTCGTTTTCCAGACGTACAGACCTGAGATGATGAATTCTTGGAGGCAGAAGATGGTCATTTGGAGCTTCTCGATGACGTTGTAGGCGTGCATGAAGCTGTCGTCTGGAGAGAGATAGGCGCCGAAAAGGACGACGGTTGTGGTAGTGTGCCAGACGACGCCCTGGAGATTTCATCAGCCCCCCAGCTCAACCCGCACAATCTCTCACGTTTGAGCAAGTACGGTTGGGCACACTTACATTGAAGATGATCATGTACAGCACCCCTCGCAAGATCTTTTGGTTCCGCAGGATGATGTGCAGCCGCGAGTACAGCACGACGGACTGGCCTGTAATCATAGCCGCCCACCCGATGCTATCGATGATGAAGCCGGCGTAGTTCTTGGTCAGGTCGAAGTAGACGATCAGATAACCGATGTTGTACGGGATGATCCCAATGGTGGCGATTAGCAGACTCCAGAAGTACAGCCCGTTCCAGCGTTTGAAGGTGGTGAATATCATGAGGAGGAGTTCGATGGCGCTGTATAGGGCGAGTGCAGAACACGTTATCACGAGGACAGCCTCCGATGTGAAGTCGTTTGTGCGGCGTGGGACGGGGTTCATGACTGATGAGGGGTTCTTGCGGATGATAGACATGATGGTGGTGGGACTCCGGTTACGGAGTATGTCAAGACGATTATGGATAAGGGGCGAGGGGGCGAAGTCGACGTCAAGTTGATGCCAAGTCGGAGTCGAAGTGCAAGTCAAAGTCGAAGTGCAAGTCAAAGTCGAAGTGCAAGTCAAAGTCGCAGCCAAGTCGAGGCCGAAGCCAAAATGAACAACTCTTGAAACCGAAGATGAACGAAGATCAAGAATCCCAGGAACCAGAAGAATGGAAGAAAAAATCCGGGAAAAGGGAACCGAGGAGGACCTAGACGATCTTGCTGTTACTCAACGGCGGAGGACCCACCTCCACACTTAAGTATCTCAAGGGTCTCCACATCCCCCCGACCTCCTGGATTTAGGGGTGGATCATTTCCCCATGGGGGCGTAGCAAGCTGCTTCCTACCATATTCCCTCGGGCCTTCTGTGCAGCGCAAGTGTTGCGGCATTGAAGCTTATTCCAACATATTTGGGCAACTAAGACGATAAGCATGAATCGTAAAGCGACCAATCCGACGTATAAATGGCTCGGTCTCTTTCCACGGTCCTGCTTCCCCGGTCCTTCTACGCCATGGTGGTCCCAATTCGTCTACATTCTAGAAGCGACACGGCTCGAGGCGTATTTGTACGCCATGGTCGAGCACATAATGCGGGTGCCCAAGAGTCAGGGTCCTCTACAGTCCCGGAATCTGGGTAATAGGGCCGAGTAGCAATGGGGCGTTTCCAAACTTTATCAGGAACCGTGCAGAGATTGGTGAGGATTTTCGAGGCGGGACGGGAACGGGTTGGGCTCGCGTGTTTTCGCTTCTGGGGCTGAAGGGGGAAAGATTCGACTCAGACAGGGCACTTTGGTCCGCTGCTAGACGCAAACGATCACGAAAGACATAAGTAGGCCCTGCCTGCCGCATTCCCCAACCGCCTGAGAGATTCGATGTATGGCCTCTGCGACATTCGTTGTTGTGGTACGCGGCTGTTATCTCTCGCATGCCACAGATCCGATGAGACCGCTATCAATCCATCGTTTTTCGAGGATCCAGCCACGCAGGGCATGAAAAAGATGGCGCCCTAATTCTGGAACAAGCCGTTTCGTGTGTACAGTACACCTGTCTGCTACTGCTTAGGGTGCTTCAACAAGTTTCCACATAGCCCAAGGTGAAGGGCTCCTATCTCGTTCAGATTCCTGAAAATGCATTGAAGCACCCTAAGCAGTGGCAAACAGGTGTACGACTGCTCATGTGCCACTTTTTTCACGCCCAGCGTGCCAGACCAGAACGCTTCCCCGTCTTATCTGGGCAACGAAGCGGCCTTTTTCGCCAGCCCCACTTCCCCAGGGAAAGTTTCCAGACGCGGAGCAGCGAATCACGACACGGCGCGCTGCTGCATCCGGCGGGCCGCCTTGCCTAATCGGGCCGTTTAGGGCAAGTCACGCGTGAAGACTGCCTGACAATCTCATGAGCACGGCATACCATGGTCGACTGATTGGACGGCACCGCACAGCCTGAGTCGTTTATCTGTGGACAACACGCCACCAGTTTTCCGAACATGATGGCGCGGATTGCGAATGTGCGCATCATTACTGAGATGCAAGACGCTTGACGCAATTGCTTGAAGCTGCGCCATCCTTCGTTCCAGTCTGTCTAGTAGACGTTAGTTGGGACTGAAGACGTAAACAAGGCTGGATCCTAGCCCTTGCCAAGTTGGCGACCTCCTTTGGCCACCACGACTGCCTCAGTATCCGCCGTGCCTGTGGCCTTTGCGATCGCGGTTATGGTGAAGGTTCTATCCATTATGTCGAGGACTGAGGCCATGCGTGAGAGCGTTCGGCCTCGAGATCTGAGCTGTCGTCGTCTTCACTATTGCTACTTCTGAGGTCTCGGCCACCACGGCGCTGGCGTTGACTTGAGTCTCGATGCTGTTCGTCGTGTCGGTGGTCGTGATGATCGCGGTTCGAGTCTAAATTGTGGCCGTTGAAGCTCTCGAGAATGAAGCTAGCGAGGTACTAATCAGGTTAATAACAAATTGCCCGGTCCTTCTCCTCCATACGCTCGGTGATCAGCTCGCAGTTACGGGAGGTATTGGCGCAGCTACTGGTCAACACGACCCGTTAGCCGTGAAAGGCGAAGCAGTTTCTCTTGTTGCCGTATTGCTCGGCACGCTCGTCCATAATTCATGAACAAAGTGTTTCTCCTTGCGACTTCAAAGCTGGACGACGAGCTTATCGCGGCAGGATGGCTTGCACGGCTGGAGGAGTCGGTTGTGCAAATCCTAGATCTGACTGTCTGAGCCTGGAAGTGTGCAGAAGCCTTCGGGACCTAGAGCAATATCTGACCTGATGGAAATAAAACCGATATATCGATAGTCATTGTCCGACGACTCGATTGGTCAGGTTGTGCGAGAGGAAACTCAGGTACATCGAAGGTAATGGTTCTAACCTAACGGAGCAGATAGTATTTTCGACCATCTCGTTGAGTACACCGGAAGAAGAACCGATGCTGACCGGAGGATCTGTTGTAGAAGCTCACTGACGAGCACGACGAGTCTCGCTTACAAAAAACTCCATGAGGGTTTTGAACATCCGTGCTCATTATCAAATCAGAAGCGATAGCCGAGATAGAAGAGCTTTGCCGATAGTGATGGCAAGAACCGCGCCCAAAATCCGGATCGGTGAAGGATCGCACCATTGCATCTGATGATACGAACGCTCTGTGAGCGCTCTGTTGGCGCCTAGATCCAGCTGCAGTAAGTTGATGTCCTCACCGATCCGGGAGACAGGGTGCAAGCAGCCGAGATGGACGTTGGCGAGGACTTGGTATGCATCTCGATACCATGTAATTGTGTGCTTCAGGCAAAGAGCTTCCTGCAAGGAGAATCACAATGGAGCCACGGCACATGTGGCCCAAGCGGGCATGTACTGGAAGCATGGCTCACAGAGATGTAGGTCATGCAAAACGCCGAGGAAATGAGCGCAAAGATGAGAAGGCTTGAGCATAACCATCGACGGTACCGAGATGGAGAAGGCCACATTGGAGTATTGACGGATCATGGGCCAATCGCTCGATTAGCGCGACTCGCTTCCCACGATGGCGCACCTGGCTCTGCCTTGGTTGATGTGACGATCGGAGTCAACGTCGGCTGTGTGGGGGACAGCCTTCTAAGGTGTGACATCTTCTCTTCCTGGACTAAGCTAATGCTGGACAGCGCATGATAGCACGAAGTCAAGACGCGCGCGGCTCTTCGCTGGGTCCCGCAAAACCGCTTCCGATGCCGGAGGTGGTATTCTGCCGACCATTATGAGGCTATTGGTTAGTGATGGAAACAGATTGTAGACCCGATTTTCGATTTGAAACGCGGTCATCAAGCAAGAGTCATCGAGCAAGAGCTAGAATCCTTGGTCACGTGAGCAGTGAATGCGGTACAGCAGTACACCGCTATGTCGACCGCTGAAACCTGAACGGCATAGCTCGCTTCATCGACATCACTGGCGGTTGGCACATCGCTAGGGAGTCACTGCTTGAGCAGGGAGCGGGTACTCCCTTCATCGTGCGTGGAGCGTGGAGCGTGTCGAGATGGCACTGGGCTGGGCCAGGGATCAGGGTCGACAAGACAGTGGAGCGCGCCAGGAGCATCCCGATGACACAGCTAGCCGTCTGAGGCGCCCCGAGCAAAACCAGAGCAGATAGCAGCCGTCGGATCAGGAAGATGCTGGAGGCTGGAGGCTGCTGGCGCTGAAGGATCGCCTCGCATATACGAGCGGGGGCCGTGACGCACAACACGGGTGCCTCAGCGGAAGTCGGAAGCATGTCCGTTTAGGCGGGAGAGGTGGTGAGGTCGAGAATCGAGATGGAAAGATTTTGGTCCTTCGGGACGCAGACTGCTGAGACTGCTGCAGGGTTCGTCACAGCCCGTGCTAGCTGGCCAGGATCGCTTCGGGAGACGGACAACGGGCGTCTGAGGGCGGTGGGCGTCAAGAGACGGGGGCAGTGAACAGGCGTTTGCGCCGTCTCTGCAAATGGGATTGCTTCCCGGACAGCCACTCCACTCTCGGCCAGGAGCCCGTGGTGAAGCCCGCGCTGTCGTCGCTGCTTCGGGCGCGGCCAGCATGATGCAAGGCTCTCGTCCTCCGTCCTCAGACATCTGCCCAACTCGTCCCCGCAAGTCACAGTCCAGATTCTGGCACCGTCCGATCTCCAGATCCCGTGGCGTCGTCCCCCCGCGTCCCTGGGCGTCTCCGTGGCTCGAGCAACCCTGGTGCGTGAGCCCTTGCTATTGACACCTCGTCCGCCGCACGCTGAGGGCCACTCAGGCGGGCCGGGGAAGCGCAGGTCGCAGGCCGGCCGCACACGCTGGGTCCGCCTGCAGTCGCCTGTGCTTCCGCCGGCGCGACATGCCTCACGCCGGCTGGTACCTCGCCCAAAGGCCCAAGGGCCCATCACCGCCGGCCCCATGCGCGCCATGCGCTTCTGCATCCTCGACGCAGCATGGCGTTAGCCGTGTCGATCGCGCGACGCTGGCCGCCCCGCGGCCAGTCACCCTGCGCCGTGGCGGCGCGTCCTGGATGACCTCTCACAAAGACGCAGCAGGGCTGCTGCTGGGCTGCTGCTGGGCCGCTGCTGGGCTCTCGCGCAGAGCTTCGCAGCAGTCCCAGGGCATGCACCTCGCTGGAAACACCCTTTGCCTTTCTCGCCGCGGCCCTCACAAATCCCGCAGCCGCTGCAGCCATGAGGCCACCCCTGTACCACTCAGCCGTCACTCTTTCCGATGGCCAGGCCCGTTCTCCCTGCTTTGCCGCCTGCTGCTGCGCTTACCGCGAGAACGCGTGCCTTGCTGTTGGCTGCGTCTGCCCGGGCCCCAGTCAGGCCGTTTTCCAACTCCAAGGCCTCGAGCCCCTTGCCGGCCCGCAGTCGCAATAACACTAAGCTGCCAGCGCTTTATAGAGCCTCCCGCTACGCCCTACATCCCACTCTCTATCCTCCCGTCCCACGCATTTGATTGTTTCCCATCGTCTTTCATTGTTGCCATTTCCATCTGCTCTCTCGCTCGAGGCCATCTACGATATCACAATCCTTCGTTCTTTCAATATTGCTCCTCTTCGCAGAACTTCCTTAATCCCGTGAGCCCGCAACTATGTCATTTACCTACATAACAGAGCGGATCAACGACACTCTTCAGAGATTCTCCAACAACGTGGAGAACTTCAAGCAACGGTCCGAGAGCGTCGCCCAAGCACAACAACGGCGGATCAACATGTTAGAGCAGCGTGTCAGCAACTTGGAGAAACTTCTTTCCGAACGTCATCTGGTCGACCTGCGGAAAGACTCGGCGGAACCCCAGACTTCCACGCGGACGGATTCCAGCTCGGCCGCCTCCTCATTATGTGCTCCGCAATACGACGAATCAACCGTTCCAGACCCATTGATATTGCCTTCCTTCGATGAGCGCCTAAGAGGAGTAGATCCAATGGATATGTCTTTCCAGCCGCTGTCTCCCAACGAAAACCCAGGCGCCGCTTGGAGAAAAGACTGGGAGAGGCTTTCCTGCAGAGATGGGTATTCGAACCCTGACTCTATGGGAGAGTACAGCGATGGAGACGAAGAAATGCTCACAACGCCTGCTCCTCCTCGCACGAATGGAAAGGGCCGCCATCAGTCTCATCCACGTCACGACTGCAATCCCAACACCTAGTCGTAACGGTTATCGGGGCCGTCAACGTTGCAGCTCTGGACTCGGCCGACTTCGAATCACATCAACCTTGGCCCCTCCTGAAGTGAGTGACGGACCAACTCTACCCCTGCAGGCGCATACGAAATGCGTCTGGCGGCTTTCCTCTCAACTGCGCAGGTGGTCGTTACGCCTTTCAAAAGCCCGGCGTAAGATCCGATATACTGGACCTCGCATACACCTCGTCTATAAGCTGTGCCACAACGATCGAGAAGCAGATGTAGCGATCCATCGTTAGCAGGCTAAGGATACGTGCAGCGCATAACCGCAATGCATATGTCAAACGGAACAACTTCCGATGGAGATCGTGCATGGGATGCGTGTCTTTCAACTCGTTTTCATTGCGATGTGCTGTCAAATCGGGCTATGGCTCTCATACAGTTGGTCTCCGGTTTAATTGGGAGCTGGGCGCAAATATGTCGATGATGTTCCCTATTTCTGGGGGGATCTGTATTGTTCCTAAAATTGGTGCTGTGGCGTTTTGAAGTAATGACCCTGATGTTTGACTTTTTCTTCATTGGCGGAAAGAGCTCCGAAAAATCTATGTATCACCCCCTATGACCTTTGACAAGATTCAAACCAATATCTACCCACGATCCGCGCCTCTAGTCTTTAGACTAAGGATCGGTTTTGCTTCCTTGCTGTGGCGCAATAGAACCGTCTCTCACGTAGCTGAGTCCCACCTAGTACAACAGTAGCGCTGCTCAGGTGTCACACAACTAGCCCACAACTAGCTCTTACTACCTGCCGTGCAACACAGGCAAATCCGACCGCTAGCGCTGGCGAGACTCCGAGAATGACCTCTGCGGGGGCCGCCTAAAGCTTTCTGACGCACTACAACATCTCAGCCAGTGTCATGTGTATGTGCCAGCTTTACTGATCGAGTTTTGATGGCTGTCATGCGCGGCACTACTGATACCTGTCTGATCCTCAGCTGTCACGAGATAGGGACCGGAGGGAGGCTCGGAGCGACGCTGTCAACGGATTCCATATCCAGGGCATTGGAAGGGTGGCCATGGTGGTGGGTCCATGTACGAGTGCGGCGTGGAAAGTTTGTGTGCCGCTACGGCGTGGAGCTCTTGGCCTGTCGGTGGCTTTTCGGCTACTTGGGGTGGTGCAAATGGTAGATGGGAATTCGGATCACGTGACCAACTCAAAATCTCAGGGGAGAGCAGCGGAATGATTCCGAGCGAAACTCTACACTGAGTAATCAGTATGCGAACACCAACACTGCAGCACGAGGGGAGCCTTTGATATGCGATCCCGCCCATCTGATAACACTGGCTGTCGTCTTTGCCTTTCGGCTAAACTTGCACTCTAGAGTGATGTCACCTCAACCCTCAGACAATCCTTGTCGTATCTATCAACATCAGTCATTCTACATTTCATCCATATTCATCATCCAAGATGACTTCAGCAACCTCCCGCGTTCTTTCCACCACCGAGCTCCTCGAACACATCCTCCTCCATCTCCCACCCCCCTCCCTCCTCTTCGCCCAGCGTATCTGTACAACCTGGCGTTCCCTAATCCAACGCTCCCTCCCCCTCCAACGCGCCCTCTTCCTCGCCCCCACCGCTCAACCCCTCCTTGTCTCCTCCGATCCTCCCTATACTCTACCTCCCGTAAATCCCTTCCTCAAATCCGCATTCGCGGGGCACATCGACCGCCATAGCAAGCCAATGCGTTGGGTCACTGCACAAGGCGAACACTGCATCGTGTTTGTCGTGCGGGTGGTGAGTGCGGAGTGGCCGGATGCGTTCAAGTATCCGGAGGCGAGCTGGCGGCAGATGCTGTTAACACAGCCGCCGGTGAAGGCGGCGAGCGTGATGGATTTCAGCGGGGTAGGGTTAGCGGTGGGACCGAGGAGGGGGGTGGCTCACTTTGAGGCGAGAAATGAAGAGGGGGTTAGGATGATGGAGGTTGTATATGCGAGGTGAGGGAGGATGGAGGGGATATTATCATGCAAGAGCTTGGCGCCAATGGCTTTCCAATTTGTTTGGAGAGTGAGAGGGTGGGACGCTGGAAGTTTTATACCCGGATCGACCCTCCCTATGCAGCACGCAAGAACTCGGCGTTGATGGCTTTCCACTCGTATTTGAAAGTAAAGGTATCGGAAGCATGCGAGAATTCGCCTTCCGTGGGCTGTGAAAGATAAGCGCATTCAATTGCATTCACGCCATAATCGACCCAAGAGTGCCAGTTTCGAACAACTACATTTCGGAGTACCGGACCCTGCATAGTGTAGTGGGAATCACCAACAACGCATGAGGCCGAAAGAGGAGGAACTGGTGGATCCTTATAGATAGCTCAAGCGGACTCTAAGCATGACGGCTGCAGCATTTTCGAAGACATGCACGTTGGCGACGGCTCGGTCCGCCTTCATCTCCCACCTTGCATCCAGCAGACCGCTCTGTTTGTCACACCTGATTGTGTCGCACTACATAGATATCCTTCTCGCGCTTCAGTTTCATGCTATGTGGTGTGTTGCGAGCAATTAGAGTCGTAAAACGATGCTGCAACACTCCGTTCCGAGATACATGAACATGGGGGGATAAACCTTGAAGGCAGTTACCATTACCTGTTTGATTTGATGCAGTTGGCATCTTAAGCGCCTCTACAAGGGTAACCTCGGCGCGTATATCGAACATCTAATTTGAAACAAGTTCGTGTCTTTTTAAATATGGTATTACTATTAGTCGATCGACGAGGCTGAATTCGCCCCCATTTGCCAAGGCAGGCAACTGAGCTTAGAATATTCAGATCTCTAGCAACGATCTCTTAACCCAGCGACTTCAAACATCTTGCCCGATTTCCATTCGAAAATGCCGATATGACTGCTTCAATTTCGACTGGCAGCGATGATGTCTCCGCCATTTACCACTCCTTAACTATCCGTCCAAAGTCCAAATGTATTCGCTTACTCACAGTCCACCCGTCTTCGGGCTTGCAGGATGATGGAGAACCGATCAAGGGTGACCTCTTCGTAGCTGATTTGGACCAGAGTCCTTCATATTCTGCATTATCGTACGTATGGGGAATAACAGCGCCATATCCCCACACCATCAAATGCGGAGCTGCGAATCTCCCTATCAGCGCCAACTGTCACTCCGCCTTGTTACACCTACGAAAGAAAATTGGGACATGCTTTACCATATGGATAGATGCCATATGCATTGACCAGACCGATGACGACGACAAATTTCAGCAGATACCGTTGATGGGCGACATTTACTCAAAAGCCCAAAGCGTCTACATCTGGCTAGGAGAAGGCGATGCCGCCACAAACAGAGCCATGGGTTACATGGCCAAGGCTGGCTTTCTGGAGTACTTTTGCGTCAATGGTGACCCCGATGGCGAAAAGTCAGCCAAAACTCACGCCCTTACTGCTTTCGTGCTTTCTTTCACATCGCGATGGAGTCTCAGGAGACACCCTCTCCCATTTACCACACGAAGTAAGTGTATTCGAAGACAAATCTACTGTCACTAATAGTAGCCATCACTGACGCTTTCGATCGGTCAAGAACGAAATTGGTCCTGGCGAGTTCCACTACTTATGCGCGTCAGAGGATCCTCCGGAATAATTCACGCATCCTATCATGATCTGGATAAGCTATTAACTCGCTCGTGGATCCGGCGAATATGGACTTATCAAGAAATTATGCTCGCGTCCAACCCCATTGTGGTATGTGGTGACGCTCACCTACCGTGGTCTCGGTTTGCATTCAGTATCATATTCCTCGACTCTATTCGGCCTCACTTAGGGTCTGGGTTTTCCGTCACACCAACACTAGCAACATCAACCAAGTGGAAAAGAATTGTCTCTGACAGAAACCGGTATATAGCCTTGACAAACGGTAGCTACGTTCCTGGTACTGGACCAAAACATCGAGACAAATTTCAAGCTTACGAATATTTCGTTTCCCGCATTTCTCTTGGGTACTATGTGCTCAAGCTACTCAAATACAGCTTGGTTTATACTTTCGTCGTCGGTTTAATACTGTCGACCATAGTCGTTACAGTCCTCCTCGTATTGCCTTGGCAGGTCACAAAAGAGAATGATTACGAGAAGAAACATCCGTTGCAATTTTCGATGTACTGGCCCATTGTCTTGGTCCCTATGGTTTGCAGTCTGTCGGTGTTTATCAGCATCTGGATGTTCAGGCCAGCGAAGACTGCACCTTTTCCGGTATTCCTAGAACGGGTGGTATTCCAAGAGCTAGAGAAATCTGAAGTACACGATCTAGCCGATGTGCTTTGCGCCCGACAAGCCACGAACCCTAAAGACATGGCGTTTGGGTTACATAGTGTGCTGCAACAAATATCGACTATCGATGTACCTCTGCCGGACTACAAATCCCCGAAAGACCAGATCTACAGGCAACTTACCGCAGATGTGCTTCGGACAACAAACTCACTGCAATTTCTGCTTGCAGCATCTCAACGACGCCTACCGGGACAACCTTCCTGGGTCCCAGATTGGTCTGCAGATTTTCGATTTCAATGGGGAGAGCCGTTTCTATCAGCAAGGAGAAGTAGACATGCTACACCTGGCGCGAAATCTTATTGGGAACTCTCCCACAATGCCGAAGAGGACAGCGTGCTCACGGTCTGGGGCCGTCAAATTTGCACTATTAGCAATTGCCACGCATTTCATGGAACGGACGAGTCTTATCAAGAAAGTGAGAAGCCGATTCACGTGGAGAATCTTCGATTGGTCCTAGAGCTACTTAAGTCTCTAGATGGCCTTGGAGAAGTCATCCAGAATCCCCTTAATCACCCCACGCTATCACCAGAAATCAGACCTGACGTTGAGCTGGCCGCTTACTGGGCATTCTTGAAACAGAATTCCAAGAAAAGAGACGCGTCCGGTCTTCTGTCCCTCCTTATCAGTGAGCCCTTGACCGGGGGCAGGGCGGGACTATCTTATCAGGGCATCCTTCGCACTCACATCTCGGTATGCAATAGCCTTGCTCACACGAGGGCGCAAGTATTCTACACGAATGACCTAGAAATCTGGCGTAGTAGCATTATCACCTTCGAGTTTGAGAACAATTTGAGATTGCCGCCCATAAAGCGCTTACTTCGGCGACAACAACTCACTCCAACGATGGGGATCTGTTCGACCGAAGCTCAACCCGGTGACAAGATCGTACTCGTATCAGGGCTATCTGCACCTGTGATCGTCCGCCCTCATGCCGGTTCTGTGCGACTAGTCAGTCCAGCCATCATCACGGCAGTCATGGAAGGTCTAGCATGGAGAAGAATGGATATTCCGCTACAAAACCTGCAGCAATTTGATGTCTCTTGAGAAGGAAACAGCTCGATTCTGCACGTCTATTTCCCCAACAGGAACTCCCCTCCCTTTATCGAACTCAACACGCCATAGACCCCGCCCAACGGCCATACATCCCACACCTTCCTATTTGCCCATGCAGACCACGACTCGGCCTTCGGATCCGGCGGTGCCGAGTCAACTTTTACCTTGTCAAAGATAGACGGAAGCGAGGTCGCGTGGTACTTCTCCCGCAAGGCTGTGTACGACTTCTCGTCGTAGATATCCCAGAACTCTGACTCAGTGTAGTATGCGTGCGCGTACAGACATTTCAACCCGTTCAGCTCACGCACCTTCTGTTCTATCTCGCGGTTGAGCTTGATGAACGAGTGCACCTCCGAAGGACCCATACCCCAGACCCCAACATTTAGCACCATGCCGTCGAGATGCGGGCCCTTTCCCCCAGCAAACGTCCTCACACCCGGCGAGTTCCTCGCTCCTGCAGCATCGCGCACCGGACATAGCCACAATGGATAAAAACCTAGAGTTTGGTTCAAGTAGTCCACGAATGCCTCGGCGGAGGAATACGGTACCGCTAAATCCTGAATAATCGTCTGCCTCGCGAGCCCGCTCCTGTGTAGAGCATGTATCATGACACGGGTCCGCATGAAGTGGTCTAGGAGGTACCGTGTTATGTGAGTAAAGGGAGTGAGGAAGTATTTGAAGGCGTGCGCCCCTCCCCAGAAGGCACCACGGTCGTAGCGGAAGAGATAGTCTGCTATTGGGATGTAATCGGACACACTTTTGCCAGAATCGAGTGTCGCTTCGGCAAGCTTGTCGCGGGCGTGAAGGTAGAACCAGGGGTCTCGAGCGCCTTGGAATCTTTGAGGGTGGGTTCCAGACGGCTGGGAAGAGACGAGTCGGCCGATCATGATCACGATCGAGTCTGGGGCGTATACAATGCCGTCGATGTAGTCAACTGATGAGTCGGCCGCTGCTTCTTCCAATTTGACGAGCAAATCTGGCATACTTCTTAATGGAAGGTATGTAAGCTCAACCAGCGGCCTGGACTCCATAAGCTGGACCTCGAGAAGCGTGACCACACCCAGAGTCCCGCATGTCTGCGCAGCGCCATAGAACAAATCTCGAGTCTCAGGATCTGAAGCGGATGCCGTAACGATGTCGCCATTCGCTAACACGATTTCGATACTGTTAATCGTGCAATCGAACATGCCATACTTGAAAGAGCTGCTCTCCCCGGACGAGCCTGCGAAGCCGCCTCCAACAGTAATATTGGGAAACTCCATTACGACGGGGGGAAGAAGGCCATATGCGGTCGTTGCTTGCAGAAGCTGATCCATAGGGACATTGGGTTCGACCATAGCTGTTCTCGTAACTTTGTCGACGGTCAAGACCGACGATAGCATGCTGGTGTCTATTACGCTATCTCGTTGGCGGGCGATATGTCGAGTGCTGAGAGTGGATCCATGATAAATACGGAACGGCTGCCGCTTTTGATAGAAATAACGAATTCTTTCTGCGACTCCCGCAACAGCGGTATTGTGGGCCTCCATTTCGCAGGGCTTGACCAGGAGAAGATGGCTCCGATGCAATATGAGAGATAAAAACAAGACGTAGAAGGAGAGACCTGATATGTGATCTTAGATGTATAACATAGGAATATGACTTTAAAACAAGGAGCTCAATCGATTTAAAATTACAGGTCAGGCAGGCCAACGAAGCTCCCCAGACATCGTAACGAAGGAGGCAAACGTCATTAAACTGCGAGGATGTTGAAGATACAATAATGGATGTGAGATGGAGACGCGACGCTTGAGTGGCTAGTATGCCGGAGGATCCGAATAATACGACGTATAATATCTATTATTACGACGCTAACTTAATGGGCAAAGCCTACAAACACTTGCACTTCCACGACCTCGCTCCCACGGTGGAAGAACGCTCATTGCAGCACAACGCCTCCGCCGATGCCTGAAGATACAGGACTGTCACTAATGATTTCCTATTTCTGACTATTCACATCCATCTCACGTCACTTGTCAGCAATTCGCACATTTTCAGCGTAAACATCTACTACGAGAGTCATTTCTGCAACAAGTTGAAGATGGAAGAGCACGAAGCGTCCGTAGCTTCCATCGCTGCTACGGTCCGGCATTTTCACGATGAGAAGATCCCATTCAGGATCTACCATGGCTCAACGAATAGCACCCGCCAAACCACCTTCCAGCGTGACAAAATCATCGATACCAGCAGCCTCAATCGCGTGCTGAACGTGGATATGAAAGCCAAGACGGTGCTAGTGGAGCCAAATGTCCCGATGGATTTGTTGGTCGATGCCACTATGGAATGCGGACTTTTACCACCCGTAGTCATGGAATTCCCGGGCATCACGGCAGGCGGTGGGTTCGTTGGCACCGCAGGAGAGAGCAGCTCGTTCAAACACGGATTCTTCGACCGCACCGTCAATCGGATCGAGATGGTGCTTGCTAACGGGGAAGTGGTGCGCGCTTCGAAGAAAGTGAAAGGAGATCTATTCCACGGCTCCGCGGGTTCTTTCGGCACGCTGGGTGTCCTGACAATGCTCGAAATCCAATGTATTGACGCGAAACCGTACGTGGAGCTGGTCTATCACCCCGTGTCCAGCCCCGCCGAGTCAGTCCAAAAGACGCAAGAAGTGACAAAAGATCCCAAGAACGATTACGTTGACGGCATACTCTTTGGTCCTACCAATGGGGCCATTATCACCGGTCGGCTTACCAGCAAGCTACATCCAGGGACGAAGTTGCAGAAGTTCTCCCGCCCTTTGGACCCGTGGTTCTACATTCATGCCGAAAGCATGGTGTCCTCGACGACGAGGACAGACATTGTGCCAATAAGAGACTACTTGTTCCGGTATGACCGAGGAGCATTCTGGACGGGTCGGTACGCCTTCTCGTACTTTCTTACGCCCTTCAATTGGGTCACGAGGGCCCTTCTCGATCATTTCATGCACACAAGGGTCATGTATCACGCCCTCCACGCCAGCGGACACATGAAGCAATACATCATCCAAGATCTCGCCCTACCCGTCGCCCACGCCGAGGAGTTCATCAACTGGGTGAACGCGAAGTTCGGGTTCTTCCCCATTTGGTTATGCCCACTGCGTCAGGACTTCGAGGCCTCCATGGGGCATCCGGGCGCTTTGATCCAACATAATACCGAACGCGGCTCCTCGGGGTTGCTAAACGTCGGAGTTTGGGGCCCCGGGCCTACGAACCCTTCCACGTTCACGAGCATCAATCGAGACCTGGAGGCAAAGCTTCGCGAACTGGGTGGCATCAAGTGGCTATATGCGCAGGCGTTCTACACCGAGGAGGAGTTTTGGAGCATCTATGACCGGAAGCCGTACGACGCTTTACGAGAGAAATACGGCGCATCTGGTCTACCAACCGTCTACGACAAGGTTAAAGTGCGAAAAGAAGTGGAAGAAGGAACTGGATTGAAAGCGCAACTACGTAGACGCATCAGGGAGACACCGTTCCTCAGTGGGCTGTATGGCGTCTACAAAGCCATTTTCGGAAAAGATTACCTTTTGGCGAGAACTTCCGGGGATAGTGTAGGCTTGGTGTCGATTGGGTTCATCTTGTTGCTATTGACACTCTTAGTGGGCTTCCTGGTGGTGTGAAAGAGGCTCTCACGCGGTAGTAGCAGTCTCCTTCACTTTCAATACCGTAGCTGAATTTAGTGGTTTCTGCGGCTCTTTTTGACACTTGCTTGACACTGTCTGAGGTGCCCACCTGGCGAGTTACTGAGTGGCCAAGATGCATGTCTGAAAAGTCTGATTTACGGGTCTCAGGAATTACACCCTCATGCGACAGTGACAGCTCACTCCGCTCTAAACGCTCTTGCTAAATCATATGTTTTCTACAGCTCTTTTTAATACTTGCCTGACGATGTCTGAGGTGCCCCAGCGTGGTAAACGGCCGGCTAAAATGCGAGTCTAATAGGTTATATTCACACACTTCGGATTATACATCCTCTTTACGATAGTGACAGTTGTCTTCTCTATGGTCACCCTTGCTGAATTGCTGGTCTTTACGACTTTGCTGATGCTCTTCTGACACTGCCTGACGTGCCCCAGCCAAGTAAACAGCTGGTCCAGACGAAAGTCTGACGAGACTGATGTGCACGCTCCTGGTGAGTCAACAACAGCAGTCTCCTAAGTCCTCTAATTCATTAATCGATGCCTGTCGCTTTCGCGAGGTGGTGGATGCGTGCCGAGATAGCCGTCCGCCTGCCGCAGTTCCGATCGAAATCGAGGCGTGTTTACAGCATCTTCCTGCGTCCGGTGACCTAGCGCAGAAACTGAGTCGACCCCTGTAAACGTGCTTTTCTGGGCTAATGTTGACCTGGCTTGAATATTGATGGGCTGGGAGGTTACTATTCCCCCCTACCTTCTACGGTAATTTTGTGGCTTGATTTCCGCGCTAGGTCACCGGACGCAAGAAGATGCTGTAGTGTGCTCATCGAGAGCCTAGACCTTTTTCTTTTCGGTGGTCTGATTTACGAAGTGTCGTCTTCGTGATGCGTTGCCGCATTGCCGCATTGGACTATGTTGAGTTGGCCAACCGGGAATAAGGAAGCCCCAGGAACACTCTACAATCGGTGTATTGCGCATGGAGGTTGTGATGAGGGTAGCTGTTCCTGGATGGGAACGTGTCTCTGCGTTTGATGCCTTCAGGTGACATTGAGGTAGCAGTCCGAACCCGTGCTCTCGGGCTGCAGATCAGTGATGCATATTACGAGCACTGCCAATCCTCAGATATCTTGGATGGACGTGATTGGTCCATGAACGCCGGGTGTGGATGGGATGGCGCTTTGAGATCGCTGTCGGGATGCAGGGTGGAGTTGAGTCCGCGGAGATTCCGAACGGAACTGGTGTGCTGGATGTAATTTATTACTCTCAAATAGAATAGAAGATGCGGCGAGTGTCCCCTGCTCTTTTGACACAACTTCCCAGTTTTCGAGATGGAGAACGTTACATCTCGGTGTCAAAGCTGGGAAATATCAGTTTCGTCGATGGATCATGCCATTCTCTGAGGGCCATATTTGGGGTCCAACATTAGGACATCCTAGTGGTTTTACTAGGATGCACCATTACCCAGAAGCATAGGTATTGGTCCACGCATCCTTACTAACCTTTCCTTTGGGTCTTACATAATGAGCTCATGCTAGCGTACATACTCGAGGTGTAGCAAGTCACCTTTCCATCCCGCCGGGAGGTTGTACGAGAAGTGGACCTATGTAATCCCCGGAAAAGGGACAACCCGAAGACGTTCCAATGAGTATGCGGGGCGTGATTGTGCCAATTGGCCGTCTTCTGAGGTTGAAATCGAGAAGTGTTGTAAGTTACGGCCGCAAGGCTTTGGTGAAGTTTGAGGCAAGGGGTTTAAGATGCCCGTGCGGGGAAAACCCTAGGCCGATTCACCTGTTATGCCACAGCCTCACTCCGAAATCAACAACAACCAACAGCCCGCCGGGCCGGAATACACCCGTGAGACCAACGGCCCCCATATAGGGCACTACGCTAAAAGCTCACCATCCGGAGGTGCATAGAATAAGTTAAGCTGTGTTCCATGCTTCCATCAGCGAACATCGAACATCACCACCTCGTATTGAGCCTCACCGTACGCAAAAGGTATCCGCAAAGCAGCGTTCAGCCTTAAAACCTCCTTCGAACTTTCAAAGCCTACCATCGTGATCAATTTGCTCAGAGTACCCATTCATCATACCTAAATCCAATCGTACATCCAAGTCCACAAACCCACCATGTCTCTCAAACTCCTTCGTCTCCTCCCCCTCCTCTCCCAAACCCTAAGCGTGGGCTACGCCATCGACGAGATCATCTTCCTCGGCTCCTGGATGCAGCCTTCCCTGCGCGCGCGCACCAACGCAAACCTGCCCCCCTGGTTCAAGATCTGGGTGGGTCGCGGCTTCTGGGTCATCGTGCTGGGCTATCCCTTCACCTGGACCGTGTCAGGGCTGAATTTCTTGTTTGACCGCGCTGCGCTGTCTGCTTCGGGCGCCGCCACGTGGTATGCTGTAGGTACCGTGCTGTCGGCCGCGCATATGCTATACGGGAAGAAAGCGCTGGGGCTGTTGAATGACATCAGTAATGATGTGCCCAAGGGTAATAGCGCGCATTCGATGGAGGTGTGGTTGAAGATGCATTGGCAGAGAACGCTGGTGACGGATTTGCCGGCTTGGATCTGTTTTATTGCTGGCTTCTTGATTGCGCACGAGGCAGCTTAGACGTGCTGGTTCGGAGATTAGATGTGGAGGCATCTGGACGAGACAGACTGTAGAGTACAGGCTCAATGGGCGGTGAGGTCGACTCCATTTTTGACACGCAGGACTTTGGTCGGATATTTTATCGTCATGTCTCGTATTCAATCTTCGCTTCTACCTACTATCACGCCCCCAGCCCACTTTCTTCGTGAAACGATATGGTTGCATTGAAGATATAACTCACTGTCCTGACTCGTCTCTCCGGTTCCCTTCCTCGTCCAAGTTAGCATCTATCTCCCAATCCGCGGCCAGACCGACCACGAACCCACAAAAACTCACCCATTTCGCCTCTTTTTTTGCCTCCCCTATCTCTTGCAAGGCTGGCCATGCGCATCATGATAGAAGAGAACTCTGAAGCGAACGCCAAACACTCAGTCCAATGAAAAAAACCCAAAAACCCCAAACCGGCAATACTGCGGACCGACCTTATCTACATCTCCGTTCTATACCGCTCTCGGCCGACGTCGAAATCCGAGCAAAGCCCGCGCAGAAGGAAAAGGGAAAAAAACCTCACCATGCCACTAACCCCGAAACAAGTTCGCTCCCTCGGACAAAGCAAGCACCTCCAATCTAGCTCTCCCGGAGCCGCCAAAATCAACACCCGCGATCGAAGATCTCGGATATTATCGAAAACCCGCGTCGCCCGGTAGGTAATGAAAAGAGATGTGCGATTCGTAACCGGCGTAGTCCCACATTGCATTGTCGTCGCACGCGACGCGCCATTTTCGGTGGCTAGGGGGCTCTTGGAATTGAAAGGACGGGTAGGGTTGCTCCTAGCCTGTTGTGCGCATCCCGCAGATCGGGCTCTCGGTGTTTCGCTCGCCCCGGGAATGCGAAAGCTGGCGTTCCACGAGGGCGAAGGAGCGCGACGCTGGGTTGGATTGGGGCTGTGAGGGCTTCTGGGAATGGTAAGTGGTTTTGGGAAGCTGCGTTGGTCGGAGTAGTTTTGTAGCAGTGTAGGGAGAATGTGTCCTCGGTGAAGCTAAATCCGAGCGTTGGAGACGTCGGAGGTGCTGATTTGGGGGTTTTGGAATCGCGTGAGATGGAAGAGGAGTTGAAAGTAACTGGGTACGGAGAAAATTGGAGAGCGAATGTTGCACGCTGATGAAATTTAGAAATGGCCGTGTGTGCTGGTTTCTTCACCGCTCCGACTCGGTGAAGCGGTCCGTTTTGGGAATATCCTGCAATCCCATATGCAGCAGATAAATAAAGCTTGTAATCGTGTTTACGCGGTCTCCATAGTTTACGGCTTGTAGTTTAATGTGTGAAGGCTAATTCTAGTTCCCGCGATAATGCGTCAGCGGTCGCATTACATAATACCTTTGTACTTACATGATACGTTTATAAGCTTCGACACACATTACAATAAGAAGTGGTCCCTAGAATCTATCACCTGCCGAGGTACATTATCTCCGTTCAGATCGGGTGAGGAATGTTGCTGGATTCCGATAATTTCAAACGCATGGTAAATCGGTGTACCGAGTGTACAAAAGTTACAAATCGACTCCGCACTTAAGCACGCGACGCGGTATTTTGAAAGAGATTACTTGAAATTGACGGGGAGGATCGAGTCAAATGGGTTTGCAGCCTGCAAAGCATTACAAAGCCACATAATCGCTTGAAAGTAATCGTAAACTCCATTCGGCAAGCCGACTAAGTGATCAGATAGACCCTCCGAGATATCAAAGCTTGAGATTTTGAGACGCGATACCTGCAAGGTCGAAGTGAGTCAGAATTGATCATCTGGTATCGTTATTTCCTTCGTTATTTCCTGCTATTTTTTGCAAATTGTCCAGTGTTGTGGCGCTGACTCGCGAGAATGAGGCGCACAATGCTTGATCATCGGCAAGGACTAATTTCTGTACAATGATGAGAACAGTTGGCAGCTTAGCTCGTACGTGAGCAACCACCATATACTCAGATTTAATGGGCTTAATTTGAGTAACCACAACCTTGACGGTAGCGCTCTAGGAAAGTGGCACGAGTGATGCCTGAAGCATCCAGGCCGGCCCTATGGGGTCGATCACGACAGAAACATGAACGCCACGGCTTTGATGTTATTGCTCTCGAGTTCGCGTTGATTCTGCGTTGGAGATTCGCCATAGGGAGGAACCTTGCTGTATATTAGAAAGCAACGGGAAGATATCAAAAGGCTCACCAATCCGCGAACCGTCCGCGCAAAGTCCCCGGAAAGTCCGCGCTAAGAGGAGTCATTTCAGCGCCATGATCCCTTTTGGGGTAAGGCATAGTATCCTAGTATTTAGCAGTCGTGTGAGGCTGTTGGTCAATTATCAAGCACGCTGGAGTGCCACTGGTAGAATAGCGACGGTTTCAAGGCCGACACGAGGAATATGAGATCCTGGTGGGCTTGAGGGCCAGACCCAACTGGGCAGGGCGACCGCAGGACGAAAGGATGAAGCCGAGAAAGGCGATCGGCATATGATAGCAAGATGGTTGGCGAAGCGTATTTGAGCGTATGACTGTGCATTCAGCCCTATAAACTAGGGCTTAGTAAGAGCGGTACATGGAGATATGCGATTCGCGACATGAAAGTTCCAACGGCCAAACTTGCTCCCGAACTTCGACGGAGGACTGCTCCGCAATCCCCAAGGGACAGCTCCGCAACTCCAAGGAACTGGTCCGCAGCTCCGAGGGCCTGATACGCTACGTCTTGCTCAGCATGCACGGCGGTTCGCGCCTGGGGTGATAGTGGAGGATATAGCACCAAATATTGTGATTAAGGAATCCACGACGGTAAGGCATGGTGCGAGAATGCCGCGACCTGTCAGGAAGGATGTTAGGAAGCAGAACTCGAGACAGCGTCAGCACGCGCAGCAGGACAACTGCCCGAGTTGGCGCGTGGAGAGCACTCGTTGGCTGCTCAGTAAGAAGAGCCTACCTGTACGACTGGCTGCTGATGGCGCGACCAGGCCGAAAGCAGAGCTCGGTGCTGCTGACGGTACACACGAGATTTAAGCTTACCGCACGCTGCACTGCCCGCTCCTGTATATTTCCACACGCTCGGGGTCGGTGTCCAGAGGACGAGTGAAGCGAGATGCGAGCGAGTACGATATACGAGGCCATCGTGCAAGAGCCGTCCCCTCGTTCCCCACAGTCGCCAGCCACACTGCCTGACGACGCCGCCCGTGTACGGCCGCAAGGCAGCATGATTATCGCGTTGAGTAATTCCGCCTCGGGGCATGAACGCGCCCAGCAGGCAATGAGGGGTGCATCCAGCGTATCAGGGGCCGTGGGGTGCGCGACTGCTGGGAAAAGCTTAGCAGCCCAAAGCGGACGAGGATGCGAGGAGGGGGCAGCCACGCACACCTGACTGACAATGGAAGACAAGCGGACCAAACGCGCACCACGGAACACCGCTTGCAGCAACGTCCCTTCGCTGCATATTGATAAGCAGCTCAAAGCACCGCTGCCACAGGCCCACAAATAGGGCGGCCAGAAGCGCGGAGTCGGCTCACCTTCAGAAGCCCTCTGCCACCCGTCATCGTGACATGCCCCGTGCTGGGCGCCCTATGAGGGTTGAAAGCGCAGGTGTAGAAGCTCGGCCACCAGCCACAGCCTTGCGCGGAGGTTGTTCCGCCCAGCGCCACCAGCACCAATGCGGATCAGCCGCCGGGGTACCCATGCACAAGCTGGGCGTGGCTTGGCGTCGCTGGAAGGGTCGAGGCCTGGCAACTCCCAAAAACGCCCAGTGCAGACACTGGACATGGCCCGCTGGAGATGCTGGAGCTCCCGTTCGGGCGATGCGATGCCACTGGCGATGCGGCGCTGCCACGGCGGGCGGTCGGAGATGGACGTCGGTGTCCTACGTCAGGCTGGCTGAGGACTGAGGGATTTTGAGTCTGGTGTGCAAGTGATCAGGTCGTCGGCCGAGAGGCTCTGGCAGCGGGCGCTGGAGATTAAGAATCAGGGCGCTTTTCGCCCGAGCCTGCTGCTGCGACTCCAGCGGTCGGCGCTGGTCGCAAGCCGAATCCGCGAGCGATCGCCGCAGCCCACTGCCGTCTTCCGCGCAGGTTTGTGCAGGCGTTGCTTTCACAGTGCCTGATCATCAATTCGCCCGCCTGCGACGAGCCAGCACGGATAGCAAAGCCGAGCTAAGTGCGCCGTGGCCGTCGTCCTGCGGGATTCCAAGCCAGGGTGGCCATCCACGCCGAGCCCCCCCTGCCCCCGGCGCTCTTGTAATCGACGCTTCCGAGCGATGATGTGGACATGAGGGAGGATTAGACATCGAATCATTACCTTGATTACCGACGAACGGCCTTAACGGCGTCTCTACTTGCCCACGACGCGAAGGGATATAATGGTCGCCCTGCCCCACCGACCAGGTTGATTTCGCACCTTGATCTCACCTCACATCATTTCATGCTCCTGATACCTCTCCTATAAACCAGTCGCCTGTGATTCAAGTCGTGCTTCACTCTGATACATACCCGGCCCCCTTCGTCGTTGCATTGCTCGTCTCCCTGTGAACTATCCACATGTCCAGCCAACGCTCAGGATCGATGGACTCGGCGCAAGACAATATCAGAAAGCGCGTGTGCAAAGCATGCGATCGCTGTCGCCTCAAGAAGTCAAAGGTACTTTACCATCGCTAAATAGTAGTCGCACTATTTACTGACCATACTTCAGTGCGATGGCTCTAGCCCTTGCAGTCGGTGTAAGGCCGACAACGCCATATGCGTCTTTGGCGAGCGGAAGAAGTCACAAGACAAGGTCTATCCTAAGGGGTACGTCTTGACCTCGAATCTTCACGGCCATGGTCACTAACGTTCTCAGATATGTTGAAATGCTCGAACAACAGCAAACCCAACTAGTCGCTGGTCTGCGGGAGCTCTACAGCAGAATCCAAAATGGTGAAGGTTGGCCTGGGGTGCCCCTGGCCGAGGCCCAAGGCGGACATCCTCTCACTCACGATATCCTCGAGAGACTCGACCTTCTGCATCCTGCCCATGACAGCGGCACTAACTACGACGGCTTCGAAGACGACTGCACCCGGATGCAGCAGCGTCTGCTCGAAAGAGGTGCCAGATACCTCCAGCGAAGTAACTCTGTGAGCTCCGACTCTGACCACGGTCACGTCTCTTCGCCTTCTTCATACAACGGCACGCCGACGACTCAGGCCGCGCCATTTGGTGATGCGTTCACACGCAACAATGCGCCGCCGACACCTCCAATGAACAGTCCTTTCCCAAGGCAATCGCAGATCACGACATCCATGAAATCCGAGACACCGTTTGGCGCGCCAAACTATCTGCGCACAGGTCTAGACAACAGCCTGGTCCGTCCTTCGTGGCCAGTGGATCCACCAATGATGGACGATGCGACTATGGACTACAAGTACCTGAACACCTTCGATCCGATGAACTACGATCCAAACACCATGATTCTCGAACCTTTCGTCATAAATCCCTCTTCCAACGGCTCGATGATGAGCGACTGGGACCCCAATACCGACCTCGACTTTGCGAATTTCATCAACCCAGTGAACTCATAGTTCTGGAACGTTAGTCTTTGAGTCGGGTGGTCCAATTTGCAGCGTTCAAGCGTGGGGTCGTCTTTGCACGACGGTAGCATTGATTGGTTGACGGTTTACGGGCGTTTGGAGTATCGGGAGACAATGATGAGGTCATGTCTGGAGAAATCTGCTCTCTCAGTGCTCTGGAAAAATTGTGGACAACGCATAGTAATGACGTTGAAGATTCTTTCAACCATCGTCAGCATTAACTCCGCGGCTATGTCCGTGGAGATAATTTCAAATAGACAAAATTCAAACAATGCCGATCTCAAACATCAATGTGCCGATTCGCTTCACATTCGACTATGACTGCTACCCAGAAATGACCAAAATTGATGCCGATATCAAATGACGTGACCAAGTGATGGACGTTAGCCACCGAAATAAGGTTGCCTCCTCTTTCTGGAACTGCGGGTGGCGCATGAGGCTAGGCGGCCTCCATGCAGGTCCCTGGAGCTACACCTCAGCTCACTATAGATGTCGAATGCTACTATCGAATACACATTGTGGACAACAATACCGCCCCTGCTGAAAGGTAGGAACCTATTTCACCGAAATCAAAAGTTGAGGGATTCGGGTTATCGTCGCACCGAGTAGCACGACACATTAGCCTAAATGGACACCTCACCTTCACCACTTTCACCTGATGTCTTTATAAAGTCATACAAAACCCAACGAGCGCCTCTCCACTGCACTCAGCCAAGCTCACCACAAATTCCTGTCCTGCCCTCCAGCATCTAGACCGGCGCAAACTTGGTACGTTAGCAAGGTTCTAATTACCCCACATTTGCAATCATCCCAGGTATGCTACATATTCAGCTCTACCGCCGTCCTTGATGACGCAAGTTTCTCGCAAATGCCACAACTGGAGAGTCAAGGGCCACAAGATGCAGATCTATGGTGTGATAGCTGTCCTTCTGACGTGTGCCAACAGCTATTCTCTCCGGCGACTGTCATCTTCGAGCTTTCGGCGACCAGCAACATCCATCACAGGGGCGCTTTCTCAACGATCGAACATGGCCTCAGCTGATTCCTTCGGCTTCTTGCCCCTTGGAGCGATCATCCAAGGCTTTCAAATCAATGGCAAGAACATAGTCCAGAGCTTCTCAACCCCGGACCTCTACAAGGAATATAATAGCCCATTCTTTGGTGAGACCATCGGCCGCATTGCGAATCGGGTTTCAGGCGCGAAGATCAACAGCCTCAACGGGAAATCGTATCAGTTGGCAGCTAATAATGGCCCCAACTCATTGCATGGGGGTAATGTTGGATGGGGCAAACGAGAATTTGATGGTCCAAAGCGGGTAACGCGGCATGGAAAAGACGCTGTCCTCTTCACGCTGACAAGCCCTGATGGTGAGGAAGGGTATCCTGGGACTCTCGAGGTTAGAGTGTGGTACACACAGGGGAAAGAGCAAGACAAAGGAATAGAGAAAGCTGTCCTGGAGATTGAATACGAAGCAGAATTGGTGGGAGACAGCGCGAACGAGACAGTAGTGGCCATGACGAATCACAGGTGAGTGGCGCAGTTCGAAAGATATACCTACCTACATTCGCTGAAAGCCTCATACAGCTACTTCAACCTCACCCAAGGGGCTTCCATAGCAGGTACGCAGGTCACGCTTTCCACGAGCAAGCACCAAGTCCTAGACTCGACCGGGATCCCTACTGGCCCAATTGAGGACTACCCAGGAGTCACGGCTAGCAAACCCTTCACCCTTGGCGCAGACAAACCGGATATCGATGACTGCTTCATCGTGAACGCCGAGGCTTCTAGCATCCCTGTTGACACACGAGGTCTTCCGATTAAGAAATTGGCCGAGTTCTATCATCCCGATTCTAAGCTGCATCTGGAAGTCTCAAGCACTGAACCGGCATTCCAATTCTACACAGGCAAATACATAGATGTCCCGGCTCTTGAAGGAGACCCAGCACGGGGTGCCCGATCGGGCTTCTGCGTTGAGCCGAGCCGGTATGTCGATGCAGTCAACATACCCGAATACCAGGGGATGGTGCTGCTCAAAAAGGGGGAGAAATACGGGAGCAAGATTGTGTATAGAGGCTGGGAAGGCTAGGGCCCGAACGCCACTCCACTGAGTGCATCGAATGACATGAAATGATTCTGCAAAATATTTATCGTTTTCTCTTCATGACGGACCATGAAGACAATATTCGTTTGGGTCCACGGGCACTCACTTGACCCGAAGCCGTGATCTCCACATGAAGATCTGCCGCCCCTGCACCCGCTGCACAAATCATAGGCCCACAGACGCCAAGCAGGCCTGCTAACATTCCGACATCCGGCAAGCTTCATCTCCTCGCCATCGAAGTACCCACGATTGCCCGGCGTTCTGGAAACCGCTGTCTGACAACTCTTCGCCTCGCCCAGCCCTCCAACTCTCGCGTCAACTGCGAGCTCCCGCTGATCGCCATCCATGGCCCCTTGCTCAACCCATTGGCATCATCTCCTGATCGTATTTGCGAATTAGTCGACGACGAGATCGGAGGGTCGCGCGGGTTTCGGATTTAGTCGTTGGCCGAGTGGCCGACCGAGTACGCGGCGACTCCCCTTGAAAAGTATACGGGCAACCCAACATGGCACGCGGGGCATGGACAAGCTGTCCTGTGTGTACATACATGCACCTGTCTGCCACTGCTTGAGTTGCTTCAATGCGTTTTCAGGAATCTGAACGTGATGGAAGCTCTTCACCTTGGGCTATGTTGAAACTTGTTGAAGCACTTCATGCAGTGGCAAACGGGTGTACACACGGGCAGAGTACTTGATGAGTTTGCCACTTTTTTCATGCCCAGCATGCATGGCTGTGTCACGTGTGTCCTCTTCGTACAAGACCGCAATCATCGTCCTACAACAGCCTCGACGCGAGCAGCCATCCCGGGAGAGCGCAAACTACGGCTAAATCTAGATAAGTCATGCACATGACGTAATGTGCGATCACAACCCCAATTGTCTGACTCAAGACGATATCGATCTCAGCATCAACTGTCAGGCCACATTTGTGGGGCTGCTCTGTCAAGGGCTAAGTTGGAGAAGGCGGACGCGAAAATTCTACTCGATACCAACCAGATGCAGCAGTTCTCTCCTGCACAGGAAGACTATTGGCTCTTGGTTCGTTCTTGCCACGGGCTAGCGAATGGGTGAGCAGGTACACACGCAGAGACCTATGTACATATGGACGCCACCAAACACGCGATCACGGATGCCGGCTGAAAAGCTTGAACCTAAATGTGACTACCGTCACCCTACGCTTGATTGGGACAGGCTTCTCTCAAGAAATCTCCAATCCTGTCTGACTTTTGCGCAAAAGATATGACTATTGAGGGCTCCGTTTCTTAGTCAGATACCGATATCAGTCCACCGAAGTGAATTGCCGGGGTAAGGTGGCCTGCAACCCACGGGACCCGCCATATGGCCCAACCACCGATTTTAGAGCAATTGCTGCACTTGCTCCTCAACTGTGGATGCTGCACTGTTTTCAGGATTCTCTTGTAGTAGGATAACTATACCAATGTCAATGTCGAACACCTCCCCTACCACAGGTCGCGGACCACTTCCGTAGCGCGGCGGCTACGCCCTCCTTGGCATCTAGCACTGCACGAGGGAGCAACGGAGTCCAGCCGCTAACGCTGCGGGATGCCATCATCGTGCGTTTTCCATCCCGAACCACGTTGAATCCATGCACTTATGTTGGTTGTAGCCACTCGGCGGCCTTACTCGGCGGTCGAATTCCCCACACGATTAACGACACTTTGCAGCGAAATCGTGATGACCTTCCTTATCGCAAGCTCCAGCATCACGCCATCCGTGCCGCCGTTGAATGTCTTGCATCCGAAGCCTGGGGTTTCCTGAATTTAGTCCTTCAATAGAGAGAGTTTGGGCGCTTGTTTACTTCTAATTGTTTTCAAGGCATAGGCTCGACTTCTAGATGCCGTCGATCTCTTCTACGATATGAGGTCATAGAGGGTTTCGTGCACTATCGCCAACTGCATCTGAAACACCTCTTCAACTTGAGGTTAGATATAACCAATGTACATATTTTCCTCACGCACGTTCATACTTATCCGCCAACGAGTGGGTACAATGGATTGCAGAGGTAAGTGAAACAGTGGAGCATTCCCACATCTTACCAATGTGCCAATATCTTGGTGTTTACTCGACCTTTGTAAACTCAAGATATCACGTGTGGGCAGGGGGTGCATGACTGACATCTGATCAGCGGCTTTGTAAGATGACGAACGGACCGGCTGCAGATGAAGGATGCCGCGGTTTCGCTTACCTTGAACTCCAAAGTCAATTGCCCAGATATCTTGCATATTGAACAACTGCCGCAAAAAGTTTGTTGGTCAGCAGAAGAAGGTATCCCGCTTGACTGTCAAGACTCAATACTCAGCAGTGAGGTCTAGGTTTCCACGAGCCGTACCGACAGTTCGGTAAGGGAGCCGAAGAGCCAGGGATCCCGCCATGCCTGGTGTCGATCGCGGATGATGGTTAGCGCTCAGACCACGTGGGTTGCTGGCCTGGCTGGGCTCTCAGCCTTCTTTGCCACAACATCAAAGTTCAGATCACGATGTGGCGATACCAGCGATAACTATTTGTTGCTTTTCGGTTGACCCTGTAACTTCGCGGGAGTGTATGCACAACTCAAGATATTTTCACTTGACGACGTTACTAAATTCGAAACTGTCAATATCTTCGCCCATGTTCTTCCGTTCTATTGGGTTGGAGGTTTCACTATAGAAAACATTACCGCCATGATATCGGAACTTCTTCAAATCTGCAGGATACGAAGAGACTACTCCGCAAACGACTAGCAGATAAGCAGGCATTTCAGTCTAAGCCTTCTAAATTGCCGGGAATTACCGTCTTCGCCTTCTTTATAGGTTCCTTCTCCCTGGACTTTAATTTTTCTACACTCTCCTAAGAAATCGTGCAATAAACACTCCTGTCTTCACTTTTCATTCCATTTTCCCTCGAAACTACTGCGCGGTCTCGCGCCACTACCCATAGGACCTATCCAATGCTGTTTCTCGCTCCATAACATCACGGTAAGCTAGAGTAGCTTGCGAAGATCTGGCACACAACCCCGGACTGTGCCACTGTGCCACTGTGCCACTACAATTGGTCTCTAGGTCGTAGGCTGCGTCTATTAGAGCTGTACTCTGCAACTACTAGCCTTCCCGTGCCGTGCGTCATGAAGAGCACCAGAATCGACCTTATATGTACTGATTATAGTAAACCTTCAATAAGGGACCACCGGGAAAGCCAGACTACATTAATGTATCATCAAATTGGCGTGTTGTGGGATCGAACATCCCCGTGGGAAGTTAGACATCGACATCGAGGAAGGGCCTGGACAGCTTGAGGATTCGGACGATGTTCGGAGATCAGATGGGAGATTCATGTTTTTAAAGTATGTGTAGGAGTGAGGGGAGGGTTTTGTACTTGCGATATTTGTGATTATATTTGATGGCATGCTCCATGCTGGAAAGAGATAGGATGGTGTTGCATCACGTGAGCTGTTTGCCTTTAGCTTGCTACTTGGTCACTTTTTCTTTATTCCACTTTCATGCCGACTATCTTGAACTGGGCCAATTTCTAGGAAGCTCTTGTATTACGTCGTTATAGGTCTATTTTATGGCACTGTACGAATACCGTCAATCCTGGTCCTCGTAATATAATGCTCACGGTAAATCAATATGAAAATCAAAACGTCGATAGTGACATGAGTTACCTAGGTATTTTCCTACATGAAAATTATGTCCTCTCCTGATGGATGTGGCTCTAAGTCTAGCCGGAAAATCCCGTTTAGTGTTTCTTCACAATTGCATAAATGGAGAGTGGTTGACGTTGCATGGTCCAATCACGAATGAATGTACGCCAAGAACGATGTTTGAGAAGAAAGAAAGCTTCAGCTTGTTGCCTCAGACCAGAAGTATCGCCCATTTCACGTAAGATGAGAGCATTTTGCTCGTCTGAAACCTCACACCTCATCTCTTTGCGATTCATACTCTAAGGCGTCTTGCACAAACGTGGGCATCCATATTTAATGCCGATTGAGGCCCGTGCATCGGTCTTAACGCATATCGCGACTTTGATTGCCGTCATGACTTCAGACCTCTGCGAACAAACACCAACATGAGACAACCACACATACCTATGACGCGTGGTGATTGCTAACCACCAGATATATACAACCTCACAGATGGACGAACCTTCAAAGCCTGAGGACCCAGCGTCCCAGGGATCACCTGCAACATCTACGTCCCAAGCGGAGGCAACGCTGCAGTCTAGCGATAGCGTTGGCACGAAAGACTTCGCCGCTGAGAGCAACACCGTTGATAGGAATGAGCTTTCTACTGCGACTAGTGAGCAAGAGCAATCATCGAGAGAAGGCACCCCTCCACCACTACCTCCACGACCGAAAAACCTCCAGCTCCTGGACGGCCGACCCCGAACGTCCGGGTCCCTAAAAGTCTCAAGACCCTCCCTACAATCGAAAGCAACGACACAGCTCTCCTTTGCAGATACGAAGTCATACAGCGACGAGTCAAGGGACACAATCTCTCCAAATGCAGGGACGCAAAAGAGCTTTACGAATCTGGGAAAGGACCGTATCGGAAGCGACGCAGACGATAGCTTAAGCATCAAGAGCTTTGCGCCTACGCTAGACATAGGGCTCGACGCAGAAAGTCTGCTCGGTGAGGTTCTGGGAGACCAAGAGAAGGATGTTATAAAAGTACTGGGCAAACCATTCGACGGCATGAGCGGACATTCAGACATCCTCTTCTCAGAAGACCCGCAATTCGCGAAAGCCTTTGAGCACGAGTTTGACGAAATCGATGACATGGCGGCGGATGGCTCAAATGAAGGTCAGAGGATCTTCCGGTTGTTAGAGGCGCTTGCTGATTTCTTTTCTCTCTATAGAAGCTATAGTCAATCAATGGAGATCAAAGTTGAAGCATTTCCTCATCTTGTCTTCCGCTGGGAAACCCATTTACAGTCGACACGGCGACGACCAGCTGATTACAAATTACACTGGAGTGGTGCAGACCCTCATATCCTTCTACCAAGGAATGAGTGACAACCTCAAGAGCTTCACGGCTGGCGACGCCCAGTTCGTGGTTATGTCCAGAGGTCCTCTCAACCTGATTGCTATCACGAAATTGGTCGAGAGCGAGGCCCAACTGCGGTCACAACTTGACGCGTTGTACATGCAAATTCTTTCAACCTTGACTCTGCCGAGCATGGAGCGCATGTTTGCGAATAGAGCGAATTATGACCTCCGCAGACCACTGCAAGGCACTGAAACACTACTCTCAGCTCTTGCGGACGGATTTACTCGGGGCTCTCCCTCAACTCTCCTATCGGCTTTAGAGTGTCTCAAACTACGGAAATCTCACCGCCAAGTCATCAACAATACACTACTCAAGGCCCGAAGCGAGAATCTCCTGTATGGGCTCATAGTCGCTGGCGGCAAACTAGTCAGTGTCGTACGGCCGAAGAAACACTCTCTACACCCAGGTGACCTCCACTTAATCTTCAACATGCTCTTCGAAGCAGGCAGCGTCAAAGCGGGTGGTGGCGAGAACTGGATACCGTTATGTCTTCCAGGCTTCAATAACACTGGCTTCCTGTACATGTATGTCAGCTTTCTGAATCTGGATAATCCCACCGAGCAAGTCGAGGAACGCCCCGCGTCGTCGCACGACGCGAAGGACGAGGTAGCCATCCTCTTGATTAGCGCCAACAAGGAAGGCTTCTTCGAGCTGCGCCAGATGCGCGATGACCTGGTCGAGGTGAGTTGCGATATCCCCGCTTAAATCCGGCGCGCGAGATTTACTGAATCGCATTACACGGCAGCAATTACAGAAGAATGGCAGTATTGAATTGATTCGTACTGCTGTAAAGAAAGGGCGCATGTCTTGCACGGACATTGTGCCTGGGTCGCCCTTGCGCCACTTTCTGTACAAGTCGCGTGGTAATGTGCAATTCACTATGCCGTCTTTCGAGCCTCATTTCACTAGCGATCTGGATTGCCGGCGGTATGTATTCCCGTTTCTAACATCGGCGTTCAAATTAATTTCACGTGCTGATGTTCTCCAGACTGTTGAATTTGTATCATAATCTACACGGCAACATTCACACCCGTCCGACCCATCCAAAGGTCCATCATGCTACATCGACCACCAATATCAGCCTCGCTTGGATGACTCCATTGTTCGAGCTGTACTGCGTAGCTCCCATCACGACTTCACGGACTGCACTAGCGCAAGCTGCCAACAAGATCATTCAATGGGTTCGCAGAGAAGAAGAGCGTGTTTTCATCATTGGCGGTGCTGTATTCTGAGCTCCGTACGCTACGCTAAAGAACATATGAAAGGGTATCGTCGCCCATGCTTCGCCAAGCTGCATATGAAAAGGACAGTATCGTCCGCCAAAAGCCAAAAGCTAAAAGCCGTATCCACGGGTATCGTCGTGCATTCATTAATCCATAAAAACCTTCGTCCTCGCAATCATATCCCAACGCGACATTCATCCGCGCCTAAAGAGGCTCATCACCAAGGAACCCCCGCTCCTTCTCGTCCTTGAAGATATCGTACTCGTACGCCGTCTTCTTCTCCACCTTCGCCTCATCCGCAGGCTTACCAAACTCGTCATATCCAAGTTCCTTCTCCGCTGCCAGCATCTCTTCCACCGACACCGCTCTCCCCTGTCTCTTCGGTACAGAGATCACATGCTCCGGCGCCACACCCTCATCATACTCATCCATATCAGCCAGGTACCACGTGAGCTCGCTCTCCCTCCGCCACCTCGCCTTCTGCGAGAGCGACCTCTCGCGCGCCTTCACCTTTGCCGCCTTGTAGTCGACATTCTGGAACCTCGCTGGCGCCTCGTGCTCGGTCTGCGGCCAAGACGAGCATCGCACTTTCTGGATCGACTCGTAGAACTTGGCGGTCCGTGGGGTCAGGTCTCGCCGCGCTTGCTCGCGCTCGACGTCTTTGGTGTAGTCGCGCGCCACGGAGAAGCCGGTCGCCGTCTTGGTGATGGAGATGTGGAAAGCGTCCGGGTCGTTGAGGGCGCAGGCCTTGAGCTGTGCGAGCTGGGCTGCGCGTCGGCCGGCCTTGACGCTGCCGGGGCTTTTGGTCGCGCTGGAGTCGGTGTCGGAGTCGGCTTGGCACAGTGGGCAGGTCGGCATGCGGCAGACGCAGGGGAAGCTGGGGCGGCGTGGTGCGGTGCTGATGCTTGTGCGGGGCGTCGTGGTCGTCGACTCGGCGTCGCTGGTGGACGGATTTGTGGTTGCGGGTTGAGAGGGTGAGGGGTCTTGCGATACTACGCTGGAGCGCTTGGAGGTGCTGGAGGGAAAGATGGGAGAGAGGCGGCGGCGGCGGCGGAAGGAGAAGTGCTTGTCGAACAGGTTGTGGGTGTCTTTGCGGGTCAAGACGTCGTCGGTATCGAGAGTCGAGTCATGGTGAATGGAGTGTGCGTGTTCTTCGACTGCAGCAAAGGTCTCGTCTCTGCCCGTCTTGTCTATCGACTGTGCCATCGACTTCGTTGCCGTCTTCATGTTCTCGAGCCATGAGGTCAGTCGGGAGCGACGCATGTTGGCGGTGTCGCTGAATCGAGAGCGTAGAGTAGTCAAGGTCTCTCTCGTCAAGGTATCAAAGCGCATTCAAGCAGTCGTGGTTGTGTCGAGTGTGTGAGCGCAAGTGTGGTGAGTGTGAGAGAGAAGAAACTGTCGAGGTGAATCACATTTTCAAACTTTTCTATTGTGTGCTCTCTCAACCGCGTCACGCTCCTATTGTTCCCACGGTTTCACTCTGCCACCGCACCCAACATTTCACTTCACCCACGATTCCCAACCACAACGCCGTCACCAACCTGTCATGCACCGCCGCTTATACCCGAGCCATCCAACCAAACCCCGTCGTGCAACACAGTACTAGACTATACACCACCTCGCGAAGCCGAGTATCAGATCGGGGCTCCACCAAACCCCAAGATCCCCCCGTCCCCCACAAAAACCTTAGTAACCCCCGTGCGTGCCCGCCCAACCACACGCCGCCGTAGCTACCGTAGCGCCCGATCTCCCACGTGCGGCTCTCGCTCACGCCCGTACCGCACGACTCACTAGCCTCCACGGGGTCTAGAACCCCCCTCCCATAACTACGGGACGCTAGCATTAGCGCCTAAACGGCTCATGCAATAACGGCGTGGCCGACGCGAGCCGGCCCGCGGGTTTTGTGGGGAAGGAGGAATGGGGCGCGTGTGTGAGTGGTGCGGGGAGATGTAGGGGCGCGTGGTGTGGCGCGAGTCATGTACGTAGAGTGCGTGGCAGGTGAGATCTTGGGAGAGGGTGGAGGGGCCGAGGATCGTGGCGCGAGAGGGGTGGGGTGTGGGGCATGGGGATTGGGATTGGGGGTGTTGGGACACGTGTTGAGGCTGGGCGGGTGGGCAGTGTCATGGGGTTGGATGCGAACGTGGTATTTCTCGTTTAGAAGGGGAAGTGAGTCACTGGAATGGTGAGCGTGGGGACGAGGCGTCGGTGTAGGCGATTTCGAGACAGCTTGTTGAAAGTATACTGATTCTTGATTTACAGCTGCAGTCTCTATCTACTGCCAAGTATTGATTCCACCTGCTAAGCTAAATATACATGCTGTGTAAGGCGGAGCCAGGATACATGGGAAGAGGATGTTGCGGTATGGTAGAAGTAGTAGGCTTTAAGCCAGATAATAAAGCGGTATACTGCGATGCTTCTCGAAAGGCGAATGGATTCCCAGAGGAACATTGATGAAGAACAGAAAGTGGAAAGAAAAGCAGGAAGGGGGAAGCCGACGCATAAACGCTGCTGACAGCTAAACAGACAAGAAGAACCATCTCATGCCACCAAGCATATCTCTTCGGCATATTCGATGTCGGTGTAGTGGCGCGCTCTCGCCGTCCAGGCCGCATACCTCAGTTGTAGTAAAGTCGAATCGAATGGTTTCAATCCTCATCGTCGCCTTCATGAACTTAAGTGCCAGGATAGACCTCGCTAGGCTGCATATAGTCGCTCCGGTCGATCATCGATGTCGAGTTGCTCCTGATGCTCAGACTCCGGAGCAGGTCTCCACTCTTGAACCACATGGTCTTGATCCTCTCAACCACCTTTCTCGCGCGGAACTCGATTTTTGACATGCCTACGGTACCGTCAAATGTGTGCAGTGAGCTCTCTTCACTGTCCGACCCACTGTGTGAGCCACTGGGTCCTACATCTGCGTCAGGCAAGCTGCGAGTTCCGATAGCCGAGTGTGAGCGCGTAGCTAAAGGCTTCTTGCTTCTGAGGTGCGTCAGGCGCTTGCGGAAGATGCCAAGGTGATTGCGATGGGAGCTGTCGTCTGAGAAGAAGCTGTTGACTTCATCGACATTGAATGCGGACGGGGGCGTGAGGCCGGTGGTCGGGTAGCGGTCACCAGGATCGACGCTGCGGTCATCGTTTCGCAGACTGTCTGGGCCCGTTGGGTAGCCATTGTTGTCAAAGAGTCCCATGCGGCGAGAAATAGAGCCTCCGACGCTCTGCTTGCTAAACTTACGTGCGTGGCGGAACGGGTCTTCGCAGGTCGTATCTTCGACGGCTGATATTGCGGGCGCTTCTTCTGTTTCAGAGTCGGAGTGAGTCTGATCAGAACACTCTGACATGCGTCTAAGTCTTGAAGGTCCTGGACGGGCAGCTTCTCGGGCTGGGGTAGGAGATGGCAAACTGATATCAATGGGAGCAATCGTGTCTGCCCAGGGGTAGTTCTTGTCGAGGTTCCAAGGACGTGTTTCGGTCGGAGAGCTGACAAGTGAGCGGAGCGAGCGACGTCTAAGCGTCGACTCGAAAGACGCCCTAAAATCATCGAAGCCACCCAATGAAAGCGAGCGTGTTCGAAGCAAAACAGGCATTGGTGCCTCGAGTTCGGCCAAAGGAGTCTTCGATTTGCGGTGACTAGATGTCTTGGAGTGAATAGACCCGCTGCTACTTCCAGCTTGTTCGTCGGCTTCCACAAGATGTTCTTTCGGTGCTTCTTTGGCTGCTAGCTTCTCGTATAGGCCGTCTTCCATGACGAGCAGTTGCTGGTGTCCGGGCACTGGACGAAGCCTTGCCGATGAGCGTACAGTGTTGAGTGGCGGGACATCGAGGCCGACTTCGTTCAACTCCTCCAATGCATGCTCGATGACGGGATTTTCACTATGGGGCCCTTGGTCATCTCCTTGATAGTAGCGCTTGAGGGATGGCAAGAATTCCGACAAACGTTGCGTGAGTCCACCGAGGGTAGGAATCGTCAGGTTGTCAATCTCAGCAATGAATTCTTCATTTGAGAGCTGCTGATGCGAACTCTCGAAAACCAGATTGGATTGCTGGGAGACCACGAAGTCGAAAATAGGTGTGTCGGGCTGGATGTCTTCAGACTTCATGTATTCGTCCAGGCCTCCGAACAAACTTTTGTACTTCTCTCGAATTTCGCCAGAGCAATGCGACTCTCCAAGAGGAGAGATGAATAGCTCACGATACTCCTCTGCATAGTCCATCGATTTAGACGCACCGGCACCTACGTCGAGAGCCTCATTCAGTTTCGCGAACAAATCCATCTGACTGAAGTTTAAGGAAGGGAGATTGCGAGTCCGAGCCAGGCCTCCTTTGTGGAACGAGTTGATCGACGGATGCTTCAGGACACGGCACTCATCCATTGACGCTCTCATACTAGGACGGCGGCCAAGTGGGTATTTGAGAGCGGAGGATTTCATGTTACTGGCGCTGGTATTGACACTCGAGTCTTCATGAAGGTCTTCCTTGACATCAGGAAGATAAGCGGCTGGGTACCGGAACGCGGATAGCCTTAGGTCGGTGGTGGAATCGTCTTCACTGCGCCGATGACCCGCACTTGCATGAAGGGCCTCAATTGGAATAGGGAATTGGGTCTTGCGGGCATTCCAGACTAAGTGGGTTGTCGTGTTGCTGTCCCGGTAGGAGTTGTCGTTAGAAGTCGGATATCTCGCCGAGTGCTGTTGTGGGCCCTCGGAAAATGTTGGTGTTGGAGGGTCGGTAACATAGACCGAAGGGCTATCAAAAGGCGTGTGGCGCTCGCGAGCAGAAATGTTGGGGGCTGGTATGTTGTCCGGCTCCTGGATTTGCGTTTTGAGGCTTGCTGCCTGCTCTTCATCAACGGACTCGCAATGGGCCATTTCCCCCTTGGCTAGTGACTTCAGTCTGGAATGGTGCTTCTTGAGACTATCGATCGAAAGCATAGACTGTCCTCCAGTAGACTTCTTGAGGTGGGTATGTACGTTGTGAAAGGATTCCGCTCTGCTAACTCTCCTCTCCATAACAAGGTCCTGAGATAGAGAATGGGATCGGGAGTGTCTGATCTCCGACGATGGATTTCGCAGAGTCGGTCCCACTCCAGTTGACTTCTTCTGTAGCAACTCTTCCTTGGTAATCGAATCTATTTTTACAGATCGACGAGACTCGGGTGCTTCTTCCTCAACTAGGGACACCACCCTGGAAGCTCTCTTCTCGGAGGCTTGGTCCTTCTCGGAGCCATCCATTTTGCTGTCCTTCTTTTCAACAGAATCTACCTTTGCAGAGTGCCGAATAAACATCCTTGGTCTCGAGAGACGCATGAGGAAATCTGCAACAGCCTGGCTTCGTTGAGCTTCCTTGGAGGAGCTTGATTCGCGTAACGGAATGACAGAAGGAAGCTGAGGAACGTTGTCCACCGAAGGGGTAGTGAAGACCGTGGTGGAGCTCGGCCTCGAGCTTAATCTTGAAGTTGCTTTCTCGAAGGGCTTGGCGCCCATTACTGGCACCGAGGACGTTCCCCTGTCAGGAGTGATATTGTCTTTTGCCGTCTTGAAAGACTTGCCGTCTGAGTCCTTGCTGGGTTTTGGGTCGGACTCTTTGCATGACTTGAAAGATTTGGCATCGGAGAACTTGGAAGAGTGGCGGTTTTTGACAGACGGGCGCTTGTCAGCATGATCCTCTAAGTTGTCTTCCGGGTTGCTCTCAGCATTGCCTTGCTGTGTTAGCTCCTGATCCTCACCCATCTTAGAGTACAGGATAGCGAAGTCGATGGTAGAGTTTGGAGCGCTAGCTTCGGAATTCTTTGAAGTAGACTTAGACATCACACTCTGACTCTTCTCTTGATCGGGGAGAAACGAGATTGGCGGATCGACAGTCACCGTGCAGGACTCGTCCGGTTCCTCCACATCGTGGATGGATGGTATATCGAGAGGCTTGGCCACAGCTGGCAGCGTGGTCATGTCATCCGTCGTAGATCCAGGCTCAAGTGCCGCAAGAACCTTATGCCTGGTGATTCGTTTTGCAACGGGAGATGCAGGAAGCTCAACCAAGCCGATTTCTGGTGGCTCCACAGATTGTTTGACTTTCTGGGCATCCACATTCGACTGCGTATTTGTGGTATCATTTGCCCCTCGTTCCTCCAAGATTGTCTTGATTCGATGGACGAAGCCCATTGGAATGGCTTCGGGTTCTGGCTCGCACAGCGCATCTCGGTCGAACTGCTCACTATAGTCGTAGTACAGAGGCGCCCGAGAGATTTCTGCTTTCACCGACTCTTGGAGTTGATTGACTAGGACTGAAGTGTTAGTAGGGCTGAGTAGAACCTCCATGGACGAACCATCCTTGGGCGTGGGCGGAAAGGATGATGGGGAGTCCGAAGAGGGTGCTTCTGAGTCAGTGTGTTGATTTGTTGACCGGCTGGAGTTCGATCCTAAAGCGGGAGTCCGGACCCGACGAACTTGCTCGATGAAGAGCGGAGCGTTCCCTGAGGATGAAGCATTCGACCTGCTTCGTGCTCGATAATGCGGCACGCGATTTCGATCATCAGAGCGATTCGACTGAATTGATGGGTTCCGTTTTCGTGGTGCATATGGATGGCCATGTACTCGCCTTGGATGAATGCCGGTTACGTCGCTCAGCGCAGGTGAGCCTGGACGATAGGCAGGTTGTCGAAGCCGGGTCGGGTATCTGTACGGTGATCGAGGTCGGAGAGCAGAGTCATGGTTCCTCAAACTTGTGTATGATCGATGACTTGACAATGCGTAAGAAGGCTTAGAGGCGTGTGTCAAAGAGAACGATCGTCCATCTCTAGATAGTCTAGAATGGGGGACGAGAGGTGAGACACCCGGAATGTTCATCAAAGTTGGCGACAGGGTGTCAGGTAGGAACTGTGGGATGTTGGTGTCCGTGGTCAAGGAGCCCCGAGGGTTCGAGGACCCAGAGGGCCAGGCATTGTGACTCGGAGTTCGTTTTGACCCTCGTGAGTGGGAAGAACCCGTTGACATGCGTGAGGTTGCTCCACTCCGTCGTTGTTGCCTAGGCATCGATGGCAGGTGAGATGAATCGAACGTTAGAGTCCCGATGTCTCCGAGTTCTGTTGAAGTTCTGAGCATGCTCATAACGCCGGGAGCAGCAGACAAGAGGTCGGATCTGGCAATGTTGACCTTCTGATAGCCTCTGGAACTCGCAGACAGGTTGGACGCGCGACTGTTTCGGCCGCTGATGTTCGGATCCCGCTCCGTGAGAGGCATCGTGCCGCCTTTGTAGCTTGAGTGCCGCAAGGGCAAGAAAAGGCGGAAGACGAGCTGGAATGGTGCAGGCTGGGGAAAGATGAAGAGTGGGCGTTGACGATGAGGAAGCCAAATGGAAGGAAAGAAAACAAATGCGAGGGGAAGTGATGCTGCCTTCCAACGTTTCCAAAAACAGAGTGGGAGGAGAGCCCCGGCCTTTGCAGGCTTTTGGAAGGGTTGGTGAGCAAGAGTGAGGAAGAGGTGCTGGAAAGTCAAGAGGAATGAAGCGCCGGAGAAGGCGTCGTTGCGTGCTGCGAAATCGCTCGTCAATCAACTAGCAGGAGCGACGCATCGAGTCCAGGAATCAATACGCTGGGGAACGTTGGAATCCTACCATCATGCACATCTACGCGCTCAAAGTACGACGAGCGGAAGATTAGTTCATCGACCGAAAACACTGAGTACTCTAGGGGCTCTTCACAGCTACAAGATCAAGTAGAATCCGAAGGTTCAATTCAGCACGTGCAGGAATTGGCATTTAGGGCGCAAGCTAACTTACTCCAGGAGACCTTCCACCTGTCACCCGAGTCAGGAAGCGATGACAGTGGATGTGTAGTCTTAGAACGGTAATGTCTCTGCATGAAGACTACAGCTAGACCGATAGACCAACGGGAGGCATTTTACGTACAGTTTCGGATCGCTCAAAGCATGCGACATACAAAGCCGCGCAGCGTTTTATTTTGGGGTTTGGTCGCCACCAGCACCGAATTAATCATCAACTCATCCATGTCCATTACACTGAAAGGAAAAGCAAGTCGTATTACACAGCAAACAACAGGGTGCCACCCATTATACAACCTTTAGGAGTAGTGCCAACGATTGGGGGTATATAACAAAATATGACAGGATGAGATTCCTGGAAAAGTCCGCCAGAAAATCGAAGAAGAATTTAATCAAATCGTAACTTTTGTTGAGCGCCTTCACTCTTTGATCACTCCTACGGTGTTCGACGCTTTCTTGCGTGTAAAAAAATTCTTTAGCGACGATAGACTGGGCTTCTTGAGCATTCGGCGTGCGCTCCGACTGCTAAGCTGCGACTGAGACCGTTCCTCTTGAAGAAGTGGCCTTGTGTACAGTGGCAGGGTGAGACCTGAGGCGTTGCTATGACCTCCAGGGGCAAATTTCGGCGTTGGTGGGGCACTGCTTGGGAACAGACCGAGAGTTACTCGACGTTGGGATATTGGAGTGGGAGATGCTATAGAAGGGATTATTGCTGGAGATGCGAACGACCCCGATACCGAGGAGTAAGCTGAGTCTTGCGCAGTGAGAGGTGGGCTTGTGTCTCTGTTCCCGAGTCTGTTCTTCATAGTGCTTGTGTCCGATGGTGAGAAATCGACAGTTCCGTTCTTCTCGGGCTCAGAGTATTTCCCTTTCCCGGTGTGACGTGACCTCCCTCTTTCGATGGACTTGTCGTCTCCAGGTTCGAGTGGATCGGAGATATTTCCAGACAAAAGTGTCTTGTCATCCAGTTTCGACGTTCGTTTCTTGTCTTGTACATGTGTCCTAGAGTCCTTTGCAGACTCGATTGGTTTATGCTGCCGCTCTACCAAAGCTAGATCTGGTGTGGATCCACTTCTGCCGGCAGCCTGCTGTACCTCTCCTGTCAACGATGATTGACGCTTCTCTGGGTAATTGTAGTGGCCACTTGCGGAGGCACTTCTGGGCGGGGATAAGCTGCCCTTGGAATATTGATCTTTCGGAACGGTTGGTAGAGGCTTGTTGTCGGCGAAGTTCTTGAAAGAGCGAACACCGTCCTTGGAACTCGAATTGCGGGATGATGATCTGCTTGCAATCTGATCTTTTTGTCAGTGACCAAAAGTTCTTTCCAAACCGAAGGAAGATAAGGACTCACTAGGCTTCTCCTACTGGCAGCACCGCAACGCTTCTCGATCTCGTTGCAGTAGCTGCCTACACGAACCAGCACTAGTCCCAACTTTTCCGTTTTCGAGATGAGATTCTGCACATACTGAGACCATCCTAGGGCATTTCCACACATCGCTGAATAGATGCGCCCAACATCGTCGTTCTCGTCCGTCCACTCGTCTCCAATATTTTCCAAATAAGTGTCCAACTCGTTGTTGGCGTCCTTGAGCGTTTGTAGATCAACAAGGTAGTCATTCATCACCTGCGACATGCGCTGTATGGTGCGCTCGATCGTGATGTTCCCGTCCAGAAGCTGCGCTCGATATTGGCGATCCTCGAGGAGGCGGTCAAACTCGCTGACATGTTCCATGGGCACCTGGAGGCAATTGCACCGGAACAACATATCCTTGAGCCCGCTCTCCATATCCTCGTTGGCGCGTTGAAGAAAGGTGTCCAGCTCGTGGACATGTTTCTGCAAAATGTCGGCCACGTCCGACACCGACTTCTCCAGATGTTGGTGGAGCAGGTGCACGCCGAACGCTACCTGGGCGACAGTTTTTCGTAGGGGATGGAATTTGGCTCGTGGGTTGTCTCGCCAGTAGCAGTTGTAGGTGAAGTTCCACTCGCTTTCTAGGGCCTTTGAGCTGGCTTTACACAGCACCTGGTGTCGCAACTCGGCGTTTTGGGCAGGACTTTGGAAGGGTGAAGAGGGCGAGTCCCCCGTTGCGTCGAGCATGGACTCCTCAAAGGGGCCCTGCATCGACTCCAGGGGGTGTATTGGGACCGGGAATAGGGACGAGGCTTGGTCGGCTTGGTCGCTGTCATCGGTGAGAAGGGAAGAAATGGAGGGCTCGTGGTGTTTATGGGCGCGCTCGTTTGGCGGGCCAGGGGCCATGGCGGGACGTGGAGGGCCGCAGAATGGCTAATAGGGACTTTAAGGACAGGACGGGTGGGCGAGGCGTGCTATGCGAGCTATGCGTGCTGGAGGGGATATAATATGGTGGTCTACGGCGCTCTTGGAAGGACAGGACGTGGGCACTGTGGCCGGCGGGTAAAGAGGGAACGACAGGGGCTCGCTGGCCGCAGAAGCCGGAGCAAGTCAGAAACAGGGTGCGCGAGGTACAGGCCGGGTCTGCATGTTGCAGCTGCACAGATGACGGCTGGAGGATTCGGCCCGCGAGAGAGGGTGTCGAGTGGTGCGGTGTGGAGAGAGGCAAGGCTGCGCGGTGCTGAGGCCCTGGGGCGGCGGCCGGCCAGGCGAGCGTGTCGATGGCGGCGAGTGCAGCGCGGCGGCAGCAGCCAGCGCTTTGGGGGCGCCTGAGTGGAGGATCGCTGCTGGGGCAGCGGAGGACGAGGACTGCGGAAGATTTGGAGGCCCAATTGGTTGCATGAAGGGGCCCTGAGAGGCCGCTAGGGGTGTCTGGCGCGCAGAACTGCCCAGGTGCTCTCCCGATGCCCCAGAATCAGCTTGGCCGTTGCTGGACGGGCCGCACGCTTCCCGCATCGACTAGCCTCACCACCAGTCTCCACCGTTTCCTCCTCGCCCGCAAACGATACGGCAGCGGAGTGTCCCTGGTGTGCGCCGCGCCCGTTGTGCGACCCTCCATCTTCCCACGCCCAGCCTGACGCCACCAACCTCCTCGCAGGCACCCCAGGCCGCCCAATTCGTCGCGAGCGCGGCTGCTTCTGAGCTCCATTCTCCGGCAGCCATCCCGAGCCGTGCCTCCACACGCCCCTCCGCGGACGCAGCGCCTCCAACGCGACGCGCACAAACAAACCCATCGATGCCGTCGCCAGATCCAGTGACGGACTCGTCACACACCACGCCCTTCTCCACACCGCTGCCCTCGCAGGACGACCAATTGCTCTCGCCGCTGTCCACTGCCGCCGCGACGGGGCTGGATCCGCTGGTTGAAGATGCTGCGAAGAAGCTTGCGGCCGTGATCAACAGCTTCAAGCGCGAGCTCGACGAGCGCGACGGCCTCTCCGCAGCGGCTCTGGGTGCCATTGAGATCGTGGTGGATAGCGACCCTCACCGTAGTTACAAGCTGTCAGTTGTGCACGACGTCGAGGGCGAAGAACACCCCATCTCCGTCAGAGTAACCCACAAAAAGGACCCTCCGACACCAAATGGCCAGCCAATCGCCAAAAGTTCTGCTCTTCTTCCGCCAACCCCTTCCTACAAACCAACACGCCGCAGCTCCGATGCAGCGCTTGAGCAGGACATACTCCCGAGGCGCAAGCGCAAGGCAGCTGACGACGACCTTGTCGATGGCGTGTCCCTCGAGAGCAAGCGGATACGCATGGGTGACGAGGACGAAGATATCATGCCATTGATTTCCAAGGAAGACCTGGAGGATCTGCTAGCGAAGCAGAGGGAGGACATACAGGAGGACACCGCCGACTGCATAAATCACGTCCAGCGACTATTACGAAAGTGGCGGGAGCAGTGGCACGAGAAGAGCAGTTGGGAATACGACACCTTGACGAAGCTTGAGCATGGAGGTGGGGCTGGCGATAAAAGTGCCGTTGATGGTACTAGATCAGGGACCAGGCCATCTGTCTCAGATGTGTTTGCTGTCCCCACTCCACAAAAGGATCCAATTTCCGGAATTGTGAACATACCTGATCTTGTGAGAAAGGAAGCCAAGCAGCTCTCCAACCAGATACGCTGGGTTGAACAGTGCAGAAGAATTGCCTCCGAGGCCCACGACGCGCGAGAAGAGACATGGCGCATGAGCTCGGCCTCGTTCCACGACAAGAATCGCCAGAGCCGGGAAAGCTTTGAGCAAAGGATGCTCAACGAAAGCGCCATTCAAGGCACTATGCTGAGCCAGATTCTGAGCGAAGTCAAAGGCCTAGCTAGCGTCGCATTCAGTCTGAAGTGGGAGACACCGAGTCAATATTCCGCACCAGTACCGTCACAATCTCGACCAGGACACGGCTCGACGCCGACTCAACGCCCTCCTCAAGCACCACCACAGCATGCCGGACGTCGTCCATAGAATTACTAACTCGAAGAAATATTTACGACTGCGATGTCCCTTAGCCCGCTGAATGGATCCTACATTATCGATAGGGCTGTGGCCAACAAGAGGCTATAATTCCTGTCTTCGTGATGAGAGCTACAGTGACTCGAGGCTTTTCGAATTGCTTGTAGGTAGCTATATATACCCGGTCTCTAGAGTCGAGCTTTACTGTTCTGTTGCATCAATTTGATTTTGGGTTTAGGGATTTAGCTAAATCGACTGTTCACACGCTCTGTTGATGTCTCCTGCACTCCTCATCACGATGCTGTTGCACGGGCTGAAAATTGGCCCGAGTGGTGCACCCCAGTGGGTTAAGGGATATCCCATCTCACTGGTTTTCCAGCCGAGAAGCGTTATTTGAAGCATTTGCAAAAGCGAGCCATCTGCTAGGCAAAATGTCTGCCGGATGAAGAATTACCAACCCCGCCATCTTACCCAGACATCCACGATCTTATCCGGATCCTGTTCATCTGAATCTACGACTAAATACCACCCAGACCCAGCGCCAGCGACGCACGCATGGTTAGGCCAGACCAGGAGTTTCTGGCCAACACGGAGCTCTCTCTTATTTCGCTGGTCACCCTGCCACACAAGAATTCCGTGCTCTTGACTTATCCTTCCAATAATCCATCCAGTTCGGCTTGTTTCGTCGTAAACAGGCGACGCTTTTTGGCCGACTGATTGCCTATGATCATTTCTCACCGTGCTATCCTCCCAAGGCGTCACGATCCCCCAGCCTGGGTAGCTCTTGCATGGTTCCCTTCCCAATGCCAGCGTACCAGCCCCGATTAATGCCTCTGGGGTCCCTCGATCGTCGTAAAGGCTTGCTACCTCGACGAGCATACGGAGCCCAATATTTTCTACGGATAGCGGTGCAACGGAGGTGGAGTCCGCGCCAAGATCACGGGGTACCTCATTTGGGCGTGCGTGCGTTGCGAGCTGTTGGAGATCTAGCAGCGGGTAGACGCCAGCATGCAATTCGAGATGGCACGTTGCGCCCACTTCCTCGATCACTTTGCGAACTTCATCGGCTGTAGGGTCGCTCTTCATCAATATGTTTTGGACTGCCGTCGCAGTTGGTGTCGTCCCAACTGAAATAGTCAACATTTTCTGCGTTTCTAGTCCCTTACAGACTAAATCTACCGCATCTTTGGTAGACCTAATCTCATGGATCAGTCCCCCGATCGCTTCAGCAGCCGAGTTTCCGCCGTAACTATGGCCCAGATGGCTATAGAAACCACTCAAGACGAGAGAGCGGTCCAGCAGAATCCTGTCCACGATGGTTTTCAGGGTTGCACTCTCTGGTGCAACACCCGAGCGGTGATATCCAGTATCAACCTTGATGAAAGCTCCAATTCTGATGTCAGGTTCTTTGATGAAAGCTTGCTCGAAATGCTCCACTTGGTCCGGATGATCGATGAGGACGTTGATGGCCAGAGGTTCCAGCTTTTTGGCAAGATTGATCAACCGTTGCACATTTGATGGGGGCAGTGGCATTCCATAGAGCACCTAAAAGTAATTAATCAGATTTCTTCTGGAGGAGCCATTACAAGGACATTTTGCTCACGCTACAACTTCTTCCCTCCGCTTGCAATTCTAGAAGAAGGGGCAACAGTTGCTCGAGCTCCATGACGGTCGACACAATGAATGAAGCAAGCCCTGTGGCTCCCACCTGAAGCCGAGACAGCTCAATTGTCTGTGGTCACAAGAATTAGCGCTGCTACTAGTGCATACGCAACGAGACTGAAAATCCGACTACTGTCGCTAATTTATAGCAAAAGCTCTAAGTGGGTTATAGATACCTTGTGAGTCTTAATGTGTGCTCGGAAGCCCACATTCAGCCTCTTCGCAACTTCAAGCATCGCTTTGCAATTCCGCTTCGCGACGGCGCGATCAATGATCGCTGCCGGTGCGGCCACTTCGCTGATGCTCCTTCCAACATATTGGTTTTTCAGGCCCGCATCGGACGGGAGTGGGTAGTGAAGCAGCGCTGACGAGTCCATTCTTCCTATGAATCATGTCGTTGGAACTAGAGGTTAATGGCGTAGATTTAACTGTGACTCCCACATGTTGACGTTGAGAAAAGACTCGCGCAGATCGGTCCGTGATCGGTCTTGGCACATGGAGATCCCACCGAGCCCCATGCTTGTTTCAGCCCTATGTTATCTGTGGCTGAGCTTCCTGCCCCCTTTGCTTTTGACTGCTGAACCTCCACCACGACGTCTGCTGTCCTCGACACTTCGACCTGCTCGTCATCATGCGTCTCCTATCTCAATTCCAATATTAACAACTCCTACTACCTTCTTAGCTCGCGACAACCAGGACAGTGCTCATCCATCTCGTACCTAAGCCCCAAGCAACTTAGTTCCCGCAGCCAGCCCCGCATTCTGCAGCAACCCGCCTTGGCCTCGGAAGTATCAAAGTGGTAAAGCAATAGCATCTTCGACACGCCGTTCAAAACATCTCCTACACACTTCCATTCTATACGTGTCAAGAGTCTGCCAGCAGCCATGTCTCCCCGGCCTGGCTTTCCAATTACGCATACTTCATCGCATCGCAGTCTCTCGGAAGCTCTCCGCGCAGTGCGCTCGCGCGAAGAGCAGGAGACACTGCTAGGCGACGGGGATGAGGAGATTGCGGACCCAGATGGCTGTCTGAGGGCGTATGCGGGACCCCAGCAAGTGTTCGTGCCAGACCCACATGCTGGGTTGCCGGTCTATGTATCAATTCATCGGTATGAGACAATTCTTAGTAGTCTAATTGCGTATGAATGACAATGATACTAAAGTTCCGGAACAGGATCCGAAGAATTGTGTTGGCCAGCATTGGTGAGTGGATTGGGAAATGAATTTGGAGATGTCAAAGTGCTAACCCAGTGTAGATGACCCATACACCGTGGACCAACTCAAAGAGCCGAGAATGAATGTTTTGATCGTGAAGCCGCTTGTTGACCGTCTATATGATCCAGATGATGTCTCAATCGGTAGGACTCACCTCACCACACTGCACTAGCTATGCTGTTCAATCTCTAATCGTATACAGTGTATTGTCTGCTTGTCAATCGTGTACAGTTTCTGCGCGAGCAATCATATCAACATCATCATCAAAGTGTCAACGTCACCCGAGCGAACCTCTGCGAACTTTTAGCCATGAAGCTGCTCCGCCGATATGACGAAGACGTTACTGGACGACCCGGGCTTCTTCTACTTGCCAATATTCTGGTCGCTGGCTTTGATCCATTCCAAAACGCGCCTCATGAAGTCTGTGAAGAGGTGCCATTTGCCCGTATGTCATTGATATCGCGAGGCGGTTATGAGGGCAAGTCAAATGCACTGGAAATCTCTATCATTTCGGAGAGCAAGATGTTTCTCAGCAGTACCGCCTGCCAGAAGGTAGTGGATGCTGTTTACTATGGGCGGATTGTCTACACGCCAAATGCATTCATCGACATCATACCTGACCACTACAAGCACAAGCCAATTTCATTGTATGATCCACGGAAGGCCCCGCTCTTAAACCAGTATCGCTTGATCGTTCCAAGGTCTCGCAATATCATCGAGATTTGCCAGTTTGCAATCCTCCTGCTGCTATACTGTCTCTGCATGGCACACCGAGACCACACGCGATTCACAGGATATGAGGTTTGCTTTGTCGTCTACGCCGCAGGCTGGGTTCTCGACGAGTTTGCCTCGATGCTTGAGCATGGATGGCATGTTCACACACAGAATCTCTGGTCGTTCCTCGACATTACCTTCGTCGTCGTTTACGTCATCTATCTCGGCATGCGGTTGCATGGATGGACAGTCGGGAACATGGGGGAATGCCGCCAAGCTCTCGATATCCTCGCAATCGCTGCCCCTATCCTTCTCCCTCGTCTGGCCTTCAACCTGATGCCGGAAAGCATGCTCTTCATCTCCCTACGCGCCATGATGGCCGACTTCACCGCCCTCAGCCTCATCGCCGTCTGGTGCTTCGGCGGCTTCCTGCTCGCCATGAAGTGGCTCAGCATGGGCAACACCAGCGTCGACCCGGAAGACGCGCCAAACTCCATCACTATCTCCAAATGGATGCTCTGGATCTGGTTCGGGCTCGACGGCACCGGCATCCAAGAGTCGCCCACTTTCCATCTAATCCTTGGCCCAGCCCTAATGACCACCTACGCCTTCCTAGGCAATACCCTCTTCCTCACGATCCTCGTCGCCATCCTCTCCAATACCTTCTCCAAGATCGCCGCCGACGCAACCGCAGAGATCCAGTTCCGCCGCACCGTCCTCACCTTCGAGGGCGTCAAATCCGACGCCATCTTCGCCTACCGCCCGCCCTTCAACATCCTCGCCCTTGTCATCCTCGTGCCGCTCAAGTTCCTCATCTCCCCGCGCTGGTTCCACAAAGTCAACGTCTTCGCCGTGCGCGTGCTCAACGCGCCCATCCTCGTGCTCATCGGCCTCTACGAACGGCGCTATCTCTGGAAGAGCAAGAAAATGGGCCAGAATGGGCCGCTGAAAAAGGGCAAGGAGAGCTGGTGGAGCCTGTCGAGCTTCAATGTGCACGCAGATATCCAGGCCGTGTTTGAGAGCGAGCCGCCGCAGAGTGTGGTGGATCGGATTGAGGAGGAGGATGAGATTGAGGATGCGATTTTGGAGAATAGTTTTGCGGCGGCGAGGGAGGCGAGTCCGGCGACGCAGGTTAGGCGGAGGCGGTTTTCGAGTGTGTGGCAGGGGTGATGAGTGCTGGGAGTTTGGGATGAAGGCGGCGGTGGGGTAGTGAGGATGTCGTTGGAAACGTCTTAGATTTGGATAGATTGCAATGGAATCATTTACCTAGAGAAAGCTCAATAGGGTATAAAACATGAACGCACAGAATGGAGCTTGATATTTGAATAAAGACTTCGATATGTTCTGTGACGTCAAATAACACATTACTTAGAATAATACTTCAGCCAAAAGCGGATTCCCGTGGAGAACCCCAGAGACAAGCTGAGAAGGTCGATAGAAATTACTATACAGGTGAAGCCCACTAATAACTGCGCATTCAATCTTCGTAGAGATGAGGGTGCCGTTGTTGCTGCTGCAATGCTACATATGAACGCTCTAACGCTTTCCAACTCGTTCAACTGAAATCGATGATCGCGAGAATGTAAAGACCAGTTCTGTTACTGCCATGACCGCCGGAAACGTCAATAGGATCCTTGGTGGTCTATGAATGTGTACGTGGACGCAGACCAGCGACAAAAAGGCAGCTCTTTATCCAGCTCGTCCTTCCAAACCAGCTCCAACTTATCAAAACACCCTCGAGGAGCACCAACATATCAAGGCAGTTTGCCCGATGAATGGGAGGTCGCTAATAACGAAAGTTTAATAATCCTTTGAAGTTTTTATTTTCGGCGGACGACTGGGAGGTCCTTTAGCTGGTCTTTTATCTCTTTCCGGAAATGTTCAAGCAATCCGGGACCTGGCTCTGGGGGATAATGCATCAGCTCCAATCCAAGACGTGTTTGAGAGAAGACATCCGGTGAACCCACTGTCAATGTTGGTGCCGCCTAGCTCCTCCATCGGTGTTCCGTGCCGGAGGCGCATTACTCGTTTGTGGACGCCGTGGACGGCTCGGTGGAAGGCAGCACTTTGGAGAAGCTGATTGCTGTCAGTCGGCGACGGCAGAATCTGTGCTGCCAAGGAAACATACGCGGGTCACTGCCCAGGCCTACGGTGGTACAAAGTCAGTGCTGTACTACCGTGGCGTTGTGTAAGTAGGGGGAGAGACTTGGTGTGACACGAACCTCGAACACGCGGAACCACATGGGATTCATGGCGACTATATCCTCGACGTCTGGATCTAGAGGCAGACGCCCGTACAGAGTAGAGGCCTCTCTCTATAGCAAGGCTGGGAGGGTGGTGTGGTGTTTGAGGCCTGGTTGATGACGGCGACTGGATTGGACGAAACATGTCCGCACCCAACGCGCCCCTCCATACACCAACACCTGCCCGCGCCCATCTTCAACACTCCGCTGTCCCCCCGCTTCCTGTACATACACTCTTCTCTCTTTTGCTCAAAGATACCCAGTCTTTTTGTTTGTAAGCGCGATTTCCTGCCATCACGTCTTGGAGAGCGTCCGGCGCATCGAGTAGCTGCCCGCGTGCTTCTGTGTACCATCCCGTCTCGCAACCTTCACCCACAACCGCTCTCAAAACTGCACCGTGCCAAACAGGCCGTTTGGATTCACCTGCCAGCGCCAAGCACACGTAGAACCTTCGCGAGAAGCCACATCGTCGCCGTCTTACTGTATTCAAGCCCGCTCTTCAGCCTGCCGAATCTTGGAGCCTTTACTTACAACGTGACAGCTCGCACAGCCTCACCTTCACCTTTTCGCCTTCACTGGCTACCCGCCCTAACGGCCTGCCAACAGGATATTCTACCTGCCAGCGCACCGGGTGCTCCACCTCTGCACCTATATACTCCCCCTCGACCCCACCCTCCAAAAGCAAACCACAACACTACAAACTCGCGCATCTAAAACAAGTTGCTCTTTCAAGCGCAAACGCCCCCTAAAAGATATAAAAGTACACCAACGGCTGAGGCTCGCCGCCACAACCTCAACCTGCATAAACTCAAGGCTCTTCGGCGGAAGGCAGCCGCAGGCAAAGGCATCGACAACATGTCTTCGCCGCTTGCTGTGCCCTCCTCCCCAGCGTCTTCCAAACGCTCTAGATCCCGCGATAGTACTCGATCTTCTACAGCTACCTCTATAGCGGCGTCGGTCAACTCTTTGGCTGCGTCGGTCAACTTTTCGCTCAACCCGTCCGCCAGCGCCCCCTCGCTGATCATCCCGCATTCTTCTTCACAGACCTCATCGGTCGTCGGATCCTCGCCCCTGGAATCCATACCATATCCCGCGTTCCTGCGGCAGAGCAAATCAGGCAGGTAGACATGCGGTCTATTATTCACTTCATACCTTATGTGGACAGTGGCTGACTAGAATAACAGAGATACATCAGCGATTCATCGATCTAGAATGGGAGCAGCGTAACCGCATTGCGCAAGCCCAGCAGGCTGGCAATGATCCAGATGCGCCAGCCTCGCAGTGGGTTCGACCTAGCGGAGACATCGTTGTTGCCAGGAATAGGTATGCCAACGTGGACCCATATCTGAACAATCGCGTCAAGCTCCAGGTGCCGGAGGGGCACAATGACTACATCAACGCCTCGCCAATTGTGCTTAAATCTACAGTTTCAGGGACAGAGACGAGATTCATTGCGACCCAGGTATGTGGTAACTTCTAGCCGATTCCCATGAGGCAAAGCCGCCACTCCTTGATCCATGGGTTCCGGCTAACATTCCCGTCAGGGCCCAAAATCCGACATCACTGCACACATCTGGCGCATGTTATGGCACGAAACCGCTTCGCCATCCGTAATTGTAATGCTTACCCAAACGCACGAGTCTGGTCGTGAGAAGTGCCATCCCTATTACCCGCTCTCCCTCGAAGACCCCACCCTCACTCTAAACCAGGAAGACGAATTCGAAGATGGGTTCTTGTCGACCGTTACTCTCGTCTCACTAACCGAAGATGAGGCTACTCGAGCTACTGTTCGTGAGCTCGAGATGCGCAACGGCAACGGCGAAGTGAAGACAGTATGGCACCTCCTCTTCGGCGGCTGGCCAGATTTTCTAGTTCCCGAGGGCGAAGACCGCACCGCTCTTCTCAATCTACTCGCCCTGTCTAACGAGAAGAATGAGCATGACGCCCACAACCCACGCACCGTGCATTGCAGTGCTGGTGTCGGCCGCAGCGGGACCTTCATCGCGCTGGACTGGCTGCTACAGGAGCTTGATGAAGGTAGCCTTGATGACCTGCCGGAGGACCGCGACCCGATCGCCGAAGTCGTGGATCGGCTGCGCCAGCAGCGGATGATGATGGTACAGGGCGAAGCACAGTTCGGATTCCTGTATGAAGTCCTGCGCGAGAAGTGGCGGGATCGGTACTGGAAGCTGCACCCAGAGGCTGCTGGGGAGGGCGGTCTGGAAGATGGGGCACAGATGCAGCATAAGGGGACGAGCAAGCACCAGAGCAAGAAATCGAAGTCGGACCCGGATGAGGATGCCCATGCGGAATTGGAGGCTGAGCTTGCGGGCGCGGACAGCAGCTTCTGACTCTGTCCGGCGCTAGTGCTTCTGCTTGGGGTCCATCGAAAATGCTCGCTGGAACGTGCTGTCGCTGATGCTAAAGCGCTGATATTCTGTCCTTGTCATCTCCTTGACCTGCTCTGCTTGCTCTGCTTTTGCATGCACGCGGACTGAACGACCCCTATGCTTCTCTTTTTTTTCGATTTCCTAGTCCTCGAGTTCCCAAATCACCACCACGATACCTGCCCCATACTCCATAGAGCCTTCTCACAGATGCTTCCTATTGAAGCGCTTGTACTTCTACCTTTCCTTCTAGGATGGACTCTTGCCTTGCATTGTATGGGTTCACTGATTTCTTAGCATCGAAGGCACTTGGATAACTCGGCATTTGGGTCAGGATGGCACATTGGAACAATACTTTCGGAAGACTGCGACGGTCTAGCACTCTATGGATACCAGCCACCCGAATGAATAAAAGAAGGACAAAAACTTCACACAAGGCCATGCACACCGTGAAGTAACTATACTGCCACCCAGCCTCTCCATACTCACATTCTAGCGTCCAAAGCGCCAAAGCTATGCTTTCAATTCCTCGCAACACCACAAGCCAACCTCCAACAACTCAAGCCAACCTCATCCCCTAATCAAACTAATCCTCGCATAAGTCTGCCAACAACCCCACCCTCACCCCCTCCACATCCGCCTCTCCCATCCCATACGTCGCCTCAAACGCCACGAGGCCCAGCTGCCCTAAAAACGGCCGCAGCACGCGACTGACCAGCTCCGAGCGCGCCATGGCCCGCACATCCGCCCCCTCCTCGCTGCCCTGCACCGCCGCAATCAGCGGATCCAGCCACGGCGTGCGCTTCGCGGTGGTGCCCCTATTCACCGCGGGGAAAGCAGGTGGGTGGTGGTGCGCCGCACGGCTCGTCGGCGTCTCAGCGGCCGCCAGCACCTCCGCGATCTCGTCGGCGAGCGCCGAGGGATGCCAGTCAGCGGGGCGGTAGACGGCGTCGATGGTGTCGGCGACGAAGACCCACTCGTTGCACTGGAAGTCGTCGGGCAGCAGGACGACGAGGGCGTCGAGGAGCTTGCAGGCCTGGAGCAGCGCGGCGTTGTTGTACGTGTCCTTGTTGGCAGCGTCTGGCAGCAGCGAGGAGAGGGCCGCGGCGAGCTCGGCGTTGAGAAGCGGCCAGAGCGGCGCGAGGTGCACGGGGTCGGTTTGCAGGACCAGGGCGCGCAGGAGCATGAAAAGCTCGGTGCGGGTGGTCGAGGAGGGAGAGGAGGCGGGCGTGGCGGCGAGGAGTTCGACGATCTTTTCAGAGACGGCGGGGAGGGAGGGGGTGAAGGTGTCTGGGGGCCCGGCGAGGAGGAGGAGGGAGATGCGCCGGAGGGTGAGTTGGGTTTTGCGGTCGGCTTCTTGGCGGGCGGAGGCGGCGCCTACGCCGAACATGATGCCGGCCGTTGTGGGCGCGGAGAGGCGGGAGAGAAGTTCGAGGAGGCGGTCTTTGTCTGTGAGAGTCCATTGGGCGAGGATGGGGAGCCAGGAAGAGGTGATGAGGGGAAGAGGTGTAGCAAAGAAGCGTGCATCATTGAAAGCGTCCGCAATGTCCTTTTTCCAGGTCTTGTTGCTCTGAGCTACCCGAGTGAGTTGATAGAGTAGGTCAAGTATCGGTTTTGACACGTTCTCCGGAAATGCTTTGGCGCGGAAAGTCGGTCCTATGATATTGGTAGAAATGCTGGTCGCAGCATTGGCCACGCGATCGCTCTCGACAAGAATCAGCGGCAGATCAGGTATGACTGATGTGAGAATCGTCACAACGTCGACAGATCTCTTCAGGCTACTGCCACTGTTCGTTGCGCTAGATGCCTTCTCTACGGCAGCCACTTGCGAGGGTTCTTGTAAGAATCCCATCGATCGAGTGGTAAACACTGCGGTAAGAAGCCTCGTGAACAGGTCCTAGAAAGGGGTTAACATTGCGTTAGGCAAGATTCAAGGAAGAACATACCCCTAGCTCTCTCCTCATCTTACGCTGCTCGCCAAAGTTTGTATTATCCACCTTTTGTCCCAGGACAGCGGTAAATTCAACGAGGGTCGGCAGAATCTGGCGATGAGGAAGAGGATTGGCGAGGACGTCCCGCAAGAAGATTATACAGTCCGGCCATATCTCGTCCATAGCATCATCTTCTAATGATTTCGTGTAATCAACTAGGAAGGTGACTAGATCTGTATCCGCGAGGTCTGAAGTTAAAGTTGACATCCTCAAAGGATCGAGAGCATTAGGGTTCGTTCTACTGTATACAGCATTGAAGATCGCAGGGATAGTATGCTTAGGTTTTGACCCATTGAGAACGTTGAGCAAGCTCATGACTGATGTGGCTTGAAAGCCTCCACGGGCCGATTTGCACCATAGGACAGCTAGGGTCTCGAGGCACTCCAAAGCTTCAGCAGCGAAAAGGTGTTCCAAGATCCTTCGAGAACGATTCCGCATCCGTAGAGACGTATAACCGAACGATGCTAGGGATGTTGGGTCCTGTCTCCCTTCACTTGACCCATAGCCACCCCATGACCAGATCGAGAAGCACATGCGGACAGTATCTTGGAAGCACAGGAGAACAGTCAGTCTGCTGTTTGCCGTGGGGTTCCGGGTCTGGTTAGATTCGGTAGAGATCAATCCAGAAACCATATTCCCGAAGAACCCTTGTGGTTGCTCCGGAGACTTCGTGGTTGTAGTTCTCGTCTCCTGCATGACGAGACGATCATGGGCTTTAGCTAGGATCTGCTCCAACCCATTCATTAGTGAGACCAGGGTCGATTCGGGTGATGTTTGAGTATTTCCAAGAGGCTCGTTGAAGGTTGAACGAAGTTGTCCAAAAACTTGGTTGATCTGGGTGCAGAAACATTCCACGAGTGGTAACAGGTTTTGGAAGATAGTATCCGCAAAGAGCGGCAAGACTTCTGCAAGGAAGGTGACCCAATCATCAAGATCTAGACGGCTGGAAGGTGAAGAGAAACCATCGCGTAAACACTCCACTAGCTCGGGTGGTGGAGCTACAGGCGGTGATTCAGGCTCCTCGGCTTTAGGTCTCTCCAAAACCATAGATAATCGCGACGCGGCTCCTGTCGCGTCTCTAGACTGTTTCCTCTGATGACTCTGCGGCCTTTCAGGTTGTGGTGGAGATGAAAGCCGAAGCTTCAGCGCCGCGAGTATTGCCTCAAGAAGCAGACTCTGTAAAGACGGGCATGAAATCCGCAGTCGAGCCATTAGGGGAGTCTCCAATTCCAAGTCCTTCAATGAGACCGAATACGGGCTGTGATATATCTGAATGACAATCGACACAGCGGTACGATAGAGTTCATCATAATGGGGCCTCTCTTCAGCGCTCACACCCTGTGCATTCATTGAAAGAGCCTTCATACATGTGCGGACAATCCACACCTGCATGGTTTCTCTTTCGGCACCTGGGGGATCGTATGGCGATTGCGGGGCAGGTTCTTCAGCTAAAGTAAGCCAGGTGTAATTTGTCGGCCACCTCAAAATGTTCAGTACATGCCGCAGGTAATACAGGCATTCTTTGGAGTCGTCCACCGGAGCCGCAAGGGGCTTCGAATTGCCGGCTTGACCTGGTGCCAAAGCCTTCCTGTCCTTCAGGCACTGCAAAGATTGGAGATGAGTGGCTAGTAACCAAAACACCTTATTCAGAGTGGGCAGGTCTTGGAGCCAGCTCTTCACAAAGGCGAATAGCTCGGTTCCCTCATCGGTTAGTGCATCTAGCATTAGGAACAGTGGCCTCGTCAAGACCACTTGAAATCCAGCAGTGGGTGTTGTAGTCTGTCCAGTCGTCGGTAAGCTACTAAAACGCTCGGGGCTAGAGAAGGACCTCTTTCCCGTGTGTGATATTTGATCGTTCATTGTGTGCGTCCATAACAGGGCGAACCTCCGGCCCACATCTGGCATGGCAGCAGACTCTGTGGAAGGAGTTTGCGATATGATTGATGTGATAGCTGCTTCAACGAATCGATTTGAAGGTGATATTGAGTGTAATTGCCAGAGGCAACGAACAGCCTCGACATGATATTTTGGCATGTATGGCGACAGATACTCCCAAGCACAGGCAACAAGAGGATGCATAAGGTCTGGAAGCTGAGAAGCGGCGATATAAAGCTCGGGCGTACGACTTGACTGCAGTGCCGAAAGAACTGCTGTGATAGAAGCGATATGGTGAAAGGGTATAGTAGGTGCTTGTTTAGACGGAGAAGTTGGGACAAGCACCTGCTGAAGAATTGTCAAGAGCTCTACGTCGTGCAATGCATGTAGGTCCTGTACCTTGTAGATAACAGATGACAGGATCCTTGAGGATACTTCCGCCATGTTTCGAGGAGATTTATGACCAAGGGACGAGGTGAACAGTGATCCCGCTTCACGCAAACACAATTGTCCCAAGACTGGCACTTCGAACGGAGGTTCGAGATATTCCAAAGTCCCATGGGCCTCTAAGTAGAACCCGGTGATCTTGGTGACGATTTCACTGGACTTCACTTTGGAAGAAGTTCCAGACTTGTGAGCAGTCAGACTAGAATCTGACGTCCGTAAAGCTCGTTCTGGGAGGAGTTGGACGAGGATGTCCGCTGTTTCAAGGGCCAGTGTTACAGAAACTGCTGTTGCCGCACTCTGAGCTACCCGTTTGGTGTGGTTGTTAAGATTTACAAGAATTGTCAAGACCATTAGAGGCATATGATGCAGTAACATCTCCTCGTCTCGAACGTTGAAACGAGTCATGACGAATTTTGCCAACTTTAGCTGACCAGCAGCTTTATCGTGACTAGATGCATCGCTGTTCAATGCCGTTACGACTAGTTCCACGAGCTTGCCCCATATAAGACCGCTTTCGACGCCGTCAAAAAAGACGCTAGCACTTTTCATGACTTCGTCAAGCTGTTCTCTATCGGCAGTTTCGCTATAACTCTGGACACTCTGGAGAGCTGGTAGAAAAATTTCAGGGACTACCAAGCCTCCGACTTCCCAACGATCCATCAAGGATAGGCATATGCGAAAGGGTCTTGCGCGATCCGCTACGAGCAGACTAGGTCGATTGATCATCTTCATTAGACTACGAGTCAATGATTGGAGGCCGTACTGTGAAAAGTAGACAGCATGATGAGCCGATGAATCAACGCCTAGATTTTTCGTTTCCTGCGTAGGCGAAGCGAGAGGTTCGGTTCCATCTGGCCCAGCTGATGGTTCCGGTCCGAGGAACCAAGCCCAGAGCCTCCGGTTCAGGCTCATGTCTCTTCGAGACACTACGCCCGCAGCAGCAGTAACAAGCCGATCCAAATCGTCTTGATTGATTCTTTGTTGAAGCACTGGTGAGTCAAGTGGTAAGTGACTGACCAAGAGATCCAGAAATCCTCTTTGTATCAGTAGCTGAGGATCTGATAGACCGGCAGCAAAGCAACGGACAAGAAGACCTGGTTCCGGAGAAATGGCAGCCTCTGCCTCCTTTGGCAATCCCTCCAGAGCAGTAGACGCGTCTGTAGGAACCGAGCCGCGTCGATTACGACTCCCGAATTTTGGTAGTCGGCGGACAAGGAACGCAAGAGCTCCTTGCCTCCTGGAAGGATTGGTGATGGCGGCGAGGAAGAAGCATTGCCAATAGTGTGAGGATCCAGCCTCACTTTTGGATTCTTCCTCACTAGCGGCCGGTACCGTCACAGCCTCTCGAAGTTTGTCGAGAGCCTGGACCATACGTTCGAAGTCTTCGCTTGTCTCTTCCTCCAAGCCAGGTAGTAAACCTAGTATAATAGCTTTCAGCGCAGGCCTCAACGCCCAACTATCCAATCTCAGGACGTATGTTTCAATCAGCGAGAGAAAAAAAGGTCGCACGGATAGCGAGGCGAATGAGAGGACGGACACGAGCCCGGGGAGGTAGAGGTAAAGGTCCCGATTGAGGGCATCTTTCTATACGTCGTATCAGCTCCTGCGCGGACGCATTCGTTCATCTGAAAAGAACTTTCATACCCCAATTATTTTGAAGATATAGGAATAGACCTCAAGGGCCTTCTGGTGTACCCCTGAGGGCAATGTGGGGTTTAGGCATTGCGCCAATCGAGTCGCAACAGTGCTACTGTGGGCGATGACGGGGACATCCACAGGATGAGCTTGGATAGCCTGAGGAATTGAAGCTCATGTCAGCTCTCTGAAGCTAATTATGCGTTTTATAGGAGGTATGGACCTTCAGTAGGCGGCCGAGGAAGGATATATAGTCTGCCCATTCTTGCTGAGCTGTGTCGAACAGGGACAAAGCACGTTCTACACCCGAGGCGTATCGTCGGAAGCTTTTGTCCTTCTTGTAGTGGGCTAGAAAAGGCACGTCGTTAGCAATGCTCATGTCTGCTAAGGCTCTCTGCAACATACATACCGTCCTCGATCGTTCTTCGAGGTGTTCGCGGGGCTGGTGAAGAACGTCCTGAGCTTGTGGGCGAATGCGTCTGTAGGTTGGAGGCAGGATCAAGAGACATCCTGGCCTTCGCAATAGATTGGAAGTGTGTGGAGCAAGCTGATGTAGTGGCGCATGCTGTCTTTCATGAAAGGTGTTCCTTCAAAAGACGTGCCTAATATCCGCGTACACAGGTCCCCACGTCTGTTCATCCCGCGTAGTTTCAGGGCCACCACACGTATATTTGAGACTGGCAACAATCACGTGAACTAAGGCGACACATCTAATTCACAGTCTTCAGATCTTTACATCCCGCACTTAAATTCATAAATGGGCAGGAAGCACTCCAGTAGCATGAGGACGTTGGCAAAAGAACACGATACATTACTTGATGTGCACGGCAATGAGAGGCGGTCTAATTCACGGTGTCCAAACCTTTACATCCTATTCTCAAACCCGTTAGCACGCATGAAGGCCCCCAATAACCTCAAGCAGTTGTCAAATGATCAATAGAACTCAACTGATATACAAGGTTCATCCAAAGGTTCCAATGTTTTTACTAAAGTAACTGCCTGTTCGCTATGCAACTATTATACAAAAGGGGTATCTTTGGGCACTTCTTGGATCACACACTAGTACTCCTCGTCACCCTCGTCGTAGCCATATTCCTCCTCAAAGTGACTGAAGACATCCCTCTCCGCCGCTTCTTCTTCATCTTCCATTTCTTCATCTTCGTCGTCTTCGTCTTCTTCGTCCTCGTCTTCCACATCTTCCACCACTTCCACTACTTCCTCCGGGCTTCCCTTTGAGGCAGAGGGTGCTTTTGTGGGTTTTGTTACCCATTGCGACGACGGGCTGGGCGCTGCGTCTCTCTTTGGCGAGGTTGTGTCGGAACTGTCGCCCGAAGAGACCACATCTCCGCCGTAGAGTCGTTTCAAGTTCTCGTAGTTGACAAACTTGCTGAATCCCTTCGTCCTCTGGTTGAGCATCTTACCCACGGCTTCAGCAGGACTACTCGCAGGGGTACCGCCAAGCACGCTTCCGTCTCCCATCTGTGCATGCTTCCGCCTCTGTTGCTTCTTCTTGGGGCCTCCACTTGCTTGCTCCAGGCTCTTCTTCAGCATCTTGGCCTGACGATCTCTCAGCCAATCCTCGTTTTTGGTAACCCAGATCTTCTCTTTAAGTGCAACTTCTTCGGCCGAGAGAACACATCTGGCAACCTCTGGGTCATCGTCAAACTCGGCATCGTCCAGATCTTCCTCATTGCTGACGGTAGAAGGACCACGAAGGCGAGTAGCCAAGGCCTCTGCGCGTGCAAGAACTGCAACCTCGTCGATCTCTCCGTCGTCTAGGATGTTCTCGATTTCTTCCTCAAGGTCGTTCTCGATTTCGAGATCTTCTTCTGGGATGGCAATCGGGGCCTTCTTTTCCTTCTTACGCCGCTTTCTGGCCTGCTTTCCTGTACTCGTTCCGGCATTTTCAGACGCGATCAATTCGGAATGGGCGATGTTGGACGCTTCGAGTAGGGCGCGGTCGATGGGAATGTCGGGTATCAAGAAGCCTTCTGAATCGCGGCGTAGAGACTCGGAGGTGGACTGGACTGCTGGGGACGAAGATGACCCAACAGACGGGGGCCCGTTCACTTCTTCGCTCAGCTCAGAGGACTTCCGCTTTCTACGTTCGTTGGTGCGCTCTTCTTTCTCTCTCCGCTTGTAGATGGAAGGTGGTTCGCCCTTGACCTTCAGTCTATGACCGTAGTCGCGGAACTGCTCGATGCTGAGGCTCGCCGCTTGTGTACGCTTGAACTCGATGAGGCGCTGGAATATGGTGTTGTCGCAGACCTTGACCACGTAGACAACCTCCCGGACGGTGCGTCGAAAGTTGTTCTGCCGGGCAGCTATGATGATGCATGCGCCGCAGAGGCCTGCTGGCTGTCGACCCTCCACCATCCAGTCTCTCTTCATGCGCCGCAAGATATTCACAGCGTCTGTAGCTACTTTTCGAGTGTCGTCGCCAAACTCAAGCCTCTCTGCAAATTTGTCGATGAGGGGTTCGACCTCTAGGACAGCTGGGACACCGGACGCCGTAGCAGGTTCACCGAACCATAGCTCTTTCCGCAGAGCCTTGTATACATCACCGAGAGCCCACACGTTCATCTAGATTCAAGTCAGGTATGCTCTGTACGAAAGAGTGGCTGGTATAACTTACTTGAAGCTCAGCTGCAAAGTCCATCAAGAGGGTAGTGTTGCCTGCTTTCCGCCGGCATGCGATGTAAAGACAGACGGCGGCGACAGTGCGCACACGACGACCTTGGATGAAATTGATGCCGATTGCAAGCTTGTATATACCAAAGGCTTGGTCTTCAGTGCTCGGGTTGTTGAGTCGAACCGCAGCAGCGATTTTGTTGATCTCGGCTTTGCCTGTGGATGATGTCAGGACCAATGGGAGACATGTTACTCAAGAGACTGATACTGACCCTTCTGTTCGGTCTGCTCCCTGCTCTCCGTGGTTCCGCCGTTCCTCCGAAATGCTGGTCCCATGGTCTTGGCATGTCGCTGGTTCTCTCCGACGAAGGCACCCTGGACAACGGCGGCACCATTGGAGTTCTCCCCAAATGTGACTTCGGACACGATCTCGGACTCAGTAATGACAGTCCCGCAATTCATGCAGGCATGTGTGCCGTCGGTGTCTGAGAATTCAGGTGCTTCGCAGCATTTTGGCGGGGCAGTGGCTTTGGGTCGAGCGATTTGGCCGCCGGCTTTGGCGATGAGCGATTTCGCGTCTTTTGCGGATTCTAGACGGACTCGTGGAGGCCTGGCAGGTGGTCGAGCGGTGGACATGATGATGGATGTGGCGTTGGCAATTGTGTAGAATTTGGTAGGAGGCCAATGGCAGTGGCGAGGAGTGAAGTCGATCAAAGAAAATGTGTACAGTGTCCTCTAGTCGGCAGCGGCACAGCAAAGCTCATAATACAGCTTGAATTGCACTTCCGGATTCGTGCAAGTATGAGGTTCGTGAATGGAGAGGATCGTGAGGATGCGCGAGGTCAGTGATGGAACAGTCGGAGTCAGAAGTTTGGTGAGTGCAGCCTATAGCCGGGAGGTTGGGCTCGTGCTCCAGCTTTTGGCGACGTGGTGGGGCAGCCGAGCGCGAGCGCAAACGCTGATCGGCGCTAGTTTTTCCGATCTCCGAGCGGGCGTTCGAGTCGCCCACCTTATTCTGACTTATTGCCTTGAAAACAATAGCAATCTTCACTTGCGACGAGAATCACTCCACCAGCGAGAGCTGGGGAAGAAAGGGGCAGAAAAGATAAAGCAAGACGAAGATAGCGACTCGCTTTCCCAAATACTACCGCTGGTCCTCGCTGGTGGGTGCGAGAGGCTGCGAGGCTGGCTTTAACACTGCGCCACAAAAGGGAGAGATGAGAAGTCGCTCGAGACTTTCAACGTCGGCTACTTATGCACTCGCAACGAATGGCCGGCTTCTCGAGGCCTAACCGAGTCATTCTCACTTGTCGGCGGACGACAGTTGCTATTCAGCCTAGCTCTATCCTATCAACATTCATACAAAAACTTCAGATGGAAGGCTCCTGCATGTCGGCGTGAACATCGCTTTAGCTACGCCTGCTCCATTTCCCCGTCGTCTTCACAAATCCTCCCCGCTAGAACACGGGCAACTTCAAAATAAGACTCGTCGTCAATCACTGTGACGAGATTCGACTTCTACAGATATGTAACAAGGCGATCGAAGTTTAAGAGGCTTCAAGTTCACCGTCCACAACACCATGCCGCACGTGCACCTAAGCCCAACAATGGGTCGCTAAAGAACGCCCCTGACGTTACCCGGGCCGTCAGCCAGGCCGTCACCCAATTTTAGCCCACGGAGCGGAAGCACAGGTCTCCTCCTTGCCTGGGCCCAATTGCGTGAGCCCCTCGCCCAGCTGCCCGCACGGCTTTGAAGCTGAGCTCCCCTCTCTTCCCCAGCTTCTCCAACCTCCTTCCACACCATCGCACCCAACACAACCGCCCGCTCTCCCCACACATCACAATGTCTACACGGAAGAGGAAGCAAGAAGCTGAGGAGGAGGAAGAGCTCCAGGCTCTTCCGTCCGACGAGAGTGACGAGGAAGAAGAGTGAGTGCCTTTCAGCTCCTGACGTCATCCCACGATGCGCCGACATGGCGCTGCGATACGCGACCGCGTCAATTGTGGTCGCATTACCAAGAAACCCGTCTATGTGCTATCGGAAGCTGTTGGAGATGTAATACCGTGATTTTAAGGCTGCTCAGGAGGTCGTCTTACCCTCAGCGCACCATAGCAGCCTCCCCAACGCCATCTTACAATGTTCGACCTTTTCATAACCCTGTGCTGCGCTTTTGTGTCCAAATTGACCGATCGTTCGTTTTTATTCCTTTGCCTTGTGTGGTCTTCATGACTTGCGCGTCTTATTGCGGCAAGGCTGACCCGTTGCGCCGCGATAGATATGAGACCGAGGGATCCGAGGTTTCTTTCGACGATGAGGATGACTCCGAAGCAGAAGAGGCTCCAGGTATAGCCAAGCGCCCTGTCTGACATCTGCCATCTTACTCACACTCACGTTCAGCTCCCAAAGCCAAGAAGAGAAAGGTCACCAAAGACAACGAAGAATCCGAGGAGGAGCCCGAAGCCGTTTCCTCGGAGGACGATGATGAAGACGAGGAAGACGCGAAGAAGGCCCCGAAGAAGAAGGCTCCTGCACCCACGACTAAACCAGCGAAGGCTGCCGCTGCCGTTGCCGCTCCAGCGGAGCCTGTGCCCGTCGTTGAGGACGATGATGATGACGAGGATTAGAACAAGTCGCTTGTTCGAGCTCGTTCCGTAGTATGAAAGGCGGTTGTTGGGCTCAGCGACTAAAAGTTGCGAACACTTAGGATCTGTTTGGATACTTGTACAAATTCGTGCGCCAATCATGTATCCAACTCGCAAATATTGCATGCGCAATAAATGAAGCCATTGTAAAGTCTTCTGTTGAGGTCAATCACGATGGTTTTGACGATATACATTCCTTGGGTACGCCCACTCACCTTTAGGGTGTCTCATGATGCCTTATTCTTGCGGTCCATGTCAGCATCTCACTCCTGCTTCATTCGAATTGGATGAGATTTTGACGCTTATAAACACACCAGTCTCTCTTTAGAAATCAGCACTTAGCAGATCTTGGACTGTAGACAGCAGAATCTAGTCATTGGCAAGACAGCTTCGAATGCACGAATAATGATGTTCGACTAAATCATGTGTGAACGTACGATCTAAGAGCGCAGACTTCCTTTTTCTCGGTTAGGAAAGCTTGAACCAACAAAGTCAGTATGAATCGACGCCAGAACGCAGGATGTTCATTAGACATCATTCGCAGATTGTTCTCGCTGAGCAGACAATGGTATTTTGTATAGACAATAGTACCAAAGCGGGCATATACCGGATGTCCAGCCCTGTCTTCCATGCTCAGTAAGCCCAATGCTTGTTCATGCACTAACCACGTTTAGGATAACGATAGTGGAGCAAAAGCGGTTAAGTCAGACGTCGGGACCTCAGCTGTTCCTTCTCGAAGCCCACACAACTTTTGTCCTGTTACGGAGATATTCGCGTCACCTTTACCACTCTGCGTCTCTCGGCGCCCTTATCTATATACGCATTGGGCCAATACCTATTAATCCGCGGCACTCCAATGGAGACACAGCAGCCGCGGAAACGACGCAGGGCGAAGGGGTCAGAGGAGCAGGACAACCAGCAGGAGAACTTCCTCTTCGTTGATTCCTCAGATCAGCAGGGTACTTCAAAGCCTGACCGAGCCTCGCGCTCGTTTGTGATGCAGCAGGCCCGAAAACAGAAGACATGGTCGACGAAGAAATTCCCAGCGAATTCTGCTGCAAAACGAACCAGTAAAGCCCCATCCCAAGACGATGGCCCCGATGGAACGGGCTCGCTCTCCTGGGTACATTACGCTCCGAAGAATGAGAGTTCACATAAAGGGGAAAAGATTGTCCCTTACCGTTTCGGCGGCTCCCAGTCGGAGCAACCAGCCGTGTGTCGTCTACCCTTCTGCAACGGGGACTTCTGCAGCCAATCTCATCATTCCCCTCCTCGCGCAGATGTGCTTAACCTGTCGCCAAGAGGCCGCGGTCGTCTCGAGATTGCCCCAATTGGTGTGTTTGATCCGTTTAATACGCTTCCGGTGCGGGCCGATCCTCGTTCATTTGCTTTGATAAATCACTGTAAGGCCCCCTGAGCCAATCATCTTGCTGAAGCGAGTTAACATTTGGTTCCATAGACTGTAGAAATTTAGTGCCGCTTATGATACCGCTGGATATACGGCGTCAATCGCAAATAGGGCGGGATGAATACCTCGCGTCTGCTGTGCGAGATGAAGCCAGAGGTGCCTTTACACACACAATAATGTGCGCTGCAGCACTCCATCGGTTTGCAATGGGCGCAGGACCTCTTAATGATGTACTCTATCACAAAGCGGAGAGCATCTCGAAAATAAATGCCAACCTCAGCGACCCAGGGTTTCGCGTCCACGATAATAACATTGCGGCTGTGTTCAACCTACTGAACATCGAGGAAAGCCTTCTTGGCATAGTCTCAGCGGGCGGAGGACGGCCAGGGCTAGCCTTCGACCCCCAGCAGAAATTGATGCACCTAAACGGATTAAGGGCCATGCTCCAGCAGCGGGGCGGGCTGGCAGGCCTGAGTTCCAGCCGGTGCCTGCAGGCTTTCATCTTGTGGTTAGTACCGTGCATATGTCACAAAGGAAGAGTCTGACGGCTAACTGGACAAATAGGCATAGCATCGCGCACTCAATCGCGTCTTTCGAACAGCCCTATGCTGCTCTCATCGACACTGAGGGACGCGCATACACGTACACTATTCCTGAATCTCCCAAATATCCTTCTCGCTCTTCTCCAGTACAAGTCCTAAGGCTTCTGAGAGACCTAAAGATAGATGTCAACTTGCGAGATATTGCGGCGGATGTATCCTTACTCTCCTCCGATATGACCTCCTGGCTGGACGACCCCAAATGCCCTCTCGACCCCGTCGAGCTCCAGAAACATGGATTCCTCCTCCTACAGCGCTGCCTCGCCTTCCTAGACGAGTCAATCGCACCAAAGTCTCCGCTAGAGCAGTCTGTCTGTCTAGCGATTATGATCTTTGTAATCCGCATCACGCAACCTACAGACGTCAACTTCAAGACCATGATCTCAGCTAGCCTTCCCCGACTCCGAGAAGCGCTCAAGAAGACAAGCATCTTCAAGTGGTCCGACTCCCCGGACATCCTTCTCTGGGTGCTAACGCTAGGAACGCTGGCAGCTCAAGGATCCCCACACATGGGCTTCTTTACCCAGTACTCCACCGTCGCTTTCGCGGATGCTGGCATTGATAACAACACCTCGTGCGACGAGCTATTGGCGCGGATGAAGATGTGTCTATGGCAGAGCTCGCTTATGGATAACGCCGTGAAGAAGCTATGGGTAAAGATTGGGATTGCGAAGGGTGATGACGAGTGGCTCGTCGTGGACGATGAGCCGGACACGGAGACAGTTAGCCACATGAGCAGTCCAGATGGCCAAAGCGAGACCACCGTGGCTTCTCTAACATCTACGCGCTTCTTTTCATGAGACCTAGCGAAGAGCAGGCCTCATAAGTAAGGCAAGAAACACGCTTCCACCCAACTCGGAAAGTATCTGTACATACATCCATCCCTTCATCATGTCTACTCGTTACAATGTTGCACTCCATCTAACTTCTCTCCCCCCCAAACCGCCTCACCGCCCCCACCACCTCCCCCAGCCCCTTCACCACCACATCCGGCCCACCCCCCTCCCCCTCCACCAACCCATCCACCCACCCCTTCCCCCCGCGATCCACCCAACACGCCCGCATCCCCACCGCCCGCGCCCCCACCACATCAAACGGATTCGAGCTCACAAGCCAGACATCCCCAAACCCCCCCTCGCCCCTCTCCGCCCGCTTCCCCACCCGCTCCGCCAGATGCGCATACACCTCAGGCGCGGGCTTGAACTTCCTCACTTCCTCGACGACGACAATCTGGGCGAAGACGGCGGCGTGCGGGGACAGGCCCGGGGAGTGATTGACGGAGCGGGTGACCATGTCGCGCGTGCCGTTTGAGAAGACGACGGCGGTGAGGTTTCGCTCTTTGGACAGGGCGGCGAGGGCGGGGGCCACGTCGGCGAAGGGGGCGAGAGAGTCGTAGGCGGCCATTAGGTCTGTGACTGCGCTTGGGGAGAGGGGGGGCAGGGCGTGCTCGGCGATGGCGTGGCGGAGGGAGCGCTGGGTTAGGGTCGAGAAGGGGGTGTAGGTGTCTACGGAAGCGGTTAAATATGGGCTTTATTTAAGCATTGAGACGTGTGAGAGCGGTCATGCGGTTCGGTTACGGGGGTAGGAGTAGGACATCGCACTCATGCTGTTCGCCCGCCACGTGTACTCTAGTTGGTACTTTCGCCATGTTTGCGCTACGGCTTGCGCGGTTTCGTTGCCGAAGTGCTCGGCTAGTTTTTGGGCGATTGATTCGGTGGAGAGGAGCGTGCCGTAGGCGTCGAATGCTAGGATGATGTCTTTGTTTGGCGCCATTGGTGCGGTTGTTGCAGGATAGTGAGTTGTGCTGACGAAACGCAAGTAGTTTCTGAGTGTTCCTATTCCCTTATCGTACAGATGACCGGCTGGTTAGGAAAAGGCGTATTCGTTTGATAAATTGGTAGACTTGAAGCTCGGAAGATTGATTTTATACATGACGAATGCGGGGATGTAGTGCCCCACTACTACTAATCTCCTGCTCCCAGGTCTGCCTTCGGCCGGGCCTGCGGCGGGGTGGCCGGTTGGTGCGCACATATCATAGACGTCATTCTGGGAAAAGGTACTGTAGTTAAGAGTTGATAGAATTCCATTCGATCGATTTTGCATTGATTATTGTAATCACGTTCCACAACTTCATTTCATGAGATTAGTTGTAGCTACATGCTGTGATTGCCATGGTCTATAGTCCTCTATATACGCCTCAAAATCCGAGAGAGATAGAGAGATTCGATTTCTGCGAATTTAATTGTCTCTCTAAGTGTGTGCCTTTGAGAGCTCGCAATGGATTTCTCTAGAAGGCCTTGCGAAAATGAAGCGAGTCGTCATAAGACGGACCACATGGGTCAGCCGCACGTCTGAGAGCCTTGATATCGAATTGCCTGCTACTTTGGGTGGTTCTGTAGCGTATGTAAAAGAGAAATCTAGACGAGATGTAAAGAAGTGAGTACCGCAACTTGGCCGAGAATCCGCAGCTGCTCCATGGTCTGAGCAGCGGTGCTTGATATTCTCTGGCACACTTGCGAAGATATAAGCGAGATGTAAATGATAACACCGCATGATTTAGATATGCATCTGAAGGCTTGTACTTGGTATGCTTACTGCTGGCTGCGATCCTCTAGGGTTCGTGAAGAAATCCGAACTCGATTAAAAGCATGACTACCGCAAATCGAATTGGCTTTCGAAGGGTCCACTTCCCATGGTTTCGGTTCCACACAATATTGAGGGCACTTGAGATGAAACTTATTAAAGTGAATACCGTAAGTCAGACTAGCATTCGCATGCTTTTTACTTGATCCTCATGACGCTACTTAAGATCGTCCAGCCTACTCACGAGACACCTCACAAAACCCCTCGCGAGATTTGGGATTGCGTTTTCATACTTCTGCTTGGTAACCAAGCTGCTGTCTGCGGTCCTCTGGCGCTTCAGGAATATACAATCGAGTTGGCAAGCTCCTCTGAAGCGTGTGATATAGGCGAGCGACCGAGAACTTCCACTCACTCTAAGTGCCACTCACCAGCGTTCTCTAGAGTATCCGAGGCAATAGGAACGAGATATAGAGGTAAGAGCACTACGAATTTGTATGAACAAAATGAAGAATGGAGGTCTGCATCAGCAGCGTCGCATTCACCGGTGTTTTTGCGTCCACCTCGTTTATTCCTATACACCTTGAAATCCTTCGCAGTACTAAGTATGTACGTCGCACGTCGCACGTCGCTTAACACAGCCCAGTACCGGATCCGAAGGTCTAGCGTACATTGTGCGTCGCAGCAAGGCTGAATTAGAATCCTGACGGATCGACGTACCCGCAATATGGGTACAGGTGCGGCGGCGCGATAGTCCAAAAAGGGAGTTGTGGAGTTGCGAGTTGCGAGTTACGACATGTGGCCACAATGGCAGTGCATGCAGGTGAGGTGGGTTATGTAATAGGCGATTGTGTTGGTGGAGTTGTAGAGTGCTGATCGCAGGGCTGTGCGCTAGCCTTGGCACGTTCGCTACACTTACCTGTTTTAGGCATATCGCGCGACAGCTTTTTGGAGAGGCCGCCTTTTCTTCAATTGAGAGGATCTGCAGATTTAGTTGTTTCTCCGTTTTGTGGAGATGTGTCGATAGGTTATAATAGGCTTAACTGATGTCATGGCATCCCTGGAGGCGGCGCTGTGGCGCTACGAAGTGCAACGTAGTGTGTAGTAGGTGGGTAGGGCAGCGACTACAGAGATTACAGTACTCCGGAATAGACTATTTCATCTCCGCGGGTTGTTCTTGATTTACCGTGAACGAGGATCGTGATAGCTGGCACGCTTGGGAGGATGGAGGCCAAATATCGGAGGAGAGACTACAGCTAGATTAGGCGTTCCATCGACAACGCATCTTCTCTACGACGTGTGATAGGTTATGATGCAGAATGTAGGTGATCTGGTATTTGAGAGTGTGATAGTATGCAGCTGATTTGGAAAGTGATTGAGAATGATTGGAAATAGAGACCCCGGTCTCCACACATGTCAGCATTGCTGGGTAAACATGATGTATTTGCGATCGCGACATCACGCGAAGCGAGTTGCAAGATATTTGGATCTCTCGCGAGCTGGTATGGAGTCATTGGTAAAGAGGGGTTGTCAATGACAGGGGCGAAAATATGACTGGATAATGTATCTTGATGTAGAAGCCAGACCTTTAATCTGCTGCTGAGTCTCACCCAGCAGGGTCCTATCTGTCACGCGGGTCGTGATGTGCTGGTCTTATTTGATAAGAAACTTGACTACACCCGAATTGTCGAATGCCCGGGATGCTCTTCTCAGCATGGTGATGTTAGTGGTCAATTCGCCAGTCCTTGAGGATTTCAAGCACAGTTCCGGCCATGGCTTGACTCTTTGACTCTTGAATGTCAGACTCGTCTCAAGTGTGGCAGTGGTCCTTCAGTTGAGGCGTCCGGGATCGGAGAGAGGGGAAAGGCGTTCCCATGGCACCCAGCAATGAGACAGCGAAGCCAGCAGGGCAAATTAAAAATAGTCGAGAATGCTAAGGCGGTCGGAGTTGGAGGCCCTGCATCCGCGCGACTTAAAGTACGGCAGGAGAACAGACGGCGGCGTCGCATGAACCCTCGCTGGGAAAGGGGTGCCAGGCGCGTGGTATATACTCCCGGGCTGGCCGGTGAGGCTCAAGCCACGGGACGGTGGGGAGCTGTGTCGCCAGCGCAGTGGTTCTCGCTCCACACGGTGCGACATGGGCGAGAGCAGCGGTGTGTGCGGGAGCACATTCCACCTCCGGCCGGGTTGTGAGACGCTTAATTCGAAACCTTGCAGCAGCGCCAGCCCTACCACGCGCAACGGGAGAAGGGGGCAGTGCGCTGGGAAAGCTTGGCCTCGCTGACTGTGTCGGGGCTGTCTCTGGGGAGGATTGGACATGCCCCAGCGGTTTAGCCCAGCAGAGCCACGCCAGAGTCCGTGAAGGGAGCAGAGAGCGGACAGGCCACTGCGGGCGCCCATTGGCTGCCTATTTGGACATGTCTAGGGCGTGGCTGAGGCTGCAGCGAGGTGCTGCAAAGGGCGCGATGTTGCGAAGCCAAACGGCGGTCGATGAGCGGCATGTTACATGGCCAGCCTGCCGTGCTGCGAAATCAATTGCAATGGATTGTCAACGAGGTTGCGCGCCTGCAGCAGTGCAGCCTAGCGACGTCAACAAAGGAAAAGGAATTGGAATTGCGAGGTGGTGCAGGCGTGAGTAATCATGGGGATTAGGAATCGCTGCCTCGATTGTCAGCAGCCCTACATAACTACACCAACGGCGATCAGTCGTCTGATGCGGGGAGCCAATCAGCGGGCCGCCCAGCATCGGCACCAGGGAGTTGCGGGTTTCGCTGGCACGGCATCCCATCGCGAGCACGGCACCGCGAGCACGCCGAATGCAGTCGCAGATAATTGCGCGCCGGTGCGATAACATGTCAAGACGTGGTGCGACCGGGGCCTGGGGACCACCATGTCCACGGTCGAAAGCACCGGTCGAGAGCGCGGCAGAGCATCACGTTATGACTCCATGGGGCGGCTATGACGAGGACATGCTCGTGAAGTCGGCGTGTGAGGGCACTCGGAGTTTGCGAGAGCCCGCTGCCCATGGCCAGCATCGCGGACGAAGCGCGATCTCCAAGGCTCGCCCGAGAAAACCGAGCGGCGATCCCTGGGTCCAAGGGTCTGGGGCGGGCGCGGAGTTTCGCCGGTATCGCCAATCCGCAGCTAAACCAGCGTATTCCGTATCTCCGAACAGTCTCCATCAACTCGATCCATCATGAGTCCGCCTGCGGCGTGCCGAGTCATCCTCGGTGCGCATAACGTCGACTTGACGATGCTTGGCGTGAAGATGCTTCCATTGTCGCAATGCCGCGTTGCATGCTGTGCGGGCTTAGCGGCGACAGCAGTGGCCTTCTGCGTGTGCGGCAGACCCGCTGGCGGAGCGGTGGGCGCAGGCATCTTGTGAGTGGCTTGTTCGCGGCCTCTTGTGAGTGGCTTGTTCGCGGCCTCTTGTGAGTGGCTTGTTCGCAAGCATCCATCAGCTGCAGGCGCGGCGCCGTGGAGATGAACGAGCAGAGATGCGGAGGAGACACGGGCACAGACGCGAGCCGACGAGGCTGTCTGCGCGTTTCGTCCGCTGTGCCTCAGCGACCGCGTCGGCGCTGCGAAGTACGAACGCTGGAGCCGACGTACGAGGCTTGGAGCCTGGCGCGAGGAAGAGCCGAGCTGCGGGACGGGCATGATTTGTCGCGGGCCGCTGGCAGCAGATGACCAGGCCTCAAGGCTCACTTTTCAGCGTTTCTAAACACCGGGCAATACGTACGGCCGAACGGCATGGAAGCGTGCTGCGTAATACCGTTTGGGAGCGTAAGGTTGCAGGCGGACGCTAGGGACGAGTGATTCATCATCCTCACCGCTGCGCTGCAGGGGCTGTTAAGGCCGTGCAGCTCGGGCTTACACGCCCACCGACTTCTGCTCCGCCGGATCGAAGTGGCCCTTAACCCCAGCACGCCGTGGTCATCCACGCGAAACAGCCTTGGATAAAGCAACACGCTGCCCCAACCATCCGGCCGCATTCTCACCACTCACCAGACCAGACATCAAATACCACGACCAGTTCAACACTCTTCAAGGCCGACTACAACATCCACCGCTACAACATAACAACGACGACATCAAAGCAACACCCCTGCTTCGCATCGCCCAGACCACCGCCAGCCAATCACACCAAACCAGTCATACCCTCTAGGCATTGACTCACGCCAGGCACACAAAATTCTGCCTCCACACATAAACACGATGCCTTCCGCACACACTCCCTCGCATCTGCGACTCCAGTCTTCCTTCGACCCCATTGCCGTTGAAAGCACCCGCTCGCACTTCGTCTCGTCGCCGCCCCAGAAGAAGCAGAAGATGAGCCTCACCCAGACCTACTACATCGCCGCCTCCGCCCGGTCAAAGCTAGGCAAAGAAGCCTGCCGGGCGGACCACGACCTCAGGCTCCTCGTGGGCCACGCCAACCTGCTCGACTCCCTCATGCTCGAACTTGCAGACGCCGAGCGGGAACAAGAGGCCTGGTTCAACCAGACCGTCAAGAAGGCCTCCAAGGCCGACGAGCCCCGACATGTGCAATGGGTCGACACCATTGCCGAAGCTCCAGAAGAGGAGGAGGAGGACTCAGACAGCGACTCTGAGTCGGACTACTACGACGAGGACGGGGATTTCGACATGATGATCCCAATGCCCAGGCGGATAATCCAGGCACCCGTCCAGGTCACCACCATTGAGATGGACGAGGACGAGGACTTTTACGAAGATTTCGAAGACGACGAGGAGCACGCCCTCACCCGCACCTCCTCGCAATCACCGCCCGAGCTCGTCCACGATGAGGACTCCGACGACGAGTCGCCGCCCGTCTCCCCACCCACACTGAGCATGGAGTTCTCGGAGAAGGAGGCAATCCTCACAACATCATACTACGACCGCAAGCAGACCACGCTGTCGACGCCGGAGCAAGCATCCTTCATCCAGGATGGCTTCTTCATACCCGAACGAAACAACGCCCCGCTCATAGCCTCGTGTTAGCCGCAACACCACACTTCTTTGGCCTACGACTTTCAGCGATTTGAGCGAGTGATTGATTTCTAGCATGGCGTCTCGGGAAAAATATCACCGAATTTCATTTATATTGGGTTTCTACGATCAGGGAATTGGATTCCGCGGCGCACAGGAGTTGCCGCGACGGACCATCCCACCTCACTACTCTGCTGGACTGGAGCATTTCTTTGGCAGGACTCGGAAAGATATGGAAGCAGCATGTGAAGATGTCGAACGGATCAGCGGACACGGCTTGGCGAGATCTCTCTCAGCTGACAGCACGAGGTCGAGACTCGCAGCCGGGATACATAGCAATTGAAATGATCACATCACACAAACAAGACCTCCTTACTCTGCCTTGTGATTTGCTCGACTGACCAACTGATCCAGCTTGTCTCGAGCACCCAGCTCCACAAGACAATCCCCAGACATCCCCTCATCATCCTATCATCCCATCGCAACATGAGGCATCTCAGCTGACCCCCTGCCCTAGAATTCCGGCCTGGCCGTGCCCCGCCCGCGGCAAACCCCTGCTTGTCAGCCAAGGCTTGTCTCTGCCACCGCTGTTCCCGCTCGTTTCCAGCGCGACGGCTTCAGCCCTGTCTCGCTCGGTCTCTCGCTTTCCCGCACCTCGGGCGACAGTTCGGCCTCAGGTCGGCGTGCGGCACAACTCGACGATGCGAGTCTCGCACCCGACGGGCCCGTGGTGATTGTTTCTGTTTTTCAAATCAGCGATCTTGGCGTCTTTATTCGCAGGTGCCTTGCTGATCTCGCAGCTTGAAGTCAGATGGGCTTAAATCTGCTCTGCTACTCACGATCACCGCGACATCGCGCGAGAGCGTCGATCAGGGAAATAGTGTTGGATGTTGTAGATATGGAGAAGCACCGCAATTCACTCCAACCGCCAGCACCGCCAAAAACAAAACACCACGTAGAGCGCACCTTTTCTCCGACGGCACGCGAGCAAGTCGAGATTATCGGACTTCGCCTCGTGTCGCAGACCCCAGAGACACTGTTTGGAGCCCCAGCTTCTGGTGTTTTGTTTTCGGTTTGCGAAACAAGCGACGGAGTCCGCAATCGTTTGAGGCCCCCAACTAGCACATCCCTATCTACATCCGGTTTCGCGGAGAAGGAGATCAATGATTGCGAGATGCTGGCGGTTTCGTGCTCGCAGCGCATTTCTGCATGCAGTCAGCGAACTGTTGGTTGGTGTTGCGCCGTTTCAAGCTTCAAGGCCTATGAGAACCTTGGAAGCAGGTTGCGGTCGGATTTCGGCCGTTTCAAGCAGGAAATCAGCAACATTTGCTTGATTAAGTTCCAGCAGCGTGTTGTGTGAGAATGCGAGCTTCGCAACTCGCTCCGCGTTTGCGTATTCAGGAGCAGGATTTGATTGCGACTCCTGCTGAGCCTCCTTTCATCACTACTCGCGCTGCCACGTTTCGCAACTCTAGCTTTCTAGGCTTCTGCCTAATGGACGAAGAACGGCCCGCTGCGATCTAGCCCCCAAGACAGTATGCATCGCGAAAGTAGCCTATTCAACACGTATACGCGACGACACCGCCTACGTACGCACGCGCGCAGCAGTAGCCATGGGAACGCGCGGGATACGGGCGTAAGTATGCTCCGCAAAACAACTCCACATTTCAAAAGCTCCCCTCACCTCGGCATTTCGTGAATTTTTACAAGCTAATCAGGCAACCGTTTTCTTCCTCTTCCTCGCTTGCTGGCCGGACCCCGCGGCCCGCGCGTGTGACTTTTTGGCAGATACCCGCCTCGCGCCGCCCTTCCATCTTGATCTCAACGGGTCGGTCGGAGGGCTCAAAAGCGCGCACGCAGTCGATCATCGTTCACCCGATTAGGCGATCCTGTGACTTCTGGTCGGGAGAAGCAGGCTCTCCTACTTGCTGCTGTACTGAGTGAATATCGTTCATCCCGACTTCTCCCATCCCCACAACAACCATCACCGCCTCTTCCGGAGAGTCGTCTGCAGCCGGGATATCCTAGATCCTTGAAAAAGAAACACCTAAACCGCTCTTTTGGAAATGATGGTCACTTGGTTCAACAACCTTGCTCCCGGAGCCGAATAAGCCTGGTGAGAAGGTGATCCTTGTGCCTGTTCAGACCGACCTGGAATTGTATGTAGCCTCGCCATGTCGGCACGGAGGCCCCGCCGCTTCCGGCAGCTCGCTGGTTACCCTTTTCGGTCGCACGGTCTCGCACGAGGTGGAAAAGAAATTTTCGATTTTACCTCAAGTACCTCGTGGAGTCATGCCAGCTTGGTCTCTCTGCTTGTGGGGCAGGCACGGCTACGACGGAAGCTCCGCGGCTGTCCACGGTCCTACTTATCTACTGGATCTTCATGAGAGGCGAGGATATAGAGCTTTTGGGAGGAGTATGTTACCCACTTCGACTCCGACTCTCCGAGTCTTCCCCATGATCAGCTTCCGGGATCTGGCGCAAAGAAACGACTTCGAAAATTTGCCTATCACTATCCCGATTAGGGAAAGGCCTCACCGTTACTTGTGGCGCTTTTCAGAAGTTCTTGTCAAACCTTAAATCCGGTGGCTAGCGGCTGGCTTGCAGAATTGGTATCTGTAAGCATGCTACATTGCTGAGTTGAGGCGGGGAATAGAGTAGTATAGGTGGGTGTGGAATGTAGGCGTGTTCCTTGTTTCTTCTTCAGTTGATCAAGATATGGAATGCATCGGCTTTGATATCATCGGCATGTTGCGCAGGTGTCGGCAACGGCAACCTAGCAGAGCGTGTGGATGCAGAGTCGAGGTAAGCTTCGCGCATGCATCTTCCTCGACATCTATTCCCTGTTTCGGCCACCCTTCAATCTTCCTCACGCATTTCCTCGGGGGAATGATGGGTATGCATGGCTAGGTCAGTTGCATTGTAGTCAACCCTGTCTCTTTGCTACCAGCCATTCGTGGAACTTTATCTGATGTGTGCTGGGGTTTGCCAGCGTGGACTTGCGCTTCCTGGTTGACGTGTGCTTCCTGGTTGACGCGCGCTGACCAAGATTAGCGAGATTTGATAGCAGTTTGCAAGCAGGGTTCCATCCTTTCTACCTTCGCGATGTCACATTGCGCATACGTCAGAGCAAGCCATGCGTCCTTTGCTCCCTTACCTCTTTTTTGAACGATTAGTAAGCTCGTTAGACCACCCTAGGTAGCGGTATCCCAGAATCTCATTCTGCGAATTTGAACCAGACCTTTCCTAGAGACCTACCACGGAGCATTGCATGCCGTGACAGAAGGTTGTCCGCTAGCCTCTGCTTTCCTCAATGAACAGGCAATTGCACGCAAGCGTGGTGGGGTAATGGACTGATTCAAAAGGTTTCAGCAGCTGGTATCTTGGCGTTTATATCTTACCCAGTGGCAGTTCGAATGTTTTCTCGGAAGGAATCCGGGAAACGCCAAGAAACCATTCCTCTCTGTGTTCAACACTTTCCACCTCAGCCTACCTAGGTGAAAGTGGTTTCTTGGCAGTTCGAATGATTCTGGGAGACTGCCAAGAAACCCTTTGGCTCTGTGTTCAACACTTTTCTCCTCTTGCCTACCTTCGTAAAAAGCGTTTTTTGGCAATTTCGAAAACGCGTAAACCAAGTCGCGTAGTAATTTCCAAACCTCGAGCTCTCCTCGCAATATTACCAAAAGTATCTGATACCCAGACCTCATCAGATACCTAACTAAGTCCCTTCTTTCTGCGATTCACCTCATCCATCTCACTCTCAATTCTGTTCGCTCCCTTGTCGCATAGCTTTGAATCTCGGTGATATAACGGGCACGTGCCGCATGCTTAACTTCTTGGATATCTGAGCTGCTCCACTGTCTCCACAGCATCGGGTATGCTGTGTTCAACCATAGCTTCAGTCTCGCTTCATCTTGGCAATACCACAGCCAGTCCGCGTGACGGCCATCTCCAATGTTGCACGGCTTCAATGTCGAGGGCCATATATAGCGCCAAGTGGCTGGGCGAGAAGGAGAATTGACGCTTAAGAGCTGAGAGATACCATACCACCTCCCCTTACCGTCGCATAGTTTCATCAACGACCCTATCCACACAACTCCCCTTGTACTCTCTCCCAAACCCACCAAAACCCACCAACCCCTCTTCCGGGCCACCTGCATGCCCTTTCCCGAACTCCTCGGCAAAAATGAAGATAAATAATAAACGCAACGAGTCGTCCTCCATCTCCCCTCACACACGCGCTAGAAAGCAGGAAGCCGTGTCATACGCGAGTCGCGTCACAGGTCGCACAGCGCTCGATAGACCCGGAATTGCGGGCCCTGTGCGACCACATCAGGAGTGTGGGAGCCACCGTGTGGTAGCGAGATCGGGTGGGGAAGAGATGATATTGGCTGTGCATCTTGAAGAGGGGCGAGAGATCTTGTCTGTGAGAGCTGAGCTTCTCGATGGACATTGTAGCTGTGGGATGACGGCACTGGAGTGGCTTCTAGGGTTTGAGAGTTTTAATGGTAATTCCCGCGAAGTCGGGAGAGCGATATCCAGGGCTCCTTGTGAGAATTCGTCTTGGAAAGGGTATATCGATAACCATGCTATTTTTCGCTCGGGATCGTGAGGTTTGTCGATATTTTCAGTCCTTCCGCGTGGTTTTTTCTTAGAAGAGGTTGCTGACGATTCATGTAGTATGATCTCAAAACTGTTCAGCCCGGCAGCACTAGTGTCTACGAGCGGAAGGTTGCTGTTGTCAACCGCGCGATGTTGGATCTAGGTATGGGAAAGTATCAGTGGATGGTGTTTGGGCTATCAGGGCTAGGATGGTTTATGGATGTGGTAAGTGTGAAGAAGATTGCCACTCAATCCCAAGATCTGTTTCCCAATACCTGTTAATGGTGCCATTCAATGACCTGGATAGTAAGCTGACTTGGTCCATAGTACTGGAAGCAGTCTATCAATCTCATTGGGCCATTTGTGAGAATGGAGTTTGGGATTCAGCAGATTGCTTGTAAGGGATTTCATCTTCGCCGTGCTTCCCCCTTCCCTTGTGTTCGATCTACTGAGCTGATACTACCCGACTCTAGTCCTTAACGTAGCAAAGCAAGCTGGTTCTCTAATCGGTGCAATCTTCTGGCCTCTGACTTCGGACTACATCGGCCGCCGGCCAGCTTTCAACATCACCCTGGCCCTTAGTTGCGTGACCGCGCTCGTAGCAGCTGGCTCTCCTAGCTTTGCTGCCATTGCTATTCTAGCTGGTGTGATCGGTTTCGCGATAGGCGGGAATCAATATGTGGACAGCACGATATTCATAGAATTCGTTCCGGCATCGCACCAGTTCCTTTTACCTATGGCTACGGTCTTCGCAACCCTGGCTCAACTAATGTCAGTCTTGATTGCTTGGTAAGTGACCTCTGAAATGATCCTCCAACTAGATCCTCGTTCACATACCTCCAAGGCCGCTGGTAACAAATTACTCATGCACTCCCCGGCTCGTAGCAGCACACCAATGCAACTTCATGAATAACTTAGGATGGCGCTACTACCTCTGGACGGGCGGCGGGCTCTCTATCCCTATGGTCATCGCCCGCTATCTCTTCCACCTCCTCGAAACGCCCAAATATCTCCTCGGCCGCTCTCGCGACGCCGCCGCCGTCTCCGTCGTCCAAACAATTGCCTCCACAAACCGCAACGCAACCTGGCTAACCCTCGACTCCCTCCGCGCCATCGACGCCGAGCTCTACAACACTACTACCCCCAGAAATACCTCCCCAACCACGCCCACATCCTCAACACGAACCCTAAAACACCGCCTATCCCCCCACAAACTCCCCGCCCTCTTCTGCACACCAAAAATGGCCCTCTCCACCACCCTCGTCCTCTTCATCTGGTCCACCGTCGGCTTCGGCTACACCCTCTTCAACTCGTTCCTCCCCTTCTACCTGCAATCCCAATCCTCCCACCCCTTATCCACCCAAACCCTCTTCCGCACCCTCGCCATCCAAGCCGCCTGCGGCATCCCGGGCTCCGTGCTCGCGGGCTACGCCGCCGAACTCCCCCGCTTCGGCCGCAAAGGCACGGGCTGCGTCGCGTGTCTCGGCAGCGCCGTCTTCCTGTTCCTGTTCACGCGCGCGCAGTCGGACGAGGCGGTGCTGGGGTACAGCTGCGCTGTCGCGTTTTGCATCGCGGTCGCGCATGGGCTGCTGTATGGGTACACGTCGGAGCTGTTCCCGGCGCCGATCCGGGGCACCGGGCAGGGGGTTGTGGGGCTGGCGAGCGAGGCCGCGAGTTTGGGGGCGGCGCTGGTGGCGGCGTGGGTGGGCTTGGGGGAGCGGAGTGTGTGGGTCGCGGCGGGGTGTTTGACCGGGGCCGGGTGTGCGTTTTTGGGGATGCCGTACGAGATGAGGGGAAGGGCGGCGGCGTAGGGGGTGGAGGGGGTGGGTGGGAGGCTTTTCTTGGGTGGGGAGGATGGATAGGTAGAGGGTGCTGGGGAAAGGTTGGAGGATTGGATGCTGCTTTTTTGGATGGGTATAGGATCAGCATGGGATAGAAAGCTGTGTTTTTGCTGCTGTGTGTGTGGGGAGGAAGGGGGGTTGTAGGGGGTGGGGGTGGAGGTACCATACTATGCGGTGGGAGTAGATGGACGAGGGGTAGCGGAGGGGGGTAGCGGAGGAGGGTTGTAAGGAGTGTGGAGGGCATTTCGGTGTGGGCGAGCGATGGTAATGATGAGTAGGGAGACTGCTGAGTGTCTGGAATGGTGAGTGGTGGGTATGGACTAAAAGAGAGTAGGTTTTGCGAGTTGATGGGACTCAGATTGTCTCAGTTACACTGTACCTAGGCTCTAATTCCTCTAATTGCTCTATATTCGCAGTTGAAAGACGTCGGCGGGGAGGATTCCTTCGGAATCGGTAGAAGTGAGCCATTAGTCCCTAGTCTGGCCTTCACGTGATATTGCATGTGGTACTGTACTCAAGTAATTGATAGGAACGTTCTTTTGGAGATCCAAATATAGCCACCCTTGATCCTTGTATACGATGTACTGAGAGGCGTGACGTGACAATGAAACAGTGCGGTAGCCTCATTCCGCTGTTACAACATCTCCATCCTCAGTAATCTTGTTCCCTAATGCAATGAGCTGGGCACCTACAAAGAATCAGTCTCAGGAGCTTATTGGAGTGAATTTGGTTCCCTACCAAGGCCTAAGTAAGAGAAACTTTCGGGATTAACGTGGCAGACAGTCAAGTCATCCTTGAACTTCCTGACTTCTGACCAGGAAACGTACGCCGTGTCCTCGGGATCGCTGAAATCAAACAAATATGTGTGCATAATCTAGAAATGGAATTAGCATGCGCACATTATACTTGCGAGCTTCGAATAAAGTGAAAGAGGCCATCGGTCTCACCTCATGAAGAAAAGTTGCGACGGGTAATGCGAATAGGTCAATCCCCGCCCTTCCATCTTTCTTTAATTGTTCTTCTCTTTCCTTCTTCGCCCGGATCACTTTTCTTCCAAACTCCCTTTTCACAAATCCGTTCATAGGTTCGTTGAAGTTGCCACCTAGAAGCACCCCAAGGCAATTTCGCGGTGTCATGAAGCCAACCTTCTGGATGTACTCTTTGCAGAATTGGATAAAGGAGTACGTTTCTTTAGGCTCCCGCTTATTGCCTGAGAGTGTGTATGCCTCGGCGTTCTTCGACTTGGGGTCATTGCACGGAGTTACTCGCTAGCTCCACAGCCATACTACACTGTTGTCCGGGTCGTAGATTTTCTTGGAAGTTTTGTATTTGTCTTCCCAGATCTGATATCGGTTCTTATCGCAATAAATTCGAATGGTTGCAACATCTTTGTCGTCTTCTCTCGCCTTATGTCCTATCAGCTTCTCCTGGGATAGAAGACGTCAGATTGAATTCCGCTTTCGTTGTGCTAACTTGCTAGAGTCTCCAGAAGCTGTATTGACCTTAAGCTTTGCCACTACATTCGTCATTGTACATGATCATTTTACTCAGGTTGCCACTACTAGCGTGTCAGTGGCGTTACATCCTTCCATATCCGTAACAAGGGGGAACAGGGGAGTACCCCCCCCCCCTTTCATAGGCTATATATACGGGCCTTATGCCTCTTCAAATCAACACATAACTGCTTCTTCACAACCTGAGAGTTATGAGCCCGGAATACTTGTTCACCAATCACGTGATGCTTTCCTCCTAAAGTACGACAACGCGGTCTCTGTCCCTTGGCTCTCTTACAGCCATTGTATCCTCCTTCCTCTCTCGTCACACGCTAGGAATCAATCAACCTATCTGCCGGAGTTTCTGGATTCCTGTCTGCACAAAAGCCAGCAGTACATCGCATATTCGGTTAAGACAAGGTTCAGCATTTGTTACGACATTCGATTGAGGTTCTCTCTACCATCTCGGGGGTGCGCTTACGCCACCCATACAC